ATAGTTAAAAGCACTTATATATTTTAAAAACGCTAGTTAGAGAAATCTTTAAACTAGTATATAATTAGTAAGTATATAGTAGTTTCTATTATACTTATAATTAATTAAAATCTTTAATTTATATATATAAATTTAGTTATAGGCTTAAGAACTATATTCTATATTATTATATTTATTAAATAAACTAGACTAAACGCTACTAGCTTTATAATTCCTTTAAACTAATATAGACCTTATTAATACTATATTATATAATAATTTTAGACTTTATTATAACTTTCTTATTATCTTTAAAAGGATTTAATATACTTTTAACTTATATATATAAGTTTTCTAAAAAGGTTTTATTTATTCTAAGTTAAAATATATATTTAGCTATAAATTAAGCTATTATTCTTATTAAAGCCCTTCTTTCTTATAATTAAAAACTATTTAAATTTATAATTAATAGTTAAAATTAAAAATTTATATTAAAACTATAGAAGATGATTTTTAATATAATAAAAATAAAAATACTTATAATATTAGCGTATTACTTTTAAATTAATAATTAATTAAAATATATTAATTAAATTATTAAGATTATATTATATTTCTACTTTATAGCTAATCTAGATTATTTGTTTATTAATATATTATTATTTATATAATTAATATTAAATAATACTATTTTTATTATAATAAAACTTACTTTAAATAAAATTGCCCTAGGCTTTAAAATAAATAATTTATTATATTTTCTTTTTAAAATATTAAATATTAATAATATAATATAGTAATATATAAATTAAAACTAGGCTATAGAAGTAATTATATAAACTAATATTATAGTTAAATATTATTATAACTAAAGGTATAAACTAATTAGCTTTAATTAAAAAATCTTTTTATATTTATATAATAAATATTTTATTTTAGGCTTTTTTAACTTTAAACTTATTTTCTAGTATATTAGTCTTTTTAAAATAAAATAAAAGATTAATAAACTTATATATTAACTAAAGTTTCTATTAATTATAGCAATCTATTTAGTTATTTTTATTATATAATTAGAACTAATATTAGAAAAATATAATTTATATAATTATCTAAATATATAAGTAATCCCCTTATTTAAATATAAGATAATAATAAAGAATATAAAATTAAATAACTCTTAAGAAAACATATTATTTAAAATAAAGTCTAATACCTAGTTAAATAAGCTAGATATAGGAACAAATAGAATATTTAATATAATATTAAAAATTTTATTAATACTTTAGACTTAATTAAGGATTTTAAGGAATAATCAGAGATAGTATAAGAAAATAGGGTAGTAAGGGAAGATAATAATTACTATAGGCATATCTAGAGGAGTAGATATATATAAAAGTAATAAAGGATTAATATTTAAAAGTACTTTCCTTTAATTATATATATATATATCTTAAGCAATAAGGGCATTAGCATTTTTAGTTAGTAGTATATTATTACAAATTATAGGTAGCTTAATAGGAATAGGATAATACTATATATAGGTAGAACCACATCTTAGAAAGTAGCTTTTATTATACTTAGGAAATCTAAGCTTTTTCTATTTTATAATTCTAGTTCTTATTAGCTATTATAAGTAATATATATTCTATTATATAGCTCTAGTAGCTATACTAAAATAATATAGTAGAATATAAAAAGATTTAAATAATATTAAATGAAAAAGTTTATAAAATAATATAATTTAAAAAAATAAAATAAAATAATATTATTTTAAAATTATAAATAATAACTTTTATTATATAATATATAAATATAAATATATTATAATAAAAAGTAAAAATTAATTTTAATAATAAAAAATATTTTAATAAAAAGATTTAAACTATACTAAGAAATATTTTTATTAATTATTTAAATTAATAAATCTTTAACTTATATAAAAAATATAAAAAAAGAAAATCTAAATAATAAAGTTATATTTATAATAAAGTAAATATAATATATATATATATATATAAAAAAGTAATATAGATTAGTATTAAGATCTTTATTTATAAAAGAATATTTTTTTAAATATAAAGTTAAGGCTATAAAAAAAATATTATAATTTTCTAGAAATAAGATAAATAGTAATATTCTTAGTATATTTAAAATATTAAAAAGAAGCTAAATTTTAAAGTATATAGTTAAAAGTATAAATATTATAAAACTATTATTAATATTAGTTTTAAGTCTTTTATTATCTTTTATAATATTTAAAATAAAATTAATAAAATTAATAAAATTAATAAAATTAATAAAAATAAAAAATTAATCTATAAGTTTATTATAATAATATATTATAAGCTATAAATCTATAATATTAAAAAGAATTAAAATATACTTTTTATCCTTAAGAAAGAAAGAAATTTTAAATATAAGAATTATAATAAAATTTATATAATAAATATATTTAAATAAGAAAAGAAGTTAGATTATAATTTTAATTTAAATATATTAGAAAACTACTAGTAAACTTCTAAATAATATATTTAAAAGGTTTTATATTTTAATAATATAATAATAGTAATAACTTTAATTTAAAAAGAATAAAATAAGTAAATTAAAAAAGAATATATAAAGAAAAGAGATTATATTATATTATATTAATTAAATATATTATTAATTTAAATATATAAATAATTTATTAATTATTAATTAAAATTATATTATCTTTTAAATTAAGTTATTTTTTTCTTTTTATTTAAATTTCTATTTAATTTACTTAAACTTTTTTCTAAAAATAATTATAGAAACTTTCTATATTAATAGTATTTTAAGCTTTTATTTACTTTAAAAAATATATTAATACTTTATTCTTATAAGGCTAGGCTATTATAGCTAATAATATTAATATAAAATAATTTAATTAAAAATAATAATAAGTTTTTGAAAAGTTATCTAAAGTATTTATAAATAGATTAGCTCTACTACTCCTAGATTCCTTATATAGTAGTATTGGCCAGCTTTATAGATAAGTTTAATAGTTATAGCTATATTAATATTTTAATTATAATGGCAATAGTTTCGCGAAGTGCGCATATTAATTTGGTTGGGAATTGGCGACGATAGCGCCTTGGCTCACCGCGAGCTTAATACTCCTCAGCTGAGGGATTTTTACGAGCAGCGCTGCCTAACATTCTGTCGCATTAGTGCAGTAGCCCACCAGATGAGTACTGCACCTAGAAGCTTGACTGCGCAGAGTGGTCGTTGTTCAGGGTAGCTGATGATGGAGACATCGTCTTCAGATCTGGTATCAAGACAGGGAAGTTGTTGAGATTTGCGACTCTTGAATCTCTTGCATTGCAATATGACTGCAATGTTTGGATGATAAGCGTTGTTACCTCTACATTTGAATGCTGCTTTCTTCTAGCAAGTGTGACTTCGTTCTTTTGAATTAGTGTTCTTTCATTAAAACTTCGGAAGGTGTTTTACCAAGTCCACAAAGGGGCGAGCGAGTAGATTTGACCCCTTGATAGTAGCTGTCAGACTCCTCAAGAAGAAAGCAAATAATCTCTCCACTTTCCCGTTCCACTTTCAATCAGTCGTACTCAGCTCGAAAACGATGACCCAAGTCACGAAACGAGGAGCCCTAAAAGGGCGCATCTTTATTGCCTGTCTTGCAAGTCGCCCTTCCAGGGCTCCCCTGCAGGGGCCTCTAGCCAAGACTCATCGAAGACGCCGCACCAACAGGCGTGTTCATTGGTCAGGACCTTGGTGGGTGGTCGAGCCGGCCAATATCTTGCATCAACATTCAAGTGCTACATCCGGTAATCGGTCGAGGTACGCTGTCCTGATTGGTCCTTGATCACTGATTTGGCCATTGCTTAGGCCACAAGCGCCTCGATCTGATGAAAAGGACACCGAGGACACTCAATCTGGGACGATTGTCACAAATGGCAACCGTTCTACCAATAGCATGGAACAAGAAAATTTGTGGAGCCTTTCAATTTGCGTTCTCTGTCACATGTGCTTTCAAGGATGGCAACCTGAGAGTGTCAATAGACTGCACCAAATTTTCTCAGCACAGCCCCGTACCAGAGACTACGTGTGACGTATAGCGCCCGGGTCAATGCGCCCTTTGGGTCCTAGCCTTGAGGTTTTGGAGGGGGAAGGCTCGGAGACATTGTGAGTCTGTTTAAGTATAAGAGACGCACTTCATTTTCAAGTTCTGGTCTGCATTCGGGGCTCTCACATCTTACACGGAGGCTCTCCAGAATGGATAATACCCTCGGTCCAGACAACCATTCAGCATTTGCAGTCTCTACACCTTTAGACCTGTCTCTAGCTGTCTATCCTAGCCCCGTCAGTTCAAATGTGCGTCTCAAACGTCATCCTTGCTGCTTACTCTATATCTCGTGTCAAGGTGGCTATCTCTAACCAGATTCTAGACGAGCTCAATTGCCGAAACTGTCAGCACCGTCGAGACAACGAGCTCTAGCGTGTCAAGTATTCCGGAGGAGACGATAGTAGCTTCGCAATTCATCGACGTGGACAATCTTCGATGCCATTATCTTCCAAAATGCGAAGAGATCAAGTTCAAAGGAAGGAAGGAATTGAAGAGACATGCGAAAGGACACGACCCCGGAGCTTTGAAATACTGTGGATGTTGCAGAAACCTTGGCGACGAGTATAGACCAGTTCCTAGAAAGGACAAATTACAAGACCATTTACGGAGCAGGCATGATATGACAACCTCTGAGGACAAAAAAAGTTACGGGATCCGTTGCCCATCTAAAAGCTGCTGTACACTTCTCTTCACTGCATTGTCTTGTGTCGAGAGTCATTCAAAGCGAGAACATCCTGAGGTTCCTCTAGATTCGCTAAATTGCTCGTCAACTGGTGTGTAAGTCCTTATGCGTCATTAGCTACACAACTGAGAATCATCAGAAGCGACATGCGAATGCAGTAGCAAGGTTCAGTCAAGAGCCGCACAACTCAGTCAACAAATTGTTTCTAGGAAACACAGGGCAACATCGCCGATGGAGTCGGTTGCGAAACGGGAAAAGAATGAATTGCCATTGATCAGGCAGCACCCCTTTGAATGTCAGGCAGCTGGCATCTATTCAAGCACAACGTCAATTACAGATGATGGGAGTGGTGGGACGGCTTGTGAAGGCTTTTTGCCATTCCCTGACATTGATCTGCAGGGGTTTGGCAACGGTTTCTGTGACTTTGAAATGCTGTTACCAAATATGCAACATGACTCGAATCAAAACCTATCGGACCACTCATACTCCGAATCAGGCCCAATGTATCCGGGGTTCAATGACCCTTTCTCATTGAGGAACCTAGATTTCACGGCTCCGTTATTGCTGGACGGTCTTCATAGAGAGAGCTTAAGCAACAGCAGCTCAGATGAACTCTATGATCTTCTAGAGAACAAAGGTATATGTTCCCCAAAATTTTTCCTTCCTAATGCCACAATTTGTGAAGCTTACTGTAATTCAGATTTTTATGACTGGTGGTCTCAACTAGAATCTGAAAATGAGAATTATGTTGGTGCATGTATTCCTTCCATTCTTTATAGTCACAAGCAGCAGGCTTTCATCGTGGAAGGTTACTCAAGGCAGGCAGTTAAGGATACCAAGGAAAAACTAAGGAAATTTATTCTTGATTTGACAAGGCGTCAAGACGAGACACGGCTATTGACATCAGACACTAATCAGGCAGGCCTAGCATGTCCAAACTTTCAAACAGATGCCGCTCGTCAGATAGCTGCTGTGGACGAGCCTGATTCGGGGCAAGCTAAGATCTGGCCAGTCAAGCCCAAGGATCACCGACGTGTAGTCATCGCTTGGCTCAATATTATTCTCCCTAGCCTTCCAAAGGTCCTAAACGACAAACTCGAGGGTGATTACTCGGCGAGTCTGGTCCTTCGAGGGGCGACTCCTCGGAAATCCCGAACATGTATAATGATCGAGAGTCCTTGTGTTCCCGGACCCGAAGCTCAAAGAGTCATTCAAGACCAACTGAGTGAGCTCTACGCTCCTGAATCCGATCGAGATCGGATTAATGTCTGCTTTTTGAAAGGACGTGTGAGTTGCTTGAATGGTTCGGAGTGCGACGAAGCGAATATTTCTGAAGATACAGCCGAAGATTGCCATTGGAAACAACAACTTCAATTCAATCTCTCGTGGCCGTGTCCAGAGCTGACTATGGGTGCTTCACTTGGAATGTTGTGTTCAGAGAACATCAATGCCACACTAGGTGGTTTTATCATGGTCGACGATGTGAAGTGCATACAAACATCTGAGCATTTTATAGCGCGATCCCAGGAGTCATCGAAAGACAAGAGCTTGACGGATTCAACGAAGTTCCAAAAACTCACATCACCCTCGAGATACGACCTCAGCTGGTTGAAAGCCAGTTTGGACCAGACCAAGCTTGACAATCAATCCCAAAATGATCACCGCCTTGCAAGAACCTATGGTGAAAGCTTCGTCCCATTAGATAGGCTCTATAATCCAGCTATACGTGAAAACCGGCAACAGAAGGCAAGAATTGAAGCATTGATCAGAGAGGTAGACAAACCACTGAGTGACTTCGTCATTGGACAGACCACCTATCGAAGTACAGGACCAAGAGTTACAACTCTGCCAGTATCACTAGCAGATTACGTGGAAGACGCGCGGTTGACATTCAATTATCATATGGATTGGGCTGTGTGTGACCTGGAATCACAAATGTCGAGAACGGGCCAGAATCATCACAGATATCAATCGAACGAAGACGCAGCTATGGACAATTGCATAGAGAAGACAGATCATGTAAAGCGGAACGGTGGCATCTGCTATCAGACTTGTGCTGCTGAAGTAGGAATCACGGTTCATTTTCTTGGCCAGGGAAGCAAGCATAGAAAAGGCAAAACAGGTTTGCCAATCTATGTGCGCAGGAACTCCACTTCGACACTGGACTTTACCATAATTGGTGAAGATGGCAAAATGATACCATCGCAACAAGTGGCGGGAGATTCGGGTGCGTGGGTTTTGAGACAGGGTGATAACGCAGTCATGGGCCAGATACATTCTCACTCTCAAGGTCAAATACTCTTCACCCCAATCGAGACCATATTTGAAGACATCAAAGATAATACCACTCCTTTCGTCTCGCTACCGGCTTATCCCCGAGATGTGCAGCCTTTGGCGGAGCCAACAAGCGTCATATCGTTATGTGCTGTACGCGACAAACCTACTGGGGAGCCCCTATCTTTTCTCGGGTCACAGATTGCGCAAAAGGCTATGTATCCTGCGAAAACGAAAAGGAGAATACCACCTCCTAAGGATGTTATTCTCAATGCTACCAATAAGGTTGCCGCTGATATGCCCGAAATCTCGGTCATTCCCCCCGGAAATGACGGTCTCCCATTCTTGAGAAGAACCTCTCTACCGACCGTTTCAGACGAAGTGACACGTATTGCAATCTCCGCCTTGAAATATGAGGATCAGGCTACATCTCCAAACGCTGACTCGCTAGCTAACAAGCCCCCTTTCAAGAACGTATTTCGTTTCCAAATAAGAGCAGGGCAAAAGATGCCGACATGGCCCGCTGATCGAACAGATCTTCGAAAAGAATTGCAGCCACGGTCCAAAGTTACGTCTAGACTAAGGCGACTTGCTTTGAATACCAAATTCAGTATGAAGACCTCGTCAGCACCCAGTACACCAAGTGAAGCTGACAAATGTGGTCTAGGCAACACCAAATTACTAGAGAAGGGCTCCAGAGCTTTTCCAAACATGGCTAAATCACTGCTAGCCTTGGAGAGTACACTCAATCGTGGTATTTATATGGGATCTGCTCGCTAGACTGCTGCACAATGTCACAGGGACGGTAAGACGGATGTTGTGTTTTGGTAGGAGCAATGCAGAATGATGAATATGCAATAATGTACTCGTACTGGTATTGATTCGCACCGCAGCAGAACTTAAATCCTTTGACGGCCACTTTCCAGATATGTTAACGTCAACAACACAGTCAGGGGTAACTTTCGGTATTATATTCAGACAGTGTTTCTTCATAGGGGGCTAAGCTTTCATTTCTTTTACGCTGCTCTTTTTCATACCAGTCTTAGGCCTCATTCCCCCCATTATATGTGAGACATCGTTGTGCACGTAGGTCAATCGGCATTGAAGCCTAACAATGCCAAAAGAAGCTTATGTGCAATTCACCCCGATCGTAGTCTAGATCTTCCAATTGGCTCGTTAGATAACAATATGTGAATATTGGTCATGACCTGCACATATATTACATATGGGACACATTTCGAAAGGTTCCCACCGAAGATGGTAGTGTGATGAAGTGTACGGAAGCTTCCAACTCCTATGTCTAAAGAGATACCAAGTAAGACCTATCCTTGTCCGAAGGTTGGCGAGAACGAGGTCAGGCGAACGGGCGTACACAAGACTTGCATGACCGAGGGCACCAAGATGATGGGGCCCAAGACAATGAGGGCGACCGAGGGCTCTCCACACAGCTTGCGAGGCTTTCAGCCTGGAGATGCACTACCGACTCAGAGCTTTTGATTCTTGACTTGTCAGATTACTCTTAAATCACTAATCTTGATATCAAGGTAACATAGCAAATTCATCGTACCTCACCACTCAGTGAACTTTTCCTAGGTTCTCAGGCAGTCCCTGCCATCCTTTAGCTAAGCAGAGTGTCAATAGAAAGAATGATCTGTTAAGTCTGGTCTATCTATCCGAAGCATTCCTACAATTAAATCTTGATTCGGGTTCAATGATTTCTGCACCTTCAGCTAAACTATGACATCTTCCGACACGGCCCAGCTAGCTGTTAACATCCTCTTCGGTATGCTTGCAACAATCCTTGGCATCCTTTCAGTCAAACAGGGCAAAACCCTTTGGGACAATCATGGATTTTCTCCCAAGGATCCAAGTGGAGGCTCTAGTAAGTATGGCAGCCGAAAGACTGAACTGGAAGGATGACTGTTGACGATATATAGAGGATGTTGAGCTTGCGGTGCCGGTATTCGATGGGTCAGAGGCTAGCTAAAGCAAGGAAACGTAGAGTTTGATAGCGAAAAAGGCGGAAATGGTCTAGGAGCTCAAGATGCCTTACAGACTGGTGAATAGATTTGGACATTATAACTTGGAATTTTCAACTCTGATTGTTTTAGTACTGGACGAGGTAGTTGGAATTTGCATGTTCACCACCTATGTCGTTGTATTCACTTTGCGAAAAAAGCGCATATCGCCTGGTAGACGTGTCAAAATCTCAATGACATAAAGTAAGCCAAACGAGCATTCTTACCTTGCTCGCTCCCTCTATGCAGTAGTGTGTCACAACGACCTTACTAGAGAATCTTGCGATGGCCGCAAGCTGACGAATGTCGGACGTCCGTGGTAGATAGATAACAATGTTGTCAGTCACACTTTGGAAGCAAGCCATAAGCTGAGAAAGATGATAAGGCTGCATAGCAGAGAGGTCAAAGACCGACTCAAATCGATAACCCGGCCCTGCAGACGTCAGGCAACGAAGACTCAAGCGAAAGCTGCTCACCAACTTACCTCCCCACGGAGGGCTTGCAAAAATAACGCAGTCGTCCATTTGTTCGGGAAAGGCATCCTTTAAAATCTCGAAACAGTCCCCCTGGTACCACGAGATTCGTTCACTGACGCCGTAAATCTGAGCATTATGTTTGGCGCACTCTAGGGTAGTGGGATCTGCCTCGATAGCATGAATTCTGAGCCATCGATGAGTGCGTGCGAAAGCAATGGTGTTGCCACCGACGCCCGCGAAGCAATCAATGAGGACATTCCTCTCGGGGGAGAATGTTCCAGAAGATGCTGAGCTACCTTACTTTTGGTGATTAGGGCAGAGATAACGAGGTTTGCTAGGAAAAACCAAACTTGGCAATTGGCTCAGGTGTCACGCCAAACCATCCATCATCCGTCATCCAAATGCCATCATCGTATTTCGAAAACAGACTGTACCGTTGTTCGTAGTATCTGAGAAAATTAGATAGCACACGAGCGCCTCCATGAGGGAGTGACGAACTTTTGGACATCCCACGGGACTTCGCTAATATCGCCATAATGCCTAGATACCACCGTAACAGCATCGGCATCTAGCCTGTGTTGGTCCTTGTTCCTAAGGGCCATGGCCCCTCCTCTGTGGAAGGTTGAAAATGTACCTTATGATCGAAATAAAGCTTGTCTGAGATTGGCAGCGACGAGTCTTGGCGCCTCAGTTCTAACAAACTGGTAATGATCTACCATACAGGTCTCTACATCGGGAAATGTTCGAATTGGATGCTTTGGAGATAGTCGGCGGGAAGAGGTACTGACCGTAAATCACTCACTTGTCACGTCGATAGATATATTCTTCGAATTCAATAGAGTTGACCAAAGGGAGGGCAGCACCTCTTTGCGCCAAGCATTCCAAAGGCTTTCGAACCTTCAACACCCACCGTTCTCATCACACTTCTTCCGAACGGCCTTTCCTATTAGAAGTGACAGAAAAGCCTTTGCAAGTCACTTCCGCAGCATCAGCTCGACTTCATAGCTCGAGCCATGACGATTATTTCCTTTGTCTTCTCGTGAAGCCATGCCACCTGCGGCGACACCCCAATCTGTGCAAGGAGTACAGGATGACGAAGATGAGGAACTTATTCAACAAGCCCTGGATCCGCAGACATCGCTTGATTTCAATCGTGACCTAGAACCAGGCGAGAAAGCCGAGGATGCTATGGATTTTGAGGATCTAAGCGATAATGATCTAGCTGACGACGATGAACCGGGGTATTCGGGGGGAAAGGCAAATGCCCCGGATGATTTTGCGGGTGGAGCAAATTTTGAAACTCGTGGACCTGGATATGTTGATGAAGCACACGCGGAGAAAACCTTTGACGATTTATTTGGCGAAGAGACGTTCGCTTCGATCAAAGCCCCAGAGGACGACCATACTAATACAGCAACAGAGAATCAGGCGTCGTGGCCTGTCTTGAACTCCTCACTCCAGCAAGACTTTCCTCGCGCTGGAGATACCGATCGCCACCAACTGCAGCAGGAACTCTTCGCCCTCTCGCGGTCCGCCTATGCTGCTCATGATGGGTTGCCAGAACCGCCAACCAATCGCAACGAGCTACTCACAGCTTTGTGGCCAAACTTTGAGCACGGTTCCATACCGAAATTCATGAACTTGTTGCCACCCAAAAAAGCCAGGCATTTAGGCAAGCACATCACCAAGCCCCCTCGGCCTCTCAATCCCACCAAGGTGAATCTTGAAGTTGCTCAGGACCAAGAAAAAGCGTTCAGGGTACTTTCAGAGCCTCAGGAAGCAAAATACAGCAATAGAATCAGACTTGGGTTAGTTGCGACACAGTTAGAAGCTTCCGACACTGATAGCAACGAGAGCGATCTCGAGGACGACGATGACTTGGATAGCCACATTATACATGGAACATCATGGCATGATCTACAAATTCTCTGCGAAGACTGGAATGACTCAGCGTCCTCTGGGTTCACAGATTCTGAAACCATCGAAGCCCCAGATAGCAATCGGACCGATTACATCAATTCTGAGAACTTTGACAGCGCAGGCGCATATTGCATCTTGGAGGATGTTACAGGAGTATGCCACATTAGCTCAGTGGACCGAGCATCACTAATTTGGTAATAGCAACCACACAGGCAAAAGGATGTTGATGATGTGCTACGACGGCAAGTTCGTAAGATGCCGAGTGTCTTTGAACCCGAGCTATCGACCACGCACGTTGCGAAAAAAGCAAAATTAGACCTCAATGACCCACACCTGCTCTTCGAAACGGTCCCCACCTCAAGAGCTTCTTTTCAGGCAGGCAAATATCCCGGTCAGAACAATGGTAATCATCTGGTATACCCAAAAAGCTTGTCTTCTCGATATAATATTTCCAACGACGACGCTTACGATCTACTCAAAGAGAATCACCAGCATAAGATACGAGGAATGTTGAACACTTCTCATGTTGAGCATAGCATGGCTGCCATTCGTCTCCAGTGGCCTTTCGTGAGTAGATGCTATCTCTTGCGATTGTCTCCACTAACACTGCAAGTATAAAACGCGACTGGATAAACAAGAACTTCGCGCTTTTCATCGTCCAAGGCTACGGATGAATCGTCAAGAGCAAATCTCTTTCGAAAAACCCAATTTCGTGAAAAGAAAACATACGAAGGGCAAAGACGCACGAACACTGTTCTTCAACACAAGAGACTTATCACTCAGCGACAATTCCACGGCCTTGTTATTAGAGTATTCGGAAGAGTTCCCGACTATGCTTTCAAATCTGGGCATGGGTAACAAAGTGATCAACTATTACAGGAAAAGAAGCACCGAGGATAGCTTCCGTCCCCGAATGGACATTGGTGAGTTGCATGTCCTGCTCCCACAAGACAAAAGCCCCTTCTCTCTCTTTGGCCACGTCGACCCCGGAAAAGTGACTCCCGCCATCCATAACGCGATGTATAGGGCGCCTATCTACAAGCACGAACCTACGGGGTCAGATTTCTTGGTTGTCAGAGATAGTACGGGTGTCGAGGGTTCATCATGGTTTCTTCGAAACGTTGAGCATCTGCATGTGGTCGGCCAAGAATTTCCTTTGGTTGACGTGCCAGGGCCGCATTCTCGGAAAGTGACCACGGCTGCGAAAAATCGCCTCAGGATGATCTCGTACCGCATTGCTCGAAAGAATAGGAATCAGCGGATGAACGTTTCATCGGTCACGACGCACTTTATGGCTACGACGGACATGCAGATTCGACAGAAGATGAAGGACTTCATGACGTTCGACAGAGACCACAAAGAATGGAGAATGCAGCCCGGTGAGTCGATACCCGATGAAGATATTGTGAGGGCAATGGTAAAGCCAGAGGAAGTCTGCTTGCTTGAATCTATGCAAGTAGGACAGCAACATCTTCAAGACTCTGGATTTAGCAAAGATGACGACGACGAATCTGCAGAGGAAAACACAAATGTGGGCGAGAACATAGAGCAGCTATTGGCACCATGGTTTACGTCTCGGAATTTCTTAAACGCCTCCCAAGGAAAGGCTATGCTCAAAGTGCATGGTGACGGGGACCCTTCGGGCCGTGGAGAGGCTTTCAGCTTTATAAAGACCTCAATGAAAGGAGGCTTTCGGGCTGTTGGAGAAAGCGTGGCAGAACGATTACGGAAGCAAAAGATGAAAGACTCGGACAAACATGGCTATAATGTGCAGGATCAGCAGGATCAATACGAAGAATCCATTCGCCGAGTTTGGGATGCTCAGCAGCGGTCTTTGTCATCGACTTTGGCGCAACCTGACTCGGACAAAGAGGACGAAGGGCTCGGGGAGACGTCGGAAGATCTTCATATAGAAAGTCCCCGCTCGGGAGGACGGAACTCCGGAGCCAAACCAGGCTGGGAAGATGACAGTGCTAGTCAGTCCACCAAATGGAGCGCAACCAGCCAGGCTGGTCGGATCATGGAGATCTCGCGCGTTGTGCATGATCGGTACGGAAACGAGGAGGAGGTCAAGGACATCATCCGGAACCCACGTGTAATTCGTCAGTACCTGCGCCGTAGGCGGGCTTTAGACTCGGCAAACGAAGAGTGGGACGCACCGTCAAAGCCTCTAGTATGCCTCGCTAACAGGGTTTAACAGTGTACTTGACATCAAGCTAGGAGAGGATGCTGCAGAAAACAAGCGCAAGGAGCAAAGGTAATTGAAGTCAACATGCTTTGGCCGTTCGACTGAACCGGATTCTGACATCAGCCTAGGCTCAAGAAAGAGTTAGCACGTTTGGAACGTAATAAAGATCGAAGGATTGCTCGAGATAAGCAGAAGGGAATTTACGGGGACGGAAATCCCGATGGTGATGGCTCACCAACGTCTCCTGGCGACCCTCCAGCCAAAACCGGAGTGACAAAGCGTAAATGCGCCAACTGCGGTTTGGTTGGTCACATCAAAACAAACAAAAAGTAAGTTAAAAGTCATCCGGCGTGAAATCAATCGAAAAGCAAGCTAAAGAATTTCTTCGATAATTAGGCTCTGCCCTATGCTTAATGGCACTATGAAACCTGAGGAGGGTTTCAGTTCGTCAGCATTCACCGCTGGCTCTCCTTCGATGTGACGGAAAGTTGCAGGGACGTCCTTGCTGTACGGTCGTGGTGATACTTGGCTTCCATCTTGCCAAGGTTGAACAAATTGGACCGATGGCTGGTTCCAAGTCAAAGATCAACAAATCCACCGTCGAATGTTCTGCTCAAGGTGGATTTTGGGGCCTCCAATCTAGGCACAAGCCTCATCATACCCCCTTTACATGCAAGTTCTCAGCAAGTGCCATAATTGAAGATCTTTATGTAGCTCTAGTACCTCGGTTCCGGTCACCATGTTGGTAGAAGACGAGCCACTGCATGCCAACTCCTTTTGAATTCTTTTGCACCGGGCCTATGATAAGCTGTAGCAGGCCGAACAAGGTGATTGACCAATACCAGTGCAAGATCTGGCTAAGCACTACTAAAAAATACAGTGCAAAGGATAATTTGATGACTACCTGTCTCTACTCGAATATATCTCCCTACCGAGCAACATTCGAGGGAAAGCGGCTCGTTGTCCTTCATTTCGGGTCCTCCTCTCCTAAGGTTGCACAAGGGCTGCATGGATACCACGCTACAAGTCACGTCTCATATTCTCGAGTCAGTTGCTGCTGACTCTGCGCCCAAGTGAGGTCTGCTTGGGCCTCCGATATGTATAACCGATGAAGACACCCTTCTTCCGAACCTCTAGAGCCCTTCTCCCAACTTCGTGATCCCGAAGGACCTTATCCCGCGCCCTCTTCTTAACCTTGTGCTGGGTCTGCCTTCTTCCGTCAATGATCGGCGCCTCCGCATGTTCGATGATGCTTCGCTTTGAAAAGCATTCATGCTGCCCGTCGACGCCGCCAATTGAGGGATTAGACCTTTGTTCGATGCCATCGATGGACAATATTGACTGGTTAGCGTCTAGGCTGTCGGACTGAGTGCTAATGTCACCATTATCACTTATTGGGTCTTCCTCGTCGAAATATTTGGTATCGTCTTGGCCAGCAGTGTCAGGGACGAAAGGTGGTCTCGTGAGATGAAGTCTATCCCAGACAATGCGCTCGAAGAAAGGATGAGTTTTGATGTCAGAGGCGTCATCGGAGTAGACAAATCGACCCTTGTAGTTAGGAGCATTCGGATCGGCACACTTATTGATCAGCTTGCAAGGATCCTGTTTCGAGTGCTGATAGTCATTTAGTAGGTATTTTCGCGAACAAAGTCGATGGTGCTTCTCGTGGAGTACGCTTCTCATGAACTCAATTGCAGCGCAGGAAACTTTGTATTCACGTTCGCTAGGGAAGGACAGGAAGCTATGATGATGCTGAGGCTGTCAGCAACGTCCACAACAATGAGACCAGCCATACAAGGATTCGTGATTTCGTGTCCTCCCGCGTCTCGCACACAAAAGGGGTGTAACCGTAAAGACACTACTACCAATGAGCGAATGGTTTGTTTCCAACAGATGTTTCACACACCTCATACAAAATGATACCTAGACTCCACCAATCACATCTGCCATCGTACAATTCGCCTCGAATTACTTCTGGTGCCATGTATTGGCTAGTACCAACTATGCTGGCCGCCATTTTTCGTTTGCATTCTCGATTGCGCCACTGGAGGATGGATTCGTCCGAGGAAGGACCATCTACATTGGCTGGTATGCTTCTGGGCTGGCTTGTCAGTGTTTTTGCTGCGTTCATCTGGGAAGTCCTTTTTGCATCTTCCTTTTGGTCCTCATAGTCGCCCTTGACTCGAATCCCTAATTTTTCCATTAGCGCTGCGCGATGATCTTTGTAAAACCGTTGGTCATGCGACCAATGACCATCAAACGCAAGTCCAAAGTCCGAGATTTTAATGTGACCAGAGGCCGATATTAGAAAATTGTCTGGTTTGATATCGCGGTGGATCCATCCATGACGGTGCGTTTCTTCAACGCAAAGGATCATTTCAGCCAAATACCATCGGGCGTGCCTTTCTTTGAGCACATTTCTTCGGAACAGCAGCCCAAGAAAGTCACCACCAATCATATACTCCATCACTAGGTAAAGATTGGTGTTGTCTTGAAAGCTAGCGACCAATGGCACGACCCATTTGGATTTTTCCGATGCCACCAAGAAATCGCGCTCAGCTCGCAGGTGCCCTTCTTGACAATTTCGTAGCATGTGAGACTTCCGAATGACTTTCATTGCGAAGACTGCAATACCAGCATTATCGGAGCTTAGGCTGGATAAAGGTCTTTTGTGGTTCGTCTCGCAAGCAGCACCCACGGTCGATGGGATAGACGAAGGACTTCTTCCATGGTCCACTGTTGTTCGCATCGGCGCAATAGTAGCTATTGAGCTATTACGAGACACTGAATCCTGGTGTTTTTCGCGAACTAGCCTTACGACACCAAAGCTTCCCTTACCAAGTACCCTTACTACCTCAAAGCCTGCAATCACTGTAGCAGAACTACTAGTAGATGTCCGCAGTTTGGTCTTCTGGACTCTAGAGTGACGGAGGTACGTGCTCTCCTCGTTTGCCCATACCTTTCGCTCTCGCTCTTGAGACTCCTCTGGTAAGGCCTCGTTCCTGAGGCGATGCTCGAGCACTTTGCGTCTTACCGATCGTGGGGTTGAAATGCCCGCTAGTAACGGGTCGTAATGGGTCTCAAAATAGATTTTGGCGTTGGCAGACATCTCGACAGTCACAATCGTAGGCTCTTTGAGCGGATGTTCCTTAATAGGTGGCAACAGGTCCTCCCCCAACGTAGATGTGGGAATCGGAGATGAGAACATTCCAAATTGATCGCCCTGAAAAATAGACGCTACCGATGCAGAGTCCGGTTCTAGAGAGGTCTTGCTGGTTGAATACTGGAAGCCTGATACACTGGCGGTGACGTTAGGACTGGAAGCATCCGGTGTTTTAGCTTGATTGGTTCTCTTGGTACGCTTGGTAGGCAAAGAAAGACGGCTCGGCCTTCCACGGAGGTGTGGTCGATGAACAATCGTGGGGTTCCCAAAAGTAGAATTTATTTTGTGGGAGAGATGGTGCGCGAGACCTGACGTCAATGGATTTTGGCTAAAGCTAGAGTGCCCCATATACCTGATGTTTACCCCGTGAGCAAGAGGTGCGATCGGTCCTCGGGGCTGATAATCGAGCATCTCATGCCCATGACTGCCATAACGGGCGAAAATGAGTCCATCACACTCAGCCGCGGAGTCTAGAGGTAGACGATCTTTGGATAGTACGTGGGCATGAGCGATATTAAGCTGAGAACTTGCGGCACTCTTCGTAGTTGCGAGGGCATTTTCTCGTTCGCCGACCCTCTTCAAAGGCTCGTTGGTTATTGTAATGTCTTACAATAATGAGCATCATCCTGATGTCATGCGTCAAAACTTACCAGTATCCCTCTGCATATTGATTACATCGAGGTGCTTCAACCCATTTCTTAGCCGTCGGGCAATGTTGGATGCATGTGGGACAAGACTGGCCGCTACAGCAGTGTGGTGTGGGCAATCGTTGTCGATGTAGCCTATGATTGGGGAGGTCTCTCTCAGGCTGCAGTCTCTTGCAGAAATTTCATCATGATTTCTCAAGCCGAACAGGCTTCTTGAACTTAGGCGCCATTTCCTCTTGGATCCGCCAGGCATTGTGCTCAATGATTCTATGTAAGTTTCTGCATAAAAATACTCTGAAAAACTACCTTGTGTCGGCTGTCGCGCAACTTGTAGAGCATACGTAAAGAGAAGAAAGTTACAATGTTATGGCTGACGACTGGCTTCCGAGCCCGCAAAAGTAAAAGTCGTTGCTTTGGAAATGAAATCGGCGAACACCAGATGAGGAAAGCACGATTCAATATGTAAAGACATCTCCGAGGGAAAGCTTGATCTAGTCAGATCTACCTCGAACCTGAGCGCATATTGAACCGTCACACAGCTTCGATCATTTCTGTGAATATTGGGGAGGTCTTTCATGTGACTGACCAGGGGTGCTGTCATTCTCTTTCGACCCCAAGGCCCGATGGTGTGGATTAGATAGCAAGGGCGGCTTATCGATATTCCCTGGCGCACCAGAATTTTGATCAAGCGTATTGTGGTCCTTCGATGTGTGGATATCACTGCCTTGCGAGTCGTGCTCATATTGTGCTATATTCGCTCGTAAAAATGTTACATGATCATTCGAAATCTTCAGAGATTGGTCTACCTCGGTAGTGAGTTTCGTAATCTCGTCCTCGAGCGTCTCGTTTCTAGGCCGCAGAAGCTGATTTACTGTGCTTGTATTCTTCAGCGTAGAAGGCTTCGCCGGTGACATAATATCTTCAAGTTCTTCCATCCAATTCAAGCTTTCGGCAAGTCTTCGAACCCCGGCATCACAGTCTCCAAGCAATAGAACATCATCAGTCCGCGCGCCGAGACCCCCAACTCGCTCTAGATTGATCAAGAGTCGAGGCACACCGTCCTGACAGAGCCCCGGAAGACTTGCAAATGGTTGCACTGTCAAGCTAGTACCCATTATGATACATAAATCTGCTTCGCAGACCAATGCTCGGTTTGCATGAAACTCTTTCGGCAAGGCTTCGCCGAAGAAGACAATGTCTGGCTTGACGAGTCCATTACATCTGGCATTGTGACAATGAGGGACAGCTCGTGAGGCGATAGCCTCCTTCATCTTATTTAGCGGAAAAGGATCCTTGCATTCAATGCAGCGCTGAGACGCAAAACTTCCATGAGCCTCAACAATTTTATCGGCAGGCACACCAGCTTCCCGGTCTAGACAATCGATGTTTTGCGTGAACAGCTTCATCAGCAGGCCTTTATCCGCAAGAAGCCGGATGAAAGAATGAGCAAGCGTGGGTTGGTATTTTCCTGGATAGAGCTCATGGGCAAGAGTGTAAAATGGAAGTGGGTTTGACCTAAAGAATGATATGTCGAAAACAGCTTCGGCATACGGTAAATTGAGGCGCGCAAGGTTTGCATACAGACCTGTGTCGGGTGATCGAAAATCAGGGATTCCAGCAGATGTACTGATGCCAGCACCCACCTGATGTTTTCGTCATTAGGCCTCTCTTTCATGATCATTAGAGGTACTTCTTCGCCAGACTAACCATGACCACTATCTTCGTAGCATAACCATCTTTGATGTGTTTAGCTATCGATTCCACGGACCTATCCGTCAGTGTCTGGGACGGTACTTTCCCGCTCACTAGCGCAGACTGCTCTTGGCCCATTTTTTTACAGCTCTGTTTGCCAGCCGTTCGGCCAGATCGGGCCCGGCTTTTAGTACGGCGTCGGCCTATGATTGCAGATGTTGATGTTCCGCTTACAATTGCACAAAGTATGAGCTTCGTAATGATCCTAGTGTCTGAAAACGCACTTGGCCTTTCAAAAATGGTCTGTGAAGTGAGAGTGCCGTCGTGTGAACATGAGGAGATCGTGCCTCTCGCGTCCACTAGGTGGCACATCCCGCTCCCGCGCCTTATTCCACTAGTGGGCAGGGCCGAGGCGTACCGAACCTAGCTTGTTTTCCGACAGGTAAGGTACCCAGGTGTTGTAAGCTACTATCGTCATCCGACCGAATGCCTCACGCATTGGGTGACACGAAATCGAATGGTAGATTCACATGGCCAAGTAAGGTATCATGACGTTGCGGGGTTAGCTACCCCAAACCAGTGAATGCTGCCAATTGTGGTTAGAGGATCGAAATGTTGAAATGCCTTAGTCAAAGCCTCAGATATTATTTCGCTGAACATGAATGGGACTGTCGACTGCCTCGTTTATGAAAAAAATCCCGCCGATCCCACCTGTAACCATTCGTCGCAAAATTCGATCTTGGAAGCAAATTCTGTTGCGGACATCGAATCATCTTTGGCCTCTCTTCGACAACGTGAATCGCGGAACCAGGGTCATCTTGACGAGTATGTGGCTTTGCAGAAAGCATGGACACGCGACTTGGCACGACTAGATCTTCTGCGTGGAGGCTTGGGATCTCTTGCTGTGTCGACTAGGGTTATCAACAGTGATGTGCTAACGGAAGCTTCTGAGACAGCGGTCAGAATTTCGAGCTCAGTAAAGCGCCTTGACGTGGAGCAATTCAGGGTCAAGAGCACCCTTGACGTTGTGGAGCAGGTAGCAGAACTCAAAGCGTGCGTGCTTGGAGTGACAGGATCAATGGGTGCTCCGCAAGACTGGGAAACTGCAGCAGGATATCTGAGCAGGGCTTCCAAAATACCGAAAGAGATCACGACGGGGAGCTTTACCGAAGGAATTGTGCCGACCGCGGAGGTACCAGATCCGCCCAAAGTAACGCTTGAAAATGCAGCAGAGGCGCTCTGTGACCTTTTTCTTCGCGAATTCGAGAAGGCCGCCGCAGAAGGCAATGGTGGCAAAGTCACCCGATTTTTCAAGCTTTTTCCTCTCATTGGTAAACCCGAGGTTGGTCTTGATGTTTACGGCCGCTACGTCTGCCAAGGTGTTGCTTCGCGCGCGCGCGCAAACCTCAATTCCCACATCAACAGCGGCCTGCAGAAAGAAGGCATGTTTTATGCCAACGCGCTGACCAAGCTCTTCGAGCACATTGCTCAAATTGTTGAAAGTCACGGGGGCCTTGTGGAGCGGCACTACGGATCGGGACGTATGGTGAAAGTGATAGAGCGGCTTCAGCTGGAAGCCGACGTGCAAGGTGGTATAGTACTTGATACCTGGAGTGATGAACATCACATAGACCGCACTCTCACCGACATACGATCTTACGCATTCACCTTCCTCGTGCAGAGTTTCTTGCAAGCCCCACCGCCTCGAGCCACTATACCGAGGCCAGACTCGCCAGCCAAAAAAGGTATCATAGCAGAGGACCATTTCAAATCAGATGAAATGATAGATATGAAAGAAGTCAATAGTCTCATGAGTGAGATGGCGATGATGCTTAGCCGCTGGTCTCTGTACACTAAATTCATCGCAAATAAATGCAATGTAGGTCTTCTCCCAGGCATCAATAGGATCACTGACTTTTGGCAACAGCCAGAAAATAGCGTCCAGAACTTGAATTTGCCGTCATTGCTATCGAAATCCGCCTTACAGAGGAAGGTGACCGATAGACTAGTGGGACCTTTCAACGTGATGTCAGCTTTCTTCTTCCGCAGATCAGTTGAAAAGGCATTCCAAATGGACGAGCAACCCTTAGATCTCACTCTAAACTTAACAAAATCTATCCCTTCACATCCACCTTACATCACTTCAGCTGTCGACGATGTGATGTATATCGTGAATCAAGTGATGGAAAAAACGCTTGCCACATCACAGCTCTCTGTGATTACCAACATTGTACCTACAATAGCTCGTATACTAGGGTCTGATTTTATTGGTATGATACAAAGAAGGATGAGGGATGACTGCTATCCAAAAGCAGCTGCTCAGGGCGATTTGCCTCCCAAGCAGACAACAATTGCTTTCTTAGTACTACTTAACAATCTAGACGTGGCAGTTGATTATAACCGACGGATTGTTGAATCTCGAAGTGACATGACATTGGAAGCTGCGGAGCAACATGGCAACGCTGGTACTCCATCTGTATCTTTACATATATCATTTCCTTTGGATCATGACGCTCTTACGGTATCAGAGACCCTGAAATCACTGAAGTCAAGTTTTGACGCCAAAGCATTCGAGCTCATTGGAGATGGCATATACGTCGTTTTTAAAAACATCATGAAGCCTCGACTCCGACTGGTCTTGGCTGAAGCGTTTCGACACATCGACTATCAGATGACGCAAGAGGAGCTCGACCAGGCACGAACCCCGGCAGAAGCCGAAACAAGGGAGGATCAAGTCTCTGAGGGCGTGGTACAAGAGAATTTTCGGCAAAGCTGGGAGGTTCTCACTAAGCCCATCGCCCGATTACTAACAGAGCGTAACTTTGCTAAGTTGATCTCTCTGGTCGTATCGTATCTTGCTGAAGTCTTGGAAAAGAGGATCTGGAGTTACTATGGGCGACTTGACAATCTAGGAGCTGTCAGGCTTGAAAGAGATGTTGCTGGAATAGCAAGCGTTGCAGTCAGGGGTGGTAGATATGGGCTTCGCGAAGCCTTCACACGTTGTACTCAGATCTGCATAGTGATGAATATGGAAGACGACGAGTGGGAGGCCGTGAAAGATACGCTAAGTAACACTCAAGACAGCGACATTGATTGGCAGCTTGACCAGGACACGCGTTTTCGGGCGCGAGCTGTAGTCAAAAACAGGGTCTGAAAGCATTGGGTGGTGAAATATTTCTTCACGCTTGCGCTTTGATTGGCCGAAATTCGACATGCAAGTTGTTGAGGCTACGAAGAGCTACAGAACAAGCTGTACCGCCTCGCATTGCACTTGTCTGCGAGAGTCATACAAGTCGATGCCTAAGCGCTACTCCGGCTGGGATATAGGTTGCATGAACGGCCATGATATCGGTACACACTGAGCACACTTGACTGAAGAGCCCCGGCGCGAACTTGTTCTGGAATGCAAATATGTCTTGTTTTCCTGTTTCTCGCTGCTTTATCAAAATATCCCTATCCAAGCACCTTCAAGCCCCCCTTCACTTTGCCCTGTTTCTTCTGAATCCCCTGGCCAGGCCCTACTAGACCTGTACCGGACCTCTTACTCCCTTTCCCTCCCCTTTTATGATCTTTTGGTATTGTAGGTCTGATCTCAGTCGTACTTTTTCGCAACAATACTGGATGGCTCCCAATGTATTTACCCTGCATGTCCCGCGCTGCTTGGAAATACTCTTCGCCATCCCCAAAACTTACAAATCCAAATCCCTTACTTTTCGTGGTTCTCTTATCGCGCACTACCCTCGCTTTTTGCACCGAAGGATATCTAGAGAATGCCTTCAATAGCGATTCGTCGGTCACCTCGCCAGCTAGGTTACCCACGAAGAGGCGGAAGTGGGCAGGATCCCATTCCAGCAATGATGGATCCTGCCAGCTTTGTCCACCACCGTGGCGCACAACGGTCTTCTGCTTTCCATCTGCACCCGTAATAACCGCCGCTACACCGGAGTCGATGTTAGTTGTTGCGGGGAAAGAAGCACTAGCATTCCCCAGAGGCGTCATATTGGGGTTGGATGAAGATGTATGACTAAAAGCCCGCACTGCACTCGAAGTATTGGAATCTCTACTAGCGTACGCGGACTGCCATTGTGCAATTTGTGCCTCCATCTCTGGGTCGATTTGATCCTGACCTCGTCCCATGGCGTAATTCGCGCCCCCTTGGCCTGGAAGGGGGAATGGATTTTGGATTTGGGGCGGTGTTGACTCAGCATAAGAATCTTGATAGTGGGACTGCTGATGAGAGGGGACATTTTGGTCATTACTCGTGGAAAGGACAGCCCGAGAGTTTATGAACCCAGTCGAAGAAGTGGGTGCTGCAGAAACCGTTGGACTGTGACTCCTGAAAGGTTGAATATTGGCAGTGACTGATCGCGGTTGGAAGGCGAAGCCCTGGAATCCTCCACGGGAGCTAGTGGAACTGCCATTGTAGCTATTCGAACCTGTTGCAGAGGAGGTCAAGCTACTGGGCGGCTTGTAGGAAAGCGAGGGACCTGCTCCTGGAGGAGGTCTAGGAGGTAATGACGAGTGAGCTGAAGATGCTGAAGATGATGTAAGACCGGGAGGTGGTGGATATGACATATCGAACGGCGGTACGTTGGACTTACGTACCTCCACGCTCCAGCGTTTGAGAGAAAGGCGTTTAAGGCTCTTCAAGCATTCACAGTCAACCTTTCTCATTAAAAAGGTGGCGGCACATAGCTTGCACTGTTAGTGAACTATTGAGGAAGAGTTCATCGTCTCAGAACATAGTTCCCGGTAGGTACAGACGAAGCGCGCCAAGATTTTGGGATGACTAAACATGCTGGGTCGAGATTCCCTTCCCCCACCATCCGAGGGGAATTTTATGATACTTCTTATTGGGAGCCACGCGCCTTTTTCCTTTTTCCCATGTCACTGTTCGTCCTACTTTTTCTCGATGCGTTAAAGGGGACACCGAACAAAGATTCATATAACATTCCTAAGTCTCTGCTCGAAGCCGCATCGAATTAGAGAATATCCCCTCATCATGACTGAAAAGGCCGTGTAAGTAGTGTCTCCATACTCCCCCTTCATTTCTACGTTATGCTACGTTTCTGGACGAACCGTCTATGCGACACTTACACACTCGTATATCTGGACTCTTTACATCCTCTTTCTTCCTGCGTTCACTATTAATCGATTGAGTATTGATGAGCGTCATCGGCTAACTGTAGCGCACGTCTTGCCGGCATCAATGTCGGCGGACCCGCGCGGATCAATGCCAGTGCAGATTTTGGCCTCATTGGCCTGGCCGTCATGGGTCAGAATTTGATCATGAACGTTGCTGATCACGGGTTTACCGTATGTGCCTTCAACCGCACTGTTGCCAAGGTTGATCGCTTCCTTGACAACGAAGCGAAAGGTCTGTCCCGTTTTCTGCAGGCATTGTTTGTCACCCAAGGCCCCAAAACTGATATGTCTTCAAAGGTAACCGGAACGTCGTGGGGGCCCATTCAATGGAAGAGTTCTGCTTGAAACTCAAAAAGCCCCGCCGCATTATGTTACTTGTCATGGCTGGTAAACCCGTCGACGACTTTATCGAAGCATTGTTGCCCTTTGTTGAGCAAGGAGATATCATCATCGATGGCGGAAACTCTCACTTTCCAGATACCAATAGAAGGACTCAGGCGCTTGCAGAAAAGGGGCTTCGCTTTGTTGGAACAGGGGTCTCTGGTGGGGAAGAGGGTGCCCGCTATGGACCAAGCTTGATGCCTGGGGGAAATGAAGAGGCGTGGCCTTTCATCAAAGATATCTTCCAATCCATTGCTGCAAAAAGCGACGGCGAACCGTGCTGTGACTGGGTCGGCGATGAAGGCGCCGGCCATTATGTCAAAATGGTCCACAATGGCATCGAGTATGGGGATATGCAATTGATCTGTGAGGTATCGAACCTAGCGTTGCGTGGAGTTGTCTTGCAGTCATGCTGATCAAGGTAAAGGCGTACGATATCATGAAACGTGGAATCGGGCTATCAGATAAGGAAATGTCCGATGTTTTTGCAGAGTGGAATAAGGGTGTCCTCGACTCTTTTCTGATTGAGATCACGCGTGATGTCCTAAAGTTCGATGATGACGACGGAACTTCTTTGGTAGAGAAAATTCTTGATTCAGCAGGACAGAAGGGCACAGGAAAATGGACCGCTATCAATGCGCTTGATCTCGGCATGCCAGTGACACTAATTGGAGAGGCAGTGTTTGCACGGTGCCTAAGCTCCCTCAAACAAGAACGCGGCCGCGCCTCGAAAGTGCTTGACGGGCCACAGTCAACTTTCAATGGTGACAAGAAGCAGTTCTTGGCGAACTTGGAGCAGGCTCTTTATGCGTCCAAGATTATCTCGTACTGTCAAGGTTTCATGTTGATCCAGAACGTAAGCTACAGTGGCTAGAAGAGACAAAAGAGAAGTGTAGAGAAGAAAGCTGATCAAGTACACAGGCAGCGAAGGAGTATAAGTGGAAGCTGAATAAACCATCTATCGCCTTGATGTGGCGTGGAGGCTGTATCATTCGATCAGTATTCTTGAAGGACATCACTAGCGCCTACCGCAAGGATCCCGATCTGGAAAACTTGTTATTCGACACGTTTTTTAACAAGGCAATCCACAATGCGCAGAAAGGATGGCGAGATATCGTGGCTTCTGGCGCGCAGTGGGGAATTCCTACACCAGCTTTCAGTACTGCTCTAAGCTTCTATGATGGCTACCGCGCCAAAGATCTCCCAGCCAACCTGCTTCAAGCACAGCGGGACTATTTCGGAGCCCATACCTTCAAAATCAAGCCGGAGCATGCAAGCTCCAAATTCCCCGAAGGAAAGGACAATCACGTGAATTGGACAGGCAGAGGTGGCGATGTCTCTGCCTCCACATATCAAGCTTAAGGATCCAACAAAAGCTAAAGATCAAGTTTTGGTTTGATGTTGACCAAGTGCAGAGACAGGAGAGGCTACCGATACGCGCCGTCTGTGCAAGAAATCGAAACACGTTATCATTACCGCGCATTCATCTTGGTCTCACTGCCTGTTTGTCTCAATGGCACTGTAAGCTACCGCAGTAGAATAGTCGTAGAAGTAAAGACAAAAAAGTGAAGTGGGCGTCGTGGGTCCTCAACGAATGGCGCTACCGTATCTTGCCGTATGTACCTTACCTAAAGGCCGCTGCGGCCCGCTGTTTGAAAGCATGCGGTCTACCTCTTACAGTTTAGGTGTTAGAATCAACCTAGACCACTAGGACAGTGTCTACAAAGAATCCACCTATCATCACGCTTGCTAAGACGTCCTTGGGGAACAAGAAGCTCTCTGTATTCAGTTTGCCCTGCGAGGGGTACCCTATCCCTGGACATCCATGGTATTCCTTGAAACGTCGTCAGGAAAGCAGAGGCGCACCGTATCACACACCAAGCCATTTGTACACCTAGCCCCATGCGACAGTTGTTATATAGGGTGTCTCCATTCGAGAGACGACAGCCTTCTATCCGAATATATGATAAATGAAGCAAGTCCGGTTTTTGAATGGAAAACAAGGACACCTATCGGCGTCGTAAAGGCCAGTTGTTAATGGCGCCAGAGTATGGAGATACAACGGCGAACGAAGCGCTGTCAGAGCAACACAGCCACTCTATCTACCAGCCTGATGATGATTACATCTCGGAAGTATCGATGTCCACAAGCGACGAAGTCGAACTGGACCACTTGAATCCAGACGTCGCGCGGTCAGACGATGAAGAGGCAGGACTCACAACTAAAGAAAGAAGCAGAAGAAAGCGGCGACGGAGGCGAAGTATGGACTCGGATGCTCGAATTCTTGGTAATTCACATGCATCACAATTGGGTCAAAAGACTGCAGACCGCACTGTTATCAGAGAGTTGTTCCTCAATTCGCTATTGGTCGGATCGTGGTACCTCTTTTCGCTCTCGATTTCCATCGTAAGCCCCGCTGAACGCAGAAGATAGTATTTAAGCTAACCATACACAAGTACAATAAGTGGATGTTCACACCAAAATATCTCGACTTTCACTTCCCCCTTTTCACCACTAGTTTGCATATGCTAGTGCAACTTGGCCTGGCAACACTAGTCCTCTACTTTGTTCCCCATCTTCGTCCAAGCGAAAACGGTAGTGACGAAACACACGGGCATGCACCAGCTAGACGGGACTCGACACCCCCTGAAAAGTCTGTAATGACTCGAAGCTTCTACCTCACGCGCATCGCTCCATGTGGTGCTGCGACTGGCCTAGATATAGGTCTTGGGAATATGAGCTTGAAATTTATCACTTTGACTTTTTATAGTAAGGTCACATTCTCGTATGTAATTTGCCAATCACTCACGCTTTATAGCAATGTGCAAATCTTCCTCATTAGCCTTCGTTCTCACATTCGCATTCATTTTTCGACTTGAAAATCCCTCAGTAAAATTGATTACAGTCATCGTCGCCATGACGATCGGTGTAATTATGATGGTAGCTGGTGAAGTAGATTTTGACGCCCTTGGATTCGCTCTTGTCATCCTTGCCGCCTTCTTCTCAGGCTTCCGCTGGTCCCTTACCCAGATATTGCTTCTCAGAAGCCCAGCTACCAGCAATCCCTTTAGCAGCATATTCTTTTTAGCACCAATAATGTTTTTCAGCTTAGCCCTGATTGCCATCCCAGTCGAGGGCCCACTGGACCTGGTGAAGGGTTTGACGGATCTTGTCGATGCGAAAGGAATCTTTCTTGGGATATCAATCTTGCTTTTTCCCGGGCTGTTGGCTTTTCTAATGACAGCTTCGGAGTTCGCTTTGCTTCAGCGTACTTCAGTGGTTACGCTAAGTATATGCGGTATCTTCAAGGAGGTGGTGACGATCTCAGCAGCCGGAATAGTTTTCCATGACCCGCTTACACCTATCAATATCTCTGGCTTGCTGATCACGATCGCTAGTATTGCTGCCTATAACTACTTGAAAATTACGAAGATGAGAGAAACAGCCCGACTTGAGGTGGCAGACACACGAAAAGGCGTAGGAGAGAATGAGCTCGAGGCTGACCTAGATGCGGCAGAGCCTATGCTTCGAACACCAAGTGAAAGGCATAGAAGTATTAGTACGGTGAGAGCATCAAGCGAGCGTTCACGGTCATCAAACCGTGTCGTCTCATCCAAAGACCCGAGAGTGGTTGATTGATGTCGGTCGGCACAGTTACGGGCTGGTATTCCGGCTCCTTGCCTGCTCTTGTATCGCACGAGGGCCACAAAAGTTTGATTTGACGAGGTCGATTTTATACAGAGAAAGAGTATCTCGATCGAATCGGTGGCTTGGGCAAATAGCAAGAACAGACTCTTGAGACTGATGATAGACTTGTTAGAAATCATATGTTCTGTGTTACGGGGTAACGCCGTCGTCCCAAAGTTCCAAGTTTCCGCCTGAGCGACCGCGTTTAACAAGCTCCCCCTTTTCCCGCAGGAGGTCTTCGATCGTGAATCCTCTATCTGCAAAGATCTTTAGATGATCACTAATGACGTGCCTATTCTTACAGCCCGGACATTCGATTAATACGGTGCCATGATGATATGCTTGTTTAGTCACGTTATGCGAGGAGCGCTGTGTACACGGTTTGCAAGTAAATGTCAATTCGTAGGAGGGGGGTTTCAGTGGTTCTGGTGATGATATTATGAGTGGCGGAGTTGCTGGGAGATTTGAGGTTTTAAAGGAGGAGGAGGTGGCAAAGGCATGTCGCTGAGTTAAAGACCTTTGGAGCTTCGCCTGCAGGAAAGGTTGGCGGAAACGAAGAGTGGAATGAGCGAGTCTGTGGGATCGTAAGACTTTCAGACACGGAGACGAGAGCCAGCATGTGTGGCGAGAAATACAAATAAGACCCGGTGCTGAGTACATGCTGCGTGACTTGACTGAAATGCGACGAGGTGGATGAATCACTGAAGCGGGTAAAATTAAATGAACAAGATGCGGGCACGGAAATGGTCCCGCGCCGTCCGCGGCATCTTGTAGCACCAAACCACAAAGATGCCTACCTAGACCTCATAGAGAGGCTTACATATTACACGCGAACAGTTCGCTTTGATCGTCCTATTGCGCGGTTTGATGTCTCCAGATGGTCGAATTGAAGGCTCAGGCGTACTGGAGTCGTATCGTTGGCTGTCCTAAAACAGCACGCTCTGAATCCGCGTGCTACTCGATGAAGTGGTGAAGTAAAGATAACGCATTCTCCACTTGTGCATCTTGGCTTTGAATTGGCGAATATGATGCTCCCTGGCAAGGGTAGAGGTAAGATTCGACCGCCAAGGCGTGTAAGCAATCTTCCTCTCTTTCTTTGTGCTGCTTCAGAGTCACTTTTGATTCACACCATGTGGTGTACCAACTTGCGAGGGACATTTCACCTATCTTGACCTGCTAGTCGCTGTGTTCAATATGATCAGTTCGAGGACATCGACTAAGTCTGCGCTTGTGCAGGGTCTGTATGGAAATACCGATGCCGTAGACTTTGAAGAGGCCTGGGGTGTCTTGAAGTCGTCTCTCCTCGAGATTCATAGCAAGAACGCCTCTCGGCTTTCGTTTGAAGAGCTCTACCGGCATGCATACAAGCTGGTTCTGAAGAAGAAGGGCGATATACTCTACCAGAAAGTGAAAGACTTTGAGGAAGCATGGCTCGCAAAGACCGTCCAGCCCCAGATCACCTCTTCCCTTTCCACAAGCCTGCTTGTAGCAACACCTGACGGTACGGATGCAATGACAACAGTCAACGAGAAAAGGGTCGAGGGAGAGAAATTATTGAGGTCCTTGAAACATGCTTGGGAAGATCACAATTTGTGCATGAATATGATAACAGATGTGTTGATGTATATGGTACGTTTCAGCTACTAGTCAGACTCGGACGTCCTTGACAGAGCGACCAGGAACGTGTCTACTGCAAAGACTTCCGGAAACCCTCAATCTTCACCGCTGCAATGGGACAATTTCGTGACTTTGTCCTAAGGATTCCTCTACACGCCGATGATCACCACGGGCTCACGATTGCGCAGATGCTCAACAACGTCATTCTGGACCAGGTAGCCATGGAGCGGGATGGCGATATCATTGATCGAGCGCTACTGAAGTCGTGTGTATACATATTGGAAGGGCTCTATGAGACAGAGGAGGAAGAAGAATCAACCAAATTATACCTGACTATGTTCGAGCCTGAATTTCTAACTACGAGCCGAGATTTCTACAGGTTTGAGGGTGCTGCTCTGCTGCTGGACGCAAACGCCGGAGCGTTCTGCAGGCATGCTAAGAAGCGAGCAAACGAAGAGCAGGATAGATGCAGATCAACTCTCTCACCCCTTACATCGCCCAAAATCAAGGCAGTCTTAGAGGATGAATTAATTCGAAAGCATCTGCGGGATGTCATTGCTCTTGAGCACAGCGGTGTTCGTTTTATGCTTGATAATGATCGATTCCAGGAGCTAGAAATGATCTACGACCTAAGTGCGAGAGTCGATACTGACAAAAAAGAGTTAAAAAAAGCCGTCCAAATTCGGGTTGTGGGATTAGGGTCCGAAATCAACAAAGCAGCTAGCAATCCCAACTCTGGGACCAAGCCTGGGGAGCCAGCTGGAGAAGCCGGGAACATTGAGGAAGGGACACGTGATATAGACCGGAAAGCTCAAGAAAAGCCCGTCAATCAGCAGACGTCAGCGGCCATCAAATGGGTGGATGACGTCTTGCAATTAAAGATGAAATACGATCTTGTGCTAATTGACGCCTTCCACAGCGACCAGATCCTTCAGACGGCGATAACTCGGAGCTTCAGCGAATTTATCAATCAATTTCAGAGGAGTTCGGAGTATCTCTCGCTATTCTTCAATGAAAACATGAAGACCGGGATCAAGGGCAAGACGGAGAATGAGATAGACACATTGATTGACCAGGGTATAACGCTACTCGGATACGTTCAAGACAAGGACATGTTTGAGCGCTACTACAAGAAACACTTGTCAAAGCGATTGCTCACAAAGCGCTCTTTTAGCATGGACGCTGAGCGCCAGATGATATCGAAAATGAAGCTCGCAGTAGGGAATGCATTCACCACCAGGATCGAAAAAATGTTTCAGGATATGAACACTTCGGCTGATTTGACCTCGAACTACAAGCAATACGTCGCCTCTCTTGGCGACCCAGATCCCAAACGCGCCGCACTGGATGTAAGTGTTTTGACGAGCACGATGTGGCCTGTCGATGTCATGATGGCTCGCTTGAAGGAGGGCGAACCACGTCCTACTTGTGTTTTTCCTTCAGAGATAGAGAGCATCAAGCAAGGGTTCCAAAAATTTTACCTGGCAAAACATAGCGGTCGACAGCTTACGTGGCAAGCTGGTATGGGGACTGCTGAGATCCGTGGCTACTTTCCAGACTGCAAAGGCTCTAAAAAGACCAGGGAGCTTAGCGTGACAACGTATGCTATGGTCATTCTACTTCTTTTCAATAGCATGCCTGCGAACGAATCGATTACGTGTGAGGAGATCCAGGCACGTACAAGTATACCCATGAATGACCTACAGCGGAACCTGCAGTCTCTCTCGGTGGCGCCCAAAACTAGAATTCTCAGGAAAGAGCCAATGAGCAAGCTCGTCGAGCCTACAGACAAGTTCTCATTCAATTCGAGCTGGCACAGTCAGTATCAGAAGGTCAAGGTTTTGCTCGTCACTAGTGGCAATCATATTGAGGGCGTAGAAGAGCGCATAGAGACTGAAAAGAAGAACGATGATGAGAGGCAGGGGGTCATTGACGCTGCCTTGGTACGAATTATGAAGTATGACCCTCTCTTTCCACTTGCCTCAATATTGCTCGAAGGACGAGATGCTAATCACCCTACTTATAGGCAACGGAAGCGATTGACTCACCAAAAACTCATTGCAGAGGTCATTTCACAGCTCACGGCACGATTTAGTCCAGATGTCTCAATGGTGAAAAAGAGGATCGAGAGCTTGATTGATAGAGAATATCTAGAGCGCATAGACACGGAGCCACCCGCTTATAATTATTTGGCATGAAAGGTATTCGTTGGGTTGAGAAGCGTAAGCATTCAGGCCTATGAGCCTTCCAGCGTGGCGCTTGGTGGAGCTATTCTCATGATTCGGAGGGAGTAGGTACTATCTATAGTGTTGCGAAACGGGTGCAGACTGACTATTGATCTCAAGCATCTTATCGAAGGCACGGAGGACCTCCAAGGGTTTAGATACAGCCTTATTCGCACATATCTATGCATTCGCCTTGCCCTTCATTGCAGCCGACCATTTGCCTTAGAGGCCTTTCGAAAATGCTCACTCACTCAATCCATCAATAAATAAGATCATCCGAACATGGTTTCCCTGCCTTAAGGGGTGCAATGAATTTGCTCGCCGAGGGCGCTGAGGTCCTCATGCGATCGAATGCATCGACGACCCCCTATTCGATAACCGAAGCTCCATCATTGTTCCCCACCTTCACACGGATAGTGGACCTACCATCTCATGCAGCTGAGCAGGCTTGCGTTACGCGAGTATCATCCACCTTTTCGTAGACCTTGCGGCGCTGGTACGGCCGGCATGATATTCGGAACTGCAGGTCTGACCGTCTTTCCCCCATCCCGTTGCGAAGCCCTCTTACGTTCATTCTCTAGCTGCACAGAAACGTTAAAGGCTTTTAATCCATTTCGAAGGGAGGTTTAAACAGGGTCTCAACCTACCACTTTTCGAACTCTATCCAAAAGCCCTTCCCCATCCTTGGTGATGACCTTGCAATCCTCACTCTTGTAGCCAGGAGCCTTGACCACAACCCTCTCCATGACAATAATGTCTTTACCTCTCCATCGAGCAGAAAATTGCTTATCTAGAGCGTCAAAAAGATCCTGGACTACCTTCTCAACGCTCTTATTGATCTTTGCCGCTCTTTCCTTCGCACGTCCCAATGCTACGTTTGCACGGTTGGTAAAAGCAGCAGTGTTCACACTGCCAGGACTCAGCAGATGTTGAGATCCAGCAGAAACAGCGACGATGATGAAGGAGTTGACTGAAGATATCGGTACGATGTGGTACGCCGGAGAAGAAGCTGGACCGGTGGCGACAGCAAGGAGGGATGTCTGAGGACACGCCGTGTAGAGGATGCCTTCGAGCACAGAAGAATGCGGGTTGGTTGTATGAACCTGCACCCTTCATGAGAGGAGCTTTCAGCATGATCTCCACTGATTAATCTGACTCCTCTGGCGTTGGATGTACTCATACCTTGCCCCTATAGATGCGCGAAGCGTTTGTTCCAGAGATTGCGATCCTGCGGTGGCATTCACGGTCACTTTACCAAGTGCTACCTCGCCAGATCGTTTTGACATTTCAGCCATCCTCACACGTCTTGGTGCTCTGGCTATGGTAGTGGGACGCCCCTCAGGGACACATGGCGGGAGAGGGGCTTCTCTTGCACTTCGAAACAAGAATTAGCTTCACACGCCGTGATAAAATGAGAGATGGACAGGATTAGGGTCGAAAGTATGGCAAAGGAATGACAAAGCGTGACCTTCAGGATGTGATTTAGAACGAGAGAGTCGCGTCCTTGAGAGGAAACGGGGCGTTTTCAAATACAGCGCTAGTAAAGCTTTCACCAAGGACAATGTGCAATTGCTTCGCTTCACCACCCATGCTGTCTACTCATACTGGAGCTCGTCTAACGTGTATTTCTCAGAGGCAATTCTGCGCGGCCTTTCAAGCCTGGGAGCTGTAGAACGTATGTATATGTCTAAATAAGGTCAGGTGTTCGCCAAGCTAGCTATGATCACCGCTCGAGGGTCGGGCACGGCCACCTTTCGACTAACCGACCCTCGATCTCCCATAGCTACGGGGGTCGTCCACTTGTGCATCGTGCGTTTCTTGCCTCGAGCTCGCGCCCTGGACCATGGCTACAATGAGGGCTAGTACAATAGTCCTCCCTCTTTCGATTTCGTCCTCATGAACACCTGGTGGAACGTGCATAAACATGCAATGTCGGTTGTCCCCTGTTGGAGATCTGCGCCAGTATTCTAGCATCGCCGCGTAAAAGATGAATTCGCAGAGATATCTTCCGGCGACGTCGCTCATGCGTAGATTCAAGCCTTCGTTCGGCAGACTTTGCGTCCATCTAGTCCAAAGGTCTTGAATATCGAACGATGGGTGCAAGGTAGGCGGTGCATCATAAGCATCGTGCCAATATGTATCACCTTCAAGAGTCTTTCCATAGATGTCTTTTTTGACATAGCCATCCCTGTTCGCGCAACTCTCAATAGAAAAGTATTTTCGGCCTGGTGCTAAGCCCAGACTTAGTATCAAGTCATACTTGGGGATGCCATCATCGTCATCTCGGTGGTCATACCCCGTGCCAGAGCTGGAGGCTGAGATCGAAATGTGATTCGCAGAGCGACTTCGAGTCGTGGCAATGCTAGGGGCAAATAGAAGTTTTGGAATGAGTTCACGGACTGTATCATAGCATACATCCACGGGGTGCGGATGGGAATGTATATGTATGGACGGAAGATCTGGCAGGGTATGCGTAGATGGAAGACTGGCTGCAATGAGATACGAAGGATTGACCGAGTTGTCAAGGAAGGGCTAACAGTGTGAGAAAGCGCATCGAGACGACCTGCGTCAGGCGTTTTACGCACACCGAAGCCTGTCACCAGGACGTTCCACCGTTTCTGACTGATATCAGCTCCTTGGGCCAGGGAGCCCATTTTACTTCGAGTCTGTTGCAGGGACACCATACGAGCATTGTCGTTTCTTCAAGTCTGCTGAGTGGCGAGCAGGCTATCGGCGAGCGCGGGGTGGTGAAAATCTGCTTATCAAATGAAACCCCGCAGCAGGCTTGCAGGTTAGTGAGCTTTAGGTTCAACGGCGATGGGCCGAAGCCAGAAGTCAGGTTGGGCCTAGGTACCTTACCTCGCCTAAGGAGAAGACGAACAAAAGCAACCGCTGATGCTGTGCTCTGAATGTTGAGTTGCACTAGAGAGCAGAAGCAGAAGCATGTGGCTACGCTCTCCCAAGACAGCCTTCCTCTATTGGGGTAATAAAAACGCAAGAAGCGGACATGTGACAGGACTTGCAGCCAATGCTTCTTGGCATAATTGGCCGCGTTTTTTTTTCGCGTTTAAGGCGCGTTTTAGGGTGATTCACGCTGCATCTGCAAGTCTAGGACTGCTTCTTTGCTGCTAATTTGTCAAAAGGAGTCCATGAGGCTGCAGACCGAAAGTCTCCGTTTCACACATCACTCGGTCGCCCCTCAGCAGCGACAGTTGCCGTGCATTAGACTCGGGTCTTGAGGTGTCATTGAGACGCCACGGACTGGTTGGCAAACGGGGGCACACGGCCTGGACGACCCGCCACCGCAAACGCCGATTGGATACCTACTGAAGCTGGGAGACGCGTTTGTCAGATTCAGCGTTGTGGTATGGAAGGTCAACAACAATAATATTGAGTGGGTCTGACGCGCTAAGCGGCAAGCTAAAACTTGCCGCTCTCCCTCAGAAAGTTAGGCCGGGGCTGGTCCTTGCCTTGGTCCGTGGTCACCCTTCACCCTTCACCCTGCACCCTCCTCCTCCTCTCCAATGCACCATCTCTGCTTCTTCAGTTCTTGAGCATCCGCCGAACGGCCGCTTACACTCACGGATTGTTATCTCAGTTCTTGACGCAGCTCACAACCTCAATCGAACCGGATGCAGCGTTGGCCCTTGGATAACAGTCTTGCATTAGTCGCTCGCTATCTTTTGCTGTCAAATCTTGCACTCTACCCGCCCTTCCCTTTCTTCGACCGTGTCTTCGCTCTTGAGGTAGAAGAGCTAGTTGTGGACGGCCTCCGCCATATCACCAGCTTTCTAACAAGGCCTTCAGGCGAAAAAGTACCGCTTTTGACTGGTGTGACGGTCACCCTCAAGTCTATCACACCTACTTCAGAGACCATGTCATGAGTTTGTAAGGAAACTCTAGAAGTCTTTCTTGCCACCGAAAGTCTTGTTGGGATCAAGAATTGTTGTGGCTTGAAAATAAATGGTTACCCTGTTTGGCTCGTCCGCGACGTCCTGACGGGAAAGCCGCCCACAAGACTTCGTCAACCAAAGGATATCGAGCTGCTCCTACAACCTGCTATATCTACACGGTGACTGAGACTGTAGGCCCCAGGGCCGGAGGGAAATTAAAAGCCGCTGCTGCAGTATGGCAAAACGCTCTATCCGATAAAGCGCTTAAGGGAAGTGTCGTTCCGTTCAGTGAACGTGCATTCTTGCTTCGCAAGATATATATCGCCACGAAAAGATACTGCCGCGATGTCAAGACCTCGACCTCAACTGTCAATTACCCTTCCTCGCAACTTTACTTTCCACTACGACGGAGCTAAATCTCCGAGGACTCCTGAAGAGCAGACAGAGCTGCCTTCATTCCGTCCGTCTCAGGCGGAAGGTCCCTTCAAAGTAAAAAGACGGCCGCGTCCTGATGTCACTTCGCTCAGGTCCCAGTGCGAGATTTCATCAATCATCCCCAACAATGACACTCCACTTCCATCAATCGAAGAGCCAACGATAAATCGTCCGGCAAGACCCCTGTTCTCGCAAAGTGTATCAGACACCAGCACTGGTTTTGCAACAGTATCTGGACTCATGAGTCTACCGCGCACGCCAGAACCTGGAAATCGTTCAATGGGAAACCGTTGGACTCGTCGGCAAGACTCAACGAAGCCTAGGAGTCGGCCTCTGTCAGCTTGCTCTGTGCTCAGCAACTCCTCCGACGATTCTGACGGCAGCTTAAACTCCTCTCCAGCAGGCGAAGGTAGTTGCACAAGCCCAGAAAGCGATGCGCCAGACCCCTTTCGCCTGACAAGAAGCCGCAAGGGGAAATCCAGTTCAAGACCGACACTTCCGACCTCTTTCTTTGAATCGAGGCTACCAGAGCCCCAGAGAATGATGCGGTCGAAGTGGAGTCCTGAAATGGACCGACATCTGTGGTCGACATACCTTTTATATCTGCAGGATCCAATGGTTACCCCGTTCAAAATGCTGCCTGGTGTAGCTCCGCCATTGGGGGTGTGTCATCGTGTATCGAGAGAAGCTAGAAAGACATGGCGTGGAGGTTTTCCGACACCACGAGTACCACCGGCCTCATCAACCGCCCTTCGTTTCCAACCCCGCTCGCAGAACGTCCCATCCTCCCCCAGCATCCTGCTACCTGACAATGGTTGGGTAAATCATAGCGGTAAAGGATCTCAAATGTCACCTCCCAGTCAGGCACTACAAGCTTGGCCAAGGTCAGGGTCGAATACAAGACGGAGACTACGATACCTATGCAAACGCAAACCCTCCATTGCACCCCATTACCAGCGTTTACTGCAGAGTCGTAGCCCCTCGCCAATTTCTTCAAGCCAGAGGTCCTTGTCACGCTCAGGCTCTCGATTGACAGAAAAGTCAGGTTCTCCGGAACCTTCTGAGTTTTCATTTAATACTCGAGATATACAGCTGTCGCTTAGCACGAGCACAGCTGATTCAATGCAGCCGCATGGCCCGCTCGCTCAATTAGCGAATAACAACCGTTCAATAGGAGTAAACGAAAGCGATCCGCTTGATGAGCCATCCGCTCCGTTTGCTTCTGAATTGCCTGTCCCTTCAGACTTGAGCATTGGTCCTGAGAGTGATTCAGCCTATGATGACGCCGATGCTTCTGCAACACCGCGGCTCGGCTCTCCGTGTGGGTTTCATACGTGGGGACCTAGTCAGTCGAAGCAGCGCTACCGTGAGAGGTTGAACGGAAGTGGAGGCAGCAGCTCAGCTACCGTTGGCCCATCTCTCCTCTCCCCATTGGTATTGCGGGAAAATTTTCCGTATCCGGGAATCAACAAGCGTCGAGCATATCACCCCCTAGAAGATGAAGTAAGTCCTGGGGGCAGCAGTGTGCTACAACGTTCCTTTGTTGATCCTGGACGGACTCCAACAGGAGATCGTCATCGACGCGTTAGGTCGAGGGGTTTCTCTCTCGGAGACCTGCATGAGCACCACCCTTTGCAATCGCTTTTCTTGCCGGAAAACTTACGAATAGCTTCCAGTGCAACGCTGAACATACCCGACCTGACGGAATCTACGGATTCTGCGGACCTTTCTCCGATCAACCCTATCCGGCAGCTGGACTCGCCATTTCATGGCATCTCCCCCAGGCCAGCTCGAAGAGCTCCACGGCACTTGGCCGCCTTTAGTCTTGGGGCCTACGATCATGGTATGTTTTCTTCAATCTCAGAGACACTTGGACAAACTGCGAGCTCTCTTAATCCTGATGATGGGCACTGACATCGCAGTACCTTCATCATCTCATCCTGGTCACACAGCCTCCAAGCGAGAGGAGTTCCACTGTTCTCACTCTGGTTACGCCCCCACAACACTGACTATTATGTCAATGGCGTCGACTGCGATTACTGTCAAAATTGTCTTTCCTTTTGTCGCGAAATTCATGCATAACACGAACGGCATGGTTGAATGGATTTTTGCACCTAACATTGAAGATGAGTCAGGTGCTTCGCCTCGAGCTCTTGCACGATTAGAAAAAGCTGTGAAGTCACCACTTTGAAAACGACTCCCTATTGGCGGTGCATAGTCGATGCCCGCGGATTGATCTAACCGACTATTTCCAACCTATGATTCTTATACGACGAACGAGATGAATGAACTTACGATGAAGATGGATAGTTCCATTACTATGCTCATCAACGGAAATCTAGATGTTCACATTTTTCCTAGCGTAAGAGACTTTCTTCAAAGCGATGTCCCCATCCCGAAACGACTCATCGTGCTGCTGCCACGTACATCGCGAGTGCTACCGCGTCTTTCTCTCTCTTATTCTTCCCTCTAAGCGCAGCAGCCCGTTCTTCAAACCCCCATTTCTCCTCCCTCCTTCACCAATCAACCATCGTTCCATTTCACCTCTGACCTCTTTCAGACCCTTCGTACAAGGCATCTTCTCCCTTTCTTCTGCATCAAGGTGACATAAGGGGTTCAGTGATAGATCAAACAGCTTTGCCCATAAATCCGTCTGCCAGTATCTCTTGAATCCTTCACGGATCTTGTACTTCCTCCTTTCTCCCAACCCAGTGACCCCCTTTGTCTCAATTGCCATATCTTCAATATATTTACCAAAGAGAAGGGAGTGCACAACGCCTGCAATCCCGAAATAATCGACTTGGTAAGTCCAGGGTCTTAGCTCACGCATCTCGACACAATCTTGTTTCCCCGTCTTCCAATCGGCAATGAATTGCACATCAGACCGAAAAGCAGTCATATCAATCGAGCGACCGAAATCGATCAGTGTGAGACCTCGGGAAGACCAGCCGCCACTACCGTTTGATTGATACTGCGCGTCCCAATCTTCTTCCTTGTTTGTTATTGAACAAAGGCGAACCAAGCAATTATCCGCTTTGAGGTCACCGTGTAAAATTCCAATGCTATGCATAGCTTCTACTGTTCGAAGCAATTCGATCGTGAAGAACATGGCAATGCTCTCGTCTAGCATGCTTTGGCCAGATATTGGGTCGGACTTGGCGAGATTGACGAGATCGAGAAGAGTACCTTGGTCTATGTATTCTTCGATCAAGTACCCTTCATCCTTGAAAAGATGGAGGCAGGAAGGCTGCAATAAAGAGGCCAATGCAGGGTGATCAACGGATAGCTTTGAGCGAAGTGAGTTCATTATGTGAAATTCCCAGGCAGTGGGAGGGTCCTCGGATTTGATCGCTACAAGCGTTGTTGACTCATCATCGCCCGTCAACGATTGCTGCTCGGCCAGATAGACAGGTGCGAAAGCACCTTTGCCAAGCTCTCGCCGGATTGTGTAACTTTTGGCCGGATTTCCTGGAAACCGAAGCGTCGGCGGCAGGAAGACCGAAGCGGTTCGGTCTGACGACTTGCTCCTGGAAAGCGACTTTATGAATTTTCGAATTTCAGCACCTTTATTGAGGATTTCTTGCCGATGATCATGAAAGCTTTCACAAGATCTAAGACTTGAAACAGCGCTATTTAGGATGATTTGTCGTATGCTATCATCGACTGGATTACACTGCGGGTCTTTGATTATTGGTCCCTCAACATGGAGTTCGACGACCTTCGAAGACGGAGCCTTCAATTGCTGCAGCTGTCTGACCTTTTGGCCAATATGCTCGTCTAGGACGTCCTGAAACGGGCTGTTGAGGGCATCTAGCTCCGACGATGTATAATTAGGGATGTTGTTTCTGCAAGGAGTTCTCGAGTTGAAGTAATCTTTCTCGGTCTGGGTTGAGACTGCACCGATGGACGTTTCTGTCCTTTCTAGAATAGGGGTCATGAACGGTAGGCGAGTCTGCGCAATTACTGCAGGGTCCCTAGACAATTTCGCTGGAGGCTCATAATCTTCAGGAGGGAGTGGGATGTACTTGGTTCGTGGTCCCTCATTGCCTACATGATGGCTAGGTAGCTTTTCAGATTCATCTTCTTCAGTTCCCTCGGTACTCAACGCACGTTGAGAAACATCGCACTCAGCAATGACGCCCCTTTCAGCACTTCCCAAGGACACCTCCGTCTGAGTGCCGTCCTCGATCGCTTGAGGGACGTGCTTGCTGGCAGTAAAATCAGACCAGGGACTTACACTTTCTGGTGGGTCATCTGAATCTACTGTCGTCTTGACACTGCGCTCGGTGTCCCCGAACTCGCTTGTGCTAGATATTCTGCCAGTCCCAGTACTCTCACCTGCACTGGTATAGTCGTCATCGTCATCGAGGTCAGTCTCACTATCACTATCCGTTGGACCTGCCATGGGGTCAACATTGCGAAGTGGCTGATTGAAGATATCCAATATGTCGTCAGTTGCTGCTCTTGTATGGAGAGTCATGGTGGGCTCAGAAGAGGGTTTCCGTCGCAATTTAGGGCCTGCTGGTGAGTCCAGATTAATTCTGACTGAGATGGTTCAGTAAGATCTTCGAGAGAATGATGTTGATATTTTTTACCTGTTTGCGTCTTCTCTTTAATCTCCTTGACCTTCACTCGCTTTGGTCGTGCACCTCTACCTGCTTTATCAATCTCTATAGCTATAGTTATCTCAGGCGCATCTTTCGGGCTAATTGGGGTGACATGGCTAGTCTGTGTGGGCATCAGATGCTCCCGCTTTGTACGATCTTCGACAGTTGCAGAATCTCTAACCTTGACGCTGCGACATTCTATACTCGGAGACTTGGTCTGCTCATTCCGGTCATTCCAGGTACGATCTAGCCACCCTCGAGCCTTTGCCCTGAGCTCTTCGATACTCATCTCACAATCAGGACGGTCGAAACCTTGTGGGTAAATCGCAGTAGCAACAACGAACGTTCTTTCAATTTTGCTGGAACCAGGATGTTGGATTTGCGAGTAACATGTATCTGCGGGGGAATGCCTTTGACTTTTGCTACTTTCAAGAGATCTAGACTATCAAGAGGCGCCAGCAAGCAAACCATTAGTCCTATGATCGTAAATAAAAGGGCGAGAGATCTCTAAAAGGGTGAACTTACCCCATCCTTCCAAATTGTCATCTTCGGAGGTCCAGTTGACTTCTTCCCTGTCTTCAAAATTTCTCCTGCCCAGGGTTTGGGCTCGACCGCGTTCTCCCTCCTTCTTTCCTGGAACGTACCAATGCTGTCCCAGCCTCCTGTGTTCCCACCCAAAGAAGGCTGGTGTTGTGCAGCTGAACCTTCGGCATCACTGAAAATCGCAAGTTTTGGCTTTCCGCCCTTGGATATCGATGGACCTCCAGTGCCTGTAGGTCTTGCTGCCTGCGGATTTGCCCCTTGGGGTGTGGAAGGTGCAAAGGGGTCAACTTTCGCTGCCAACGCTGGCCGCACTGTGGGTACGGCGGGAGAAGACGGTTCGGCTCCCGTGGATACACGGGCTTCAAATCTGTGCTTGAATTCTTCGAATTTGCGGACTAAACGTTCAGTAGGTCTAGCCTCTCGGTCAATGCCCAATTGAAAAACCTCCTGAGCCTGCTGCCACCTCCCGGCCCCCTCGAACCATGTCGCAAACTCCTCGTAGAACAAAGCAAGACTTTCCCCGATACTATGCCTGGATAAATACACGAATGTTTCGCGAGGCGCGTCGGAGAAGAAGCGGATGTAGTGGAGCCATAATTTCAGGTATCTGGGATCGTTCTTGTAATGAGCTACAGACCGGAAAGTTTTCGTCGCACGCTCAAGCAGGGGTCGAAGCTGAGATTCTGACGTCGCTTGCGCTGAAGGGTATGCGCCCAGTGTCCATTTTACATAGCGGTCATAAACGTCGAGCGGATCATCAGAGTCATGACTTGACCTCAATTCTATTTCATATTCTTCTCGAATAGCGTCATTGAGTGTTCTTGTGTCTCCTGGTGTTGATGCTGGCGGTCGCAAGCTAGGGGCAAACGTTGAAAAAAGTGCTTTGGCGGACCGGCCACTGGCGAGAGGCTGAATATTTTCCTTATGGGTCTCGATGATGTCGAAGTCAATGAAGTCCTCAGACGAAGACATAGAGAGCGATGGGGTGAAAGAACATTAGAAGGAAAGAAGTAATTGTCGATTTCTTTTTTTCAAGTGAAAAGATCGTTTTGGATTCGGCTCTCACATGAGTAAACAGACGGAGGGGGACGGTTGCTATGCGCCAAGCCCCGGATTTAAGCAGCCTAAGATCGGCGATTGCGCGCGTGAGGTAGGCCAACTTCGCCACCGGCCAGAGTAAATGTTCCTACCCTTGGTCGCCAAATAGAGTCTTCGCCGCAGTGGTAATTGAACGTCATGCCGGCATCGCGAATAGGGGCTGTCACTCAGGCTTCTCCGCCCACAGAAGCCAAGAGCAGTGAGTCTTACGATTTAAACACAGAAAGTGTTGCTTCCCCTGAATCGATCTCTCCTTGTGCAATCACTCCCTCACCTGGTCTGCGCAAGTCCAAACGTTTGACAGTATTACATGATAACCAAGTGAAACCTGTGAATGCAGCTGTAGCTGTATCACATGGTCAGAAAAGAAAACGAGGCGAGGAAAAGGGGGAAGCTGTGATCGAAAGTCCAACGAAGCCAAAATTTACAAGAAGGGGAGATTGTAGTAAGGAAGCAGATTCATCTATGATCTATTCGAAGATAGAGGAGACAAGTGAAGAACGAAAGGAAAAAGATAACGAGATAGAGAAGACTATTCATCAGATTCCGCAGAGAAGATCAAAGGAGATCAAGGTTGAGGAAGAAATATCGGAGAACGAAGCCACAACTGTTGTGAGAGCAAAAGGATCGGACATCAAAACAGAAAAAAAAGTAAATAGCGAGGGCACGAAGAAGATCAAGAAGAAACGAAGGACAAAAGAAGAAAAAGAGGCAGATGCGATGCCATTAGCGGCGCGGACAAATGGGCTCCGCATGTTTGTTGGGGCCCACGTGAGTGGTGCAAAAGGAGTCCAAAATTCCGTTACCAATGCCGTCCACATTGGCGGTAATGCCTTTGCAATGTTCCTCAAGTCTCAACGTAAGTGGGAGAATCCACCTTTACAGGACGATCACTGCCAGCAATTCCGGCACAATTGCGGACAGCATAGCTATGATAAATCTAGGCACATTTTACCGCATGGATCGTATCTTGTCAATCTCGCACAAGAAGACACTGAGAAGGCAGCTCAGGCATACAATGCTTTTCTAGACGATTTGAAGCGTTGTGAGGCCTTATCTATTGCCCTGTACAATTTCCATCCTGGATGGACGGGCTCGGCTCCACGTTCGTCGGCAATTAGTCGTATTGCGAGTGCGCTGAATCGCGCTCACGCCGCAAGCCATACCGTTGTGCCCGTTTTGGAAGCTATGGCGGGTTCTGGGAATGTGATTGGTTCGACCTTTGAAGATTTACGAGATATAATCGACCTGGTGGAGAACAAAGCAAGAATAGGTGTCTGTATAGATACTTGCCATATTTTTGCTGCTGGATACGATCTTCGAAGTCCTGAGGCTTTTCGAGGCACGATGCAGAAGTTTGACGACGTGGTAGGCCTGAAATTTCTCAAAGCACTCCATATCAACGATAGCAAGGCCCCACTCGCGTCCCATCGGGACCTGCACCAGAACATCGGACTCGGATTTCTTGGTCTACGAGCTTTTCATAATGTAATGAATGAGAAGCGCTTCGAAGACCTACCACTAATCTTAGAAACCCCAATCGACCACAAAGACGAGAACGGTAAAGCCATAGAAGACAGAAGTGTGTGGACTAAAGAAATAAAAATGTTGGAAAAGCTCATAGGTATGGATGCAGACGGCGAAGAGTTCAAGGACATGGAAAAGGAGCTATCTTCTAAGGGTGCTGATGACAGGAAGATGTTTGCGGACGCATTTGACAAGAAGAAACTTAAGGAGAAGAAAGCTGCCGAAAAGGGGCAAGCTAGGCTCAATTTTGGTCCGAAAGAATAATTGGTGGTAGAACAGTGGCAGCAGGGCGAAATACGAGCCTCATCCCATGGTCTGGCGTTGCCTTTCGAGGCGAGGTTTATTCTCCAGCGGCCCCTGGGAAGATTGTAGGCGAGCTTCCGCCCAGGGGGGCTACCACGCCAGACTAAAGAATGATGACTTCGGTCTCGAGTCGCAAGGATAGCTACTTCGTGAGAGTAGCATGCACCTGGCCAAGTTGACAGGTATATCTTACGACAGAGCGAGCTGTATAGTCCATGACTATTAGATCCTTTACGCGGCGAGAAGCCGACAGCCTGTCATTTCTTTTCCCTGAAAGGGTCTGACAACGACACATCGTAGATCATATGTATACCTTCTCTTTGGTAAAGATCTGCTAGCCATTGGCTCTTGTGGTGAAGAGATCCCTTATAAGGGAGGACGCAGTCTTCGAGTGATTTCATACGGCCCCCATTGGTTTTCGTAGGGTCGCTACTTAGCTTGGTGCCAAACATCACTTCGGCGCATTGCTGCACCAGTTTAGCCAGTCTTTAAAGAACGCTGCTTTGATTTTGAAACCAGCGTCGAGCAATGACCTTTCTTGCGAGTTTGCATACAACCTGACCACCTGACGAAGGTACTCTCTGTCCAAAGCGGCCAACGTCCTGACCACCAAAATACTCGCTTGGCTGCATGCACCTGCGTGTGCATTTGAAGCTTCTTTAGCAGCTTCTTCATGTATCGAGCCCAGAAGTTCCATTGCGGATGCTGAATCTGCTATTCTAGCAATTCCATCACCTCTACATCGGCGTGAGTATTCTCGGATAAGGTCACAGGCTTTTCGGGATACAAGTGGGCTGCCCGATTTTCTTGCAAGCTGCAGAAGAGGGAGAATGACCTTCAAGGCGAGCGGATTGGCATGCTCCTGTTTGAGGTACACGTCAAGCAGCTCCAAGACTCTACATTTGAAATTAACAATTGTTTCTCTCGCTCTTCTTTGCTCGTTCTTTCTGTTTGTAGTCTTCTTGCGTTCCCGGAACATATGCTCTAATTGCTCATCGAGCTCCCCCATTTGGTCATCGTTCATGTCTCCGTTCGATGACGAGGTCTCACCGTCCACCTGGGAAGTATGCGTTTTTAACGCTTGAGCTAGTTTGAGGTCAAATACTGCCAATTCCTCCGGGTCATCCTCTCCCTGATCATCATTAGAGAGTTCCGAGGATAGAAATTCCATTGCTGTGTCGCTATGCTCATCTTCAAAAGTAGATGAGTCTCGAGAAATCTCAATTTTGTCTTTGCCGTCTTCAACATTTGAAGAACAGTCCGTCTCTATGTCGCCCTCACCAAACTCTTCCTCTTCTCCTTCTGCTTCTACTTCTGCTTCTTCTTGATCAAAGACTTCGTCCTGGCCGGCCAAGGTCTCTTTCGTATTGAGGACCTTTTGCTGTTAGCTTTGGGACTCTAGTAGCCATGGCCTTGATTGATTACCTTGAACAAGTATCGTAGGCCAATTTCGTCGACACAGTCAGTGAATGAGCTAAATACCTGATTTGAGATGCGACGAAAAAGGAGTGACGGTTTCGATACGAAACTCAGAAGAATATCGACAAGGGTACTGGATTCTTGTAGTACGATAGCTATGTCACCATGATCTCCTCGTTTGTCAAAAGCTTCATTCAATTCATCCAGCAGTCTGGCTGCATCGACGTCTTCATTATAAACCTGTAGGACAATCAATGAAAGCAAAAGCATGGCAGACTGCAACATTTTCTGGTTTGGCGAGCCTGCCCTAATTTCGCGATCTAGCTTACTCAACTTTGCGAGAGCTTTTTCTAACGAACGTTTCACGCTCGTATCAGCTCTATGTAAAAGCCTTGAGGATCTATGTTCGCTCTCGTGGCCGTTGAGATCGCATATGAGTGTGTAGGTGACTTGTTGAATGGCAGGAACTTTGTCCACAAGATATGTTAGACAAGAAGACAAACGCGCTCTTACCAAGGAGCGAAAGCTTGCGAAGGCTTCATCGGGCAACGTGGCATCTCCATTCCCTGAGCCAGAGCTCACGTCAATATATGCATACTTGCCGAGGATGTAAAGAGCTCCCCGAACGAAGCCTCTGGCAGCAATATTACCGGAAACATGTTCAGAGGCAGCTTTGAGGGCAGCAGCGACATGATCGACGAGAAGCTTTTGCCCCGTGAGCGCAGCTTTTACGTCTCCCCTAGCAAGCTGCTGCTGCATCACTGCGTCATAGAATTCAACAATGGGCTGCGGTTCCGTTAGGGCAGCTTTTGACATTAATTTCTCGACAGTCTTTGTTTTTGTCTTGCCGTCGAAGTTAAGCTCACCCCCAGAAGCAGCTGAAATGCACGAAAGTATTTTGGGAATGACACAATGCTCCACGCTGGCCCTACTTAGAATGGCCTCTTGTGTCCGCTTAGCTGCTCGATGTAAATATCGGTCCGATGAAGCTAAGTGATTAACCAGGCATTGCATGAAGTTGTTACTGAATAAAGAATCAAGCTTTGGGCATGGAACTTCCTTAATGCACTGCTGAAAGAGCAAGAAGCCCCAATACTTTCGTTCCAACGAGGAAGATGGATGAAAAAGACTCGCTACAGCCGTCAGCAAGCTCATACAGTAGACAACGGTACCCACAATCAACACATCCGTCCCAAAACTCCTGAAAGCTCAGGAGGTCGTGAGATCCTTGATGATCCTTTTCTAAATCTCCTTTCTGGGAAACCCCCATATAAGAAAGAATGACAGACCAGGCGAAGTGAATCTTAGCATTCCAATGACCAATTTGTGCGGAAGCCGAAGTAGCGTCTTCATTTTCACCTTTTGCAAAAGCTTGCTTCATGACTTGGCAAAGTTGAGTTTTATTTTTGCGGCTCAATGGGTTACCCTCGCGCCAGGTGTCACATGGGAGCTGTCTTGTAGGATGCTTTAATAAAGCAGCAATCCATGTTGCGACGCCCTCAGGAGTTTGGGCCAGACCAAAGGCTCTAAACTTCTCTGCAATTACTTCGACCAAGCGTGGCTCATCGCTTGGAATGTTGGATTCTTGGATCGTACGATAAAGCACGTACCCGCACTCCTCTCTCAGCCATTCCTTGTCTCTCGCAAGACCTAGTATGAGATCCACAATTGCCTCCCAGGCAGATGCTTCGCCAGACTTGGTTTCAATTATGTTAGCTCGAATGATAGCTTCGGCACCAAAGAGGCGCCCCAGAGAGTAGTCTCGTTCTTCCTTTAAAGAGGCATCAGATTGGGAAAAACCGACGCGTTGAGCCTCGTCACTCACCTGGCTCGAAAGTCCACCAGTAGCAGTGGTCTGCTCTCTTAGCACATTGAGAACACCAGAGACACTCGGCCAAGCAGACGAGTCATTTGGGACGTGCTCAAACGTCTTGATTAAGCTCTCGGTCAGGGCGACTGAAAACCCAATACGAGCAGCTTTGCGACCGCTGCAGAGACCTCTTATGAGTCTCTTCAATATCTGGTAAATCTCGTGGCCACGGGAAGCACTGTGATTATCGATAATGTGTTGAGCTACTAGTGAATGAGCAGCTTCAAGCCGGATCGTTTCATCTAGGTCTGCAAGATCCTCAAAAATTTCAACTAAATGCATATGACTTGATAGATCTTCTCTGCGTCTTTTCCTCGACGTAGTGTCTGATATTTTCGTCATGGATGTGATCGACTTGTGGTAGGACGATCGTCTGCCACGGGCTTTAAGGTTTCTGGCTTGTGACGGCTAGCAGCAAAATCCTCCACGGTGGTAGCGAGAATCGTACAAGGCGTGTAGACAAGATTGACAGGCAGCCAGTAGTAGAGCCTAGAGTTGATGGCTGTAACGTTACGCCACAATGCGGATCCCACTTGTGTTGAGTACGTAGATTAAAACATAGGATACCAACCATATGCTTGCATTAAGCTCTGCTAATTAGTCTGATTCGAGCAAAAGATTGAGGCTGCAGGTGTTGCTCCAAAGCATCTAACAATAATTCCATATTTGCGGGCGCCAACAATTGATCAGTTTTACGAGGCATTGAAGGCAAGGCAAGGAAGAATCGGCTAGTGGGAGAAGTCACGTGTGCGCGATGCCTAGCGTGTTTCGATTGTTTACTTCTCACATTTCACGCGGATAATGGACTCCCGCGAGTCGTGCAAGTCAGCCACACCTTCTACCGGCCGAGAGGGATTTGTTTTATGCAGAAGATGATCCTTTTTGCTACAGGTGAAGTCTTTGCTTATCCTACACCGTCACTCCAAAGGCAAGTCACATGGTGCAGGTTTGAATATTCCTGTTTGAGGACCTGAGTTTCTACCAACGCTCCGGATTGAGACATGCCAGCAAATCAGAAAGCTTCTCGAGGGGAGCGCTTAAGTACCCAGACCAACAAGAATGCAAGCATTTCCGGACTGGTGGAGATTACCTTAGCTGAAGGTTCCCGCATAAAACGTGGAACACCGCGGGCTGAAAGATTGCGTCAGATAGATACACAGATACCGGCCGATAGGGCAACGCTTTACGGGAGGAATGTCAGGCCTTCGGTACTGATGAGTGAGGAAGTGGTATCATTAAATGCCTGAACGTCAGTGTTCCTGTCTGTTGAATCATGGATATCGTCAGCAGCGTTGGAGAAGCACCGAGGGCCTTGCAGCAGAGAAAGACTCTGGTTTGCTGGCACAGCAAGAGCGAAATCCTATGCATTGACCAATGGAAATCTCGTGTCACACAGTTGCCGGCCTGTTAGCGGCTAAGGAAAGAGCTGGGTTCTGGGAGCTGAGTGCTTCTCTTGCAAGGGTCACTCGGTAAGCCAAAGGCTTCGTCTGCCTGGGTAATGATAAACGCCATGCTTGCTCACACTGAACGCATCGTTATCCCTAGCGATTGTAGAGGATGATCATAAATAATAATAGATCAGGTCCATGCCTGGCGTTTAAGAGAATTGAAAAGACCTTGTAGATAATGCCATTGGCCATTCTCGCAGTCTTTTTGCTTTTTGGCGGCATCCGTCGAGCGAGACTTTCCGTCCGCTTACCAAGTCGGCGCCCCGCCATGTTCCCTTGACAACCTTACACCAAGCCTCACATAATCTGTCTACCGTACTGTTTTTCCTTCCCCAACTCCTTCCGTGCCATTACCTTCACCTCCGTGGGACCTGTCATCCTCCCACTTCGACGCTGCGGTGGAACAGACAAGGACCCGGGACCCGCCATAGCCTCGAGAACCTTACATCTCACCGCAGCGTTCCTGCCCGTTGGGACCCATCTCGTCATCTCCTACGATTTCTGCAAGCAAGAGCTTTCGCTGGGCCTACACTTCCTGGCAATTGAATTGAGCATTGTTATTGTTCGAAGACTCATTGGCAAAACCCACGGGACCGACCGGTTTCAGTCACAAGCTGCTGGAATCAATGCAATGCTTGCGTGATAGACCTAATATATCATAGTCGCATATCAATGCAGTAGCTGCAAAGCGAAACTCTTCAATCATCTATCAAGATCTAGCATGGAACGTTCATCGCCTCTCGCGGCCGTGCAGCCCACAGCCATACCATTCTGGGGTTGTCGAGCAGATGCCCTCCCATCCTATGGAGACTTCAAAGGAAACTTCCCTGAGCGATTCGGCTTTGGACCTTCCAATTTTAACTTCAAAGATCTTAGCATGGAAAGAGCTCCCATGGATTATTTCAACTTCAAGCCTATTCGCGGCTCGTCGCCGACTGCAAGCCTTGCTGCAGACCTGTCGTCAAATTTCCATATCGACCAAAGGTCTGTCACTGTCAGTCGATTAGGGCCATCTAGACTGATTTTCGCTTTTTAGTCCTCAATTGCCTACACCGCGCCGATCACTATTCTCCTCTTCATTATTCGGCACTTTCAATGGCCGAGGTATTACCCCTTCTCCAAAACGGGATACCAGAATTGCTGATGGTTCTCCAAGAAGCCGCAAGGACACCGCCATTACCTTCTTCCTCTCCAGGTCCTGGCCTTGAGTCAATGGAGATCTCTCCCCTTCCTCACAAGCAACCCTTTGTGGCGGAGACCCAGATAGATACCACTCCCATGGAGACATCAATTGAAGAGGACGAAGATATCATAACGGCCAATGTTGTGATGCAAGATTCCTACACAGGCTCTCCGGGACACGGGGCAATCCAACCGTAAGCACAAAACTGACATAGAAAAATCATCTTGATGAATCCTAACCATTGCCCTAGACGCCCACGAGCGTCTCTCTTAAGATCTTCGTTATCCCGAACAAAGGGTTTCACCACATCAGCAGTATCTCTCAAATCGGCTAGAGCCGAGCAGCCTCCGTTCAAATTCGGGAACGGAGTAACCTTGAAGTTTCCACCGGTGATGACTCCCGAGCAGTGCTTCGCAGCTTCTCCTCAAAGGGATGGGCGACCGCAGTCTGCCGACTCTCCATCTTCAAGGCCTATGGGACCCCCCCCGAAATTCAGAACCTCCACTTCGAATTTGCGCGGACCACCACCGCCAGTCTCGGGCCATGTGCGGAAGCCTTCGAATCCAATGCAGCGCCCGCGAAAGCAGTTTCGTCGATCTCTCTCCATGTTCGAGCATCCTGAAGATGTTATGAAACAACAAGCAGCTCATTTTGCCGTACCCAGACTCGACCCCGTTATGGATATTGATGACCCTCCTAGGCGTCAACTTCCTCATTTCCTCTTGAACGATGAAAGCTTACCTCGTATCACAAGAGAAACTATGGTCGATGTACTCGATGGCAATTTTAGGCAACAATATGACGAGTTCTTAATTGTTGACTGCCGTTTTGAGTATGAATACGAAGGTGGGCACATTGACGGAGCGATTAATTACACCGACAAGGAACAGCTGGCTAGTCGGCTTTTTAAGAACCCGTGCTCAGGCCGCACTTTGATCGTTTTTCATTGTGAATATTCAGCATGTCGGGCTCCCCTAATGTGAGTTCTTTTCACATTCTGTCCCTCAAGCTTGCTGATATATCTAGGGCCAAGCACGTTCGAAGCAGTGACAGAGCCTGCAACGCCCATAGATACCCAAATCTGACATATCCTGAGATGTATATTCTCGATGGGGGATACAGTCTTTTCTTCGCGAGCCACAAATTACGATGCTCTCCACAGGACTATGTGGAGATGGGAGACAAGAAGCATGAAAATGCATGCGAGCGTGGTATGGGCCGCGTCAAGCAACAACGAACCAAACTCAGCAGAGCACAAACCTTTGCGTTCGGCCAGCATGAGCCACCTACCGATGATAGTCCTACAGCCTCAAGCCGACGGTGCAATACCATTGTGGGCAGCATGGATCTTGCCTTTGAGAGTCCCTTAGAATCTAGACGAAATCAGACGAGACGACTGGCGTCATTCTAGTAAATTAAGACAGTCGTATGCGGAGTCACTTGTCATCATCAGGGATTGACACATGATCACAGGCGTTAAAACGATGCCGTACATATAGTATGTGTCCATTTTGGGCTTGCGGGCACAGTACCGACTACCGAGTAGGTGCTTCGTGTGGGCCTTGTTGAGATATCACTCAGTCCCAGGTCTGATCTGTTATGATGGGACTTGTTCCTTGCTCGTTTTCCCCTAAAACTTACCAGGGTTGAGCTGAGGGGTGTGCCAACATATTGGCTCGAGTTCATGGCGCGGGATACTTCACTACCGCTTGAGCTACACGACTGGGTGGATCCACATGACGTGGATGAGTGTTAAGAGTATGCTTGATCAAATCGAAGTGAGAAGCGATACCCTGACATCTCGAGATTCCGCCTGCATCTACGGGCAATCAGTCGAACGAATGGCCATTATGCGGTCCACTATGTGTTTTCCAACTTGACTTGAGAGATATACCAAAGATACCAAGCAATGAAGCCATATTCTTACCGTAAAACCATTTGGCCGTGCCTTCATCTTGATTTTCTGTATACCGACCGACCCTGTCCATGTCTATAATCCATTGCTTCTATCCAATGTGGCCACTCGACATTTCCCTAACACGCATGGTAGACAGCGGCCCGTAGCAGGTGACCTTCCTCGTGAATCCTCTACCGACCTCGTCATGGATATCGAGGACATCCTTGCCTCGGTTGATGACCATGCGCTTCCGACGGAGACTACTGAGGTCCAGCAATTGGCCCGATTGTGGGTGGCTGAGCGTAGTGCTCCAGAGATATTTCCCTGGCCAGCGGCTTTGATGGATCGCATGTTGGAGAGGATTAAGCAACAGGTGCAACACAGATACCCCTCCGTACCAGTCCATCTACTCACCACGACATTTTCAGATTGAAGTTGTCGAGGAACAGACAGGCAACGCAGACCCCAGGGCCAATTTCCATCTGATCATCATTCAAACGGAGCTCGAGCGCTTTAAATACCTCGTGCGCTCCTTTTTACGTACGAGGATTGCAAAAGTACATGCTACGCCTCCCAGTTTTGGGCTTGTCATTCTCGCTATGAGTTTGCTTTGCTGAGACAAGATCGCTCAGATCGATGCCCATCCCTTCTACTACCTACAAACCCCCGCCGCCAAATCCCTTCTCTCCCCTTCCGAACTCTACTACTTGACCACCCACACCGCCCTCCTACACGACCATTACCATAGCTCGTTTCTCAGCCAATTCCCCCAGACTCTTCAAAAACTTGATGATAAGGCCGCAGGAGGGATCAGTATGGTAGAAGGGCCAGATGTAGATAAGGCGGTATTCGTGAGATGTTTGAAGAGTATGGAGGAATCTGTGGAGGTGCCAGGGACAGATATCAGGTTGGAGATGGGAAGGGGAGATGTTGTTGTTACGAGGTGGAGTGTAGTCAGGGAAATGGTGGGAAAGGGGGAGTGTGAGTTGGTTTGAGGGGGATAGAAATGGCATGCGAAGGAACGAAGTTTGCGGCAATGATTTCACCAGTAGCTCGATGATGATGGCTGTTCTGGGGTTCCGCGTGGAGCGAGTTGAAAGGTAGATCGGCGTGTACCAGCTTAGGTTGGAAGTTATGATCAGGAACATGAGCAAAATCTTAAAGAAGACCGATAGCCGGAGTTGTAGAGTACGACGGTATTACATGATGTGGCACCTGGACACTGCTCGAAAGTTCTGCGGTCGCAGAGGTGGGACGGCCGAAAGAGAGCCTGTTGACAAGAGGCGGCGGAATGGCAAATATGGGCACATGAAATACATAGAGGGCATGGTATCTACGATGCCTTTTGCCCTCGGGCAGAAGCACCTGAAATATGGAAGCTTGAACTCAGCACGCGTGCCACCGTACGGGCGACGTAATGTCAAAGATCATTCGCTCAAGCAACACATGACCACAAGAATGTTTTCACTTCGTTAGCGCTATGTCCGTTGAATGATAAACTCTGTAGAAAGAACGAATTTACAGCGCCTGACCATCCCAACTCTATGTCCATCCGATTCCGATCAAATCAAACACATGTCATCTAACCTTTAATTCTTCCCTGGCGGCGGTCCAGCAGGCGGATTATAGACCGGTTGGCCACCAATTCCTGGCTGGTAAGTATTTCCCGGTGACTGTAATTCAACGCCAGTCTGTTGTCCACCGAAATAGCCTTGGTTGGCACCTCCATATTGATTGTAGCCCTGCTGTTGAGGTGGTGGCGAATAGACTGGCGGTTGTGGACCCGCTTGTTGTCCGTACGGTTGAGGGGGGCCTGTGTACATAGGCGCGCCATGTCCAGGGGCAGTCTGTCCAGCAGCCCAGCCAGTGCCACGGAAGGGTTGCATGCCTCTACGGCGGCGACGGCGGGCTGAGATGCAGCTGTACATTATAGTAAGTAAGGAGAAAGTGCGTTTCTGAAGGACCGAGTAAACTTACGCAAAGAGTAGGAACAGCAAGAACGCTCCTACGATGATGGCTGCGAGGACAATCCAGCGACCATAGCTGTACCATGGGCTGTAATAGTTGCAATCGTAATTACTGCCATAATACGAATCTGAACATCTACAACAGCTTTGTCAGTTGGGTTCGAGCTGGGCCGCGAGTGCGAAGAATGCGAATGAAATGTGCGAAACCGAAACGCGAGGGGGAATTGAGGGTATGTACGTACGTGTATCGAGGATGGAGCGCCGGTGCCATGATACAAGCAGCGAAATGTGCAGATACTGTTGAGGTAGAAGATGGTCTGAAGAGATCTTCACGGGAAGGTTCGGATGGCGCGATGAAGTAATAAGACTGATGCTGTTGGCCTCAGGGTAGAAGGATGGTGTTTATATTGTCTTCTTCCTCGGGTGGATCGATCAATAGCGCAGAGGCTGAAATGGATGATGTTTTGAATGATGTAGAGATGAGGAATCTCTTCTGACGATGAACGAGTGCGAAGGGTGGCTACCTCAGTATTATTATTTTTTTGGTAATTTAATTTGAGAAAGGGCTGCCTTAAGGCTTTTTTAGCCCTCTTGCCCTCTACCGCGCAGTGGCGTGTCCTCTCTCTCTGGGGCTGTGCTCTTCTGCTATTACTTGATCACTCCTAGTCTTCTAGAGCCTACCTAGGGCTGCATTGGCCAAGCACACACACCGCTCGGAACTACTGCTGGAAAAGCCCCCTACCTTATTAGAAATGGCCCCAGGCGAGTCCGTAAGGTAGTCTTGGGCTTGGCATCCCCTGCGGCTTGCGTACTTCCCGTTCTCGTTCCTTACCCGAGGACCGTATTCTCCCATGACTTGTTGCTCGACGGAATTCGGAAATATGCTGATTCACCGTGGCCCGACGCGCTACAGTGCGGATGATGAGTTGTCAAAAGGTGGACCCAAACCGTGTGGGCCTGTCCTCATGAGCCGATATAATAATAATAGAACGACGACCTCACATCGTTCCTTCATCACATTTCAGGATTTTCGAGCCGAAAGCCTGAATACCCTGGTCGAACCTCGTTACTGCTCTGTGAAACTCAACGTTTCGATATTTCAATTCGCCTAGGCGGGCAGTGACATGGAATTAGTTATGATGCAATTATTCCTACAAAATTTGCCATACAAAACCCCCTTTGTGTTATGTAAATGCGTTTGATTATACAGTTTGCGAAATGTGTTTGGTTCGAGCAAGATGTTGTTCCAATCGCTCTCACGGATTGCTCCTTCAAAAGTAATATGTTGTGCCGTCAGCCGCGTACGTCTTGTCGCTCTCTGTTGGATTTCCTGTCTACCCACACCCTTTGAACCTCGCAAAACCTAGCTCACCGTGGAATTCGAACGCAACACCGCCGTTAGTGCGCCGTTTTCTTGATCAGCCATTGCAAGACGGCGTCCAAGTTTGTTTCTTCTTTCGCACTGATTCCGTAGCAGCTGACCTCGCGGTGTGAGATTGACTTCATGTCTAGGGCTTCAATCAGCTCGTCCACAGCAAGCTTATCTGGAAGGTCAGATTTGTTGCCCAGAACGAGCAACGGGATTCCCTCAAGCACCTGCTTCTCCAGGAGTCCATGGAGCTCTTCTTTCGCAATGAGAAGCGCGTCCCTATCGGCAGCATCCACAATATATCTGCAACATAATACTTTCAGCCAACGCAGACAGTGCAGCTGGGAGCTCCGTCAACTCACACGATCGCGTTGACTCCACGGCAGTATCTTTCCCACATGGACCGAAAGCGAGGCTGGCCACCGATATCCCAGCTTCCAACCAAGTCAATCGTCAAGTCTCGTCACCCACAGCTTTGCAAAACTTACCACTTCAAGGTCACGTGTCCCTTTTGGACTTTCTTCATGTTGAAGCCTACCGTGGGGATAGAACTTTCGACTGTGAGCGCTGGCGAAGTCACTTATGCTTCAAGTGCGAAAACTTACTCTATGGTGAACTCGCCACCCTAAGGCATCGCTAATCAGCAAAGCTCGAGGCGCAAGGCATTCTTACCTACAGAGAGAACCCTAAGCAAAGACGTTTTGCCGGCATTTTGCAAGCCAATCATTGTCACATCCATCTCCGTCGACCTTACATCCTTGTCAGCAACTTCTTGAAGACGCAGGCTTGGCCGATGCATGGTAGCTCGCTGCCAGCGGACAAGAAAACACGCCGCAACACAAAAGGACAGGGCCGGTGTCCTACCAGAACGTTCTCAAAAGCCAATCATAGATGACTCTGAAGAGACCAGCCATGGTGATACTTGGATCTGCGCAAGGTCTATGTCATCGACAATGCGTTTGGCACAGCGTTGCAGCGTGGATCGAGGGCCAGTCAATGGATTTTGCTGTTGCTTGACCCCTGGTCGATTTCTGACCGCGGCGGGGACTTTGCCTCTAATGTCGTAGACTGACTTGACTGAAAACGTGGTGGCTCGTTGTCCTGCGTTTTTGCGCCAAAATTCAAACCATCAAAATACCATTATAGCAAGACGAAGTAAATCATACGCATCGTTTTGACTGCTGTATAAGCTTTCGCAGCGATATCATATGTGCGGACAAGCTCAGCTTGGGCGCTTGTGCAGGTGATCAAACTTGACAGTGGCTGCAGACTTCTGCCGCCCGGGTAGTTCTCTGTCTCGGAAAGTTTCCGTTCATGCACATCATTTTATGCCTAAATCATATATTTTCTTCGCGCCCTAATGCTTTTGCAGCGATTGCTTTGCCCGAGAACAGCAGGCAATTGATACGCAACTGGGAGAATGGAATTTGTGAGATCGCGCGATGTCTTCCACCACCACGATGACCAGGCTTGTCAAGCCCACATGGACCGCCGAATTCGAGACTGTCAAGCGTCAAAAATTGTTCCAAAAACCTCCAAAGGACACTACAGCATATCCCGCACTCTCGGATGCTATTGATCCTCATATCGAGTCTTTCAACGCTCTGTTGGAGGGGAGCAAGCTGCTTGAAGCCGGCTTAAGAGATATTGGAGCCAAGATCTGCCTCGACGGCGAACGAGAGACGCCAGAACAACGAAGGCAAAGGAAGGAAGTTGGCAGATCGCGCCCTCACAGGAATCGCTTGAGTATCAGGGTCCGAAACGTCTTCTTAGACAAAGCTACTCTGCCGATCACGAATAGGGTCAGCACACGAAATCGCGAGGTACTGCCCGCAGAATGTAGAGAACGTCACGTAACGTATAGAGGCAAATTCCGCTGTACGTTACAGTACAAAGTCAACGATGGCAAGTGGGATGAGTCTATCCGCGAGTTAGGTCAGCTTCCTATTATGCTTCGAACAAACCGCTGTCATACGCAAAAGTTTACTCCGGCTCAGCTGGTACAGGCGAAAGAAGATTCAGAAGAGTTGGGGGGATACTTCATCGTGAACGGAAATGAGAAGCTGATACGTATGCTCATATTACAACGACGTAATTACCCAATGGCAATCATTCGCGGATCTTTCCTCAAGCGCGGACCTTCGTATTCAACATTTGGAATGCAAATCCGCTCTGTGCGGCCCGACCAGACATCACAAACTAACGTGCTTCACTACCTCAGCGATGGCAACGCGACATTTCGATTTTCTTGGCGCAAGAACGAATACCTTGTTCCCGTTATGATGATACTCAAAGCACTTGTCGAGACAAACGATAGGGAGATTTTTGAAGGCTTGGTAGGTCCAGTGGGCTCACAAGCAGTGCACAATACCTTCTTGACTGAACGTGTGGAACTACTCTTGAGGACTTACAAGGCGTATCAGCTACATGGTAGGTCAGAGACACGAGCATACCTAGGAGAGAAGTTCAAGCCGGTCCTCGGCCTCCATGAAGACATCTCAGACTACGATGCGGGATCAGAGTTTTTGCGTAAAATCGTACTTGTTCATCTTGGCAATGTTGATGTCACAGAATCTCAGGACTGTGACAAGTTTAAAATGCTACTGTTCATGATCCATAAATTATATACTCTAGCTGCCGGAGACTGTACAGCAGACAACCCAGACGCAGTATCCAGCCAGGAGATCCTGTTACCCGGGTCACTCTACGGAATGATTATCAAGGAGAAAATCGACGAGTATCTGAAAACCATCCAAAGTGCGGTTCAGGAGGGTGTTTTGGGCAATGGGAAGCCCCTGTTTACAGATCCAGGATTTTTACAGCGCTTCTCTTCCGATTTCTTAAAAAACGTGAATGAGAATATTGCAGGCAGTCTAGAATATTTCTTGTCCACTGGCAATCTTGTCAGCCCCACAGGCCTAGACCTCCAACAAACTACTGGTTTTACAGTCATGGCAGAAAAAATCAATTTCTACCGCTTCATCAGTCACTTTCGCATGGTCCACAGAGGCAGCTTCTTTGCTGAATTGAAGACCACAACGGTCCGTAAGCTCTTGCCCGAGAGCTGGGGTTTCCTGTGCCCTGTGCATACCCCTGACGGTGCTCCTTGTGGCCTATTGAACCACCTTGCGCACAAATGCAAAGTCGTTACAATTCCCTCGAATGTCACTTCGATACCCAGTCTCCTTACTCAGTTCGGTATTGACTCTGCATTGTCTGCTTCTATGGGTGATCAATTGGTTGTCCAGCTTGATGGACGAGTATTGGGATACTCCACACCGAAGCAGGCTCGTATGATAGCCGATGTATTGAGGCACTGGAAGGTCGAAGGCACTCACGGTATCCCTCTTGATCTTGAAATTGGCTACATCCCCGGACAGCATGGGGGTCTATATCCCGGAATTTACCTTTCCTCGCAAGTTGCTCGCATGATCCGGCCTGTGACATATCTCCCACTCAACAGGACAGATCTGATCGGGCCCTTTGAACAACCGTTCATGTCCATCGCATGTACAGAACAGGATATTGAATCAGGAGAATCCACGCATCTCGAAATATGCCCCACGAACATCCTTTCCATTGTTGCCAATCAGACCCCTTTCTCAGACTTCAATCAGTCGCCGCGAAATATGTACCAATGTCAGATGAGTAAGCAAGCCATGGGTACTCCAGGAACCTCACTTCGATATCGTACAGATAATAAAAGCTACCTACTACAAAATGGTCAAACACCCGTTGTACGACCGCCACTATATAACGAGTATGGTCTCGACAATTATCCTAATGGCATGAATGCTGTCGTCGCTGTCATATCATACACAGGTTACGACATGGACGATGCTATGATTATCTCCAAATCCGCGCACGAGCGTGGATTTGGGCATGGTACTATCTATAAAACCAAAGTGATAGATCTATCAGAGTATCGAAAGGGCAAATCTGTCCACGGTATTGGGCAACTCTTCGGCTTCGCACCGAACGGTTTTGTATCTGCCAATACCAAACGCTTGCTCGATGGAGATGGTCTACCCTACATCGGCACCATGATCCGAGAGAACGAGCCTCTTTGTGCTTCTCACACAGTTACGTATGACCCAGCGCAAACTCACGTTGACGGCATCCCTTACATCAACCGGGACGGTCAAACCAAATTGCACCCATACAAAGACCCAGAACCCGCCTTCATTGAGAGTGTGACGCTCATGGGCTCTGAATCAGGGGCCGAGCCCCTGCAAGCCGTCAGTATCAAGTTACGTGTCCCGCGTTCTCCGGTCATTGGCGACAAATTCTCTTCGCGGCACGGCCAGAAAGGCGTATGCAGCCAGAAATGGCCAGCAATAGACATGCCCTTTAGTGAGAGCGGGATCGTCCCCGACATCATCATCAATCCGCACGCCTTTCCCTCACGCATGACAATTGGTATGTTCGTTGAGTCTCTGGCAGGAAAGTCTGGCGCGCTTCATGGACTGGCGCAAGATAGCAGTCCGTGGCGTTTCAGCGAGGAGGACACTGCAGCTGAGTATTTTGGTACGCAGTTACGTACTGCGGGTTATAACTATCATGGTAATGAGCCCATGTACTCGGGTATCACGGGGAAAGAGTTCGCGGCTGATATCTTTGTTGGGGTGGTGTTCTATCAGAGGTTGAGGCATATGGTGAATGATAAATTTCAGGTACGAACGACAGGGCCGGTTAGCCAATGGACCGGTCAGCCGATCAAGGGAAAGGCAAAAGGTGGTGGCATTAGGGTGGGGGAGATGGAGAGGGACGCTCTTCTGGCACACGGCTGTGCGTTTTTGTTACAAGATCGCTTGCTGAACTGTTCGGACTACAGGAGAGAGTGGATCTGTAAGACCTGTGGAAGCTTCTTATCTGTGCAGCCAACAGTGTTCGGGGGTGCTGGATCAGTGAAAAATAATATTTCCAAGGGCACAGGTGTGGTGAGATGCCGACAGTGTGCAAAAAGGGTGGAGGACGTGATAAGAGAAGGCGGTCAAGTGGGTGTTGGGGAAGAATGGGCTGACGGACAAGGAGATCTGTGGATGGGTGGAGAGGATACAACCGTCGTTGCTATCCCTGGGGTCTTGAAGTATTTAGATGTGGAACTCGCTGCTATGGGAGTAAAGCTGAGATATCGAATCGAGCCTTGATCAATCTTACTAGCGCCAAAGATTAGCTCACATTTACCATCGACTTTAAATGGCTATTGATCTTCACGTTGGAGTACCGAGACATCCACGCACATAGCCCAACCACTTGTGTGGTGCGGCTGAGCCTTCCTTTTCCCTAGCTTTCTTAATCTCTGGGCTAAGTCTTCGACATAGTTTGAATCGTCGGGGCCCGCTATCGAGACTTCTACCACAAATCTTAAAGTGCCCTCATCCCTAGTGGCTGCTTCTTGTTGCTCCCAATGCTGGTCTTGATCTCCCTTAAGAGCACTTGTGATCTTCACGGGTTCTTCGTCCTCAGGTACCAAGCCCGCTGGGTAAAGATCGGCTAGAGTACTTGCAACGTATCCCACGAATTTTGCCCACCATGATTTTTGAGGACCTACGACGGCTTCAAGACTCTCACGAAAGCTTTGGTCGAGCCGGGAAATCTTGCCACCGTAACGCTCGCAAAGGACCAATGATAGAAGGGCCCGATCTTGATGTAGCAGCCCGTGAGCATTCGCAAGGGCGCCTGTGATGGCGAATCGTAGCGCAGAGGAGGCCTGTATGTCTTTCGGATAGGATGCGTGCAGACAGAGGAGATTCACTGTAGCTTCAAGGACGCCATGGTCTATGATATCCTCCCGAGGTAATGCCTCCTTGAGGCATTTGAAGATCTGTGAGGCAGACGGAGGGCCGTAACACTTGGTAGCTGCTACCAGTGGGTGCTGGGCTTGAATCTCTTTCGAAAGCTCCCTGAACAAGAGGCCCTCTCTGATTCCGCCTTGACAGAATGTGACATTACCGAGCTTGATAGGAGCCAAAGCTGTTTGCAGGGCTTTCAGGGCCATTTGAACGGAAGGTAGTTGGCTGGCTCGACGCTTCGAGATACGATGGCTGTCAAGCATCGTCTTCGAGATTCCTCCATCAGGCAGAAGGCGCGAGCCAACAATGGAGTAGCCATTGATAATAGGTATGGGGTAGTCTTGTATCGGGTCTGAAGCCATGAGTGCATGACCCCAGCCCCTGAAACCTCCACCGCTTAGGTATAGATCTATGGATGCAGTAGCATCAATGACGAGTCCCTCAACAGCTTTGCGTATTTGCTTGACGATCGACTCACGATGCGAGTCTCGATCCTTCGCCGTCTTGCACTGAGATATCTCAGCACTCAAGGCTGCCGCACCAAGAGGGAGACTGATAGGTCCTTCTCTCCCTATATAGATACCATCTACACCAGTATCATACACGCGTGATAATTGTATACTTCCCCCACCCATGTCGATGACTAATCCCTGCAGTTCAGGTAGACTGCTAGCGATGCCCAAAGCACCGAGCCTACCTTCCTCCTCTTTAGATAGCAATTGAACCCTCCACCCAACATCACGGTCAATCAGATTCAAAAATTCTTTGCCGTTGATGGCGTTCCTCGTCGCTTCTGTCGCCACTATCCGAACATTCTGCTCCGGGACGAGAAAAGCTTGATATGTTCTTTTGAACCGATGAAAAGCAGAAATGACTTTTTGAACGACAGAATCTGGGATTGGAACTTTCTCACCGTTGGAGTACTGGGCATCGTAGAGAGAAATGGGGCTGCGATCTTGGTAAATTGTTGGTAGAAGGCGGGCTGTCAAGGGATTTAAGTCTGAAATACTGAACCTGATGCCATTACTTCAAAGCATCAGCTTTGATCGACTGGTGAGCGCAGACACTCTCTGTACCTCCCCATGTCAACAAGAGCATGGTAGTTCTCCTTCATGGCTAGAGATACCAACTAAAGTGGTTCAAGCTTCATGTAACGGTATTACCGGCGACGTGTATGATGTATCCTTGCTCATTGAAAGGTGGTGATATCTTTGAGGTTAGTGCGGGGAGGCAACAAGAATGAGAACCCTACTGTTTTGAAGGTTTCTCCTAGACGCTCACTCAACAGCTTTGTCTGTACAAGTTCTAAAGGTGAGATGGTGATCCTGGGCATGAGGGCCGTCGTTCAGACCCTCCGGTATCCCCTTAGCACTTCGTATGCGTAGCTCTTGGGGCTGCCAGACACTCGAGGCCCCGCAAAGTAACCTATAAGCGAGTCCTCCAGGGGCATGATTGCCCCTTATTTCGCGCTATTGAGACTTCGCGCGGTTACGTCCAGGCATGTCCTAGATTGGGATGGCTTCCCAAGTTGAACTGACACAAAAACATCATCATCATACATCTATAGAATATATCTGTAATTGGGCCCGTAGTTTTCTTCTCCAACCTCCATGCCTTCACCTGTTGACCCTGGCTGGTTTACACCCCGATCTTTGATTGAGCCGTACTTTTGATCAAGCCTCAGATTTTCATAGACAAGCAATGATCTCAAGCTCAAAGCAAGAGCACCAGTGAAGAAGGTGAACGCCGCGCTGATAGCCATGCCTTTGATGTAGCGTGGCCCTTCTTCTGGGGGAAAACGTTTGTGCCCAGCAGAGGACCGCATTGTCCTATTAGGTTCAGGAGCATAATGCCGGCCCCGCGTCTTGTATCTGATCCCTGGTTATTGGTGACCCAAGGCAAGATGTTTGCAATGCTTGGGAAGATTCCTGAGGCAGCAAGGAAGACGCCAAAGTATCTCACACCAATCGTCTTCACTGTTGCTAGAATTATGTAGCCAATTCCACCCATACACGTGAGAAACACTATTGTGTAGCCACGCTGCTGTGTTTTGTCGGCAATCCAAGTCGAAAAGATCGTGACGAGGAAAGACAGAAAAAACGGCGGTGCACTTAAGCCCTGTGCGTCAACCTTTTCGAATCCCATATCTTCCAGGATTGTTGGCAAGAAAACGGGCAGCGAGGCGAAACCCACGTTGCAGGAGAAGTACATGAAAGCAGTGAACCAGCACTTCAAATCTGTCAAGGCTAACCAAATGTCCTTGAAAACGATGCCGCCAACTCTTTCGACAGCGCCTACCTGTCTGACACCTCTGGCTTTAGCGACTATCTTCTCTTCCTCCTGAAATAATGTTATAATGGGGTTTGAGAGCATGATTTGGGTGTCAAACCGTAAGAAAGCGCGCCTTGTCGGGCGTGTCGGGAAGAAAGAAGAAGGCAACAACCGCCATACAGATGGTGGGTAGTCCTTCTACCAGGAAAAGAAGTCTCCATTTTGCAAGGTGCGGATGTCCGCTCGTGATCCCATATGCCAGCGCCCCAGAAAAAGTCGTTGCCAACGGAGCCGCGGAAAGGAAGACAGCGATCCTCACGCCCTAAACATCCCAATATCAACAAATTACATGGATTTTCGTCGGTCAACCCAACGCTGGCAAGATAATTGATAGGGGAAACCAAAGGAACGACTCACAACTTCATGTCTGAGGTAGAAAAAACTCAGTAGATAGGGAATACCAGGCCCAAACCTGGTGGAAGTGTTAGAATGATAATTTCATGACCCCCATTCGAACCAATTCGGAGATTGCTACACGAACCCTGCTTCGGAAATGCCAAGGAAGAAGCGACATGCCATTAATCCTGACCAACTATGCACACCACTTTGCGCGGTAGCTATCAGGCCCCAGCCAAAAACAACGAAGCTTGCCCAAATATGGGGTGGCACAACCTTCCACATGAGAGTTTGCCATTCGAACAGGATGTAAGTTATGTAGAAGATGGTCAACAGCCACTGATAGCGATTGCCGACCAAATGTAATTCCTCTCGCATGCCGGCTATGCGAGCATTCCCGATATTTGAGCGATCGAGAAAGGACAGAATATACAAAGCTGACACGAGCGGTACGATACGAAAATCCATTTTTCTGACAACTCTTCTCTCAAGCTCTGGATCGATGTTCTCATTATGTGTCTGCGGAAGGGACTCGGAGACAGAAAGCTCGTCTCGATGTTTCTCGAGATCTTGGGCAGCCGGGAGAGGCTTGTCCTCTAGAACCACATCTGTCGCTGTAGGCGGTGGAGCGGCCTTGAACCTCTTGAGAAAGGCCATGATCTTTTTACATAGAGAAGTAGAAACGGATCGAAGTCAGGTACTAAACTGGGTAAAATTGTTTACTTCCCATTGTTCAAATTGTAACAGTTGTTGTTGATTTTACAGAAGGATGACACCCCTCGAGAAGCAAGAGGTTTGGAAAGCGGCCTGATGACCCGCCACCTGGAAAGGACCATGAGCCGTAGTCGCATGATCAGTGGCCAATGATGGTCACTGCGCAGCGTCCACCAGGCCTGAGGGGTTGATCAATGCAGCAACGGAGATTTAGCCTGGCCTTACTCCGCATTTTCGGCGACGTTTTGCGGCAGCTAGGCATTCCGGAACGCAAGGCTTCAATCAACCAAGCTTTCTCCCCATATTTCATTGTTCACGAATGAATCATTGGCTGCGCTAAGGAGCCAAATGGTATCTACTAGATTACACAATTAAACCCTTGACACCTGTGATGCGAATCCTCTATGCACCTGTAATCTAAAAGCCTGCCATCCGGACTAATCCACCGAGTACAACCAATATGACTCCAGGTCCTGGAACCAAGAATCAGAGTTCTGAAGTGACATTGCTAAACTCCCCCGCTCTAATTTAGTCTTCCAGAATATTGGATTGGTATCCTGAAGTGACAAATTAGCAAAGCTCTAGAACAAATGCCCATCAAGCATCACATACGTTGAAACCGTGCTTCACCCATCCGTCTTCTTTGACGTGGTACAGATTAATGAATCCCCCAGAGAACGCGTCTCGGTGTGTAGCAGCTAGGATGCTTCTCCTCCCTAGCTCTAAAGCTTCATCTTCTTTCAAGTCGTAGTGATACTCTGCGTCCAAAACTCCGTATGCGAATGTCTGACCGGAGCCAACGCAGAATAAGTTGCCGGCGAGTCGGGTACCCTCTGAGTCGATGTAGTATAATGCTGGACCTTCCTGTGGTGTCACACCTGCACACATAGTTCCCATACTCAGTCCCATGCCTTTGTAGCCATACACGATATTGGAGAGTATCTTCGACGCCGCAGCGACTGATATCCTCCGTTTGTGGCGAAGTTCATGCAATCGACATTGCATGCCAAGATATGCTAGCCAGTACTGACAGTCCTGAGCAAATGCATTGTCAGTCAACGCATCCTCAATGTATTTGAACTTTGAATTGCTCACAGCTGCACCGCCAGCCATCGTTCCAAGCAAGCAATCATTTATCTCAATGACCTTCTTGACTGTCTGACTGGCGATCCAGTTCCCGGCTGTAGCTCGCGAGTCGGTGGCTACGATTATACCGCCTTGGAACCTGAATGCTAGTGTCGTGGTACCATGGGCAAGTTTGATCGGACAACTTGGATTGGCGTGGTCATCTGTAAGAGCGCGGAGGAAGGCAGAGGGCTGTCGCAGGATTAGCAGATGTATAACCTCGTATGTATCGAAAAGCACACATTTGGCATAGGAGGAAGAGCGAATTTGAGTGATAATGGAGGTGTTACTTGAACAAGCTCTCGCTGTTCGTCTGACGAGTAGCCTTCGTCCTCGAAGGCCGACCGACTGTACGTTGAGACTAATGTATCCATCTTTGAGTCAGAAGGTAAAGAGAGGCAAAGGAGCGTGAAGAAGAGGTCTGGAGTGTAAAAGCCTGAATATTAAGACAAGAGGTAGAAAGATGGACAATGACAGCATAGGCAATGGGAGCTTGCGAGTCGCGTTAGTTGCTAGCCCAGGATGTGATGACTAATATTCGATTTAATCAGCCTTATGGACAACCACCGAACAATGGTACAGTGACAAGCTTCTTCTGCCATTCACCCATTGCCTTTCACTACTCAATATTTGCGCCATCTGATTACTGACGGCCTTCAATATCTCGCAACATAACCACAGCACAAGGCGTCAACGGCGAACAACAAAGCAAAAAGCTACCGCTCTTACCACGCTACTTCACCCAAACAATTTCAGAATGGCTGTTGAGGTCGCCCTCAACACGCCGCTTGCCGATGCGCTTGGTAATGCCGTCCAATCGAAGTTGATGGAGACTGGTTGGGCAGCTGGCGGACTTGACGACTCTGCGCTAGGCGAATACATTATCCTCATGTTAGTGAATGGCAAAACCCAAGACCAAATAGCAGAAGAACTCTCAACGGATCTATTGTCACTACCGCTGGAGGATACCGGACCAGCAGAGTTTTCAAGATGGTTATTCGAACAGGTGGGAGTCCTCGACGATGAATTGAACGGGAGACTGCCAGAACAGCTACCTCAGATGCAATCAACACATCACGCAGAAGACCAAGGAACATCAATAAGGGGCGCAGCCTCGAGACAATCGGGTGACGCTTCCGGTGGGGACTTCGAAATGCGGGAAGCAATTGATGACGTGCAAGATGGGAACATGTGCGTGTTCTCCCACCGTGTTGCATTACCAGCTCGCGTACTGACCCTTTTTTTCAGCCCAACAGGCCCAAAATCTATGCGGAACGGTTCGAGAGCTGGGGTTGGCAACAAAAGAATGGTGGGACAGTTAAATAAAGCCATGGATCGCTCAGGAGAGGCTTCTTTGCATCGCGTACGCGCACAGCAAGGAAGCGAGCGCATTAACATGCACAATCGACAGCCCCCGAAAGGGCCGCGGAACGATCAGTCCTGGAACAGTCGATTACTAGCAAATGGCAGACCAACAGGTGGACCTAATGGCGCAAAGAATGGGCCCCCAGGCGCTGCAACAATGCAAATGACACCTCAACAGCAAATGCAATTAATGGCAATGCTAGAGCAACAGGCGCAGATGATGGCGCAAATAATGCCGCAGCAAATGCCAGGAATGTCTCTGCCAGGCGTAAACCCTGCATTTCAGAATGGAGGGCAGGCACCTGGTAAATCCCTTTTGAGAGAGTCGAAGGTAATCCGCGACGGCAAGGGGGGTTTCGCAGCCAAAGTATCGGCAACAGCTTTCACTCTCGCCAAAACGCTCAGAATCAAGCCGATATCGACCAGCCTACGTCAAATGGAAATACATCATCATCCATGGAAGTGGAAGTCTCTCAAATCGGCGAGTCCTCCCCTGATACAATTTGCAAATTCAACCTCAAATGCACGAAAAAGGACTGCTCGTACGCGCATCAGTCGCCAGCCGCACCGCCCAATATCACGGTCGATGTTCACGATATCTGTCCCTTTGGCGCCGCCTGCAAGAACAAGAAATGCGTTGGTCGGCATCCGTCCCCTTTCCAGAAAGTCGCCCATGCGTCCGAACAGGATTGCAAATTCTTCCCCAATTGTACAAACGCGTCGTGCCCCTTTCGACATCCGACAATGCCAATGTGCAGGAATGGCGCGGACTGCAACCGGGAAGGCTGCAAGTTCACGCATGTTCGGATAATGTGCAAGTACAACCCTTGCCTCAACCCTGACTGTGTGTATAAGCACGCTGAGGGTCAGAAGCGGGGCAAATATGGGGACAAGGTATGGACTGCGGACCAAGAAAAGGAGCACGTTAGCGAAAGAAAATTCATCGATGATGAAATGGGAGAGGAGGAGCTCGTTAGGCCGGATGAGAGGGCAGACGACTCAGCACATGGTGGAAGTCAGCATTCGGCTGAAGTAGTGGCGTGAGAAAAGCATGAATGCACAAAGATTTCTCTGGGTGCATCTCGTCGATGGATTTTCAGGATCAAGGAGTTCAATAGCTATACATATAGAGGCCACATTCCAAGGCGGGAGTTTGGCGTTGGCGGGGGCACGATTGCATGAAGATACCAAATTTAGTCACGCATTCAATTACATCTTGACGTTCGGACTGGCTCGTACTGCAACTGTTTATGATCTGTAATGTCTCAGCAAGGCCGAACAAAGTAACTTTCTGCCCACAAGTGATCTAGCAAATCGCTGGTCGATTCAGGAGCTGCAACTGGTGCAATAATGGTGCAGAACGGATCGGATGCCCATTCCAGTTAGCGCTCGACTGGAAATGCGGTCGTCATTGCTTTACGCACCTCAGCATCCTTTCTTTTCATGATCTCTGTAAGATTTCCACCTGGGTATGCTCTTTCGTCCATATTTCTAGCTCGAAGGCGTAGATATCGTACGCAGGTATGTCTTTACGGCACTGACCGCCGAACACATGAAGATAAAACGCTTCTACCTCGAGAGGACATCCCCGATGTTGCCATTCTGGGAGGAGGCATCACTGGACTCGCTACTGCATACTATCTAAGAAAGTACTTACCGCACTCAACGCGTATCGAACTCTTTGAGGGAAGCTCTCGCCTGGGCGGCTGGTTGAATTCTACGTCGATTGATGTAGGAGATGGAAAGGTGGTGCTCGAGAGTGGACCAAGGACTTTGAGGCCAAATCCGCCTAATGGCGCTGTCACACTTGATTTGGTGAGTCGTTTTTGACTCATATGGCTTGAAGCGCTGCGGCCTGCAATTTCCTTCAAAATAGAAGCAATCACGCATTTCCCTCTACAATTTTCATATTGACCTTTCTTGAGTTGATGTAGGTTCATGATCTGGGCCTGAACGATGAAGTGATTAGTACAATCAAGAATTCTCCCGCTGCACGTAATCGTTATGTATACTACCCTGATCATTTGGTGCGTATGCCTGGTCCTGGTTCCAGCATACTGGCGAGTCTCACTTCGATTTTGCGGGAACCGCTCTTCGAAAAGACTCTCTCGCACGTCTTGTCCGAGGCTGCTGTTCAGCCACGCCCGGAGGACTTGGAGGATGAATCAATAGGATCTTTTATTTCGAGAAGATTCGGTAGAGGGATTGCAGACAACATCGTCTCGGCTCTGTTTCATGGAATCTACGCTGGAGACATCTACAAGTTGAGTGCTCGTACGATCATTCCGTCACTCTGGCATACAGAGTCGCATCACAACTCGATCATGGTCGGAATGCTTTCTATGCTTTTTGGGGGAGGACGACCCATTAGCGACGAAGACTTCTTGCTGCTGTATGATTTCAACGGACCTCTCCGGAACAGAAGGAACCACTCCGAGGAAGCAAGGAAAAGCAGTGTCTTCACTTTCCACGGTGGGCTTGGACGACTCGTCAGTAGACTAGAGGCGAAACTTTGCGAGAGCCCTAACGTGTTCATACACAAGCAAACCGCTGTACGTAATTTAAAGCTAAATTTTAGCACAGAAGGCTCGAGGGTAAGAATCACATCTTTCGAACTTCGCCGAATCGTTCGTGCAGCACTTCCTGCTTACCTGACTATAGGTTTCTTTTGACGTAAACGAAAGCGATCCAGAAGGCGGAAACCTAGAAGAAGCCCATGGAAGTCGAGACTTCAGCCATGTCGTTTCAACCGTATCTAGCTCGGCCCTCGGTCAATGCCTTGGAGATCATAGAATCGCATCCAACCTTCTCGAAACCAAGTCGGTTACTGTCATGGTCGTAAATCTTGTCTTTGCGAATCCATCTATACTTCCCGTTCAGGGCTTTGGATATCTTCTCCCCCGTTCTCTTCCCTATGAGCAGAACCCTGAGTTAGCACTGGGTGTAATATTCGATTCAGATGCCACCCCAAGACAAGACACTGCTCAGGCGACTAAAGTCACTGTGATGTTGGGTGGCCACTGGTGGGATGACTGGCACGATTATCCTGATGAAGAACAGGGGGCAAGCATGGCCAAGGCTATCCTCAAGAGGCATCTCAGCATCGAAGAGGATCCAATCGTAATCAGAGTAAGTCTGCACAAGAACTGTATTCCTCAATACCATGTCGGTCACGACGGTCGAATGGCAAGTCTTGGCCAAGAATTGGAACGGGCTTTCAGCGGCAAACTCAGGGTAGCAGGCAGTAGTTATACCGGCGTTGGCTTCAACGATTGTGTGAGAGCTGCACGAGACGTTGCCCTAGGGCTTACTACTGGGCAAGACAAAACGGGACTGGACACATTTGTTCGTGGTCGAAAGTGGAGCTGGCTACAGCCTCACTTAGTCAAGTATGATTAGACCAGATATATCAAAACCAAATGAGACTGTCAAGACTCTTTCCGCAGAGAAGACACCACCATTGAGACCAAGTTTTATCCTGATCAGTCCTTGCGACAGTTACTTGAAAATCAAAGGCTTGAAACACTTGCAAAGATCTAGATCGTCTGTCAATCGGTCCGGGTCGATAGCACTACGTAGCAGGTCAGGATTGGACAAGTGGATGAGCAGTCTTAAATGACTATCGTTACATGACTCGTGGTATACTGAGCGCCGCACGTTGATGGTAAGATCAACACATCAAGCTCACTTGCAAGGGTTGGTTTGATGGCTTGGGGAGATCACGGTCGTCTTGAGTCACCACTGTGATTATCACAGTACAGATTCGGAACCCAAGCAAATTGATCATAAAGTTATGCTTTTGCCTGACTTTATGATCTATATAAATACAATTTTAAAATACAAGTAATCGTGATAGCAGAGTAACGAAGAATGCCTGTAGACCTTCTTCAGTCTCTAGCAATTCATACATCCTGCAAGAATTGCTGTCGTGATGCCGTTGGGTGTAGACGAGACATCGCAGAGCACGCTGGAGGCACGTGCGATAACTCCTGTAGAGATTATGCTCTATAGTGTAGTAGTAGGGACACTGTCCACAGCTACCGATCCATGCTCCAGATCGTGGTAGCAGCTCAAATACGAAGTGGCTCGGTCTCCTAGTGATGCTCCAAGGATGATATTGCTTGGTGGTAGCAAGGAATTCTTGTAGGCTTCCTAAAGTCCTGCTCCTGAATTTTAGCCTATGAAGGCCTCTGGCTTTGTCGAGGAGCCAGCCTTGGTCTCTGACACAGACTCATAGGGGCTCACTTCGTAAAAGCAAAGGCTCTGATGTCGTAGACAGCATAAGGTCGTTTCTTATTGGGCGAGTCAGTAGATGACAGCGACGCTTTGTATATCATCGGACATCTGCAAGCTTCCTTGCTCCGTCGCTATCAAACCCCAAAGAATCCAATTGCCGAATCAATTCTTGGATCTTGATCACCTTGGCAAATTGTTCTGGTAGCAGTGACTCTCCTGATTCCTTCTTCTCCTTGAGCTCTCTTGCTTGCCGCAACTTTTTCTTAAGATTTCTTGCTTGCTTCTCTCTTTCTGCTTCTGCATCTGGCTCTTCTTCGACTGTTAATGGTTCAACGCGCTCGCTACGTTTCTCCGTGCTGACTTGGGTTTCTGGGCCGGTAGGTTTTGTATTGCCGCCTCTGGATGTCTTGTCTTCTCCGATTTCCTCATTCTTGTCAGACTCTTCAGCTGCTCTCGCCTTCTTTCGTGCTTCTCTACGTTTTGCGTTCTTTCCCTTGGTCCCTTCACCCGTCTCTTCAGTGTCCTTCAATCCCTCAGCTCCAGGTACACCACCGCTGCCTCGCGTCTTCCAAACATCGGCAGTGCGATTTTTGTAGACTTCCACATCTTCAGGCGGCCGGTATCCTGGACGAACTCTGATCTCCTTCCGTACCGAGCCGTCCGCCCGCACAGACTGAGGGATGTGTTGTTCTCCAGAGGATGTAGTCTGAATGCCAGAGCGCGCAGGGGCCAAAACTGAGGCTGGAGAAGGCATGCCAATTTTTCAGACACGAAATAGCTCGGTCTCCGCAGGCAAGCTGTCGTTATCGAACCTTCATGGTGAAATAATCAAGCCATCCTCGATCCGTAGTAAGTAACATTTAGATTACCAAAACAAGGAATGCGCTCTCATGATGTGAAATGCTACCAAGTCTTGGCAAGCCTTGGTAATGTTGAGGACCCCAAATGTTAGAAATGTTTCCAATCTGATCAACCAATTAAGAGACAAACTTAAGATCATCGCATAGGTATTAGGCTCTATTATGGCTGGCGTAAGTGACTGAATCCTCAGATTCCAGGGTAATGCTACATGTGCTGATCTAGATTGAGACACAGATCGCAAGCAGCGTCTACAAGTATCTCATCGCTACTTGACTCCCAGAGAGCTGGCTAATTAGCTGAAGCACCATATTTCGCCGAAATACCGTCTTCCTTACAACAGTCTTTGCCGGTGCTTTTCTTTTTGAAGTGTGAGCGAGTGGGGAGTGCGATGCGTTGCTATGAATCAATACTAAGACGAAGCACAGTGGCTTTGATCAATCCTTGACGAGGTTTTGGGATTGGAATAATAGAGGGGTTAGTAAATTGTTGACGATATGGGACAATTTGGTGTCTGCCTTTCTGACCTCTCTCTAGCGGCAATGGAAAGACATACGCCACAAATACGTTGAGGGTGAGGAAGACTAGATGGAATACGAAGATGAGCGAGGGATGTGGGGTATGGGAATACAGATTACTGTATATGATACGTTGTGAAAGGGATGCTGCATAGCATCTGGAGTCTTGAAAGTATCTGGTCACAAGCATAGTATTGTCACAGCGGTGTTGATGCGCAAAGAGGCATGCTTGTATATTGCATTAATCGTGATCTCAAAGGAGCTCGAGAAGCTCTGCCATTCTACGTGAGACCTCTTCAAGTTGTATCAGCAGGCAGGATTGTAGGGCAAAACATAAGTATGTACAAGCGGCATCGGCCAAGCCTTAAAACACATTCAGTCAGGTAATCATCGTAAAACTTCTTCATCATCGAGGTCCAGGTGCTTCTTTCCGCAAATGTTCGTCACCGACAGCCAAGCAAAATCAAAGAAACTTAAATAAGTTTCCGAGGTTTCGTGGCCTACGTCTTCCACACCGAGGCGGCGTCTGATAACGATGACCATCCACCTTCAATTATGCATCTAACAGATCGAGAAATCCAGCTTTGTCAAACGCTCCGCGCCTTCCCCTACCAACATTTTCTACGTTATACTGGCCAAGCTAGCCAGGCGCTTCAGCGGACTCTCTTCACTTCGCTCGTTGCGAACAATGATGAATACTTGCAGGCACTATTTCATGGCCGAGAGCCTGGGCCAGGGGAGGAATGGAATCTCTCGAAAGCACAAGGATTGTCGGAAGATATGGAATACACGGAAGCAGCGAGGGGAAAAGCTTGTGGACATATATTCAAAGCGGGCGACTCAGTTTTTCGGTGCAAAACTTGCACAACGGATGACACAGCGGTCCTTTGTACTCGCTGTTTCGAAGCTTCAGACCATACAGGACACATCGTGAATCAGTCCATCTCCATGGGTAACACTGGCTGCTGTGACTGCGGAGATGCTGAGGCTTGGAAAATACCGGTGGAATGCGCCATTCATACCGCTCACAAGTCGAAGAAGGCCGGAAAACAAGCCCAGGTGCCAGCCCTGCCAGAAGAGCTCTTGGAGTGTATCAAAATGACCATTGGTCGCGCTTTAGATTACGTGATTGATGTCATAGCCTGCTCGCCTGAAAACCTGAGATTACCCAAAACAGCTGAGACTATTGAGCAAGACGAGAGCCAATCACGACTAAGTTCTGCTTGGTATGATGAGCCCGAAGATCCAAGCCCAGAATACTCATTAGTCCTCTGGAATGATGAAAAGCATACTGTAATCGAAGTAGAGCAACAGGTAGCTCGAGCTTGCAAACAGAAGCGCGCATTTGGGCGGCAGCGCGCAGCTGAGGCCAACGATTATGGAAGGAGCGTTGTCGAACATTCAGACAATATACCACGCCTCCTGAAGATTGCAAAGATCATAGAGCAGATCAAGATCACGGTGACCATACGTTCGTCTCGGGACACCTTCAGAGAACAGATGTGTGGTACCATAATTGAATGGCTCAACGATATCGCAGGATGCAGTGTCGGTCCACATCATGATATCCTTACGCAGACTGTATGTGATGAACTACTCAAGCCGTGGCGTTTAGGAAGTACAGGATCCAACAAGCACATTGGTAAAGGCGGCCTGGACGACCATGAGATTGAAGAACACAGCAGCAGCAGTTTTCTTCGTCGGCAGCAGATATTACGAGGTTGGACTACGAGATTGGCTCGAGAAGACAGCGATACTGACTCTGTAAATAATGACGCGGAAGAAGACGACGAAGAAGAAGACGAAGATTTCCAGCATTCGGTCACTGAGGAGTCTGTGGGCGTCGATCAGATGGATTTAGATATCATGACCTCTGCAAATACGGGTGCGAGCAGGGACCAGGAAATGCGAGCGCCAAATGACATGGAAGATGGCGCTGAGTTGTCTGAAGCCACATTTGCTGGTTACCCTCCCCCACCACCTCCCCCACCACCTGCTCCTGTACATCAACATTCTCGGAACCTCTCTATAGGATCGCAGATTAGTGGGTCTTTTGCAAACATTTCCTTTGCACCTTTTACCTCAAAGACCAATGTATCCATACCCTCGACCCCAAAGGTAGCTCGGAAAAAGACGCAACCGCGACCACCAGGATACTGGCTGGAACAACCCGACCAATTTGCACCAGGCGATTCCATGTCTGTTCAAGAAGATCTACTTCGACGAATTCGTCTCGATTGGCTCCTACTATATGATCTGCGACTCTGGAAAAAGGTGAGGGTCGACCTTCGCGACTTGTACATCTCAACGTTGATTGCTACTCGGGAGACAAAACGCATATTTGGGCTACGTTTAGCCGGTCTTTACAGCGTTCTCGGTCAGCTCTATCTAATTGCAGATCGCGAACCCGATCTTTCAATCATCAATCTCTCTGTACAAACATTACACCACCCCTTCAGTGACACAGGAAGTTATTGAACGCGGGAACTTTTTAACCACCTTGATGTCTATGTTATACACCTTCTTAACTCAACGCGCCGTCTTGCAGCCGTGGCAAGTATCCGTGGATGATTCAATGGCATCGGAGAATAATTCCGTGCACAATAGGCGCATGTATCACTTTTTCGCCGATCTGAAGTATATGTTTTGCGCGGAGTACGTCCAGAACGAGTTGCGGACGCAAGAAAGATACCAACTTCAGTTTTTGGATCTGATCAGACTTCCTCAAGGCATCTGCCCAAATATGAGGGCGGTCGGTGACCACGTAGAGTACGAAAATGACATCTGGATATCTGCTCAGATCCTCACGAAAGAAGTCAATAAGCTCGTACGACAATTTTCCGAGATATTCAAGATACAGGAAAGCCTCAAAGACCATGAGAATCTTTACCGCGCAATACGATTGGTCGCGAAAGCGGTCATAATCAATTCAATGGGGGAGAACGAGTCAGATTTGATCAGGCGGAGATCAGACGTGAGACTCGCTTCAAAGAACTGGAACTGTACTACTTTGAGCGCGCTACCGACCCACTCAACAGTCATTTGGTTGTGGATTTTCTTGTGGAGACAGAGGCGATCAGTTTTCATCACCCACTCCATTACATGCTGTCCTGGCTAGTTGACTGTGGCAAAGGTATGCCGTTGCAAAGACTCAAGAGTCTGCTCACATTCGAGCTTCAAGAACTCCAAGAGCCCCCACCATACAGAGCTCTTGTAACAAGTCAGACATCAGAAGATTATCTCATGGCCGTGTTTGACTTCCCCTTGAGGGTGTGCGCATGGTTAGCTCAAATGAAAGCGGGCATGTGGGTGCGCAATGGTCTTAGCCTTCGCCATCAAATGAACACGTATCGAGGTCTGGCGCATCGAGATTTGGCGCACCATCGCGATATCTTCCTTCTTCAAACCGCTCTTGTCGTTTGTGACTGCAGTCGAGTTCTCGCATCGATGATCGATCGTTTTGCTCTAGATCAATGGATGAGAGGTATTTATACAATCAGAGAGGGCTTTGAAGTTAACCAGCAATTGGACGTTGCGGAGGATTTTATACACCTGTTCATAGTTTTGCTAAGTGATCGAACTTCCTTGCAGCATCACGAGAGTGCGGAGAGTGCCAGAGCCGCAGCAATACGTCGCGACGTTGCTCACATTCTTTGCTTTAAGCCACTCTCATTCTCTGAGCTAGATCAGCGCTTTGCCGACAAATCGACTGATTTAGAGGTTTTCTCGGATATCCTCGATGAGATGACATCCTTCAAGCCCCCGGAAGGTCTGTCAGACACTGGCACTTTCGAATTGAAGCCACAATTCCTTGCGGAGATTGATCCCTATGCCGCCCATTACACTAAAAACCAGCGGGACGAGGCTGAGAACACATACCGTAATTGGATCTCCAAGCAGTACGGCAAGCCAGCAATAGAGGTTGTGTACGAACCAAGACTAGTGAAAATACACCACGGCATATTTCAGCATATAGCGCAATTCACGAGATCGCCTCTTTTTTCACAGATAGTTTTTCATTCTTTGTTCGTGAGCTCAAACACTCACAAGATGCCTGACATACCAAGCACCAGAATAGAGGCCTATCTTCATGTTGTCCTACACCTGGTCTTGATTGCAGTCATAGAGGACAATTCACAAGAAACAGATTCTTCACCGACAGGACAAGGCACAGAAGATTCTTTTATTTCGAATGCTCTCGAGATAAGATCAGAGCTTGGCATGACCATCTTCGACCTTCTTGTTAAGATGTTGGAAACTTCCGATCTCAGGTTATGTCATCCCCAAATACGTCTCATCTTAAGGCGAATTCGACAAAGGCAGCCGGCGACTTTCGAATCGGCCGCTTCTCGAATCATTGGCGAGTTGTCTGTAGAGAACCTTGGCGTAGATGCACCGATGACACCCGGCGAGGACGAACAAGAAGCAAGGCAACGAGAAGCACGAAAATTAAAGAAACAGCAAGCTTTGGACCGACAAGCGAGAGTTATGGCCCAATTTCAGCAGCAGCAGCAGAATTTCCTCAAGAACCAGGATCTTGCTGAATGGGACGACGAGGATGATACAACCCTCGGGATCAGCTCGGAAGACCAGAACCAGGTTTGGAAATTTCCTGCGGGAAATTGTATCCTGTGTCAGGAGGAGACTAATGATGCCCGTCTTTATGGAACATTCGGCTTGATTATGAATAGCAATGTCTTCCGCAACACCGACGTAAAAGATCCTGCTGCCCTCGCTGAGGTTTTGAAAACCCCTGATAACCTAGATCAAGCTGCCGAAGATCTACGGCCCTTTGGAATTGCTGGCTCAAACCTAAGTCACGTCACTAAGCGATCCGCAGACGGGCGTGAGGTTACGAAGGAACATCAAGGGCTTGCTAGTGGCTTTCCGTCTCACCTCACTATTCGAGGTCCAGTATCGACAGGCTGTGGGCATATCATGCATTATTCCTGTTTTGAAATGTACTGTAGTGCTACTCAAGTTCGACAAAACCACCAGATTGCACGACAGCATCCAGAGCGTACGGATCTCAAGGAATTTGTCTGCCCATTGTGCAAGGCTCTTGGCAATGCCTTCCTGCCCATAATCTGGAGAAGTAAGGAGGAAGTGTCTAATTCCATCTTGCACTGTCAGGATAGCTTTGAGGAGTGGCTCTCATCTCGAGTCGGAGTCACAGTGTCAAGATTCTTCAAAACTCAGGAGGGACGGTCAGACAACGAGCGCTTGCAGGAACTCTCTGCCAGATACATTTCGGCATCTATGATCTCATCAATAGCCAACAACGTTTCCACTCTCTCGCAAGAGTCTCTGAAATCACCAATTTCTCCGCAGGTTTCCTCTCGCTCCTTCTTCTCTGGAATGCCAGGGCTTTGGCAGTCAAATGCTGAGAACTTACGGTCACCTGATCGGCACTCGACTGGGGACGCCACCCAAGCGAGCGAGCTCATGGTAGTGTATAGCCGTCTTAAGGATACAATGATAACGAACCACTTGCCCTCCCGTTTTGCGGTAGCTCCAGAAGTAAATTCGGCTGCTTGCCGAAGACTTAGTAATATAGATACACTTGCTAGGATACTTGGAGAATCAATTACCAGTGCAGAGATCGCCCAGCGAGGTGTTCAGTCCGAGCTTGGTCAAACTCTGATCGAAAAGATGCCTCTCTCTGTCCTGACGCACCTACGAATCTTCGCCGAGACCGTTTCGTCTTACACAGCGCTCGGTGTGAAGGCAGCAGGAGAACCGAACATGATCGCATCAGAGGTTTCGGACATCACCAGATCGCAGCTATTCCAGCTTTTCAACGGCCACCCTCATGTTGAGAACGATGCGACAGGATCGCTACAGCGAAAGGAACCCTCCGTTTTCGTGTACGATGCTTTCGCTCTATTGGTTGAATGCACATTCACTCTCGCACCTGTCTTCAACTTCGAATTTGGACATCTTCTTCGTCTGTGCTACACGCTCGAGACTGTGAAAGTGGCACTGTATCTTGCAACCTCACCTGCTACGTTCCAAGCATGCTACGAAGGTAATGAATCGATATCGTCCTACCGCATCTCAAGTTCGCAGCAAACAGCCCTCCAGCATTTCCTGCATCAATTATATCATTACAGTCTGCCTAATGTTCCCACTCATGCTGATCATGATGGGCATTGGGAGGATGTTATAGGGCTGCCTTCATCTCCAGAGTGGTATTCATTGTTGTACAGAGCAGTCTCGAGGTATGCTCTGACCTTCCTCCGCAAAGTTACCATATTGGCACATGTGCGATACAGTGTAAATTTTCCCGACAGCGAGCCCGAATCTTCCAGTGTAGGACTCTCAGAGCTTGAAAGACTCACCCATCTCCTTCAACTTCCTACGCTATCCGAGATTTTCCTTTCGATAGGCCAGAACGAGTACCCTCCTACCATACTCCAGAATGTAACAGCGGGATGGCTCGACTTTTGGCGATACACTAGAGGCAGTAATGAGCAGTCGCTACATGCAAGCGATGACCGAGCATCTTTTGCTCAGTCGGTCTACGAATCGTTCAAACCTAGGCATCCAGCTATCTATGAGCTTATTGGCCTTCCAAAACACTTTGATACGCTAACGTATGAGGCAACTCGGCGACGTTGTCCGACGACGGGTGGCCGGTTGGAAGACCCTAATCTATGTATTTTCTGCGGTGACATCTTCTGTGGGCAAGCTCTATGCTGCACGAGTAAGCAAGGGAAAGGCGGCTGCTTCCAACACATGCTGAAGTAAGTTTTCTCATACCTCCCCTGCCTTTATTCTCCACTACTTCCCCCGAGGGCATCCAATGACTGACCATGTGTAAATCAGATGCTGCGTAAAGGTGGGCTTGTTCCTCAATATTAGGAAATGCACTGTGCTCTATCTCCACAACCAGAACGGTAGCTGGAACCTCGCACCATATCTGGATAAATTTGGAGAGCCTGATCCAGGCTTGCGAAGAGGAAGGCAATTGACCCTGAATCAAAAACGGTACGATAAGCTCTTGAGAGACGTGTGGCTACAGCAAGGTATTCCAACGATGATTGCAAGGAAGTTAGAGGCCGAGTTGAATAATGGTGGATGGGAGACTTTATGATTATGAATCTGGACACGACAGTTCGAGTCTTGGGGGCAGGATGGGTTTGGAACATGTCCTAATGTCACCAAGGTGGAACACACTAAACATAATTACGGTAATTCTCTACGTGGTAGAATTGGTATCTTTGACTGAGATGTATACCTGCTATTGCGACAGAAAGGAAGTGGGCTTCTTGGGCTTCTTGGGATTGTTTGTATTGTATGATTCACGACCTGAACGTTGGTGTAAGAGTATTCTCGTTTCTTTAAGAACGCACTCGCTCGCTCACGGCCTGGTGGTGCTCCGAGCATCTCGGTGACTTCTGACAGGAGACGGATCTTCCTCAGCTGCTGTTTGAATTCAAATATCTCTCTCTCCATTTGCACCCTTCCTTTCCATGTGCAGACGCAGCGAACCAAGAGCGCATTTCCCCATGACAATGAGTCTTGGAACCTGTTGTACTTTCCGCAATTGATGGCGTGTTGATGGCGGCTCTCATTCTCGGGAAGCCTCGGAGTTACACTGCGCTGATCTCATGAAGACAAGGTGAAGATTTGCGCTGGCTAGCTGCTCTCACTTAGAAAGACGTCACAGTCATCCGCGCCATCATCCTATAAAGAGAAACTAGAGAAACGCCCCACTGCAAAGGTTCTAGGTTCAGCCTTCCTTCGTGACTTGGTTTTGATCCGAGTGAAAGTGTTTGCCTTCGCCACTTTTGCTCCGCGTAGCCTTAGCATTCGTGATCTCCCACTGAAACTCCTTGAGAGCCCGTATCTCAGAGCCTACGAAGAGACCACCAATCAAACCGTCAACAATACCGGCACCCAGTCCGAATGTACTGAGAATCATCAACAGGAAGGAAACAAAATTCCTGGGTGACCACCAAATTGCAATTAGGCAGCTAAGGGAAGTGACGACAGATAGACCAAAGTGCCTCAAGCGCCAACGTCGTTGCTTCAGCTCACGTGTGTGGTACGTAGATATCATTGAGAGTATGGTGTCGTAAAAGGACGGATCAAGTTTAGTAGCGCTGGGTTGTTCACTTGCAGCTGATTCTTCAGCCTCTCGGCGACCCAAGGTTGCCTCAACAGAAAAGTGATCGCTCAGAGAACAGCCAAGGGCCGGATGGCGCTCCGTCATGCCGACCTTGATATCCAGTACTCCCCATTTGTGCCCGTGCAAGGTATCGGGTGGAGGCTGGCTACCGACGAAAATGTAATCAAGGCGCTTGGCCTTTGGGTCGGGCCATGTATCGTCGACCGCAGGTCTATGGCCTTTGAAGAGCTTTTGTTGCTCTTGCTTCGACCATCGCCACGTGTTGGTGATGCCATCACTCGCAGTCCCGTTTTCCGATAGATTGAATGCCGCGGTGGGCATTTTTCGCCCTCGCTGCTTCTCTTCTGGGTGATTTACTGGACCTAATGAAGACTCTGGATGAAGCAATCTCCACGCATCCTTCACGGGCGCATGTGCCTCTATTAAGCGATGAGCAAATGACGATGGCAGCATGTTAAAGTCTCCAAGTCCTAAGACCAGATGACCCCTTTCAGCAGCTCCACGCATCAGCTTGGCAATCTCCCATGCCTGAGCTGTTCGATGACAGATGTAGGAGTCATGAGGTTCGCTTTCGTAGGGCGCATGTAAATGCGTGCAGAAGACCTCCACGATATCTTTCGGTTGGGGACCGATCCGGATTCGTGCAGAAGCCACGCCTTTGCCTACATACCAGTCCCCTCTCCAGAATGCGGTAGGTCGCCCGTTGAGTGGATATCTGAACATGCTGGACTCCTCAATCGGCCATCTGGACAGAATGGCCAGGCCGCCGCCGAAGATGCCACTGAAGTAGTACTTCGCGTATGGGAGAACTTCCTTCGTCTGGGAATGGATAGACTGATAATCCTCCTGAGTCCAGCATTCTTGGAGAGCTACGATATCTGCTGGGGGAAAACGGGAAGCAAGGACGTGTCCGATCTCCTGGCAGCGCTCGCGCCTGTACTTCGATATGACTCTCAGGCCAAAGACATTGTATGTTATTACCTCGATAGAAGGCGGATTTGAAAAGTAAATATCAGCCCGGTTAGCTGCAGAAGTGCTCCTCACGCTTTCCTGCATAGTAATCATATGCTACGTTGGCATTCACTTCGTAGCAGACATATTCCATCAGATTGAAATGTAGCTCATGCCTGATTGTTGTAAATAGCCATGCACCAATGCGTGAGGGCGAAAGTGAATGACACTGTTGAAATGGACTAACACCATCTTGACACAGAATGGTTTGAAAACATTCATACAACACAAACGAAATTAGATCACTATTACATACGGGTCGCTAACATAAAAAGATGGACGAGATCACAAGAGGGCAATGGCAAGGTCTGGCAGCGAAAGCCATCATGAATCCACGATCACGTGCCGCCAAGAGGAATCGCGTCTCAGCCAACGAGCTTCGAGGTTTAGGGATAACTTCAAATCCATCCAATTCCCTGCTCCCTCGCAAAATGGACGGCACCATTGAGACCCGCGCAACACGAGCCTCAAAGCGCCGCCGAATTAGTCCCCCGGAACCACCACAATCCCTCCCAAAAGCTGTGCGCTCCCCTTCCCCTGACGAGCTTGCCAGCGGGCCCCCAACGCCTCGAATACTCTCGCGCAATGGTTCCACGCCTTCTCTACCCCAGCACCCATCTGCCCCCGTGACGGAGGGAGAAGGGGAGGACATTCGCCGCCCTTCCTTCTCCCCAGTCTCAGATTCTTCACCCGACGAGCTCGACCATACCGCCAACCCTCACACCTTCTACCGGCACAATGAACCCTACCGGCGCTCATTTAGTGAGAGGGCGCGGCAGCATGATGCCAGCGCGGGAATGCTGTTGGGGTCGGACGGACTGCTGAGGGTTCCGGCATCGCCGCAGACACCGGAATATTCAAGGATCAGCACACCGGTTGCGAGTCCTGCTCCAGAAGCGATGAGGGAGGTTGTGCAGGAGGCGGTGTTCGTGCCGTACAGGTGTCGAAGGGTGCTGAGGGGTCATGGGAAGGGTGTAGCGCAGGTGAGATTTAGTAAAGATGGCAGGTGCATCGCCAGTTGTTGTGAGTGCAGGCCCGCCTAATTGTTTTTGGTTCCCAATTTGGGGAAGGGGAAAGGGCTAAGGGGTTTGGTGTCACCGAGTGGCTAACGCGGACGCTGGTGTATAGCTGCCGATGCAACGATAAGAGTCTGGGAAGTGAGCACTGGGAAGTGCTTGCAGGTACTGGAGGGCCATTTAGCTGGTATATCTGCGCTAGCATGGGCGCCGGACTCGAACACTATCGCATCTGGATCGGACGACAAGTCTATATGGTTGTGGAATGTCTCAACAGTAAGCTTTCTATTCCTACGGCGATCCATGCAATAGTGGAGTTGTGAAGGCTGATACATTGTGGCATTCAGGGCAAACCGTACCCCAAGCCCCTCCTTGGTCATCACCACTACATCTACTGCCTCGCGTTCCACCCCAAAGGCAACATCCTCGTCTCTGGCTCCTACGACGAAGCGGTGATCCTTTGGGACGTACGGACTAGGAAAGCGCTACGTACCTTACCTGCCCACTCCGACCCAGTGGGCGGCGTTGACTTTGTACCTCCCCCCCCCGCCCTCTCCCTTCCTCTCCTATCACGTATAATTTCATCATAAACTGATAGACCTATAAAACTAGTGCCAAGACGGCACTCTCATAACCTCCTGCTCAGGCGACGGCCTGATCCGGATCTGGGACACGGCAACGGGCCAGTGCTTACGAACTCTCGTCCACGAAGATAACGCTCCTGTGACCAGCGTGCGTTTCTCGCCTAATGGGAAATTCGTGCTTGCATGGACACTGGATGCTTGCGTGCGGTTGTGGAACTATGTGGAGGGCAGATGCGTCAAGACGTACCAGGGCCATGCAAATGAAAAGTTCTCGATTGGAGGGGCTTTTGGTACTTATGGGGGTGAGATGGTGGAGGGCGGGAGGATGGAGAGGAAGGCGGCGGTCTTGAGTGGGAGTGAGGATGGGAGGGTGGTCTGGTGGGATGTGGTTAGTAAGGAGGCGATTGGGGAGGCGAGAGGTCATGACGGCGTGGTGTTGGGGGTGGATACTAGGGGTGATGGCTGTGTTGTTACTTGTGGGATTGATAGGACGGTGAGGGTTTGGGAAAAGGGTCTTGGGGGGACGGACACACGGGTAGACCGTATGGGATTCAAAGAAGAAGACGTGGGTAAGCATGCGGATGCTAACGGGGTTGAGGCAAATGGGAAAATGTTGAACGGAAATATAGATCACCATGTAAACGGAGATATGGAAGTTGATAAGTAACCAATACAACATTAGTTACAACGAAGGAAGCGGCACGGTGCAATGCGATCCTACGAGGGTAGAGTTTGTACACGTTATTTGGTTCTCCATTTTCATCACTGACGTGACAACCGATGACTTGGCTTTGTACAATAAAAAACAGCCATGCAAGCTTGTCCATTAACCGGCCGAGTATGCATAATCAGAGACAAGGAAATGAAAAATGTACATCGCGGCCACCATCGCCCCTTCTATTGTTGTCAGATCACAAGGGCACCCAACCCTCCAGGCTTTTTCGTTCATAACGAAGCCAAGTTACCAAAGAGTAAGGTTGTCGTCAGGTCCTTCCTTTCCAATCACTTTCCCCATCAGACCTCTCCTTTTGCCATTGATACAATCATCTAGTTGCCCCCAATCAAAGAAGCAATAGCCTGGTAAGCCTCCTTGAGACCCGCTTGGACAGCCATCTTCTCTGCGTTGTAGGCATACCTGTCGACACCACTGCTCTCGAGATAGCTGAGCAGATCCTGCATGTCACTAGGTGCGAGACCGCCATTGACCGCGAACTCAGAGAGCCAGAGCTCGGGAACACCGTGCTTCGACTGCAGATCCTTGAAAGTGTCGACGATGCCCTTCAATTCGTCTTTGTTCTGACCATACCAATGGAAGCAAACGGCGTCTGGCTTGAGACTGGTTGCGCTAATGAAGGTGTCGAGCCATTCGTGAGCCTCGTTGCTGACGCAAGGTGAGACAATCTTCTGACCGGCGTCCTTGTTGGCCTTGAAATTGGATTCATAAGGACCAACCGCAGCAATGGCATCCATGGGACCGCACCCACCAGCGCCCTGGGGCTGGTTGGGTTCGTTGAAGGCCATGACGTATTTGGCTCCCTGGGAGTTGGCAGCCCAGATGCTGGTGTGGACGTCCTCGGGACCCCAAAGCTGAGGCACGAATTCGAAATCCAAACTGCCTTGAGCGTGGCCGACGGCGGGCATGGGGGAAGAGTCCCAATTGCAGCCCCATGACATGCCTTTCATACCGTTGGCTTCATCAAGTGTCTTGTAAAGGATGCCTCTCTTTCCACCGGACGGAGAGCTCTTTTCTTCAGTCGGTTTGGAGGATGGACTAGGCTGTGCGGACTGTGACACCTTTGGCTGTTCCTTCTTCTGCTCAGTCTGGGGTTTGCTGGGTGACTGTTGGTTGTTGGAGCCAATGGGGCTTGAGTTCTGAGTAGAGGCCTCCGCAGGCTTAGTCTCTGGCTTGCTTGCAGGTGAGCTCGCAGGCTTCTCCTGCTTCTGTTCAGTCGGAGGTTTTGGCTGGGTGTTTGCGATAGGGCTGCTGTTCCCAGTGGACTTCTGCTCAGGCTTGGATTCTGGCTGAGTCGTAGGTTTGCTCTCGGGCTTGGTCTCCGCTTTGGCTTCAGGTTTCGGCTGAACCGGCGATGAGCTTTCATTTGAGGATGGAGAGCTCTGTACAGGAGCTGGACCTTGTGATTGGGCACCAGCGGCTGGCACTGTGACAGTGACAGTCTTCGCAGATGTGACAGTGACAGTAGCAGGACCACATTGATCAGATCCTGAGCCCGAGCCCCCATTCCCTCCTGGTCCACCAGACGCACCAGACCCGCTTGGCTGCGTGGGGGAGCCGCCATTCCCGCCTTGTGATTCTGCGGGTACGGACTGACCACTGCTTATGGGCACCGGAACGATACTGATGACCGACGAAATTGTCACCACTCCTCCTGGCACGCTTGCGCCGGTACCAGTGCCGGTCGGCGCAACGGTGGTTGTGTTTCCTATCGGGAATGGCGCACCGGAGGTACCGGTGGGGTGAGGATAGATGTTGGTTGGTGGACCGCCATGAATGCCGTCTGGGTGAATGTCAGAGAAATCCCCGTGGCGCTTGTGTTTCATATGCAGCCTTTCATGCTGATTAGGCCTGGCCAGCACCGCGGCAGGGAGCAGCAGGGAAAGTAAAGCTGAAGTGAGGACGACCATGTTAGGAGAAAAACTAATAAGTAGCAGAGTCGTATGGATTGGAGCTCAATGTTCCGCACTGTGTTGAGCTTGGAGGATAGTATTTGAAATCTTCGAATGTTATTTATTCACTGGTGTTGTTGCTGTTGCTTGAAGCCGACCAGGGCCGTTCTGATGGAGCGATTGCAAGTGGTCCAAAGGACCAAATGAATGGAACGAGCGAGTGCTCTGAGGGTTGGGAAAGAGTGACTGAACGACGGACGGGCTTGCAAGAACGACGACGGTGGGTGTTGAAAGGAAGAAGAAAAGGCGAGTAAGAGGAGGGAGCATTAGGGGGCGCTGGGGGTGGATGGCGCGGCGACTAGGACGGGTTAGTGCGTGTTGAATGGGATTACGGCAGGGGCCATTTAATTTCGGCTGAAGAAAGTCCTAGTGTTTGGGCCAAATGAGCAAATCACCATCATCCTCATCCACCATCAAGCAGCATCAACAGACAGCCGCCGACCTTACTTCAGGCGCCGAGTCCGTCATCAATCGATTAACATTCAGCAGTAGTATTCCATTATTCGGTTTTTTGTAAGAGAGAAGACGAGTCGCCTGACGGAGTTGGCGTCGACCAGCAAAGGGGCGCACAGACAGAATGGCTGCTTAGCCTGCTGAAACGACCGCCCTAGCTCTGCACTCACGGACTTTTGGAACGCCATCTCAGCCTGTGCAGACAGATCGAGGTCGGAGAAAAGACTCGCTGGCGAACTGACCCATAGGTCTAGTCCATATTATTATTCCAGCTTGACGATGAGGTCAGGGGATCCAAATAAAGGCAATAATCTGCTGGATCCCATCATCTCATAACCGCCTTTAGGGCGCATTAAGATTATGAGGGGGCGAGCCAGTCGAGGGGGGCGCCGTTGGTTGCTTGCATCGGTAGCCAGGTACTAGGGCAGGGCACTCACAAAGTCAGCATCCTAAGTGACCAATGATGAGCCAGACCTACCCAAGCTTGTCCAAGCTACCTTTGACCCCAACTAGTCAAGCTGGTCCAACCCCAACTATCCTCATGACCGTCCTTGTATTATTCTTTACATTATTGCTCTCTTGAACCCGCATAACTCTGGGAACCTCATCCATAAAGCCAAGTCGCAGAGGCCAATTGGTGCTAACATGGCCCGTCGACGTCAAGCTGTAACGCGAGTTCTGCATTCAAGAACTTGACGGAGGTATTGAATTGCCCAATCTCGACACTAATGGAGAAAGTGCCACCACGTTCTCGTGTCCATGGAGTATTTTGCAAGACCTAACGGGGATTGGACTGCTTTCCTGAATTGCGTGACAACGGCATTCGGGAGAACTTGAGAGGCTTCCTCCTTGAGATATATCATCCGTGGCTTCTATGGAAACACAGCACATTCTCACTGTTTGTGGATATCGGCTACTTCGACAAACTTACACATGGAGGGAGAATGTACTCCTCCAATCTTTTCATGAGGTTTTGGTGAGCTTGGATAAAGCCAACGAAGACTCCAAGCTAAAAGGCGAGTCTGGCAAGAACACATCCTTTCAAGGAGAATAGCAGGAATGCATATGTGCGGGTAGTCGTTTATTTTGTTCCAGGATAGTCTCATCTCTTTTCACCTTTTCTTCTCTCTAGCACCTTGAGAACGTCTGACGCGTTTTCTCCATCCCCTTTTCGCTTCTTGGGACCCCTCTTCCGTTTCTCCTTGCCAGCTTTAGCCGTATCACCTTCATTTTGACCCCAGATAGACAACTTGCCCTTCCGTCCCTCTTCTACGTCGTCCTCATCATGAAAGCGGCTACTGCCAAACCCCATATCCATGTCTTCAGCATCGCGGTCACCTGATTCGAGCAGCTTCCGATGGCGCGCAATTTTGATTGCATCTTCGTCGTCCTCCAGAGGCATAGAAGCTCCTACTTTGAGTTTGGAAGCTTTCTTAAATGCAGCGAGAAATGTCGGATCTGCGAGTATGTTCTGAGATTGACTTGCTGGGTCATCTGATTTGCGAGAGTCGTTGAAATAGTTCCGCGCCTGGTCATTCTCTGCGTCCGTCCGTTCTGTAGCGACAGAAAGCTTCTCACCATGCTGTATGGGTTGCTCTTTCGTGCCGACTTCGCCCTCGTCTGTATTGTCTCCGTCGGAGTCCAAGACCTCATCACTCATGATGTCACCCAAGGGATTGAAGTCAGTCCCCACACCCTCGAATATATCTAATTCATCTTCGGGTTGGGCCTCTACTGGTGACGACGGAGTTACTTCCATGCCTAATGGTGCAACACTCTTGTCTGGCATGAGCAGACCACTGTTTGTGAGAGGCTGTGCTATAGTTTTAGTCTTCTTCATCTTCCGCTTCACATTACCGTCAGCGTCGACCAATATCAATATCTCTCGGCCTTGCTCGTCCTTCTCTAACCGTGATCGTTCCCCCATAGACCCGACCCTTTTGAATTTGGAACCCAGGCTTGGCTTTAGCGCTTTTGCTTCTGCCGCTGCTGCCACTCTTGCCGCTTTCAGTTCCTTCAAAATATCATCTCTTGTACGCTTCTTACCAGCCACAGGAGGCGGTGGAGCCATTAAACCTCTCTTTTGCCTTTCCTCTTTCACAGGAGCACTGAGCTCCTGCACCTCAAGCTCCTCGAGTTCATTATCAACATTTACGTCAGAGCTGGGCTCAATTGCCTTCAAAGCTTCATCGTCCATGTCTCCCTGGTCGGCTAGGACATCTTCGCCCCTCCTGACCCTTTCGAGTAACCTATAATCGAGACCTTTCACAAGATGCGTATTCTTGGCGTCTCCGCTAACAATCTCATCTCTCAACTTTTGAAAGGTTGTTTCGTCCATTTGTCCTAGCTTGACCATTTCCTCAAGGGCTCTGATCCTAATTGCCTTGTCATCATCCTCTTCAGATACCCGTGTCTTCGTTCGATCTTGATACCCAAATGCCAGCTTAGTTCCCTTGGGTGCAGTAGATGCACGGGACTTCTTGGCTTGAGTCCCATGAAGCTCGGCATTTCGTTCCGCAAGTTGACGGGTAAAATCATTATGGGAAATCCCTCCGACTGAGCGTCTACCTGTTAGTCAGCTCATTGACCTTTCGTGGATTATGAGGGACTCACGGAGTCATAGGAATGCTCGAATGCATACGCGAGCCCAGAGCAGACGGGGTTGCTCCATTTTGCCTTGTGGTCGCGACTGGTGTGGATCCATCGTTTTTTGAAGCTACAGGTGTATCGAGGACAAGACGGCGGAACTGAGTGTTGTTCATTTCCTAGGTAATGATGACAGCTTAGAGATGTCAATGCAATTAATAAAGTAAAAATAGCTGGCTCTGGGGCCTCCACCGAGGGCTGATTTAATCTGAGGTTGTTGAGAGTTCTGTACTGAATCGATATTCCACGCCGGAACAGTCCCGCTCTTCGCCCTAGCCCCCAGACTGGGATGACTTCAATTAAGCTTGCTGTCCTACACCAATATAAGACCTCTGCCAACTCGCATTTTGCTTGACCGATAACATTTACTGGACGTGTCAATAATCATACGGCAGCTTCTATGAATCTGTGATAGTGCCAAGCTTCACATGAGCCTCTTGGACCTTCATAGCGAAAATGAACGACCCAAGCGGCGCCGTCCCTCCGCAATTGGTATGCCCTGCGTAATCTCCTTACTTGAAGCCGTAGAGGAGTAGCTTATCATTTTCTCCAGCTTCGCCACATTCACCTCGTGTGCAATCATCGATATGCGTTGATGCCACATCCAGACATCCAGTTAATGGCAAAGCACCTGCTTGAGGCTCCCAAGATCGTCTTAGGGGTGAGCACTATGACGTGGATGGCATTTCTTGAGCCTCCGCGTGACGGCACATTGATGCTGGTCTGGCAATCGCCTCGAGTAAATCAATTCGCGAGTGATGGATATCTTTGGGCGGATGACGAGAGAGCCTTCAGCCAGCCTATGAAGGGCTACGTGAGTTTTTCCAGTGCCTTCGGTCGATGTTACTCACATTTGCAGACAATGGAGATGTATGTAAGACAGCGTGGTTTTCGTCTGCGCTTCGAGCCTAGCACCATGCACGCACGCCGTCGCTTTCGACTTGTGCCGAGCCCAGAGCCCGGTCAACCTTCACCACAAGTCGACCCCTCCCTTTGGTTGATTCATTATTACCGTCAACCTGATCTTGAACATCAAATTCCAGCCAGCAGCGTTCGACCATCCATTCACGACCAGCAACTCATGCAGGAACGAAATATGCTACAACAGCAGGGACAATTGCTGCAATTGCAACACAAAGAGTTTATGCTACGCGATCGAGAAAACTGGCCTACGATCAATATGCCTGGAAATTCTGCTCAATCGTATCCACAGCAAGGAATGGGGTATCCTGGTAATGTGATGGCACATATGAATCGAAGCCAGCAATCAGCGTATATGCAAAATCCTCCAGCATCAATGGCATCCGGATCTACAGGCCCTGTCGCAAAGCGACCGCGCCATGGCTCAGTCAACCAGGCACATATTTCAAGCACTGCCATTCCAATGCGCAGTGCCGGACAGGACGCAACGCCAGATGATGAAGACTCGCTGGTCGGAGTGGACTATATGGATCTTTTAACACCTCGGGAAATCAGCTCTCAGAGATACAAGCAACATCACCAATGGCTCGAAGAAGTTCTTAGCTCTCCATTTGACACAAATCAGATCATCCCTGGAGAATTAGGACTTGGGCGGAAGGGTGAGCTTGAATCACTTACCAAAGATTTCTTCAATGCACATACTGAGGCAAACACTGGAGAAGAACGAGGAACACCTGAAGGTTTGGTGACAACCGAAATGTACAGGAATCGAGAGATGTTTGCAGAAGAGACACCTGCTGCTCGCGTCGGACAACTGGAGGACGGGAAATTCGATGATTTTAGAAAGCGAGCAGCACAGCGAGTGGAAGACCTACGCAGCGAAATGGAGCAGCTCAGATTGAGGCACTCTAGGAGAATGGAAAAATTGGCCAGGGGTCGCTCTTGGGGAGACATGGACCTAAAGCTCAAAGACGCTACACCAGACTTACTCAATGGATCTGGTCTCAAAATGAATGCAGCGGATGCCATTGCAATAGACTCGACGACTGAAGTCGCTGAAAGTAAAACCAAGAAGAAGATCAGGCTCATCAAACCCGTTGAGTGCACAGACAAAGGTGGACTGGAGGAAGGAATTCAGAAAAACGTCACTAAAGAAGTAGACGTCGAGATGAACGGTACTCCAACAGACACGAATGGGTTACAGGAACGAGAGATTTCCGAATCCCAATCTGAATCTCAATCCCAATCTCAAGCTTCAGCATTATCTCCAAGCGCCGCCGTCAACAGCACAGAGCACCAAGCATCGGAACTCTCTGTCAAGACGAGTGAGGTGTCCCCTGCTCCAGAATCCCAGGCATTTACGGAAGCTAAAGACCCTTCTCCTGAGGACTGGATCATGATCGATAAAGAAGCTGACGAGACCGAGAAAGATGATAGGAAAATTGCTTTTGACAGCTTTACAAATAATGACACACTGGAAGCTAGGGTGAGGCCAGAGGAAACTCCTCAAGTATCCGGGGACGTCGGAACAGTGGATGAAGACTTGACATTCGAAGACAATGACTTCGCTAGTGGTATCGACTTCGGGGATTTAGATGCTGCGGGAGATATGATGTCGTATGCGCAAGAAATCGAGACCATGGTTCCTAAAAACCAGGATGACATCAATCTAGGGGACCAAACATCCTTTCAAGACAACCCCGGTCCCGTAGCATCATCTGTCGCAGAAGAAGCTAACGGAGACATATCCTGAGGTTGAGCATGCGTTGCGTGCTTCCCTAAAGATTGAGCACTGGCCCGCGGACTAGGAGCGTAAGATAATGTTCAACTCTTGCACTTGGATTTCACCTTTATCAATGCAACCAACGTGAATGTTCTTCACATTTCGACCGCGTAGATGATGCAAAACCCCACCCGAAGACAAGAGAAATCTCTTGATGTGTTTCTTTAAGATGAAGAATGAACGCGAGTGAGGGCTAAAATGGCGCAGCAGTACTAAGATTGTATTTTGGACTAGAGCCAAATCGGTGGTGTGACTGAATGAGAAGATGCATTGATTGCCGCCGTGCAGCCATGAGTATAACACGAAATCTGTGCCTGTGATTGAGCACTCTGTCGAAGCCATTGGGGGGCCGGGGGTCAGCATTGTTCTCAGGTGAGAGAAGGAGATCAAAAGACCAAGCAGAGACAGAAGCTTATAAACCTACTGTCTTTCTGATTGATCCAAATGGTCTTTCTTCTTGCTTTTGGCGTAATCATTCGCGCAGTCAGATATCCTCGAAGTCTTTGCACAGCCCCTCGCGTTTGCCAACAAGGTGACTCGAGAGGGAAGCCACAATCTCAGCCTTGTTTTGACGAGATTTAGGCCATGATAGAAGTATGAAGAAATCATTTTCCAGCTTCGAGCATCCTTCTACAAACGGGCGTTCTCCTCCTCGCGGGCTTGAGTCTACTGTTCAATCCATTAATCACACAAATCAACCAAGTCTTGATAATCTCCTTGTGAGAATGCGTCTCCCAATACCTCTCGTTTCATCCTCCCATCGCAGTCATCAATCTGGGACACCTATCCGTGTGGTGGAGACCAGACGACCAGCGCCAAGATACGGCATCATTGTTTCTACGCCGCATGGTACTAGATCCCATCGGTCCCAAGGGGCGACTCGAATCAGGGAGAGAAGGACAACAAGATGGCGAAACTAGGTGGACTGCAAAGTTGAAGAAGTCACTTCGACCGAGACGGTTGAGATCATTTATAAAAGATGACACAGTATTGATAGTACCACAAGCGGTTCTGGAGGTAGTCACCTCAACGGCGTTCTAACTTTTGTTATCTGGAGGGATTGCCAGGGGCAGAGCATTCTGAGGGCTCTCACTTCCCGCTGCAACTTGATCAAGGATGTGCGTTTGGAGATGAATAGCACCTTGTAGAGATAGCATAATCAACAAGGGATTACATCTAGATAGGATGGACTGCCAGTGCTTCGAAATCCAATTGCTTGAATGGCCTATTTTTATGGCTTGACGGCTTCCTGAAGACGAACTGTCATTTTAAGAAGCTTTGAAGGGATTCGTAGACATCTCTACCCCCATGATATCTACGTAGATGCATCAGGACAAAACATCGCTTCTTCAGACATGCGAATCTTAAGAAAGCGGTTCTGCGGAGTAATTGCTGTGCCGATCAGGGTCCGACATCAAAGTAAGGTCACTTCTCAAGCTTCTACCCCTCCTCCTCTTGTTATAAGATCACACTACTGGTCGCAACCTCTTTATACCTTCCGGCGACGTGTGAATATCGCGTTGTTCGTATATCTCACAACAAGCTCAAATCTATTCTAGTCGCCATGTAAGGATTACCCTCGTTCATGACTATGTTGCGACAATTGGCAGCCTGCTGACTTGCCCATCCTCGTCAGGAATCGTTCACTATCAATCCGATCCAAGAAGGATAAGGAAAATTCTTCGGGGACCCAAAGCACACCTAAGCATCGTTTCACCATGGCGACTCTTCGGGGCATACAACAACCAGAGCTAAGCAAGAAGCTTTTCAAGATGATCAAGTCCGAGAATCATGCAATCGGCGCCTACGAAGCTGCTAGCCGTGAACGTATCTCGATTGCTTCTCAGCTTTCCGATTGGGGCGAAGCTACGAACGATGACTCCATCTCTGATATCTCAGATAAGTTGGGTGTGCTACTTTCAGAGCTTGGGGAGCAAGAAGATTTGTTTGCCCAGAACCTGGAAGACTCCCGCGGTGTCTTAAAACAGATCAGGAATACGGAGAGCTCTGTGCAGCCAAGTCGTGATCAGAAAGCAAAGATCTCGGATGAGATTGCCAAATTGAAGTACAAGGAGCCCACCAGCCCCAAGATAACGCAATTAGAGCAAGAGTTGGTACGAGCCGAAGCACAGAACCTCGTTGCGGAGGCACAATTGACGAACATCGTACACTTTCCCCTCTTTCTACCACCAACATCGCTAACCAAGTCCAGACTCGTCAAAAACTCAAAGAAGCCTACGACGTGCAATTTGCGGCCACCATCGAGCGCGCCGAGAAACAGATCATGCTCGCTCGCCACGGGCGCCGAATACTCAACCTTCTCGACGACACGCCCGTGGTACCGGGTGACACACGCCCCGCCTTCGAGCACGGTGCACAAGCCCGGCAGATCTTGAACGATGCTGAGGAAGACCTACGCGAATGGGCGCCGAATCTGGAACCTGTCACAAGCTCTGCAAAGGACATGACATCGAACCTGATGCCCAGCCAGGCCGGGACCGTTGCGCACAGTGATGCCGGTGACACCGTCACTACCACGCAAGGAAGCACGGTAGGAGATGTTGGATCACCAACGCACGGTGGGAGTTCGCACGTTGCACAGACTTCAGCATGAGGTTAGTCCAAGTGAGAATGGAAGGCGTGTCAGATATGTGAGTGAAGTTGGTTGATGAAATTGGGTTGTGCACCGCAGAGCGTGGACGCAGTACGATGGTACGGTTGGTAATGAGTAGCATGCATGGTTAAGTTTCTGATACCACTTTGCAAGAATTTCAATGAGGGCTGCTTCTAACTTCATGTTGTTTGATTTGTTCTAGCGATTGTGAAGGGGTACTTTAGTATTCCTAAATGCTGACGTGCAATACTCTCTTATCGTCTGTTCCCTTACTTAATCCTTCATTGCTTTTCTTTACTCTCAATTCGTTGAAAGATCTGCCCTTTTCTCTTTCATTTCCCTTTCCTTTCCAAAGACTTCTGGCGTTGCCATAGACTTCGGTCGACATCCGCGGCGCTTGGATCACTGCTCGAGCTTTGGGTGTGACTGGCTCCGCTTCTGCGAGGCGTTGCTGGTGATATCTACGCGAAAGTCTTATAAGGAAGCCGGGCCATAATTTCCTTCCTTCCATAGCATCAAGGTTCATATCAGGGCTGAGCATCATTGGTGAGGCAATCGTTTCTCGTGGGGGACTATACCAGTGCTGTCAGTCTAGTGAGACAGACGGGTGGTTCGACATTAGGATCTCACCCTCCGAGGTTCTTCATTTCAATTCGTTATCACACTTGATGCAGTGGTAGCGCTCCCCCGGCAGTGCCCCGAAGACAGGCAGGCATTGCCCTCCAGAACATCCGATTGTGCATTCATGGTCCGAGTAGCCGACTTTGCAGAAGGGCTCGGCTAGTGTTGATGCTTGCTGCTGCGAGGTGGCCGCGGGCTGAGCATTGGGAGGAGCTTCGCTAGATTGGTCGGAGCCAGTGGGTAAAGATGTGGCGGATAGGATGAAGGAAGTGAAGAGGAGTATGGTCGAGAGAGTGGGATAATGCATGGCCACAGGTGAGGGTATTGGTTCAGAGAAGCTGATATGAAGTACAGAGAGAACTAGACAAACCAAGCTTGTTACTCGACGTGGTGATTCGAGGAAATGACGCGTGCAGTTGGATGGAGGGAAGCTGGAGGCTGGGATGGATATTATAACGGTTGATAGAAAGGTCCCATCCCCTCTCTAACACGACTAAAGTCTGCCCACGGCGTCGCATCGATCCTCTGATTCTTCAGTTGCCTTCATTTATGACGGCAGGCCCTGCCAAGTGCCTAGAAGGAGAGAATGTGGAAAGCTTGCAGGGTCTGGTGGGGGGTGGCCGTGCCGCTGATTGGGCCCCAGGCCAATGGGGGACCGTGCCTGGAGGAGCCTGCGATCAGCCTAGGGAGCTGAAACCACTAGAGGGTACTCCTCTGACAACTTTGCGACATGACTTCTTCGCTCCTGTCTTCTCTTCATTTCAACCTGCTGTCCATCAATAATTTCGCTGCCGTGCGACAAGGTCAATACTAGCAATGGCATGCGCAAAGCAATATGCGACCTAATAGGAACGGATTTGAGCATGAACACTCGTGCATCATTCAACATCCTCGTGCCTGCTCTATCACAACTTCGAGCTGGGAACAGACTTTTCTGATTATTGTGCGAGTGCTTCACCAACTCGCTATTGTACCCTGATCTGGTAAGGCTTCTGTGATTTGGACGGTCCTTCAATCGACGTACGCTTTCAGATGTGCCTGCATCGACCTCACGTACGACCTTGGTTACCAGGGGTCGATGGCCCACTGGCTCGTGCTGTCTTTCATTCTTTCTTGATTGCATCGTCGTTAGCACCATGACTACTGCCTGCCTGCCTGCCTGCCTGCTGCTCTGCCTGCGTGGTGGTGGGATACCACCATACCTACTTAGTGCCTTCAGACTTCTGCTTCTGCACTGCTACGGCCCAGCAAACGACATAGTGGGGCCTGGCAGGAAGGAAAGTCTTCTTGTAAAGGAAAGGTTTGACTTGTTATATACTGCTAGACATAGTGGATACGCTGTTACAGGGGAGGGGGCCCCCACCTTGATAAGAGAGCTCGTCCTGCAGACAGAAAACATTCCCCTTCTTCTCCTTCATATGGCCACGGTGTATGTCCCGGGCTCAACACTGGCGCCTTGGCGCGACAACGCTAGATCACTCAATTGGTGCAAGCGATTTACGGGTGCCTGAGAATACTGACCGAGGGAAGGATGTGTAAAGCTGATCCAAGGCGATCACATACAGTTTGTCTCTATTTTCCCCAAAGTAGCTGTATGAACGCAATGGGCGAAGCTTTCTTTTCACGTGAGTACTCATTCTTGCGCTCCTCCACGGACTGTGATCCATTAAGCCGCGACTGGACAGCGATGATTTGTCGAACGGCGTATGATAATTTCAGGTCGTTGCAAATTGTATGTAGGCAACCCGCATGCATACTATGTGCATCAATACTGTGGCAGAGATCTGGTTAGACGGAGGGGAGCCACGCTCGAGATAATTGCCTACTGCAGCCCTGAAGATCTGATTTTTAGGGGTTGCGAAAGGGGGCCAGTTGGCTCTGAAGTACAGGTGGTAGCTAGAACCTTTCGTGGCCATGTTCCAATTATCTAACCCTGGGGCGATAAGTGCGATTCTTCCAAGGCTCAGCGTCCAACATGCATTTGTCATTGGACTTTCGTTGCCCAGAAGCCAACTCTTACCCCGTCCACAGGTGACAGCACAACCTCGCTCTTGTATTGAGGACCATCATTCGAAGAGTGACAATCAACACGCTCGAATCGCTGCAGAATTCGGACCGTTGTATAAGCTTTTCAGGTGGTCAGCACATACTATCGAGGCAGATACTAGGGTGTGGCCAACCTATCTCTGCCAGGGCAAATTGCTGGCCAATACATATTCTGGGCCCTCCATTGAATGGAATATAATGCCAAGTTTTGGGCGTCCATTTCTCCCAGCGTTCAGGGCTGAATTCGTGGGGATGCGGTAGATCAGGAGTATCGGGATATAGATCTTCTCTTCGCTGCATGTAAAGTGCCGAATATCCTATTGGAGTATCTTTGGCTATTCCGAGCGGGAGAGATCCGTCGTGGCCGCCTCCGCGTGGCAGAGTTGTGTCGCAGAACGACCAGCGGACCTTTTCGGAAGAACAATCAGCTCTGGCTGCTCGACAGATCCTCCCGTTGTAAACTTACGTTGAATGGTACACTAGGGTACAATCGTAACACCTCATTCATCACATTCTTCAAGTAAGGCATACTCTTCAAATCCTCGTAGCTTGGTCTCTTAAAATTTCCAACCTTCTCTAATATCTCCTTTCTCAATTTCGCCATCATCTCAGGGTGTTTGGATAATTCCATGAAAAGAAAGCTCAGTGTCCCAGCTGTTGTATCTCTACCAGCCAATAGAATGTTGACGCATTGGTCTCGGATGACTTTCCTGTCTCGTGTCCCTGTTGCGGCGACAGCTTGAAGGAAAGACTGGTTCGAAAGTTGTTTTAAATCTTGGAGGTTCATACGCAGGGCTTGCTCCACGTATGGTTCCACAAAGGTATTGATGCGCTTGAGAGCACGCCAGAAAGAGTTTCGTGGAAGCAGCACATTGAGTGGGCCCACCCTAGCTACCTGGCTTTGGAAACGCTGTACCTCGTTGAAACTCTCAGCAAAGTCAGTCTGCGGATTGTCTTGACTGTCGACACTTTGACCAAGAAGGTAGTCGGTTGCTCCATCGAGGGTGTAGCGGTAGAAAAGTGCCGCTACGTCAACCTCTTGACCTTGTCCGCCAAGTCTTACAATGACGCTCTGCACATGTTTCTCGAAAATGTCTAGATCCCGCATGCGTTCCTTCACGAATTGCGGCCGGATGAGCTGACGGCTTGCGTGCCAATTCTCATGGTCGCTATTGAAGATGCCATCGCCAAGGAAGTGCTTCCAATCTTCATGGAAAGATTTTCCTTTGCCATAATCCTGGAACTGCGTTGCTAAAATTGCTTTGATATTCTCGGGGTCTGCAGTGAAGATGAACCGTTGTCGACCGATGTACGTTTCCACTGTGGGAGAGCTTTTGTTTGGACTGTGGGAAAAGAGCCAGGTCCAGAGATTTAGATCCTCATGTTTGTAGGTTGTATACAAGCCGCGGAAGGCAATATCAAGACCAAACGGCAGATAGAATGGGGCCCGTGGAGGTAGAGAGCCTAGGCGTTGGATATGGATACGTTCTCGGTAGGAGTTCAAGAGCAAGTAGCAAGTGAAAACCCCGAAGACGGAGGCGAGTGAAACCCAAGGGTTTTCGAATATAATTTTGAGCATGACGGGAAACAGAAACTTGACAACACAGTGGAGATTTATAGGAGAGGATATGAAAGGACGTTTGTGTAGCCCAAGCTCATTTTACACAGAAAGAATAGGGGATGATGTAATTGTTAACTTACACGCGCATGAGTGAATCAAGCAGGTTGACAATAGCTAATCAAGCTCATACAACACAGTGAAGGCGACATCCACCTACGTGGGGAGATCTACCCCTCTCTGTGTCTCTCTTGCTCTTTCCCCGCGTGATATCAGCCTAGTCATCAGTCTAGGAGCAACAATGCCTCGGCGGAGGCGAAGCGAGCCGCATTTTCTACAGCCGCAGGGTGACACGTCATGGACAGACTCGACAATCTCGCCGACTCGATTTCAATCTCCGTCATCTATTTTGTCTCCATGAAGAAAGACAGCTGCAGGACCCTATGGAATGGTGGCAAAACGACTTTTCGTGCGCCAGTCACAATGATCACCCCGAGGTCCGTTACAGTGAAGATACTCACTCACTGGCAAGAAAGACGAGCTGGTCCCTCTCAATTTTGGTGAGAGGCGGAGTCCCCAAATGCAAAGAATGATCGGCTACATCTTCTTTAGAGGTGGGTAGGTAATTCAGCTGACTTCCCCTCGGATGTCTCTTTGCACTGGTCGGTCGACGCAACGAGAACATTGAGTTCTGATTTGAGGGAGGTCAGATCTGTCATTCACCTTCCGAATAGATTTGAATGCGATAGGGTGACCTGGAATCCCCCGTCAATCCAATCGGAACATCACTGCGGGATATGTACCCAGATATGGAAGGCCTGCACAGAACGGAGGTCACACGCAGAATGAGCCAGTCAGCTCCACCCTCCATCATACAGCGCACCAATTCGAACTCGAGATAGTAGCGGGCGAGTCACAAGAGTAGAGAAGCCATCAGTAAGAAAGTCTCGCAACTGAGCTTTGCATCGTTTGCACTCCCCTGTTCAGTCCACACCCATACAGCCAGGGAATTAGCCATGATGGCGGGCGAATGCACAGTGGAGGATATCACGGCTGGAGAGAATGATTAATTATATTATTACTGTATGTATTTGATCGCTCAGTCTATGCCATTTCAATCATTAGTCCCGTAAGTGAGCACTTGCCTTCCGAGCCGTTTCCGAAGTACCTTGTACCTTAGCCTATCCTGTTCTTCGTTCCACGCTATGCTAAAAAAAAGCAAATCCCTCATAGTGTATATAGACAATCAGAATGTGAGCATCAGTATTGCCATTAAAGCCAGCGCCACCGTCAAAAGTGGTCCAGAGGCGCCGAGACTAACGGCGGCGCCCTCCGGCTTCGAAGTCGACTTGGATATGGCCGGACTTGTCGAAGCCGAAGATTCTTCCGCTGCTTGTGCCTGCACGGGCGAAGTCGTCGCCGGTGTGCTCTGTGCATTCTGTGCTGCCGCAGCCGGGGATGAAGCCCGTGTATCCAGAGCTGGAGTGTCGACTATCAAGAAGCCTTTGTCGTCGTAATGTTTTTGAGACCCACTAGAGATCTTTACTGGAAACCCTTGGCCGTCGTATGCCGTCTCTCCATCAGACCCACCAGCTGCCGCACCCTGTTGCGAGCCCTGTGACGACGAAGATGGCGAAGTAGGTGGGGGCGTTACCTTGAGTACACCGGTTAGTAAGGTATGTCGCCGGAAAGATTTGAGGGTGGCTCACTTACAGGTGCAGCACTAGGAGGTAGAACTTTCCCAGCGCTAGTCACAGTCCAGCCTTCTGGTAGTCCAGGATAGGTTGTGACAGTGGGCGTTCCGCTAGTTTGCAGGGTGGTCGGTGACCAATTTCCGGCGTTGGGTTGATACGTATTTGTCGCAGATTCCTTGTGGGTGCCGTCAAAGGGCATCGGTCCACTGTTGGTACTCGCTGAAACTTGGGGCGCCTGTTGATTAGTACTTGAACCCTTGCCGCCTTTCGAGTTCACTGAACCGCCAACAGCTTGGATCGATTCCCAAGTTCCGTCGCTGCCTGTATACTTGTACTGCGAGCCGGTAGAGTAGTCGGTAACTTTGATTGATTTAAGTTGCATCACCGATCCTCCATTGGTGAAACTTGATGCCCCCCCAGCCCATTGCACCGTGCCAGGCGCATTTGAACTGCAGCCGCCACACCAAGCACCAACTTTCACCATCATAGGCGTTTGAGGATACGGATATTGGCTTGCTGTCGAAGATGAGAGTGATCGTACAGGTGATCCATCGATTGACCAGACAACCTGATCTGCGGTCCAGTCGATGCTGTAGGTCTTGAAACCATCGTGATTACCTGGCGCTGCATGGAAAGCCCCTCGATTGTAGTTGAGAGTTTTACCCTGGCCAAAATAGTTGGTTTGGACTTGGTTGTCGTCGCCACCCAGCCATTCCCAATCTATCTCGTCGAGGTCGTCAGACTGTAAGACAGCACTACTGACGATGCCAGTACCGGGTGCTGCTTTGATCACGAAATCTACATGACCAAACATGATGTACCACTTCGAAGCTAGCTGAGGTGAGTCGCCATCTTTGGCAACTGTAAAGGAAGCGCCGTTTGAGTCGTAAGTCGGATTGCCTGTTGGTGTGAAGGAGTCTGATGAGCCTTTAGTGAAGTCTATGCTAACATCCGTTTTGCCGAGTGCTGAATCTGGTGGGCAACTACCTACAGCAATAGTGAGTTTTTAGGACAATAGAGAACATTCTACAGATTTTAGACTTACCACCTGTGAGAGGATTACATGTTGAATATGTCTGAGCTGAAACTTGTGAGATGGTAATTGCGGCGGTTGTGATAATGCTGATAACTGTCGAGGACCTCATCGTGAGGCTCACTAGTGATGCGGAAAAGTGCAGAGCAGACCAAAGCCGCGCGAGTTTTTCGGTGACCTAGAAAACGCGGCAGTGATGATGTTCGCGGAATGACAAGGCAAGAATGGTGACTATGATACAAGATGGGGAATGGAATCGCGCTGTGACTGTTTGCAGCAATGGGAATCGGAAAGGAGAGAGAGCACTTAGCGAAGTTACCGGTTTTCTATGCTACCATAATTATTCTGACCACCGAATTCTTTCCAGCCTCGTTATCGTTAATTAGGTTAGGAGTGACGTGGATATTGTTTCTAGACGAATGGCATTGTACAAGCGGGTCGAATATTTAATTGATGGCTGCGAACATCCGTAGCGCCAGGGGCTGGTAAATGTTTACCAAGATATCGTCGGCTGGGAGATGAGATTAGATAGCGGCTCGGACCGTGCCTCGCTCTCGGGACTTGAGCGCCAAGGACTCACTAGCACTTAGTAGGACTAGCGCCTGCTCTCTCGGCTGGAGCTCGAAAAGATTCTTTTCACGTTCTGTGACCGATACAATGGCCGAAGGACTAGCTCCTGAGGAGCGCCTTGCTCTCATCAAGGAGAATCTGCAAGAAGTTCTCAAGCCTGAGATCATAGACAACATCATACTCACAGAACAACGCCCACTCAAGATTTACTGGGGAACTGCTACCACCGGTCGACCACATTGCGGCTATTTCATATGTATAGTAAAAATTGCACATTTCCTGAAAGCCGGCTGCAATGTCAAGCTCCTCCTTGCGGACATACATGGTTTTCTTGACAACCTGAAAGCTCCCTTTGAGCTTGTTCAATTTCGTGCGGAATACTACAGGCGATTGATAGTATCAATGCTCAAGTCAGCCAAGGTACCAATAGAAAAGCTTGAATTTGTCACTGGTAGTGATTATCAGCTATCGTCGAAATATTCCATGGACCTTCTTCGTATGAGCGCTGTCTGTACGGAACACGACTCGAAGAAGGCTGGGGCAGAAGTTGTAAAGCAGGTGGATAATCCCTTGTTGTCAGGCCTCATCTATCCACTCATGCAAGCATTGGATGAAGAATATCTGGGTGTGGACGTGCAATTCGGTGGTGTGGACCAGCGCAAGATCTTCACGTTGGCTGCGGAGCAGCTTCCGAAACTTGGGTACAAGGAAAGAGCACATCTGTTGAATCCCATGGTCCCAGGTCTGGCTGGTGGCAAGATGTCAAGTTCAGAGCCCGACAGCAAAATTGACGTCTTAGATTCTCCAGATGTGGTAAGAAGGAAGTTGAAAAAAGCACATGCCGCGCCAAAAGAAGTAGAGGGCAACGGTGTCATAAGTTTCGTCGAACATGTTGTACTCCCGGTCAGCCGACTCCAGGGAGATGGGCAGGGGAAGTTTGTTGTCGAGAGGAAGGATCAAGAGCCCCTAATCTATAGTAACATCGCAAAAGTAAAAGAAGATTACCTTGCTGACATCGTAAGTCCCCATCACTACTCATACACGCTGTTCTGGGCCATACTGATCTTCTTAGTTGACACCACAAACCCTCAAACCCGCGGTGGCAAACGCTTTGCTTGACCTACTGGCACCAATACAAGAGGAGTTTAAATCGTCACAAGAGTGGCAAAGTATCGAGCAGAAGGCCTATCCGCCTCCAGAAGTCAAAAAGAAGGAAAAGAAAGCCAAAAAGCTTGGCACAAGGTTCCCCGGCGGTGCAAGAGGAATCGAAGCCAAGGCAGATGGACACGTCGAAGGTAAAGGTAAAACTGAAGTAGACCTAACAACGAGTTCTGCGCAGGCGATGCAGAAACTAGCGATCAGATCTGACGAAGCTACACCGAGCACATGAATCCACCTGCTGCATATCACTAAGTAAAGGCATCGACTTAAAATCTCCCTAACATATTGCAAATAGCCGGCGAATACAAGAGGACTCAATATTTCCTCCTGCGGTTACTTTTACCATGCTACTGTCTGTCCGTGTAATTCTAGAGGTCTTATCGCTTTGTACCAAAACGATGAGCACATTCATGCTGCTTCCACAAGCATGCGATTCTCCCAGAGCCTGTCGCAAAATCCGAAAGCTGGTCCATCGCGACCTAGAATCTGACTTTCCTCGCATGCTGCTTTCATCAATGTCAGCTTGCTGGCTTCGGCATCACGGTTTTCAAAGACCTTCAGCCTCAAATAAGTACACAGTCTGTGAGACCTACTGCGGGTTTGCGAAGCCGGGCAAGTTCAGGTCCCATTGACCAGAAGACAGCTGGCAGATATGGCTCCACCCGACGAATTCTTTCAATGAACTCCTGGTCTTCAGGGTCGTCGGTCCAGAATCTGAGCCACGTTTTCCAAGTCGCCAGGCGGATAGGACTAAACCAATGTTGCCGCATACGTGTAAACAAAGTGGCCGGCAATCGCTCCCCCGCCTTCAACTGAGACAGGCCTCGCTGCTCAAAGTCCTCTGTACCATCGTAAATATAGCGGCGGTACTTGTCCTGTCTCTCCAAGATTTCATCGCGCTCTTGAAGAACTTCCAACGCTACTGATTTGAAGGAATTCATGTAATTGACAAAGTCATTCTCGTTGAAGCGTCCACATCTACTTGGGGTACCTTTTAGGCTCCAAATTGTCCTCTCGAATGTCACTAGTACGCAGTATCGACTCTCGGGAAACATTGGTAGTAGTTTTATGAGGCCTCTGAGCTCCTCTTGAAATGCCTCCGATAGTTCTTTCATAGCCGTGATCGGAGGTGTGTTAATGGACTCGATGAACTGGCCATCTCGTATGCTCTTGAGAAATGGCAGCGGCGCTAGACCCATCTCAAATCCTTGCAGCAGGATATCGGCAAGGCAGTAGAGCTTCAATATCAACACACTTCTCATGGGCGGGGACGTGGCAACAACAAGGGCAAGGTCGATTTCTCTATTCACATCTGTGTGAACGTCCTCAAGGGCCATCGGTGTTGAAAGAGCGGGTAGCACTGAGGGATCAGACGAATGCATTAAAGGTGCCATACTGCTCGTTTTACCTGTAGTGTGAAATTATGCTCGCGGTATAAGAGCTAATGTTTTTCAATTTCTCTGTACTTGAAACTACATTCATACTAAGTCCTGAGCCTTTAAAGTAGAAAAGGGGATGACTGGAATATGGTGTGGCTTCCTTTAAGTTCAAGATCGTAAAGCTTATGGTACTTCGATACTTCCGGGGCTTTTAAAGTCATATCGAAAAGAAACGGAAAATATTCTCAATCTGCAATTTGATGTTGCTTTGACAGCATTTCTTCACAAAGTAGCTATTGCTTTGGATACATATTTATTGATGCGATCGGTGCACCTAGAGAACGCGCGCACGACACTTGAGCCTTAAAAATAACGTAATTCTTCACGAGGTAGGAACATCAAGTAGATTTGCCTATATTAGAGTAATTGCAACGAATTGAGCGTCACCTACCGACAATTTGTCCATCTCTTGAAGGAGTCTCCATCCAGCGAGCATTCACCTGCGTTGCACAGGCCATGACGGGGTCGGGGAAAATGAGCTTCTAGCCGCCTTGCAGTTTGACTGCATAGGTGCAGTTGAGATCTAGAAATTGAGAGAAAGATCAGGTTGAAGAAGGAGAGAGCACGTATGCGATGATTCCTCAAGGTGAAGACAGGCACGCCAGCTCGATTCAATGCCTTTCAGGGGCAAGGCCGTCTCAGACTTGAGAATGAAGGCGAGGGTGCATTCGATATATACGGCAATATGCCTAGTACCACCTTGAAAGAGGGACTATTTACATCTGCCTCTGATTGTCATGATTGGCAGCAAAGACTGCCATAGAACCAGTCTATCGGACGCTTGCTCCTGGACGCTTGCACGGTTATGGTCTAAGTCCTTGGGGATTGAGAGCAGTACTCCCCTTCGATCTGTGCTTTGACGTCCTCGAAAAGTGCGTTTCAAGTCCAATGATGAAGATGTTGGCGCTATCATCTGATAATTCAAATGTCTTGAGTAAGTGAAGTCCTCGCTTGCTTTAACATCTGAATCTGTTCAGTTCAGGCATCTAGTGACCTCGAAAGTCTGCAGTAGCATGCATATGACTTGATCACTGGTTATGTAGATCCACTGGTACTATCCACAACGTGCAGGACAATCATATGCTTTGAATTTTAATAGAATGTGTCAGGAAGGTATCTGAGGAGGCAGATCAGCATGCTGAGAGCTGCGTTCAATTCTGAAATATGCGCGGCTGATCTTGGCCCCGCCGCCCACTTCGCTCCTAGTGCCCCGCAGAAGCCTGCTTTTGCCAAAGAAAAGCGAATCGAGGTGGCGATCTCACGTAAATAATGAATCTTCAACACCTTCCTTTGTTGATCTCCATCCCTTTTGCGCGTATCATATGCGTCTGACACATACGCGTGCATTCGAGTGTCCCTTCAAATTCTGTGCGCCTGCTCTCTCCCCCATCTCAACCTGTCGAACCCACTATCTACTCTCGCCCAAAATTTGGTAAAGCCTCCAAAAAGTTCACAAGATGGCGGACGACATGGAATACTTACAACCCTCATTTAATCCTTCATCCGTCACCATGCCCCGGTTGCGCAATATTCTCATGACCCACGAGATACCTTATCCAGCGTCGGCAAAAAAGGCCGATCTCGTTACTATCTTTGATCAAAAGCTCAAGCCGCAAGCCCGCAAGCTGCTTGCTGCACGTGATCGTGTAAGGCGAACGAGCGAAGGCATCACTCATGTCCCGAGTAGTCAAGACAGCAGCGTGGATGGCAAAAGCGACTCTAGGTCGTCCATGGCCCCTCCGCCTATTCCAGACACACCTCGGTATCGCAAACCAAGGAAGAACAATCGCGTGAGCTCAGATGGTACAGCATCAGCATCGGAGTCTAGGGACTCAACTCCTGGGGGAGACGAAGCTCGACTAAGCACGCTAGACAGTCAGACACCGAAACAGAGCCAGAGCTCCCCAAGCCAGCATCGCGCAAACCTCGGAAGAGTGAAGCAACACCCAAAATAAAGGTAGAGGACGCCGATGACAGACAGAGTCGACCTCAAATGCCCGAGAGCGCTTTCAGTAATGAGAATCCGTTTCAGAGTGGAAGTTCGCCATTAATCGAGGCTAATCGGCGAAAGACTGCCGGCTCGAGCGGTGAAAGAAGAAAGACCTCTTCGAGTCGAAGGAGAACAGAAGGGGTTTCGAATCCAAGAGTCAAACAGGAGCAGACAGATGGCATTGTGGTGCCCACGTCGAGGACATTCGAGATACCGGTGTCAAGGTTAAAAGCTGAGAGTGAAGAAGACCCGTCAGGTGTTGAGGCCGGAGAGGACTTTACACCGGAAGAGCAACTGGAGCTTGTAAGAGACAGAGCGAGAAACGGTGAAAGCGATATATTGCCTCCCAGGAGAGTGCGGAAGTCGAAGACTTCAAGCAATGTTCCGAAATCACTGCCTTGGATGTTCCTTACAGCACTTCTAGGAGGCTTCGCTACTTGGTATCGACAAGAGAAATTAGCTGTAGGCTACTGTGAAGTTGGAAGGTCTTCAGACGCATTGACTCCGATCAACATACCAGAATGGGCTAGCGACCTGCAACCGACATGTGAGCCGTGCCCACAACATGCTTTCTGTTTTGAAAACTTGGGGACAGAGTGCGAAGAGGGGTTCATCCTACGATCTCATCCTCTTTCGCTGTCTGGTCTCGTACCACTACCACCAAGCTGTGATCCTGATGGCGAAAAGGCACGTAAAATCAAAGCCGTGGCTGATCGCGCCGTGGAGGAGCTTCGTAAACGCAATGCTGAAGCTGAATGTGGAACACTAAAAGATTCGGATGGTAAGGCGCAGTCGCCAGAGATTGCAGAGCAAGATCTCAAAAATAGAGTAGGGGAAAAGAGGAGACGGGGAATGACTGAAGCAGAATTCGAAGACTTGTGGAAAGGCGCTATAGGCGAGATCATCGGCCGTGAAGAGGTTGTGCAGGGTAAAGAATCTCCAGATGGGTAAGTCCGATTCTTCTCGTACCCTTGCTACCCCTCTGTTCATGTTTTCTCTATTCCCAACACGTCAAACGACTTATTCTGACCTGCGAACCCAACTAATCAGACTCGCCTCTTCGGAAACAGAACCCGACTTGCAAGCACCTCTCTCTCCAGACTCCCCTTCGTCTGCTCCGTCAGACGATCCGCGCGCCTCACGCTGGCGCGATATCGAGTCCCTCTTTCCGTCGTAGCACTCATCACCTTCATTGTCCTGTACATCCGCAACAAAATAAGGCAGAGACGTGCAGACGCCGCTCGTGTACCGTCCCTTGTCGCTACTACCCTGGATCGATTGGCCACACAAGCTGCGCTGTACTCTCGAGGTGACAGTATCGAGAGCTGGATCAGCGTCGGACAACTCAGGGATGACGTGCTAAGGGATGAATTCAGCGAAAAGCGGCGAGAGAATGTATGGAAAAAGGTGAGAGCTGTAGTGGAGGGGAACGCGAATGTTCGAGCAAGCTCGAGAGAATTGAGAGGTGGAGATGTCAGTCGAGTGTGGGAATGGATTGGGAGTATTGGTCTAATAGACGATCCCGGATTCTTGGGGAGGAAGAGTGGCGGAAAGCGGGTCAGCTGGGGTGAAGTCGTCGAGGAAGACGGCAAGCCCGAGGGAAGGCTGAGTCCACCCGCTGAGGACGGCGTACCTGAAGGGAAAGGAAAGGCCATGGAACAGAGGAGATGGGATGAGGGAAGACCCATCTACTAATTCAAATTGCCAAGCATTCACGGGCATGAGGTCTTGGAGTGGATTGGCTGGGCGTTGTGTTCAAGATTCTGCAATTGATGGTCGTTTTCAGAGATACCACTATGCCTTGCGTGGCGAAAGGGAGGTTGAAGTACCTGAAGGAAGTAGCTTGAGTACAAGTCCTGCAGATTTGGTGAATGCAGTTTACCACGTTATGAATGCGAAAAGTCCGTGCTACAAGATGATGTTCCTTTATTTGACAGAAATCTTTAACTTTATGGCTCCGTGGAATAAGTATATACATAAACAGCCTCTCTCTGTCTCTGAATGCTATCTATTATCATTTTACATAACTTCGTATGCATTTCTTGCCGTCTCTGCTCTACACCACAGGATGACCACAGATGTTCTAAAGCAAAAACATCCCAACCGATCCCATAAGCAACCATCCAAACCATTTCTTCAGTCTAACCTCGGCCCTACCGGAGCCTCCTGTGAAGGTCGCAGGTCCCGTTGGTAACGGTATCACACTGCTACTTCCCATATGTATCCCGTCACCGCCTACAGTAATCGGCGTCCCACTGACTGTAGCTGCGGGACCACCTTGGCTAAGGGTAGTCCCTCCAACAACAACATCGCCGTCACTTTCAACAGTGAGGATCTGCCCATCAGTGGTCATAGTGGTTGGAGTTATGGCCCCGGCTTTATTGGAGGCTGGAGTCGCGAAGGCATAGGTCGAGGAACCGACAACAAGGCCACCTGAAGCAAGGGAGATGGGGGTTCCGTTGCTGTCTGTGAGAGGCGCACCATTAATGGAGAGTGTAGAGCCCGAAATTAAAACTTGCGAGTTACCAATCGGCGTGAACGTCTCCCCGGCTGCGGTTAGTGGACCAGATGAGTTGCCGGCATTAGGGGGGAAGTGGCAAGAGGAATAGTGGAGGTGCCCACTACGAGTGCGGAGGCCGAGGGGGCAAGAGAGTAGGGTGTACCACTTATGGTGACGGCTGGTGAACCTGGGAGAAGGGTTGTACCAGCGATGGTGTAGCCGCCGTTGGGTGCCTGGACTAGGCTCTGGCCTGCTGCGATGAGAATGGGGGGAGATGATGGTGAGACCTGGTTGACGGGGACGGTGTTAGTGCCAATGACCAGGGCTGAAGGGCCAAGAGAGACAGGAATTGAGTTGCTGATGGTGATGGGTGCATCACCCGCGTGCAGAATGTGACCGCCGATTGAGACGCCGTCAGGTAATGGAACGATATTTTGACCTGCCACATTTGTGCTTGGAGGTGGTGTAATTTGAGGAAGACTGAACGCTTGATCATTGACGTGAATGCTGTTGGAGGCATCAAGAGAGTACGTAGAGCTAGATACCACAACAGGGGGTCCGCCTTGCTGGAGAGGCTTATTTTGAATTTGGTATGCGCCATTGCTGACTTGTACAATCTGTCCACCAGGAAGAGTAGTTACTGCTGATGGTGCATTTGCTGGCAATTGGATACTCGGTTGCTGTTCCCCTGTACCTACTGCACTGTGGGGCACAACGTAAGCCGGCTGTCCTCCGACTAATTTGGGCGCTGCATCATTTCCAGTTGGCAGTGGAATACCATCAACATATACTCGACCATCTCCGTTGTTCACGATTGTATGTCCTGAAGCAACATTCGTAGCAGCTACTGGTGGGGGCTCAAACGTCTGTCCATTGACAATGGCGTTACCTTGCGGATTGACCTGTACCGTAGACCCTTCGACTATTGCAGAAGGTCCTCCTGGACTGAAAATCTGATCTCCGACCTGCTGCTTTCCATCTGGCAAACTCACAATTGGCTGGCCGTTGACAACCGCAGCCGGTTTAGCAGGTATTTGAGGGACCTCAAAAGTATTGCCGCCGATAACGACATTTTGAGGTTGCGAGGGAGGCTGTGATTGTCCAGCGGAGTTTCCTTGAGCATCGGAACCACCTGCACCACCTTGAGGAGAGCCTTGCGGTTTATTTGGTGCGGGTTGTTGTTGCGCTGGCAGAGAAGCGCCTGCGTTGATCTGCGGATCGCTATTCGCCGCCCCTTGTTGTGGTAATTGATTTTGTCCGGGCTGCTGTCCTTGAGAACCTGATTGTGGTTGAGCTTGAGCTTGGTTTGGCTGAGGCGCAGGATTCTGCGCTTGCGGCTGCGCGTTTGATGGGTCATTAGCAGCTGGTGATAGAGCTTGCTTCAATTGACCCATCTGCGCATTGTTCAAATTATTAGGGTCTGCATTACCCTTATTCTGGTCTGTGTTGCCATTATTAGGGCCGAATTGAAGGGCAGGCTGCGAGTCACTAGGCTTTGTTGAAGGGTCTGCAGGCTTCTGAGGGTCTGCAGGTTTCTGGGGGTCTGTGGGCTTCGGAGGATCTGCAGGCTTCTGGGGGTCTGCAGGCTTCTGGGGGTCTGCAGGCTTCTGGGGGTCTGCAGGCTTCTGAGTTGGATCATTTGGAGCTTTGCTACCACCTGGTTGTGGGGTTGGCGCAACTATCGGCTGGTCAGGAACAGACGCAGGTACTGCCGCAGCAGCTGGAGTCTGCGCAGGAGGAGCCAGAAGCGTCTCTTTACCCTGGCAGTCTTTGCAATCGCCCGGTTTTTTGGGTAGATCCGGCATTACCTGATTTGGGTCTCCGGCTACTTGGGTAGCTCCAGCAAGGGCTCTGGGTGGATCAAGACCGGTAAAGTAGTACGGGTCTGTGCAATCATGCCATGATGGATCCAAGTCGAGTACTTTTTGAGGGACTGCCAACAATGGGCGATATGGTTCGCCAGGTGCGGGTTTGTACCAATCAGCTTCCATGATTTCCCTTGAAGGACAGGGAAGATCAGCAAAATCGAAGACTTTCGTTGCCGTCTGTGGTAGGTTATAGCCTGGTCCTAAAACATGGCCCTGTACGGTAGAAAGCTCTCCCGGAGTGAATGCTAACATAGTGCTATGAATAGTACCAACTCCCCGGTGTCCACAAAAGTCTTTTGCTTCTAGATCGGTAAATGCAACGTAGATCGATGGAGAGATGAAAGTGTGGCCATCGGAGACTATAACACTATCGTGTCCAGTTTCCCCCTGTGACTTGGTGCCATTTATGCCTAGGGGTGCTTTTTTGATAAGTTTTGGACGCGCCCTTATAGACACTGGAGGCGAAGTGATCGTCGAAGTATCTTTGGATTTATCTGCACTCAGAGGTCTCGTAGTAGTCACTGAGGGCATATCCGTGCCCTCACCATCATCTGCCCAGGGGTTCACCAAAGCCTGTTTAATAGTAATGCCGTTGATCGTCATAATTCTAGCCGTAGTTTTAGTTCCCACATAAATATCAAGCGGATTTGTCACGGTGCCCCAAAAGATTTCGCCGCCCTCGTCCGTCATCGCCCCTTCAAGAACGGGGTTCACTTTATCACCTATAATCGATAGGCACGATTCGTCCGCATCTGGTTCTGGCCAGTAGTAAACATCAACATTTGGTCCAAACAGTTGGCACGAGCCGCAACCGCAGTCACTTGTAGAAATTGGAATCGGCGGATGAGTCACAACCCTGGTACCGGGCGGATAAGTAGATATCTCGTTCGAGCGCCAAGTGACTTCTTGGCTGTCAAAAGTGTCGGTGAGAGTTGTTGTTTTCGAGGTAAGAAGATCTGTAGCATATGAAGCGTAATACAAATTCTGGTCGGACACGCACTGGGAGCCCCTCATGTAAGACTTAGCGGCAACGCTCAAAGAAGAACTTTCGGGCTCAACTGCCAAGCCTCTACAGGATGTCAGGTTGAAACCAAGGTCATCGAAGCAAGGGTCTTCCTGCAATGCATAGTTGGTCCCGTTCGGACCAAACCACTTTTTGCGTGCCTCAGCCTTTGTCAGATCGGACTGACATGTGGGATCCCACAGTATGCATTGTTCTTTAATCCTGGTAGTAGCAACAGCTGGTGTTGTTGAGGTGTTACTTGAGGTCTTGTTTTGGTTCTGTAAGTCTAGCATCGCAGCGTAGTAGCAGGCGGGGAGTGGGCATTTCACTGAGATTGCAGTAGGGATGAGAGGTTTGGAGTTGCTGCTACCACCGGAGGGCGGGGGGGTTTGCGAGGGGATTGGGCGTAGGCTGGACGCTGGTGATCCAGTAGTAAGATAATAAGGGGTGTTTGCTGTGGAACTGGCACCGGAGGTAATCGAGCTCGAAGGTTGCGCGCCTGACGAGGATGACCGAGAGCTGGACGATGGCGAAGATTGGGAGCTTGATGAGGACGAAGCGCTGGATGACGCATTCTTAAGACTCGAGGAGGATGATTCATCCTGTACCTCCCTCCATCTTATCACGCTCACGAAAGTCGTAGGCCCGGTCAGAGGTATTTTCTTGAACTTGTTCATTTGCCATTGTATATCGATCTCCACGGTAGTCGGGCTGGAGAGAGGCACTGACACTGTATACTCGCCCTTTATTATTTGATCGATATCAGGGGTGACGGTGCTGTGAGGTATGTCATCTGGGGCAAATCAACTCTCATTATCATGTACAATGGAGCCCTTTGGAGCGAGACATACCTTGGGCTGGATTGTTCTGTGCGAGAGCAAGGCAAGAAATACAGAACAGCGCAAGTAACGATTGGACGACGCATGCTCGCAGCATCGTATGAGAGGGCGCTCTTTGCAATCATAGGCAATTGAAACAAATGACTGAGAAAGAAAAGAACGCACAAGGAGAGCGTGTGAAGCCAACAAACAAGATAGTCCATGTCATGTTCGGGCTGATCGATACATTAGATGCCTGTGCCATTGTTACCATTGTGAAATGCTGGCAAACTCCACACGTTTCACGCGCTTTAGCAAGCGGAACTAGAGCTGGGAGACAAATCCTTCGAGCCTGCACGAGCATGCAAGGTACCGGGCTGTGAGGCACAGGTGAGTAAAGGGCTGATTGACGAGGAAGCGGAGGAGGAGGGCGTGTTTCCCCCTCCGCTCAAACTAAGAAGCCAATGAGAGGGAAGGAAAGAAGCACAACATGAGGCGAAGGATCTGACTTGCATCTCGGGACGCCGAGCGTTTATGTCGATGCTCGATAGCTCCACTGCAGCGGCGCAGGTAATATCACAGACATGCGAAAGCGACGTCAATTGGTTTACGCGATGGTAGTGGGTGGTAGTGGAAATATGAAAGGGGCAGAGAAAGAAGGACAAGCAGTGGGGGGGTTAGCTTCTTCGAGGTAAGTGCTGACTCGCATGTTTCACATCGCCGTCGACGGTGCCAAGGCTGCTCCGCCCGGCTGGGGACCCTCGGACGGGAGATCTAGATCAGGTGCAGATAGAGATCTACGATTCGTCAATTATGACTATTAGTCAGCACTCTCTGGTCTGCCCTATGGCGGTCCCGCGCTTGATGTATTTTCGTTTATGTTCAGTCGAGCTAAGGATGACTATTCCCGTTCGCACGTTACTACGTGCGAGGCGGAGGGCAGGAACATTGAAGTTCGTTCGACTACTAAAGTATCGCGTCGGATGGACCTTACACTGCCGTCATAGCTAGCTAAGATACGCTTCAGGCAGGTCTTTACGAATCATGACACAGTCTTTGAATAATGCTAGAGATGGGAGCCGTAATTACAGGCCGATCTTATGAGCGGTTTCCTTACGCTCAACACAGAATTAGCTGACTAGACTCGCGATGAGAGGTTTGATGGCAGCAGGGATAATAGCAAATTCGAAGGATGCGTTTACTGAAGCGGTACAGATGGGCCACCGTCTGTAAATTGCTTTCGCGTGCCCGGTGCACCAGGGAGTTGAGCTGCACTTTCAACAATAAAGACCTGGAGGATCCTGTATGAACTACCCAAGGTAGGTAGCTTACCGTAGCTCACCTTACGTCTAATGCTCATTTGCTCGGCCGGGCCGCTCGGCGGCTCTTAGACTTTGTTTAAACGTCAACTCCATCTTTGTGAAGCTGTCTATCCAAACATCGTTGCATAAGTTCGAGTATATACAGATATTGCCGTGTAACAAGTTGGCGTCACAAATTTAATCGGCTGTGCTGCTCCCATTGGCTCACCGTTGCAATTGCTTACCTCTAATGGCTTCTGTTAGACAGATTTGATGAGAATTACGAACTGGATTCATTCACTGTTGCATGTTACTACAGTTTCAGAATCATGAGTGACCATTTGGAGCCTTTGCCCTCTTCAATGAATTACTGTGTCTACTTGTCCGCGCCATCATGATGGTCACTTCACCTACATTTTTTTAGGAAGTAGGCCTCCAACACATTGCCGCACTTTGAAAGCAGCAATCGCTTTTGCAACAAAGCCTCACAAAGATATATGTGAACGGGGGCTGATTGGACCACGTATCACGCCAATATGACAATTGAGGTCAGTGTTGTTGAAGTTCGATGCGTGCAACTCCTACGTTCAGCGAGTTGCTTTCCTGTTCCCTTTACCTCTGCGCAGTTCCTTCATACCTCAAGCGCAAATTAATTTTGTCATCATGTATTACCATGAGCCTGTGGCTTTTGCGGAATCAAAGTCATACCACGGAGAAATGTATTGCCAAGATGACTTACCAAATAAATGTAGGCCCACCACAAGCGAGCCAATTCCCGAAAGAGTCTGGGTAACGATGGTGGGTGCCCGAAAAAGCAGCTTAAATATTTTGACTGATATAGGCTTAAGACAGCTTTCTTTTTGCCGATCGAAAGCTTGTTCTTGCAGTTGATACAACCAAGGAGGCATTGCTAGAGCATGAGGATCTTGACGGGGACGGGCTAATCACCGTAGAAGACACCGGGCCGAAGGTGACTTCCAGAATATTACCTAACTCACCTGGCAATGCGAAGCTGACTCTGTACAAGTGCTTTGTTACTTCTAATTTATCACCTGACGACAATCAGGTTGTTTGTATTAAGGGAAACTATGCACTAGCAAATCTTTTGCAGGAGCTTTTTCTTGCTGAAAAAAGGGGTCAGAAGTACCTCGAGGTCAACACTGGCCATTTGAGTGAGGACCCCATCCGGCGGCTGGAGCGACTCATCAAGGGTTCTTGGTGGGACAACCTCACTAGAACTACTGACGCGGCGGGGGTCGCAAAGGCAACGTTGGACTCGAAGACAAAAGGGACTGAGGAATCTCCTCGAAGAATCTACATCCCAAGTGGAGCTCCAGAGCAGTACACCTATTTCAAGCGCCTTTCGGAAGAAAATCCAAGCATGCATCTAGACGTGCAAAAGCTTCCCGATGGCGGACTTGATTCGGATTTCATCCACAGCCTCAATGCAAAGCCTGGTCTCCTTGCTCTTGACATGAAACAAGATCCAAAAATCAAAGGGGCTCTCACAGGGACTCCGTTTATCGTACCTGGCGGTCGCTTCAACGAGCTATATTATTGGGATACAGCCTTCTGTGCCTGGGGTATGATGGAAACCCATGTCGAAGTGGTCAAGTCGATTATTAAACATTTCGTATTCGAAATAAAGCACTACGGCAAGATCTGTAATGCAAATCGCTCCTACTATCTTGGGAGATCACAGCCCCCTTTCCTCACGGATCTTGCTTTACGAACGTATAAGACCTGTCAACACGAGGTTGACGCCAAAGATCGTCTGCGCCTTGCACTGCTTGCTGCTATAAAAGAATACAACGAGTATTGGATGGCACCACCTAGACATGATATTTCCTCAGGACTCAACACATACAGACCAATCGGTGTAGGCTTTCCCCCCGAATGCGAACTCGGTGCCTTCAATCATATTCTCGCACCCTATGCAAAAAGATACGACATCAACATTGAGCAATTTATTACGAAATATGATACCGGTGAGATCTCAGAAGCGGAATTGGATACATTTTTCCTTCACGATCGAGCCGTTCGTGAATGTGGTCATGACACTAGCAACCGAGTCGAAAGCGTGTGTGCAGACATGGGAACGATCGACTTGCAATGTCTTCTTTATAAGTACGAGAAAGACATCGCCTGGGCTATACGCAGCATTTTCGATGATCAACTTTCCGTGCCAGCCGACTTTAGTTCCTCGAACGAGGGTCAAGTGAGTATTGAAAAGTCTGCCAAATGGGATCGGGCGGCAAGAAAACGAAAAGAGTCAGTCAACCAGTACTGTTGGAACGAAGAAAAGGGCATGTACTTTGACTTCAACATTCGAACCCGTAAACAAAGTGATCACGAATCGGTCACAATGTTGTGGCCTCTGTGGTGCGGCATTGCAAGCGCGCAACAGGCAGGCAAGCTTGTAGAGAAAGGGCTGCCTCATTTTGAATGCATTGGTGGACTGTCAAGTACAACAGAGAAGTCTCGTGGTCTCGTTGATGATGCGAATCCACAGAAGCAGTGGGACTACCCTCACGGCTGGCCTCCGCATCAAATGCTTGCTTGGGAAGGTCTGAAGCAGTATGGGTACCACGAAGAGGCTGAACGCTTGATATATCGCTGGCTCCATATGGTTCTCAAGGTCTTTGTTGATTATAATGGTACGGTTGTGGAGAAGTACAACGTCACGACTCTCGACGCACCACAAAAAGTAGACGCGGAGTATGGAAATCAGGGACTGAATTTTAAATACGCACCACAAGAAGGGTGAGACTCCCCTCCCGGCTTCCATGCCCTGAATTAATGGCGGACTAATAAAGCTCATCAGTTTCGGGTGGACTAACGCGAGTATCATATATGGCCTGTCCCAGCTCAACGTGCATGCGAGACGTGCCCTCGGAGTCTGTGCGCCATATGAGACGTATGCTAGAGCAGTAAAAGACATTTGAGGCCTATTAAAAGGGCTATTTCTTGGAAAGAAGAAGAAGAAAATGATTAAATGGATTGGATCATCATAGGTATGACAGATTTCATTGAAAACAAGCTGGTGATACAGTCACCTTGAAGTGAGTTGACATTCTTGATTCATACACACATTCATAGGTCAAATCATCATTCGATCTCCTATTATACAAATTTCGACAGTGATGTCTTGCGTAACCAGTGGTGCTTTGTAATTTCGTGAACCGTGCCGACCATGACCTCGTAATAAGAATGTGTTTCCCCCAACCTGGCCCACTTGGCCGCCATCAAGTAGCATTCTTGCACACCCTTGCTAGTGAATATAAGTATTCCGTTGTTCTCAACATGGGATTCCCGTACGTGAGGATTGTAACTTCACTCCCTTCTCCATCTCGCGAGCCGCTCATTCTCCCTTAGCTTGTCCTCCAACGCATTGTGTGCAGCTATGCATTTCTGTTTGTACTCCTCCGTATTTGGTTGACCCGCTTTGGGCGCTGCTTGTTCCGACCCCGCTGATGTATCCTTTGGCGGATTTCTCCCATCAGGAGTGTTCAGCTTCTCCGAGCCAAGAATGTTGAAAGCTCCGTCCTTAGAACTTGTATCTGCCATTTTGAAGGCTTATGAAGGTAGCAATGGGTATGTTGTTTCGAAGACGATGTGCCTAAGGAAACAGAGGGTTACAGTGTGTTTGTGTCAAAGATGAAAAACCCCTCTTATACAAAAACAAATGGCGCTTACAAAAGGCGTCCTTGATATTGGCATGTGGGGCAATGGCCTGCAACGTCATCTGGTATTAATACAGCACCGCTAGGCGACTCACTAACATAGACCGTAAAGTATCTGTACCGACAAAATTATCTTGTGCCTTGATCACAGACATAAAGCCATGCAGGGCTAGGACATGATCAGAGGATGGACGCTTCGGAAGGATGTAAGCCTCTGCAAAGGCATCAAGAACAGATATTTCGCATCTATATCTCCTGCTGTGACGACGATACAGCACCGTGCGTTCGCCCCTACGAGCGGTCAGAAAAGGGTCGACGACGAGACTCTCCGTAAAGTGTTCGATTCGAGATTGTTTTGGAATGAATTCGGTCAAACCTCGAAGAATATCAAATCCTCAAAAGGTCTCTTTCAGAATCGATATTTGATAAGGCCTACTGGCTTTCATAGCTTCGCACGCGATATACAGGAAAAGTGCCGGGATATCGTAGACGATGTGCTACGAGCTTCGTCGACTGAGGAGTACAACGCTCTTCCTCGAAAGCTAGACCTTTTGAGTGATTGTCTCTGTCGAGTACTCGATCTTGCCGACTTCGTCCGCAATACTCATCCCAATACTGAATGGCAGCGGAGCGCTGCAAACGCGCACGCACACCTTTGGGAGTATATGAATATCTTGAACACCACACCAGGTCTTCATTCTCAGCTCAAAAAAGCCTATGCTTTTCACGATACAAATCTATCGTGGAATGAAGAGGAAACGTGTGTGGCTCGCAATCTACTTAAAGATTTCTCTCAATCAGCCATTGATCTACCTGCAAAGGACAGACAACGCTTTATAGATCTTTCAAACAGATCCAAATATCTAGGTATCCAATTTACCCAGAATATGATGCCTCAAGAGCCCTATGTTCGCTTCCGCAAGGAAGCAGGGGAAGGCTTGGACCCAGTCATTTTACGAAGATATACTTCGAGAATGGGCAATGTATCCTTGCCATTGACCAATGATATCCTTTATGTTGCTCTTGGATCTATCCATAGCGAGCAAATAAGAAAGACCATCTACACAAACATGAAGACTGTGGCACAGCCTCAATTAGACGTGCTCTCCGAACTGTTAAAGACTCGCACTGAATTGGCTAGCTTGTCGAAGTTTAAAGGTTACGCAGAGATGACCCTCGTGGACAAGATGGCGAAGACTCCGGAAGCGGTCAATTCTTTTCTTGCTGCTCTGAGCTCAGATAACGCCCCTGGCGTGGCTAAAGAGCTTAGAGCTCTGATGGCAAAGAAGAGCTCAGATGGAACGACTTCGTCATTGCAGCCATGGGATATCTTGTACTATGAAAATCGAATAAGGGACGATCTGGATCAGAAGCAAAATGAAGCCGATAATTTCTCTGCCTACTTCTCACTCGGGACCGTCATACAAGGCCTTTCGCGCCTCTTCGACCGGCTTTATGGTATACGCCTAGTTCCCCGCGAGACAGAATCGGGAGAGACATGGTACAACGACGTTCGTCGCCTTGACGTTGTCAATGAGGGCGGTAACCAGATCGCTGTTCTGTACTGTGACTTATTCGAACGGGATGGAAAAACCTCGAACCCCGCGCACTTCACTCTTCGCTGCTCTCGTGAAATATCTGAGGAAGAAGCTGCAGCTAGTACGCCTTTAAAAGATGATGGAATGGCGCGAGCTACGTCCTCGTCCAGTGGAAAACTTTTCCAATTGCCTACGATTGCTCTCATTTGCAACTACGCGCAGGCGCTCCATCCGGAAAAGCCAACGCTGCTCTCGTTTCGTGATGTGCAGACGCTCTTCCATGAAATGGGGCATGCACTTCATTCGATAATGGGGCGAACATCATTGCACATAGTCTCAGGTACCCGATGTGCAACAGATTTTGCCGAACTCCCATCTGTGCTTATGGAGAGCTTCGCGTCTGATGAGTCGGTACTTGGTCTCTTTGCGCGCCACTGGAAAACCGATGCACCTCTACCTTTTTATCTAATACGCGATTTACTCGAGCGACGAAGCCGGGAGCAAGGTTTGTCTACAGAGTCGCAGATTCTGTACAGCTTGTTGGATCAAGCTTATCATTCCTCACTTCCCGCTAACCAAGACTTTGACACGACGAAGACTTTCTACGATATCTACGATAGGTATGGAAGTATTCGCGAGCCACGAGATATATCTCCACAAGGTTTCTTGGGCCATTTTGTGGAGTACAGCGGCACGTACTATAGTTATCTCTTCGACCGTGCAATTGCCGGAAAAATCTGGCGAGAAGTTTTCCAAGGTGGACAGAACGGTGGTGCAATCAATAGAGAGGCAGGTGAGAAATACAAGAACGAAGTTTTGAGATGGGGTGGATCCCGTGATCCTTGGGCGTGCGTGAGTGGTGTGCTTGGTGACGAGAGACTCAAGTATGGCGGTAAGGAGGCGATGGAGCTGGTTGGACAATGGGGCGTCAAAGATTATCCCAGCTACTAAAAAGCGGTAAAAAGCTTTGCACAAGCAATCAAACAAATAGTCGACTATACGAAAGTCATCTCTTCATCGACGATTGCGAGACCTTGCAATCCTGTCGTTCGTCCGCTATTCGTCCGGTCCGTTGGCTGCAGGACGGGCACAAGCATTTTTCCCCTGTTACGCCCACCTGATTTCAACGTTGTATTCATGAATTGCCTGCAGCCTGTCGTGGATAGGAGCTTCAAGGGGGAATAATGATCTCGAATACGAAGTGAACCCGTCTGACCTCATTCGATACGGCCGTTGCAATGCGCGTCATGGGACCCCGCGCAACGAATTCATTACCTTCATAAAGCGCGTTCATGCTTGTATCGCTTCCTTCTCAGATATTAACCCAAGCACATCACACATTTCCAGTACTGTGATCACTGATCAGTGGAAAATGAAACTCATCCTCTTCGGCGCCACCGGCTTCATCGGTGGCGAGATCCTCACCCATGCTCTTGCCAATCCCTCCATAACCTCCCTCATCGTCATATCACGCCGTCAACTCCCTTCGTCGCCTCCAGACGCCAAACTGAAAGTCCTCATCTCCGAGGACATCATTGCCCTTTCTCCTTCCATCCTCTCCGAATGTGCCGACGCGGACGCATGTATCTGGGCAGTTGGCACCAAGCCCTTCGGAGCCACGCTAGAAGATGCAAGGAGATTTGACGTGGAGGGGACTATGAGCGTGGCGAAGAAGCTTGCGGACGTAGCCAATGAGGGTGGGAACAGAGAAGGCAAATTCAGATTTGTGTATACGAGTGGGATTCTCGTTATCAAGGACCAGGAAAGCAGTGTCTGGGTTCTGGGAAAGTTTCGGAAATTGAGGGTATGTGCTGTCTGCCTGCGCCTCAACAATTATGATGGTGGTCGGCTAACAGAATTGTGTAAAGGGCGAAGTGGAGATTGGACTGTCTGCCTTAGGCAAAGAACGTGGGGATGTTCTCGAAACCTACGTCACGAGGCCTGCTTTCGTCTTGAGGAGGACTCTCCTCAGCTCGTTCTGGAGCATCTTTCCGAGTATCAAGGTCGATGAGCTGGCTGCTGCGACGGTGCATTTGGCTCTTGAGGGCAGTCCTGATCAAACGGTGGAGAACGCGACTTTAGCAAAGAGGGGAGCCGAGCTCTTGAAGCAGAAGGTCTGATAGGAGACGCTCTGCGCTTGCAAAGAAAATAATGCGATGTCCATTCACCATACCACTCTAGCTTTGTTAGTAAGGGAATAAAGCTTTGGAGGGCTTTACTTCTAGGTGCTCAAGAAACGTCCTCATGAGCACGATCTGATTGTCCTTGCTCGCCATGCCACTCCCTTGATCTTTCATTATCTTCTCTCGCTCCCGAGCCTATTATGAGAAAGTGTTGAAGGCGACTAGGCTGTCTTTTCAGTCGTCTCAAGGTGAAAGGGGCTATGATCTGATCAGGCTAAGCAGCGTCATTGGATGAACGACATTTCTGCATATGAGAATGCCCCTAAATACGGCGACAGATCATGACGAATATTGAGACGTGCATGTACCAGGATCGAGAAGCTTTGTGTGATCATATCACGAGCTTGACTTTCATGGGATACGATGCAGTTAGAGTATATCAGGATATGTTTCAATATTTCTAGTCGACATATCTCGACCGGTCTGCCACTCTGCCACACAATTCTTATTCAGCAAATATTGATGTATCATTGAATCTAAGTCTGAAGCTGATGCTATTCTCTCTGTCCAGTCATTCAAGCCGAATGTTATACCCAATTTAGTCGTCGCTGCGCCTTCGCAAATTCGTCTCTTGGGTATAATAAATAATGAAGAAATGCCCCCCCTTCCCGTTTGACTCCGGCTACCATTGATCCTTCCTTAAGCAAGATGAAGCTATATCATAATACAAAATATCCTTGCCGTCTAATCTTCGCTCATGCCCAAAGTGTGGGCGGCTTTAGTCGATCTCTACAACTTCATCTTCAGCTTTTCGTTTCCCCTTTCTTGATTGTCCGGCAGCGTGCTCTGCGGCTCTAGAGTAAACGGCATCAAGCCTCTCCATAGCTTCGTGGATACCATTCAGCTCAGTGATGATGCCACCCTTAACACCTCTCCAGCCATTGCCCTTTCCTCTTCGGATATCCTTCGCTTCATCGTAAATAAAAGGAGGCTTGATAGTGTCTTCCGGTATGAACCACATGGCTGTATCTCTTCGCCTCCTCAAGACTATGTCAAACCCACCTACTGGTGAAGTGGCTGAGTAGATAACCTGGTACCATGACTCTGATCGAACCAGTATATTCATATTTGACGATTTTCTTGCAGACTCGAGCCTTGCAAGGGTGAACAGTAGAGACAGCGTTATTTGCATGATTGAGAGGACGTGTGCTAAACCTTTAGTGCGAAAGCGAGAGTTTAGATGATCCAGGATGCGAAGATGAGGATTCGGCTGTAAGAGCGACATCTGAAGCGGACCGTCTGCAGGGAAGTGGATCACAGCCTTGAGTTTTTGTGGATTCTCGAGATAGGTGAAATCGAGAGAGCTTATGGAGATTCGTGTGACGAGTAGTTTGTAGCCTTTAATAATAGTAATGAAATCATGAAGACGTCCTATTCCAGAAATACGCTGAGAAAGCTGTGGTATCACACTCTGTCCAATTTGAGTTTGAAGCTGAAGTGCGAAAGCGCCGGACGAAGGATGGAAGGCAGCTCCAGGCACATTCGCAGCAAGGTCCTTCATATTAGGCAATGGCTGTTCTAAGCACGTCGTCGCTAAATGCACAGCACATGAATGAGAAATACTGAGCCCTTGGTAGTCGAGCTTGACAAGCTCTTGGGCCCACCGAAGATCGAGTGGCTTTGACGTAGTAAGATCTTGTGGATCCTTTTTCGCTGGTAGTCGTAGATAGAGACTTGGACATTGTGGTATCGCATCTAGTGACGTCGCCGCTTGCAACTTATGGGGCATTCGCGTCGAAGCCATATATCGCGAGTCAATGGACTGAGATATCGTGCCAGCCGCGCATCGCTCTACCTCAATCAGATATGAACTCAGAGGCTCCGGCGAGGAGCTAGGCTGAGCAGTGTTGATGCTGTATGCTTTGCGTATCGTCGACTCCAGTGTTGTCTTGGAGCTCTGTTCTCCATCGATTGGGGTTTCAGACGTCTCAACAACCCACCACTGGTCGCCGTCCAAACTTGCCGAAAAGGCGAGGGCCCAACCAGACGCCCAGGAATGCCTTTTGAAGAACTTTATGTGTTGATTACCCTTGGTGAAAAGCCTCTGGATTGTCTCTTGATTTGGTCTTAGTGAAGGTAAAGGATCCCAACCAAGACGGATTGCGCCCGCGCTTACTTCTTCGTGTGTAGTGAGCGCACGGAGGAAGGATAGCTGGCTGGCACCTTCGTTCGCAGGCACTGCAAGCCGATTGAGTTCATATTCTGCGCGGCTACTTAACTTGGAGGAGGGTAGTATCGCGAATCGGCCTGAGACGGGCTCTTGCGAAAGTTTGATAGCTTTTGAGGATGTGAGCTGGACTAGCAGGTACGCCTCGGAAGGCTTGCTGATGCCCTCTTGAGCTTTCAATCGCAGTCGGCCGCTTGAATAAGCTTGTCCACGACGGAGACCGGTAGCCATCTCGGACATGTCCGAGTTTATGTGTCGTGTAATGACTTGTTCAAGAATATGGCGCATCGATATTTCCCCTAATCTGAGATCGACCTGGACATCCGAGACTTCCTTCCCTCCTCGGAACCATCTTACTCCGAGCTTTGGTATCCTTTGCTCTTCATCCGCGTAAGCTATTCGCTTCGTCTTGCCGCGTATAATCCCAATTTCGATCCAATGCTTTGCCCCTTGCCTGTCACACCAATATTGAACGACTACCGATCGTCTCAAGGGTTCAACTTTCAAATGTTCAGCCCAGTGTCCTCTTGCTAATTCCTGTGCTTGATTTCTCAAGATTGTAAGTTTCTGTGTCAACACTATGTTATGAATGTAATCGAAGAGACCAAGAAGGCCGTCTCGACCAAGGGCGTCATTCGCTTTTGCTTCGAACTCGTCTCGTAGTCGCCCTGCTGGCAACGATGTAACCATTGGTGAAAACGTGAAGCGCAAATCGATGAAGTAGAGCTGCTTAGAGGTGTCCTCATCAGCTATAGATAAATCGACTTCAAACTCCTCCGAGACTCGGAAAGTGGCTCTGCCAGACGAAATCGAAAAATCTCTCAGATTTGAAGGAATCTTTTCGTGTAGGCGAAGGCGAATCGACAGAAGGGTATTGATTCTTCGGAGATTTTCCAACATTCGTGGAGGCGTTAGCGCTTCTGCAGGTAAATAGGTAAGATCTGGTATCCATGAAGCACGTCCAAGCGACAGGATCTCGAGGGCAGTATTTGTGTCCGGCGAGGGTTCCTTGATTGTTGCCAACTTCCTCTTCAATTCCCCCATCCAGTCAACGGCACTCTGAAAAGCCGTCTGTTTATCTGTGAGCCATACGCGCAGATCTATGACTTTACTGATGTTATCGGCATGGCGCGCCCAACGTGAGAGGACCAGAAGCTTGATGAATTGCGCTCTTCTGCTGTTTGCAAGATCGAACATACGGACCTTCTTCTGCACATTAGGGGGATATTCATCTGCTTTGGCGGATCCCTTCGCGTTATTCACGTTGCCATTTGACTGGGGTGGGACAACTTGGATCTCAGACATTTCGGAGATGGTATCTTGTAGATTGTTGAAGGTCTCTTGCACGAGTCTTTCAATTAAGGATGCGATGGGGCGATAACTCATTGTTATGTGGTTGATCTCGGGGGGAGCTGACCATAGCGGTTCTGCAACGCATCACTGCTACGATGCTCTCGTCCCTCGTGCTGCTCTTCTGACTGGTCTAACGCCAGGCCGTTCGTCAACACTCCATTAGACAGTGAATGGACTCCGTTGATCTTTGGGACATCTCCATTTGGGACAGCCATGGCGTGGTCTTGAGGAGCCTTGTGATTCATTGCTTTTACAGAGCCGATGCTACCTCTACCATGTGCCGGCTGTCCAGTGAGTCCAGGCATCCTCTCGGCCGCCCCATCAGCCTGCGCTTGACCACCAACAGTCGCCTCATTCCCTTTTTTCACACCCTCCACTTCCCCCAGTTCCCCTCCCGACTCCCCTTCTCTTACGTGTTGGTTCAGCTCGATAGTGCCGTGAGGGTACGCATTCGTGACGGGTGTCAGAGACTCGGCGGTCCTCGGGAGGACTTAGAAGGGCTTGCTGTGCGCCTTCAGGGCAAGACAATCGCTCTCAGCGCGTAAGTCGTATCGCGACGTTGTCAGCAGGTGCTAGTGTCGTCCTTGACGGGCTTGCAAAAAATGCGAGGGCGGTGGAGCTGAGATTTCAGGATGCGTTGTTCAGGCTATTCTCGCCTGCAAGGTTCCGCGAAGACTGCAGCGGGATGTCGTCGGCAATGGAGGATGGTACCGCGAGAGTAGAGTGTCGGTAGTCAGGAAAAAGAAGAGCCAGGCTAGACAAGTCGCAAAAGGTGGAATAAATGAAGGTGAAGGGAGCAGAGCGCGCGAGGTTCAGGTGAAGGAAGGCGAGTAGGTGTGAAGGTGAGCAGGTGAGTGGATGCAGAGTGAATTGGGTCTCATCCAACTTGCGGCTAACAAATTGCAGCGGCGGGCGGCGCCTGCTCTTTGTTGTTAGCCCAAACCTTTAGAGTGGTCTCTAAGTCTAGGGCCTTAGGAACATTCTACTCGTACACTCCCACCTTCCCCGCCAATAGTGGACATGGCACTACCGACACACACTACTGGACACTGGATACGCATTGAACACCCAATTCACAGGGCCCCAATAATATCTCAGGTGTTTAGAAGTTCGGAGCCACAAATCATCCCTGGTGAGTTGCAAATCTACTACTGGGCGCCTCTTGGCTTGACCTACCTGATGCTACCTACTTGGAGGGCTACCCTTACGCTACCCTTTAGCCTTACCTTACCTTACGTGAAAGCCTTTCCCAGCCTTTCTTTAGCTCGGATGACTTTAATGATGATGATACCGTACTGACTCATGGAGACACTAACGCACCTTGAAACTCGTGATCTGACCGTTGGCAAGACAAGGCAATGCATTCGTCTGCTGCGACAACTCGGCCAGGATGAAAGTGTCCCAGAGCTCGTCGACGCTGCAACGATACTGCGCTGAAGGGGGGCGGCGAAGTCGCGTTTCTGTTATCTAGTTCGGCTCGAGGCAGTCCTTAGCCTGTAGTAAAACTATGTTCCACTGCTAAGAGATTGCAGATGACCTTAGCGGACCCCGCGTGTGTTTATCCTCTACGATCTCTCTCCCACTGTGTCCTTCACCTGCTCAAGTGCATGGGTGAGCACGATGTTGCGTGCTGCTGCGCCGAATGGACAAAGAATGAGGGTCGGCATCTGCTGGAGATCGGCCGCAGGGATCATGTTCTCCGCTAGGCCAAGTCGGGGGAGCCAAGCCTGCCAGACCTCATCAGGACAGAAGTAGCATCATCTTGAGATCCTCTGTCTTTCAAAATGGTGCTCCAATAACATCTACACTGCATGTGTATGCCTTCATCTTTACTCATGTAACCAGGTCCCTCGCAATGATCCTCTACCAAGACCCGAGCTCCATTCTCAACAGCCTTCTTCCTCCAAAGCTTGGCTGTACAAGTCCCCCGCTCCCTCTTCCTTTGCAGATGACGAAGCATCTTTGAGATCGGCCTCTTCCTCACACACTATGGACCACAACAATGACTTCGGAGAGGATGGCGACCCCCCGCAATTTCCCGGTGAAGACACACGCAGCACCAGTCAGAAAGAAATCTCCGGGTGGTACAGCTACGGTTTCGCGGCCGAGGTTTTCGTCATTTGCGGTGTGGGGAGCTTCATCCCCATAGCTTTAGAGCAATTAAGTCGCGAAAGAGGATCGCTTCTTCTAGACCGCACCAAACCGTGCAAAGGTTCCAGTGTCGACCTCACGCCGCCTGCGGCCGCCGTTAGAAGACACGCAGCATTCGCTCCCCGTGCACCAAGAGGTGAAGCAGGTCAATGCATCGTCAAATTTCTCGGTATCGACATCAACACTGCCAGCTTTGCTATGTATACATTTTCTCTGAGTGTTCTTGTACAGGCTCTGTTGATCATTTCCATTTCAGCAGCTGCCGACCACGGCAGGTCTCGGAAAAGCTTTTTACTCTCATTTGCTTTCACAGGAGCCGTCGCAACGATGCTGTTCTTGGGTGTTGTACCCAGTATATATGCATTCGGTGCGCTGTTAGCGATTGTAGCAAACACCTGTTTTGGCGCATCCTTTGTATTGTTAAATTCATTTCTACCAATTCTTGTCCGGCGACATCCGTCAATAAGGCCCGAGGAAAAATCGAATAGCACCAAAACCGCAAGTCGGGAGCTTACGCGGGACAGCCAGGAGGCAGAAGACGCAGATTTCGATGGACCTACCGATTCACTGTTACAAGCCTCAAACGTCAAGTATAAGATGGCGCCTGGAACGCCGCAAGGAACGGTATCCCCAGCTCTTCGATTGTCAACTCAAATCTCGTCTTACGGCATTGGTATCGGTTATCTCGCCGCTGTAGTTGTACAAACCCTTGGCATTGTGATTATCATAATAGCGCAGCCATTGACTAGCTCCACTACCCTAGTCCTACGTATTGTCTTGTTTTTCATAGGACTATGGTGGCTGCTTTTCACGATCCCTGCAGCGTTGTGGCTCCGACCGAGACCTGGCCCACCACTACCGTTTACCAGTGATGGAAAGCAGAAGAGAACCTGGGCTGGATACTTTGTATATGCTTGGAAGTCTCTGTGGAAGACGATATTGCGAGCTCGCCGTCTGAAGGATATGATGTTCTTTCTGGCCGCATGGTTCTTACTCAGTGATGCTATTGCAACCATCAGTGGTACCGCCGTACTATTTGCAAAAACCGACCTGGAAATGAAACCTGCGGCTCTGGCTATGATCAGTCTGACTGGGACCGTAGTCGGCGTGATAGGCGCTTTCACGTGGAGTAAGCTCTCACGTTGGCTCGGCCTCAAGCCGTCACAAACAATAATTGCCTGCATCTGCCTCTTCGAAATCATACCGCTGTATGGCCTTCTTGGCTTTGTCCCGGCGATCAGGAGGCTTGGTGTGCTTGGGCTGCAACAGCCTTGGGAGATGTATCCTCTAGGAGCAATCTACGGTTTCGTGCTTGGAGGAATATCCTCGTATTGCCGCAGCCTGTTTGGTGAACTTATACCGCCCGGCTTCGAAGCAGCATTCTATGCACTCTACGCCATCACTGATAAAGGCTCAAGTGTGTTTGGGCCTGCTATTGTTGGTGCTATCACAGATCGCTACGGGGAGATCAGACCAGCTTTCGTCTTTTTAGCAGTACTAATCTTCATTCCGCTGCCGTTGATGCTGATGGTAGATGTCGACAGGGGGAAGCGGGAAGCTTCGGAATTGGCGGACCTACTGGAGGGCAAAAAGGGATCGAGAACACCTCTAGGTAATGACGATGGAACTATAAGGCTTGTGGACGAAGAAGTTGAAGGTCGAGATACGTAGTGATCAGTGCGATCACAGCTCTAGCTGCTGCTGGGTGTAATCGCTTCTTGGTCGCTAAGCGTAGGTGTTATGGGCGCTTTGGATACCATACTATACAGCATGACCACATTTCATTCCAAGTCTGTACTTCTTCACTTGGAGACTGTTGTTCATCTTGCGTCTCTCGAAATGTCCCCACAATTACCCGGATCTCCAGTATGATTACCTTATCCTGTTATCAGCGGGAGCGCCCACTAGCGTTCCGGACCCTGCATCTGGCGTCATGCCGAGTGCGTCTTATTTTCCGTCCTGCGTTCACCATCTCACTTGAACAAACTCTTGAGATGAATCGAGCTGGTAAACTTGCACCTGAAGTCAATCGGTAAGTTACCCATGGCTCCTGCGCAGGTGTACACGTGTGTCTGCTGACCGCGGACAGCGCACTGTTTGTCAAGAACCTGAGGTAGGCACAGCAGAATGCAAGGCCTTGCATGGATGGAGTAGCTGACCTACATTACAAAGCTACAATGTCACAGCCGAAGAATTGTTTGAGCTTTTCGGCAAATTCGGCCCTATACGGCACGTACAGCATCTTGCATGACTCCCTCTCATGTATCATGTTGCTAACGACGACTCCAGGCAGATAAGGCAGGGCATGGCAAACAATACGAAAGGCACCGCATTTGTCGTCTACGAAGACGTGATGGATGCAAAACAGGCTTGCGACAAATTGAACGGCTTCAACTTTCAGAACCGCTATCTCGTTGGTGGGTGCCCTTGCCCCTCCGTTTCTGTTCTTATTTGCTAAATGAGGGTGCAGTATTATACCACCAACCGGAGAAGATGCTCAAGTCAAAAGAAGATCTAGCAGAAAGACAAGAGAACCTTGAGCGACTGAAGAAGGAACACAACATAGAGTAGAATGGCAGCCCAAACTGGCGTTGAGACTGGCTTAACGTAGGAAAGGGTTGATTGCTGGCGATGGCAGTCTGTGAAATGATCCAGCCAGAATTGCTGCAAATTATAGCTATGCGCCCGCAGACGATGCGTCAATGCATGCGCTACTTGAATTTATAGAGTACAGCAATCTTTTAACCGTTTTGCAAGTACGTCACGTGGGCGTTTTGGATTTCATGCTTGGCGTGGAGAATCCGCGGCTATGTTTTGAGATGGTTTGAACTTTGAACTTTGCCCCTTCACTGCCTCACCTTGACAACGACTATCAAACACATCTTGCGAATTCCTAAATACACCAGACTAATCGCAGCAATGTAAGCGGACGCATATCAAGCTTCTCACAGTCGTTTTGGCTTGACTTTGTGCCTCGATGCGAGAACCTGGCTGGGCAAACGTAGTCGATTTTGAAAATAAGCCAGCAAGCGAAGAGTCGACTTCCTCAAACCCTCTATGATCTACACCAATCCTCCTATGATTATGGATATACTCTAGATTGTGCAAAGACGCCTACAGCCTCTGACGGGCAGAATGTACCCTCCTTCGAAACCATCAGCCTTCGTATCCTCAACCCTCAGCCAATCCATCATACACGCTTCTACATCCACGGTATCCCCTTTCAACACCACAACAGACGGCGTAAAGCAAGCTGGAGCGGAAAATGGAGACTGTAGATTGCTTGGACCTTTCGCCCTCTTCATACAAGGGGCACTGGGGATCTTGGCTTTAAGTTCACTGGTCTTTAAGCGGTGGCGCGAGCGACCACAAAGACCTGTGAGGATATGGGCCTTCGACGCCTCGAAGCAGGTTGTCGGTTCAGGCTTACTGCATGTAGCGAATCTGCTCCTGTCCATGATCTCATCCGGAGAGCTCACCCCCAGTCCAAAGGCAGGAGACTACCAAGCCAATCCTTGCTCATTCTACTTACTGAACCTGGCCATGGATGTAAGTGCCACTCAGGATTCTATGAATGGCAAGACTGACTAGCGGTAAAGACTACGATAGGCATTCCCATCCTGATCATCTTGCTGCGCCTCCTCACCCATGGATTCCTTTTGACGCCATTTGGTGAGCCCCCCGAATCAATCGAATCTGGAAACTATGGCAGACCGCCGAAAACCAAGTGGTGGTTCAAACAATGTTTCATATATTTCCTCGGCTTGATAGGGATGAAACTCTGTGTATATTTCATTTTCAAACTCTGCCCTTGGATCATTCAAATCGGCGACTGGGCTCTAAAATGGACGGAGGGCGACGAGAGAATTCAAGTATTCTTTGTCATGCTATTTTTCCCTCTCGTCATGAATGCTTTACAATACTACATCATTGACAGTTTTATCAAGGACAAAAAGCCAAGCGATCACGAGGCTGTCCCAAGTGAAGAGGGAAGTGATGATGATAATGACTCCCAATTAAGGCAGCGTCGATCTCAAGAAGTTGAGCATCCAGAGACACTCTCCGGAAATGACGAAGTCAATGCTATCAAGGAGCACAACGCAGTTGCAGGCGTTGGGGACGCTGTAATACCGCCAACTTCAGGCAGACTACCTCCCAAACAGGAAGAGGGCAAAGGGGCAGAGGAATATGATCCTGCACTCGATGGTGAAGCGAGCGGTTCCAGCGCCAGTGTTACCCCTAAAGATCCTCCATCCTCTCGCGGTAAAGACGGCGCGGCAGAAAGCAGACGATAACTTGTTACATCCTACATGATACCCCGAATTTTGGATGGAGTATGGGCGATGCACCAAATATGGTACAATTTAGGGTTGGGAAAATGCGTGTACTTGAGTAACTGGAGTATTATAGCAAAGTATATATTGTTTTCACTGTTGAAAAGCCCGTATTGGTGGCTAGAATGCCAAATCAATTTGTCTGTGTTGCTGCCGAGCCCAGAACGTTCAACTGCATCTGCCACCACGCAACCTCCCAAACTTCTGCGAAGCTAGCACCAAATCAACATTATAACTTGAGTGATAGAATCATCATGATACGAACATAAGATTTTCGCTCCTCTTACCATCTACAACCCTACCATAAGCGCACTTACTTCAATTCCCAAAAAATGTCGCCCAACCTATCCCTCTTCTCCTTGAACGCCATCCTCCTCCTCTCCACCGACGACCGTACGCGTATCCTAACGAAATACTACACTGCCCCGCACCAACCGCCCTCTACGCCGAAAGATGCTCCCGGCACAAACCCTTACCCGACAGTGAAAGAGCAAAAGGCGTTCGAAAAAGGGCTACTTGAGAAGACGAACAAGAACACGGGGGATGTGATATTGTATGATGGGAGGGTGGTGTGCTACAAGATGGAAGGCGATGTCATGATGTATGTGGTTGGCGGAGGGGAAGAGAATGAGATTCTGCTTTTCCAAGTGATACTGGCCTTGAGGGATGCGTTGAGTATTTTGTTAAAGTGAGTGATCATCCTATGTGTTTAGGAGGATTAGGATCCCAAGAGTCGCACGTTTGTCTCTGTCATATCATAGGATGAGTGTGAGATAGCACGGTCTAATGGGCTGTTTTCCCTAGGAATTCTACGGACAAGCGAACGCTGATTGAGAATTACGATCTTGTTTCTCTCGCTATTGATGAGATATGTGACGATGGCATTATCCTTGAGGTCGACCCTGTGGTGATAGCTAGTCGAGTAAGCAGGCCACCGGCGCAGGACGTGCAGCTCCGAGGCGTGGATTTTAGTGAGCAAGGGCTACAGAATCTGCTGGAGTTAGGGAAGTCGAAATTGGCTGAGAGGATGAGGCAGCTGTGATTGATGAGATGAGACAGTCGAGATAAATAGTAGTTAATCTTGTCTTGATGGATGTTCGTCCCATTGATGCCATCGAAACAATCATGTCACGCTTGCACCAGCCAGGACTGTGAAATTAACAGAGATATACAATGAGGTATCGTCTGGATTTATTGGCAAGACTGTTTCATCGAATGGCTATATACAAAGTTGTCTATCAAAATGGCGCTCTATTTATACACTGGCACTGTAGCCTCCTAATCCTCTCCGCCTTCTATCCCTTGCCTTGAGGAATTTTCGACCTTCGTCAACCCAGAATACAGTGCTCGCTATGCATAACAAGAGAGCCAAGTCCCGAAAACCCAAGCCTTCTGTGTCCGCATATGCTTGAAAGAAAGGAAGGTAGACAATGGCCATTTGTCCCAGTAAACTTAGACCAACTGAGTAGTTGAAATTGCGGTTCCGGAAAAGCTGTACTTCGCCAAATAAAACGCTTTTACTTTCGCTCCTGCAGGTCAGGGCGTTGAACATGTCTGAAAAGACGAAGCAAGTAAATGTCATAGTCGTGTCATGCTTGCTGACAGTATTGTCTGCATCCATTTCATAACGGTAGACTAGTAATGTACCTAGCATGATGATGATTCCGGACGTCATAACTCGATAAAGAACGCGCCGGGTTAGGACTTTGTCGCCTTTCGAGCGTGGAGGTCGATGCATAACTGAGGGGTCGACTGGCTCTCTTCCAAGAGACTGAGCCGGTGGACCATCCATCAAAACATCTGTCGGTGGTCAGCACGTTCATGGGCCCGGATAGTCTTCAAAAAAACTCACTAATCCATAGTATTTGTGTTGGATTCAAAGGGGTCTGGTATCCAAGAGCAGTGCTGACGAAGACAAGCGTTAACGCAGCGAGACTAGTGCTTAGCTGAAATGTCAGGAAGTTTTGGATGTTGTAAAAGATGCCCTTGCTTTCTTCAATCGCCACAAGGATCGTTGAAAAATTGTCGTCAGTCAAGACCATATCTGCTGCCTCTTTCGCGACGTCAGTGCCAAGCACGCCCATTGCAATACCAATGTCTGCCTTTTTCAATGCAGGGGCATCGTTGACACCATCACCTGTCATGGCAATGATATCACCACGCTTCTGCAGAGCTTTGACGATCTTGAGCTTGTGCTCTGGGCTGGTTCGCGCAAAGATTGACGTCTGCGCCATGGCATTCGCAAGTTCATCTTCTGACATCCGATCGAGCTCATCACCCCTGAGAACAGGTCGATAACCATCCCTCGGAGTACTAAGTGGCATGCCTATTCGCCTTGCAATTGCCAAGGCTGTTGTCTCAGCGTCTCCAGTAATCATCATTGCCTTGACGCCTCCTTTCATGAGTCTTCGCATTGACTTGTCAACATCTTTCCTTGGCGGGTCATTCATACCAACCATGCCTGCAAATACGAGGCCGTTGTAGGTCTCTTCGTCAGCAGGTTTGCTGGTACTTGCAGTAGCCCCTGGTCTAGGCGTACCGCTGCGGCTGATTGCTCTATTTGACTTCAGAGCGTCTCTACTACTGCCACTGGCAAATCCTAGAACACGAAGACCCTGCTGAGCCATTGATTCAGCAGCATCGATGGCCTCTTTCCGCCTTTGTTCGTCCAGAATGATCTCGCGACCATCTTTCGAAAGGTAAGTGTCGCAACGCTTCAGGATCTGTTCTAAAGCACCCTTAATATACGGTACGTCAATGCCACTACCGTGATCGGAACCTTGATTGTGGCTGACGATGACTCCCATCCATTTTCTCTCTGAACTGAACGTAGTTTCAGCGGTTCGAGTGCCAAGGTGTTCACGGATATCGTCTTCGCCGAACGTATCCATGAGGTCCAGTAGCGCAACATCAGTTGGTTGTCCCACCCATCGACTCTTTGCGCTTACTAAATCGGGATCATGGCCCAATGTTGATGACATGATGGCTGCAGAGGATGCGGATGCAGGAGTACTCGAGTGATTCCTGGACAAGCGAGCGTTATTAGCCACATTTCCGATGCGCATAACGGTGCGAGTGGCCTGGTCTGGGCTTGAAGACGCAAAGTCTTTGTTGACATCAATTACGGAAGGTGCGTCAAAATGCCATATCTTTGTGACAGTCATGTGATTTAGGGTCAAAGTGCCTGTTTTGTCACTGCAGACGACATTGACTGAACCCAGGGTCTCCACATGAGGGATCTTCTTGACAGTTGCACCGCGCTTTGACATTCTTCGAACGCTTAAGGCCAAGGTGACGGAAACTGTGAGAGGAAGTCCCTCAGGTATCGCTGCTACAGCAAGCGATATGCCAATCTTGAACATCTCGAATATGGCTTTACCTTGAAGCCATCCAATAAGAACAATCAGCGTTATCACAATCAGAGCCATGTAAGTGAGTTGTTGACCTAGGACATCCATTGCCTGTTGCAGAGGTGTGCGGGGACTCTCTATTCCCCGCAGAGAGGCTGATATGGCGCCGAATTTGGTGGATTTCCCTGTGCCAACCACAATACCTCTTCCATGCCCCGATCGCACCATTGTCCCTTGGAAAGCAATATTGACTTGCTCAGTCAGGCTCACGTCAACGCCAACAGTACCAGCTGCTGGAGAGGTGAAGTCTGAAGGAGTTGCAGGTCTATCATCATTCACTTGTCGATTGTGATTTGAAGGTCGGACAACATCCGATTGTTTTTGGGTGGGTTCATTCTCACCAGTTAAGTTCGACTCGTCGATTGTCAGGTCTGTCGCTTCTGTGAGTCGCACATCGGCGGGTACTTGATCACCAGTGGAAAATATGACAAGGTCACCGGGTACTAACAGTCGCGCAGGCACCGTTTCTGAGGCGGTGTCGGCAAATTGAGGGGATATGGGAGTCTTTGGCTGATCTTCACTTGAAAAGGAATCGCTTCTTCGCCCGTGCTTTCTTCTATAGTCTGAAACGCCTCGAATGAGGTGGGCGTATTTGGGAAGCAGCTTACTGAGGGCGTCAATAGCCTTGTTGGATTGGTATTCTTGGTAAAACCCAACTGTGACGACTAAGAGCACTGCGAAAAATATACTGATAGCGTCGTGTATGTCACCCAAGAAGACAGATATCACCGCAGACGCCAGTAGCATCAATATGAAGCGTTCCTGGAATTGCTGGGCGAACTTCTGCCATAACGGCTCATCATCTTCATGCTCCAATTCATTAGGTCCGTAGTTCAGGAATCGTTGTTCAGCGTCGGAAGGGGGAGGCCAATGATCGAAGATGTATTCAGGCGTCGTTCGGTTTGCTCAGCGGTAAGAAGTGAGTAGGTTGATGTTTCTGACTTCATGAATGTCAGTCACTAGTGCCATGAAGATGATAGAGTGGGCAAAATACAGAATAGGATAATTCATTAGGCGTTCCCGGCTTAGGGCTCCCTCGCCGTGAATTTCCAAGATGACCATTTGGCAAAGTTGACAGAGGCGTTTGTGACCTAGACATCATTTCATGGCAGGGTCATCAGGTCCAGATAGGGTCGATCGCGCACTCGAGAGAAGTGCGCGGCCGACGAATGGAAAGTTTGCTCCTTTCCCAGCTCTTTCTCAACGCCCGTTACTGCATGTTGTTATCCGAATGCACTCAAAGCGCCCAGTGAAGGTTTCAGTTCAATGTCGATCTTTGTTTGTGAATAGACAAGACACACGGGGAAGAAGGTAGATTGCTGAAAGACACCTCATTCTCTCTCAAGACGCTTACGGTCCGCAAAGGTCGGGACACCAGGGCAAATCTGCGATTTCCTGATATGGAAAGGTGCAGGGCTAGAGTCAACTAGCGTGCGGAGCCCAGCCTCTTCCGCAGATCAACATCTCGCCCTGTCTGCTTCCTGCTTGCGACCATCTTGTTGACAATCGCCATCTTCCTTCGCTTAAAGGCCTCCTTGCTGTCGCTCGCATGCGCGCAATGATATCCTAGCAATTACTCTGCAATCTGTTCGGAGAGACTGAGCCTTCGCATACCGAGAAGAGGAGACTTGCTACACGTCCTATTGACGCGCCTCTTATCAACAAAGCCCCAATTTTCTCTGATAATTTGCTTGTGCAGGCGTTCCTTCTCATTCCTTCAGGATACACCTCACGAATAGTTTCACGCTCAGATCAACGACGCGATGTTTTACTCGGAGACCCTCCTGTCGAAGACCGGGCCGCTGGCTCGCGTCTGGCTGTCTGCGAATTTGGAGCGCAAATTATCAAAAACGCACATTTTGGGCGCAAACATAGAGAGTAGTGTCGACGCGATCGTGGATCAGGGTACAGCGCCAATGGCGCTACGTCTCAGTGGTCAACTTCTGCTGGGCGTGGTGAGGATATACAGCAGAAAGGCGAGGTACCTGCTGGATGACTGTAATGAAGCATTACTCAAGATTAAAATGGTACATACACATCTCCCGCTGCCATAAAGTCTCTTCGCTAATTGTTACAAGGCCTTTCGACCTGGAAATGTCGATTTGCCCGCTAACCTCCATATGCCCAGCGCAGCCGCACTCACCATTGAAGACAAGATCAGTGATCCGATAATGCCCGACTTAGACCCCTCACTTTTGGACTTCCGTCCTATGGATATCGATTTCAATTCTAAAAAGGATGACCCATTGAATTGGAACAGCCAGATCTTGTCCGATCCGACCAGTGTAGAGATAGGCCGCCATGCACCCGCCAGAGACCCCCGCGAGGAGTTTGATGAAGAAGCTATGAACATTGATCTCGATCTGGATCTTGGTTTGGATGACGTCCCTACTTTGGATTTTGGGCGCAAAGCAACGCCGCTGTCGCTAGACAACGAAGAAATGGAGATGAATGACCCTTTGACTGACGATTTTGGTTTTGGTGGCCAAACGCGACTTAGTAGTCGGGTACCTTCATTGATTGAAGACGATGGCGGCAAGGAGCCTGATAATGATCCCATCCTGTTCAACGAAGACGACAACGTTCCAGCTCTATTTGACGACCCTATCAATGTCCCAAATCCGCCTACCAACCCTCGTCTTCAGAGGAACTCTCAATCACCCTTGTCGTCCGCGCGAGAAAGTGTGACCCGAGAATTTGAAGTATCAAACATACAGGACGTGGAGGAATCCCCAATACGTCAGGCTCGGCACAAGGCGAAGAAAAGAAAGGTGATGCAAGCTGACTCCATCACTATGATCTCCTCGGACGACATCAAAAAGCAGCAGAAAGATAGATCAGCGATTCTTAAACCAGTGTCCTTTCTTTCTCGCGATCCTGCTTTACAGAATCTGATCAACATGCAAAAGAATGGTGGGTTTGTGTCAAGCATAATGGGCGATGGCAGAGCAAAAGGGTGGGCCCCAGAGCTACAGGGCATTCTGTCGATAGAAGCCGTGCGCAAATCAGGCGAATTAAAGCGCAAGCGTGACAGTGGGGTTGCGGACGTCAGCGAAAATGAGCCCCAAGATGAAGACACCAGACCGCAACTCGAGATTCCAGACGAGACATTTGGTGCCCCTGAACAAATGGGGGACGCAGGGTTTGATGTTGAAAGCCGAGAACGAAGCGAGATTCATCTTCCAGCAGATGACGGGATGCTACCAGGCGACGAAGATGCCATTGCGGACCAACGTAACGAAGAGGACTCTGACCCAGGGCAAGATCGATTTGACGAGACTACTGCGCCACTCTTACATCCATCCGAGCAAGGAGCAGTATCACAGGGAACGAAGCACGCGGTTCATCTTCTGAGAGACCGGTTTGGGTCCACAGCGGATGGCAGCCCCTCGAAACAGAAGAAAAGCCACATCATTTTTCAAAATTTGCTACCACAAGCAAGCACAAGCAAGGCTGATGCGACGAAGATGTTCTTCGAGGTACTCGTGCTTGCGACTAAGGACGCGGTCAAGGTAGAGCAGAACAACCAAGACGTAGGCAGCGATATTCGGATACGATCGAAGCGAGGACTATGGGGTGCGTGGGCAGAAACTGAAGCTGGTGGGGAGATTGCGGAGCAAGAGGATGATGACGCACCTCCAGCGATAGCAACAGCGTCTTAACGAATCCTCTTTAGCCTTCTTGTAATGATATATATTCCGGCCCACTGATATCTCCGTGACATCTTCTTCTGCGAATTGATGCGCCCCGGGGCAGATGTGACCCATCAGGAGCTTGTGTCTTTAAATTTCCAAGGGCTTCGTCAGGGCTGCAGGGGCGCCTTCACGCCCGGATCTCCGGGGCAGGCGTCCGATGAGCGGGCCGTTCCCATGCGAGGACGATGACGCACGAGGGCATTGAAAACAATCTCTGAGAAGTGCCCATACGGTATACTATCCTAGCTGCTTTCTGTATTACTTTCCGTTGTGCTTTCACGTATCTTAATTTGTGAAGAGCAAGATGAAGCAACGGTTCTCCTCTCTAGATGTGAAGGTAAGCTCTTCTTCGCGGACATGCTGTTTCAATGCCAGCTGGTGCCAGACTAAATGGCCTCTAGACTATTGCTCAAGAGCTCTCGTCCGCACTATGCTCTCTTCGGCTTTCTAACGCGTACGACCTTTCTTCTGTAGGTGCCCTTGCTGGCGTTGAAGCCCCTCGTTAATACCATGAGAAGCGCATCTTCCTTCTTAAATTCGCAAAACCCGACTCACGTCAGTCCTTGGTCATTGACTCTGGTTTTAAATGCTATCTCACCAATTTTACCAGAACGACAGCTCCTGCGCCTTCTGCATTTGTATCGAGGCTGAGGAAATTTCTACGTTCGAGACGAGTGACTTCGGTGTCTCAAGTTGGGACTGACAGAATCATTGAAATTCAATTCAGCGATGGTCAATACCGATTGTTCCTAGAATTCTATGCCAGTGGAAATATCGTCCTTGCCGACGCCGACTTATCCGTTCTCGCCCTTTTTCGGAATGTTTCCGAAGGTGTAGATAACGAACAGCTTCGAGTGGGGTTGAAATATTCGCTGGAAAGCCGACAAAACTATCATGGTATTCCGGCCTTAAGTCGTGACAGGATCAGAGATGGTTTGGAGGCAACGCTTCGAAAGAGGAGCGAAGGCGTCTCTCAAACCCGCAAGAAGGGAAAAGAGAAGCCAGGGGACGTGTTACGCAATGTAGTAGCCGCCGCTGCCACAGAATTCTCACCTATGTTGATCGATCATGCTTTGCGATTCGCTCAGATTGATCTGGCTACCCAGCCAGATACAATTATTGCGGATGAGGCTATCTTTGACAAGATTATGATTGCATTAAAGGAAGCACAGAGAATCGTTGACGAAATCTCATGTTCTGGCATGAAGAAAGGCTATGTTGTCGCTAAGCCTGCAAAAGGCGTCTCGATCTCTTCAATCGATCACTCAGATCCGATGGAGTCCGTCAATAAAGGCCTCCTGAAGTATGACGATTTCCATCCTTTCAGGCCACAGCAATTCACCAGTAGAACAGATATATTCCTTATACCCTTTGAAGGTTTTAATAAGACGGTTGACGAATTCTATTCTTCGATTGAATCGCAGAAACTTGAGACGCGACTGACAGACAAAGAAGAAAGCGCTCGAAAAAAATTGGAGAATACAAGGTTAGACCACGAGAAACGTATTGGTGGTTTACAACAAGTTCAGGAATTGAATGTTCGAAAAGCCCAAGCGATTGAGGCCAACGTTCAACGAGTGAGTGAGGCCATCGGTGCTGTCAACTCATTGCTTACACAGGGAATGGATTGGCAAAATGTAGCGCGACTCATTGAGAATGAGCAGCAGCGTCATAACGCTGTTGCGGAGATCATTAAGTTGCCGCTTAAATTTTATGAGAATAACATCACCCTGTTATTGGCAGAAGAAGACACTAATGACGAGCTGGACTTCGAAGGTAATGAGACAGATAGCGAGGTGTCGGATAGCGACAGCGGAAGCGAAAGTCAAGCAGTCGCTGCAAAAAAGCCTACGAAGACATCTGAAGACAAGCGTCTAGCAATTGATGTTGACCTTTCACTCTCCCCCTGGTCGAATGCACGTCAATACTATGATCAGAAGAAGACTGCGGCCGTCAAAGAACAGAAGACGCTTCAGTCATCAGAGAAAGCTCTCAAGAGTGCTGAGAAGAAGATCGGATCCGACCTAAAGAAGGAATTACAGCATGAAAAGGACTTGATGCGACCTCAAAGGAAAGCCGTCTGGTTCGAAAAATTTGCTTACTTCATATCATCAGAAGGTTACCTCGTGCTGGGCGGCAAGGATCTTCAACAAAGTGAGATTTTGTACAATAGACATCTGAAGAAGGGCGATGTCTACGTCCATGCGGATCTACAGGGGGCTGCGTCTATAGTTATAAAAAACAAGGCTGGCAAACCTGATGATCCTATCCCACCAAGCACGTTATCGCAAGCCGGTACTCTAGCTATTGCAACCTCAAGTGCTTGGGACTCGAAAGCGGTCATGTCAGCATGGTGGGTTCCAGCTTATCAGGTTTCTAAAACGGCCTCCCATGGAGACTTTCTCCAAGCTGGAAACTTCAATATCAAAGGTGAGAAGAACTTTTTGCCCCCGGCACAATTATTGCTAGGCTTTGGGCTTCTCTTCAAGGTCAGTGAGGAGAGTAAGGCTAGACACCTGAAACATCGGGTTCACGATGATCCGCTCCTGGAGATTCAACAAGTAAAAGCGTCGAAGGAGGAGTCCGAGTTAGAATCCACCGCCGACGGACGGGACAATCAAACGACAGACCATCAAGGCAATAGTGGTAGCGATGAGGTAGATGACAGCGGGGATGACTCTCGTAAAGATGACAATGTAGACAAGCACGCACTGAATGAAGAGGAGGATGAAGATAAAGGCTCGGATAGAGAAGTCGTGAACCCGCTGCAACCTGGTGGGCCTCAAGGAGAAGATCCAGAAGCGGAAGGTGAAGACGTTCTTTCCGAGCGTGCTGATAACGACGATGCGATCACTGAGCATGTCTCACAAACAGGAGATTCCGATTCAGGAATTGCGACGCCTGATCTTGTTGACGCCGAAGGCGTGAACCCTGGTCCTCGTACGGACGGTCCAGGCTCGGCTGACCTTGCAGAAATCAACACCGAGAAGGCCGAGATGCCATCCGACAGCAAGATCCAAACAGATACTGCTTCTAATCCTGATGCAAAACAGCAACAGAAGCAATCCCATGTTCGAGGAAAGCACGGCAAGCGACAGAAGCAGAAAATCAAATACGCCCATCAAGACGAGGAAGATCGAGCCCTTGCCATGCGCTTACTGGGCTCAGCCGCTGCCCAAGAGCGCGCGAAAGAAGCCACCGAAGCAAAAGCCAGCAAGGAACAAGAGCTGGTGGAGCAAAAGGAGCGAAGGCGAAAACAGCACCTCAAAGCTGCCGAACGAAGTAAGGAAGCAGAGGAAGCGCGAAGGCGGCGGTTTGAAGCCGGTGAAGATGGTGATGATGGTGAGGAGAACGAAGGCACAGACGTGGCTGTGGACCTAGACTCCTTCATCGGCGCACCGTTACCAGGTGACGAGATCCTGGATGCACTGGTGGTGTGTGGCCCATGGGACGCAATTGGAACGCGCTGTCGATGGCGGGCTAAACTGCAGCCTGGCGCGACGAAGAAGGGAAAAGCCGTGAAGGAGATCTTGACAAGGTGGAATGCTCTTGCTAACGAAGAGATCAAGAGGAAACGCGGGGGAAGTGGTGAGGGGAACGACCTCATGGTTGAAGAGGAAAGAATAAGGAAACGGGAGGCGGAGTTGATTAAGCAGATTCGAGATGTGGAGGTCGTGGGGACTGTGCCGGTAGGCAAGCTCCGAGTTGTGATGGGCGGAGCAGAAAAGGGGGGAAAGGTGGTGGTGGAGGGAAAGGGAAGGCAGGAGGCAGGGGTGGGAAAGGAGGGAAGAGGAAGTGAACACAAGCATTCTTGTGCTGTATAATAGTTGTTCTCATGAGAGCACTTCTGTTTCCGCAGCTTTGCGGAGGCGATTCATCACTGCGGCCGCTGCATCGCCTTGATTCTCGTCTATACCTTCTACTAGGATTAAGTCCACCCTTTTATCGTCAAGCTCTCGAAGAGCTGAGAATAGGCCGCGTGCAATGTCTGCGATGCTTGGTCCAATCGATATTGTCCAGACAGACATATTACCGCGCTGATGGCAAGCTGCTTCCGATCTTAAATGTCGACAACTCTCACCATTGCTGAGCACTCGTGTACCAGTCAGTATGATGCCCACTGACTTCGTGGTATCCTCAAAGCTAGCTAGCACCCCTTCACTCGGCGGCCCTTTCACGAGTATCACGCGCGCTCTCGGAGAGTAGTGTCTATACTTCATACCAGGTGCCTTGGGTGCTTCGTCAAGCCGAGTTTCTGAATAGCCGACTTGAACGTCTTCCCATCCGGGGAATTGCCGTAAGACTTCGAGAGAGATATGTCCCGGCCGAAGTATCAGTGGTGGTTTCGAAAGACCGTCGACGACTGTGCTTTCTACGCCAACCTCGCAAGGGCCACCGTCCAGGATCAGTTCAATTCGCCCGTCAAGATCATGTTTCACGTGGCTTGCTGTCGTAGGCGATGGTTTGCCGGATGCATTTGCAGATGGAGCAGCGACTGGCACTCCAGCCATCTGGATAAGAGCCAGGGCTAGCTTCTGAGAGGGCATTCGCACACCGACAGTCTGCAGCGTAGATGTCACCTCTGGCGCGAACGGGGACGGTCTTGGTAATGGCAGCAGTATCGTCAGTGGACCAGGCCAAAAATGGTCGATAAGCGGATGATAAATCTGTGGTATTGGGTCTGAAGATTTGTCCTCAGATTTTTCACGCAGCAGTTTCCTCAGTTGTGGAAGAGAGCTGATATGGACTATCAGAGGGTTGTCAGATGGCCGATTTTTCGCTCGGTAGATGCCTTGCACCGCAGAACTCCTTGTGGCATCTGCGCCCAACCCATAGACCGTCTCCGTGGGAAAGGCGACAGGTACGTCAGAATGCCGAATGAGAAGAGCTGCTTCCTGTACCTTGGCGTAGTCGGAATTGTCTGAACCCTGCTGTAATGACCAATCATCCAGAAAGGGACGGGCATCATCGCTGAAGGTAAAGTCGCCAATCTTGGAGATGTCGACGGGTAATACTCGTGTTGTATACATGCCCCCCAACAGCTGTGAGGGTTGTGAGGCCATTGCTGACACCAAAACAAGCAGATGTCTTGGAACTGCAAGAAGTGAAAATCTAGATCATTTGGCTGACGAGGAGAAATAGCATGAATCTCCTCCGTCGATTCCACAGCCAGGACAGGGGCTATCAATCATGCTGTGTTGGTAAATCATCCATCAGTAAACATGGTCTTTTGCCGCAGAAATGACGAGCTAGATAGTTCGATAACTTCATCAAATGACGCCGTAAATATGTTCCAATATTTTACCTAATACGTACTTCAATGATGGACAATTTTGTAGCGTGAAATATAAAGTCTGCGACTCATCAAGAACTGAAAGTTATCATCGAGTCAACTCTCGTGACAGTAATGCATATTTACAGTTTTCAATTGGAAGTCTGACTCAATTTGAGAGTAAGGTAGAGAAGAAGTGAGGTCGGGTATTGATTACTTGGCGTCGTCTGATGGAAGGCTTGTAGGGTAATGCATTCAATAGTACTACTTCTAGCTCTATGTCTACGCATTTAGTTTCTTCGTAGCTCATGGCTCGTAATCACATCAGACATCACTTTTCAGATGACCGCCAAAAACGGAGATATCGTTGTGTTGCTGAATTGGGTGACTGCAAATAATCTACCAACCCCGCCTCAACGCTCTATGACCGCTGCTCCTCTCCTTCCTCTTTTCCTTTTTCTTGTCACTTTTTCTTCTTTTTTGCCTCCCAGCCTGCTCAGGAAACGCTACTCGTTCAATCGCTCGTTTTGCTCGCCGGGCTTCTCTTTTTCTCCTAACTATCTCAATGATACGCTGCAATTCTTCAACATAAGCTGTTGTGCCCACTTTGTCCTGCAGATTAGACATCAGATCTCCTACATTGGATACGAGGACACCATAGTCCTCGGTGAATCCAGCGTCTGTGCTGAAAGGTATGGTACTGTTTGTATTCGTCATTTGGTAGAGGGGCAACAGGATAGTGGCCATGTGTGCGCACAACATCGGCACAGACATGTACTTTGTAATGAGCGCCAGTAGCTGTAACGAGGATTTCAAGGGTGTTAGAGAGGAAGCACGAGTCGTGGACGGCGGGCGACGCAAGAATCTCGAGACTTGCTGAGTCATATAAGTGATCGCAAGCTTTTGCTTTGGTTGCTGGGTAGAGTTTTCGTCATCGCTATCCGTACAACAACTTCCCTCTCCCCCAATGCGACAACCATTCTGGGTGCCTGGATGGAGTTCCGGCCAGATTAGGGATGTGCGTATCATGAGTCGTCCTAGAAATAGAAGATTGCGCACACATTGATTAGCAAGCTCATCACAACCGGCAGACCCTTGAAGGGAGCTTAATGAGACTTGAACGATTTCAACGACTTCATCTTCACTGATGGAAAGACCAGTTGCACCTTTGACGGGAAAAGTGATTCCTTCATCACTTACATCAGAGCCCCAAATATTGGTAAAGTAGGCGCCCATTAGCTTTGCTGCCGACAGTTTTATCCAGGAATGGGGATATGACAAGCAGTGGCGAATCTTTGACCACACCGGCGCAAAGGAAGTCGTGAACGCGAGCGCAGGAAGATGATGGCAAATCTTTGAGATGGTTTGAAGTACAACATATAGCAGTTGCCAATCAGTCCTGGTTGCGTCGTCCGTCGCGGCTTCCAGAACGGTCGTAAGCTGTGGTTGGAATCTACGGATCTGTCTCTCACTCTGGCTGCAATTTGTGTCGAGGTAGATGCAGAACGTTTGAAATGCAGCCCTGTGTAAAAGTGGTTCTTCAGCTTGATTCAGCCATGAGCTCATTGTGTTCAGGAAGAGCTGTTTGCGTTCGGGATCTGCACACTTGAATAAAGTATGCAACAGCAGACTAGCTATTTCCCGACATTTGTCAGATTCATCATTGATGATGACCATTACGAGTGGTCCAAAGAGGCTCCCGAGCATTTGTTGCGATGTCGAATCTTCCATTTTGATGAGCAAAACATTGATCAATTCCAACACGGATATGCGACCTTCCATATGCTTGTAATCTAAGTTGTTGATGAGGAAGTTGATTTGCTTCGAAAACCGATCCTTGCTTTGGGGATAATTCGTGAAGAATTGGACATAAACGCCACGAGCCTGGTCCCGGACATCTTGCGTAGGATTTGTCACCAGCATAGTCCTTATCAGATCCATAACCTCGTAAACTTCTGGAACAATGGCTCTGTAACTCATGATTGCCTTAAGGAATTTGAACGCCGAACCCTGTTTGCTAGGTTCTTCTAGGTCAGGGATCAGTCGTTTTAGCAGAAAGGCAAGGTCGCCTTCGCGCAGATCTGTAGGTTGTTTTTCCTGTAAGATGGTCGATATCAACTTGTATGCTGCTTGTGCTAACTCTGCAGTCGTCGAGGAAGAGCTCCTGATTATCTTCACGCACTCCATAAAATATACATTCGTATTATCGTCGATTGCTTTCAAGGGAACTTTGATTATGGCTGTCAGCAGTCTTAAAGCAGCGATCTGGATTTCTTCAGTTGGTGTTGTGATTGCGTCTCCAATTAGAGGCATAAAGCCATGCAGATTTGTCGGAGTCTGTAGATTATTGTGTTTGTGAAGGATCATGCGAAGGACATCGAGCGCAAAACTAACAAGCTTAGGGGAAGTTGAAAGATCATGACTCATACGTTTGTTTGCCGTCTTGTGGCTAGATGCGAAGCCAGGGACTCCAGCTTCGTCTTTGTCAACGGCTGCAGAGGCACTAGCCCTCGATTTGTAACCATGAAGAAGAATCTCATGGCAGAACACCAGCACGCGCTGGTCTTCTATTGCCTTGTTTTGAGCCAGTCCGGCGCTTATGCGGCGAAACAGCTCGTTCACCTTGTTGGTGGTGCGTACATCATGCTTCTCTCCAAGCATGGCCTCGAGTGGCTTGATAAGATTGCCGAGATGGGTGACAGAAGTAAGCTTTGCGGCCAATTCCATTGAGTCAAGAGCTTTGCTGCCTCGGACTTCTTTCATTCTGCTGATGTATTCCTCGGCATCCTTTTCTTGACCAACTGACCCGAAGATGTCATCCATCATAATCCTAACGATTTGGGGAAGACAGTAGTCAAGATCACCAGGAGCATAGACAGAAGAAGTGGTGACTAGGAGCGAGTGGACTGTATAAGACAGGACGTGCAGCTGATAGCCTCGTGCAAGGGCGCCACGTAGTTCTCGCAAGGCGAAGGAAAAGTATCTAGGGCCCATGTATAGAAGCATCTCGGCTAGAGATTTCCTTGAGAGATCTCTTGAATCTTGTGCACGACTGCGTAGTATATTGCACACATCTGTCAATATTGAGGGCAGTTGACTGTCCATGTGGATATGGGGAAGTATTGTGAGGAGCTTGCTCAGGGCAACCGCTACTGATACACGAAGGCTAACCCTTGCTTCATCTTTGTCGTGGACAAAGCTCGTCAAAGGTGGTAAAAGATTGTCGACTATGTCACCTGCAAGCCCACCTGTTTTTGGAAGTGTCTTGCTGAGCGTAGTCAATCGTGAGGTGTCACATGCAACGAGCGGATTGACAGTCGGAACATTTCCCTCTTCCTCCTTCTGTCTTGCCTTCGCTGCCTCCATCAACGTGCCAACAAATAAACTAAGCAGTCTGGTGACCTTCTTCAGGGCGTCGGGCTTACTAACCAAATAGCTGCTGTACCTACGAAAGACTGCTTTGTATTGTGGCCACTCCAAAGACGAAGCAACCTCTGCAATGGCTGTAGAAGCTTCGCCACTCAGATCGTTTCCTGCGTCGTCTCCGGTAGCATCAAAAATGAAATGTTCAATTAGGGGAATCAGGAACTGAGAGACATTATGGCTGCGGAGCAGACACTGATTCGCGCACGCTGCGAGACGGCGCAATGCTCGAATTCGTCTGTGTTGCTGAATATGTAATATGTTTGAAAAGACAGAAGCTTCGTCGTCATTGTCCATGAGCAAGGGGCGCATATCACTAATTTCAGACCACGATGGGTTTTCGCGCACCAGAAACGCCATGATACCAATATATTCTGAGCGGACTAACTCAGACGTTGCAAATGCGCCCTTGCGGAGGGCTGGCAAAAGTACAGCATGTGAAAGCTCGCATAGGTCCCTTCGCTGAGTGCCGTCGTCTAGTGATGCTGCTTTGACAAAACGACGCAAGCTCAATCCAGCAGACGACCGTAATGCAAGCTCTTCTTCATCGCGGACGAAGAAAAGCATGTTGTAGAGCAAGGGTGTCCAGCTTTTCGCCGAAAGATCTTGCCATCTGAATTCATTGATTAGGTTGAAAGCCTTGAGCCTTGTATCGAAATCTGGCTCTCCAATTTTGCGATCAGAGAATGCATTTAATTTCTCGCATATAGACGCTGTCTCTGCGAGCTCGAGATCTTCATCGAGAAGGGCGGAAAAGGCTTTGCACAACCTCTGGCGACTTTCACGGTCCTTGAAGTATCCGAACAGCGATGAAAGGATCTTGAACGCACAATCCCATGTTTCTTTCGGCATTTGAGATTGGTCGATCTTCAAGAAGCGCTCTACAATCCGCAAAAGCTCACCTTTTGACTTTGGACCAATACGGTGAGATGGTAGACCTAATAGCTGTATTGACAGAGCTAGTATCGGACGAATTGAAGCTGAACTATTCTCCACTAATGATGCTATTTCAGCCACAACCTGGATACTGACATCTAAAAGGAGCTTGTTAGAGTTCGTTTCGAGGACGTGTGCCATTGTATACAATATGCAGTCAGTATATGTGCCGAGGAATTTAACTCTCAAAGTTGTTGAAGATGCCGTCGCGATTTTACCATCAGATTCGGATGTCGTAGCTTTGAGTGCATGTAAGATGTGCATCAGGATGTCATCTATTATGAAGACCACGACCTCATCTTTGCATGAGCTAGCGAGTGGAATTTTGGATACTGATTCAAGCGTTCTTTGGTCGAAGTCTAAGAGGAAATGGACACCAACCAAGGATTTTGCCCACGTCGCAAACAGTTGCAAGATTCCCGAGATGGACTGTGACGACTCTACGGCAAGATTTTCTAACCTGCAACTCAGAATATGCCTAAATGTCGTCGAGACATAGGGCTCCAGTGTTTGAGGCGAGAAGCGAGAAGCTATGAGAACGAGGCAGTTCATACTTGTCTGTCGAACATCTTTCAGGAGTGACGTGCAAGAAGCGGCATCTGGCCCCTGCCTTTCACCATCCCGGCTAGATTCGAGCAAGCGAGCAGCACGAATACCGCAATACAATGTCGCTTCTATGAGAGATCGCGCGCAAGGCAGAAGATCACTGCCAAGCACTTCCAGAAACGTCTTGATCATATTGAGAACTCCGATTTGTTTTCGTGGTGGTATAATCTGTTGCTCAAGAATGGCCTCGTTCACAGCTTTACCGTCAACTAGCTCCAGATGCCAAAGTCCCTCCAAAGCAATGTGCAGATATTCTGCAAAATACGGGGCGCCCAAATTGGAAACGGCTTGTAGAATTGCTTTTCGCCTTGATGATTGATTTCCTCGGGCCCCTTTGCTACCTGTACGTACAATCATGAGGCCGTACAGGAGCCTTAGCAATATTGGCATCACTTTAGCACGGTGATCTTGTCGCACGGAAATTCCGCCGTCTCCACTTAGAAAAGCAGTAATCTCATCCCTTAGTCGAGCTTCGTCCAGGAGGTTCAAAAGGTTCTCCTTGTACGGTACAATCTCTGGAAATTTCCAATTGAATATAGCCTGCAGCGCGGTTTTTTGAAATTCAGTATCACCACATGCAAGAATTTGCGTTAAGGCGTGGAGGACTCGATCTGCCATGTAGAGATTCTGAGGCCAGGAACATTTGGCAAAGATGTTGACCATTATCTTGCGCTCCCTCGATGGCCAGGAGCTAGTGACCTCGCAATTCGTGTCACCAGGATTTACGTCCGCAGCCCACGATAAGAAATGCGGGACAAGTCTTCCAGAGGATCGCTCGACAAGACATGGGACGGTGAGCAACACCTTCAAAGCTAGGTAATGAGCATCTGGTACTTCTCGAGATATCTCTGCCGAATCGGCATAATAACTTTCTTTGAGTAATTTTGGAGCATCTTTAACCTCCGATCTGCTCCGTTTTAGCAAGCGCATGAGGTCTTTCACATTCGAGCATTCGAATTCTGTAGACCAGTTAGGCAATTCTAGGTGCATCTTGTCGGTATTGACAGCCTTGTTGCTGCTGCTTTCTGGACGAGGTTTCGCGAGCCATTCAAAAACAACTGTAGAAACAATATCCTCGCCGACTTTGATCTCACAGATTTCCCTTAATGCTTCCAAAGCGGCTTCCTGAGCTTGTGCAAGCTTATATGTTAGCATGCCAAAGCAAAAATGAGGAAATGCCTGCCTAAATATGCGATCTGTTGAAGCTGTCTTGTAGTCTGAGGCTAGAGTCCGAACTCGCACCGCAACTGAACGGGCCGATTGGAGACCCAACGGGGTCTCTTCTATAGCTATTGCACTGCTGAGGAAGTGCGCGCGCTTTTTACCGTCACTTGGACCAAATGAATCCAGTATTTTCAAAGAGACTAGCCTGAGTGCAGAAGATGAGGATTGCAGATTATACATGAGCTGGTCAATCAATGTTTCAGAATTGAGAAATTCGGCCGACTCGTTTCGAATATTGGAAAGACTAAGCATTGCCTCCAAATAGGGCATTTGGGTGCTGTACTTTGTAGCATCGCGGCACAACGCAGACCACCATGCGCCAAAGCGAGTAATCTTGCCTGAGTTGCAATTGAGATACTGCTTCACGAAAGAGATGACAGTGAAGTTGGGCGTAGAGTCAGCACGGTCTTCGCTCAAGCAATGATCAATGTGGATTCCAAGACTCTCCACGACGTTCTTCTGGATGCTGTTTGACATGGACATAAACTGTAGGGACGTCACAGTGTGGAAAATTTCGACCGCCTCTTCGGTGTTTTCAGGGAGTTTTTGGGATTGTTCGAGCATATGCTCCTGCCATGCGTCAGGTATCTCAAATTTCCTCTGGCTTGCATTAGCGGCGAGTTTGTTGATAAGCAACAACAGCTGCAGTCTCTTGTCTTTCCACTTAAGAGCGACGAATCTTTCGAAATGTGGCATAAGAAGTTCGTGAAATCGCTCTTCTCCAGTGTCGCTGAAGGAGTTACAAAACGACAGGAATATTTGTTCATGATCATCAGTAGTGATCATTGTCATTGCTGAATTGAAGTATGGTAGAACTACCTCGAGCGGTGCGGTTTGGAATATGAGAGCAGCCATTTCGAAGACACGCAAGGTTTGTTCTGTGCCTACAGCCATAGAGCATCGTAGTAATGTCAGACTCGCGTCTAGAATATTGTGCCATTCGCCTATACGCGAACCTTTCCGTACAGCAGATACCAGGAACAACAGATGCGTCAATGAATCTAACATTACATTCGTAGAACTTGAATTTAATTGGTTGATCTCGTTCAGGATGTCATCCACAATAGGTCCTAGACCTTCAATGTTTGTGTGGTGAATCAAAGCGATTGTTGTACCATACAGAGCGTCTCGACTCGCTTGGCCTGTCGTGTCCTCAGACATAGTAGACTTCAGCAGACAAGAGTATATCCGCAGTCCATACGCATGCAACCTTCGATCGACGCCCTTGATTGCATGGAACAATAGGGTCATGATGCCGAATTTGTAGCCACCGATACCGCTGATCCCATTTGAACTCTCAATAGTGTCGTCGAGGTCGCTGCATATGGCTTGAATAATATCTTGTAATGGCTTAGGATGTCGAACATAGGCGCTAGCAGCCTTTCTGATCAGAAAAGCCAGCGATTCGGCAGCGAACCTTGTAGTGTACGTCTTGTGAGTTTCCTTGCCAAGAAGGGGCGCCATGATATAGAACAAAGGCCTGAGGTGCGGAACCAACAGTCGGGATAAGAACTTGAATATCCAAGAAAGAGAATTGAAGCTCCATTCTATGGCTTCCACCTCTTTGTGTGTCGCAGCAATTGAAGTTACCAACTCGACAGCTTTCATGAAGTGATGCTCAAACTTCGTTCCCAAATCGCGAGCAAACTGGCTAAGGAGATCTAATAATGGTTCAAGGGATAATACATCGCGTTGCTTTAAGTGATTCAAGAGGATCTCGAAGAGACGTTCGTTGTTGTGTACAATCTGCGGTAAGCTCTGGCAGAGACCATCCACTTCGGGGACGAAAGATCGAAAACTCTCGGATAGATTACAATCTTTCCATTCACTTAATGCGGCTTTGAAGTAGGAACCATGTTCCAGAACATCCCCATCATTATACTTCTCTTGTCTGCGTCGCCTGACTGGATCAATCCGAATCCTTGCGATTCGCTGATTGAAAGACTCAAAAGTGTGCTTTTTCTTCGATGTCGTGCCCCTCTTTGCCACTCGTCCCGCGAGCTTTTGCTTCTGTATGGAATCACGCTCCATATCTCATCTATCGGCACTCGTTGGTCGCTTAAAGAGGCAGTTTCCATTTCACAGGCGATGTATCGAAGATGTGAGGGAGACATGAAGCAAAACCAAAAAAAGAGGACGGAAGCTTGACAACCTAAGGCCGGACTTAAGTCCGGGTGAGCCCGCTCGGAGGCGCTATTTTGGGACTAGTCTTATGAAGCCTTGATTTTCTTACTCTCAGCAGCAGACCAAACAACCCTACCACTTTGGATGTCAGCCGCTCACCACTAAGCCTTTACGCCTAGCCATGATGGATAGTTTACTTCTCTACTATGATCTCATGTTGTTCTATTGCTAGCTTTCGTCAAGTGGATTCAACATGGTCGCTTTCACAGACCTGGTAATATGCTTGTGAAATCAAAACTCAATTAAAACGATTGCGAGCTTCAGGTTAAACATGGTCTGCAAAATGTGAGCTCTTGTCTTACAATTCTAAGTCGTTAGCATGCTGCGTTTCACATTTTAAATCAGAATTTCAAGAAGTAAGAGTAGGCTGACCAAATGCTGGCTTCAGAGTCGCAATTGGTGCTATTGAGGGACACTTTGAGATCTTTGCAAAGCTGACCAAATTGCACAAGAAAACTTCTTTCTCCTTCGGGCTAGCTTTGGGAGACTTGTTTGCAGATCCTGCAGTTGACAGCGACCAGACGAAGGACGCTATTGCGTCTCTTGTGAGTGGTGGTCTTGATGTTCCTTTTCCCATTTACTTCTCCCTTGGTCGACACCCTCTGCCAGTCCAGGTCAGAAGTAAGCTCGAAGATTCAGGAAATGGTGAACTTTGCCCGAACTTGTATTACTTGGGAAAGAGGTCCACTACGATTACGTCGGAAAGGATTCGAATTGTAGCTTTGGGTGGTGCAATGGACAGTGCGCTCACTGCAGGACATTCGAAAGACGATTTCTTGCCCTTGCACACCGAAAGCGATGTCAGATCGCTCTATGGTGCCCATAAAGCTGATATTTTGATCAGCAATTACTGGCCGGCAAATGTTCTTTCACACTCAAATGTCACTGTTCCGGCCACTTTTGAAGAGCCACCCAGCGAAGCATGCCTGGCAGAACTATGCGCAAATCTTCGACCGCGCTACTACTTCAGCTCGTCCCCTCAGTTCTTCTTTGAGCGAGAACCCTTCATCCATAATGCAGTGGACACCTTGGAGGTCACCCGCTTCATAAGCATAGCAAGTTTTGTAAACAACGCAAATCAAAAATCTCTGTATGCATTCTCTTTCAATCCTTCGGCCGTCGCAATAGACACTACGCCACCTAACGCAACAGCTACACCTTTCGTTGCAAATAGGCAAAAACACTCCAGAAGCGATGATCGGAGGGACAGTCAGCACCGCTTCTCGCAAAATAACGACCAACACTATCGCCGCGATACCAAGCGAGCTCGACGACCACTTCCTGGTCCGGAGTCATGTTTTTTCTGTCTGTCAAATCCAAATGTGGCAACGCACCTTATCACATCGATCGGCAACGATAGCTATCTTACGACTGCCAAAGGTCCTCTCACAACGTCCAAGACTTTTCCGCATTTAGAATTTCCAGGGCACATACTGATAATACCCCTGTCGCACTCACCGACTTTCACCAGCATCAATCCTCCAGAGACTGCGGCATCTACCTATCAGGAAATGACAAGGTACCGCAAGAGTTTGCAATCTCTTGTCTCTGCAACCTCAAACGGGACTCTTGGGTCGGTAACGTGGGAGATTAGCCGTGCGAACGGTATTCACAATCACTGGCAATTCTTACCCGCACCAGTTGATATGATTCGTAAAGGCCTTGTTGAAGCGGGCTTCAAAGTAGAAGCAGAAAACGAACGGTATGCAGCATTCAAAGAGAAAGACATCGGAGACGGCGCGCAAGAAGAGGATTTTTTGCGAGTTTGGCTATGGGATCCTCACGACCCAAACGTGAATGTCGCCGCCGAGGAGCTTCGCGTAGGTGAAGATGGCAAAGAACAGTCACTTATTCTTCAGCTGCACCAAGATGCCAGGTTCAGTCTACAATTCCCTAGAAAAGTCATGTCGCGACTGCTAGGTCTAGAGCACCGCCTGCAATGGCAGGACTGTGAACAGAACGACGTGGAGGAAAAAGCCGAGGCAGACACATTCAAAAAAGCATATGAAGCATTTGATTTCACATTGAAGGAATGATGATACCCCTGCCATTGCGTGCGTGAGCGCTATTACCCCGATGAGCCATCAATAGGAAGATGGAGGCAAGATATGAAAGAACCTAGTATTGGATACTACCTTCAGTACCTTCCATTATAAGATAGCCAAGAAATATATCGAAGGCTTGGCACAAATCGGAACCCCGCTGTGGAGTTTCGGCTAGATCCGATCTAGCTAGCCTCTCTTGACTTAGCTCTGGTTAGCTCGCCTTCTCCACGCTTTCCATGATGCGATTTGCTTTTCGCCGTGCTGGTTACTTGCATGGCTAACTTCCTTTACATGCAGATTCCCTCAATCTTCATGTATTCTGCCTGACTGCTGGAGCGCTTGCTGTTCTGGCATTGTTCAAAGGCTCTTAGCATTCCAACGCAAACATCCGACTGCACGCCACCGATGCAATTGTTCCTTAAGCTGCCTGTTCTCCCGCTTGCCGCTGCATTGACGCATAACAGAACCCGTCCAATGCTTTGGCATTGGTGAACCCCCCAACTCTGAGGTCGCCCCACGTTTATCTATCCGCATCTTCTGAGCCTCGCAAACGACCTGTTGGGTTAGAATGACCAAGAAGGATCATGGGGCTTCAAAGTACAGTTCCGACAGGAATACCAATTCTCCGTTAGCGGATCCGATGTCTGGTGCCGCTGCAGCACGGGCAAAGCAGATGTCTTCGCTGCAGACTGCTCCACAAGATCTGTGAGTACAATCGTGTCTATCTACGCTGCAGTGGCTCTCGAATGCGAGTCGCAAGTTTTATGGTCGCGGGCGACGAATATGTAGTTCACAAGGCTCATTACCATTTGATCTTGTAGCGTGATATCCTGCCTCCCTTGCTCAAATTGCTGACTGTCCTTGATTTCCCAGATCCTTTAGCGATCCTTCTGGTCTGTTGGGAGATAGAAACCCTTTGACAGCATCGCCTTCAGCTGCAATCTCAAGAGAAACTTACAGAGAGACACGGCAGGGTGGGTTACGAGATGAGGCAAGACAGGATAAGAGCAGACCCAACAATCAATCGCGCGCAAAGCTTTCTGCGCCTACCGAGGCGCCAAAGTCGCAGATAGCGCCCTGGGCCACGGAAGATCCAGCGATGCTGAGCACTCACGATCTTACTTCAGGAAACTTCTTCGAAAATGGACCAAGCAAGGTGCAGCTGTCTCCAATCTTCCGATCTGGGGCAGGCCGTACCAACAACAGTGGCTCCCCATCAGAGCTCGTGTATCAAGATGACGACCGTCGCCCGTCTATTGTGAGTGAAAGCACGCTTTCTAGTCAGAATTCGATGCCAAAAACGACTTCGCATAAGAACGCAAGTTCGAGGAAGAAGGCTGCATTGTTCGGTGATGAAGGACGGAAGCCTTCCTGGAGCTCTGGAGCGAGCACTCCAGGTAGTCTGCGGAGGGAGTCGACCCAAGCATCTACCCAAGGCTCAATGCATTCGACAGGTACTGACGGACGATCCAAGTCACCACCTTCGTCCAGTACGCGATATCCTCAGGCTTCCAGTGAAGTTACACCATGGATGTTTCAGGACCCTAAGGTGAGCACACGCCAATCTTTCTTTCCGGACATGCTTTGGCTGCACCCTGCCCTCAGACAGACCGTTTTACTCTTTCTTTGCGCCCTGTCATTGCATTGAACGGCGCAAAGGGCAGTCTGATGTATCCCCAAAGTCGAATCTCTGCTACGCCAGTAAATGTCTTTTCATATGGTCGCTTGGGGGAACTTCTTTGTGCAGGGGGTGTCCCAATACTTCAGAAGGTTGCGTGGAAGGAGCGACCGAGAGCTGACAGTGTATCTCATATAGGATATACGACACTATGGTGACGCACCAGTGAGGCAGATGCCTGCAGGTCTAGACAAAGGCCGTCTTGGAGAAGAAGAAAGCTCGTCTACTGATCAACAGCACCACCACCACCATCGCCGCCTCCATTTACCAGGTCATCGCCATAATCGAAGTAGAGAAGAGCCTCCAAAACCCCCGCCCAAGGAACCATTCAACGGCAACCCTATACGACCAACCCCTCCTCGGCACGAATCTGCGAACAATGTACGCTCCTTGAAAGATCAGAATCCATCACCTATACCTTCGCGCAGTACATTGCCCATCGGAGGCTTCAATGGAAGTCCAGCTTCAAGCACAACAAGCAACAGAAGCCCTTCTAATCGAGCCGAAACCATGCCTAGCCATAGGTCACCTGTGGAAAATGGTCATAAGAAACGGACATTGCTGGACAAGCTTCGCGGACATAAAGGAGACCGAGGCGCTGGAGACTCTCTTGACCGTCTCCCACCTTCGTCTAATTCATTACTGCCCGTTCAGACGAATGAGAGCTACAAACAATATAATCCGGAGCTAGTCAAAAAAGCATCGCGAAAAGATAGTATTGCTACTTTCGACAGCCAATCGACCCTTAAAGGGACCGATCAATTCAGCTTTGGTGAAGAGTCCCCACTTTTGAAGAAGGACACTGCGGGTTCAAAGATCTTACACAGCCACTCCAAATTTCCAAAACCAAAGCGTGGCTTCAGTACCGACAGTCAGAACAAACAGGATTTTGAAAAGGTCCGCAATGGATCGATTACCCATGATCCGTCCCTACATGCGCTGGACATGAATTTCGACGATATGAGCGGCATTGTAGACGCAAATGCCGTTGGTCCTAACGCTCCTCATGGTGGTATCTTTACTGGAGAGGCGATGCCTGAGGAGCCCAAAAAAGAGGTCAAAGAAGATGGGCCAGGGTCTTGGGACGCGCCGGATTCATGGGCTGTCAAAAAGGTTGGTGACGTGAACATGGGGCGTCTACCAGAGATCGACGAGGCTGGAATTCCTCCTAAGCTAAATGATGATGGCACACCGCATTGTGTCCGCATTTTTCGCATCGATTCTACCTTTGCTACTCTCTCTCAGACGATCAATACCACCGCTGCAGAAATTCTCCAGCTTCTTGGGCGGAAGTCTTTCTTACAAGATGACCTTGATAATTACCAGATAATCATGAGAAAACATGACCTGCACCGACAACTAGCGCCGGGTGAGAGGCCTATAGCCATACAAAAGAAATTACTCGAGCAAGCTGGTTATCAACCTTCGGACCGGGTCGAGGAGATTGGACGCGAAGATAATAGCTATCTTGTCCGGTTCACTTTTGTACCAACAAAATTGACTGGATACTACAGTCTGGAGAAGGAACCCGGACAGGGTAAGATGCAGAAATTCAGTCACGTAGATCTATCCGGTAGAAGCCTCGTCACAATTCCCATTACGCTGTACCAAAAGGCGACAGAGATCGTATCGCTGAATATCTCGAGGAACCTGGCAATTGACGTCCCGAAAGACTTCATCACAAGTTGCACCAACCTCCGAGAGATTCGATTTATCAGTAATGAAGCATGGCAGGTCCCAGCAAGTCTATGTTTGGCAAGTCGCTTGACTGTACTTGACATTTCTAACAATCGCCTTGAACAACTTGAGCACGCCGAGTTAAACAAGCTGTCGCACCTCGCAAGTCTAAAGATGTCGAACAATAAGTTGAAAAGTCTACCCGCGTACTTTGGCCAGTTCAGCTCGTTGCGTAGCTTGAACATGTCCTCAAATTATTTTGAGGCCGTCCCAGAGTCTTTATGTGATCTTAGGACTCTGGTCGACCTTGACATAAGCTTCAACGGCATAAAGAATCTGCCCAAGCTAGGTCGACTCACGTCTCTAGAGCGTCTTTGGGCAACGAACAACACGCTTTCCGGAAAATTTGCTGAAGAGTTCAAGGGACTGAAAAATCTCAAAGAGGTTGACTTACGTTTTAACGGCATTACTTGCATAGAGGTCTTCACTTCTCTTCCTAAATTAGAGCAACTGATGGTCGGACACAACACGATTTCCAAATTTGAAGGTAGTTTTGAAAAGATTCGTATCTTACATGTAGATCACAACCCGATGACACGATTCGATTTCAAGGCACCTGTCCCATCATTGACCGCACTCAACATCGCCTCTTGCAAGGTCGCCCAACTAGACGATAGCTGCTTCGAGCGGATGCGAAATGTCACCAAACTAATTTTGAACAAAAATCATTTCTCGTCCCTCTCCAATCAGATTTGCAAGCTACAAAGACTAGAGTATCTCAGTATAGCCAAGAACCCGCTGAACAGCCTTCCAGCGACCATTGGGGGGCTGTCCGAATTGCACTTTCTAGACGTAAGAGAATGCAATCTCACAAAACTTCCTTCCGAGTTATGGTTCTGCTATCGTCTAGACACCCTCAATGTCTCCGCCAATGTTTTGGAGTCGTTCCCAAAGCCCCCAACCTCTCAGCCAGCAAATCAAATCGAGGAACAGGCAGGCGTTGCAGATGCTTCAGCTGAAACAACATCAATACCTGCAGCAACGCCAGAGCACGAAGAGCTTGGATCAACAGACGCTTATAGCGAGCGGCGACCAAGTCAGTCATCCACGGGTCTTCTGAACTCCGCTAGAAACGGATCAGTCGCGTCCGTTATAGGACCTACGCCACGCAAAGGCTCTATCATCTCAAGAACTACGACAAGCGACACATTGACACCAATCAGCCGAAAAGACTCGAACCTGCAGCAAAGATACATGAACACTTTTGCCGCCTCTCTTCGCAATCTTTACTTGGCAGATAACAGACTGACTGACGATGTGTTTGACCAGATAACCCTGCTACCTGGCATTCGTATACTCAATCTATCATATAATGACCTCGATGACATTCCTGAACGCTCACTCCGCAGGTGGCAAGAAATCAATGAGCTATATCTGTCCGGCAATGAATTGACCTCTCTACCGTCAGATGATCTAGAACAGATTGCGTCGCTCAAAGTCCTCCACATCAATGCGAACAAATTTCAAGTACTCCCTGCGGAGCTATGCAAGGTTAAAAAGCTACAAGTGTTGGACGTAGGGAGTAACGCACTCAAGTACAATGTCTCTAATTGGCCTTATGATTGGAACTGGAGTTGGAATCATAACCTACAATATCTCAACTTCTCAGGTAACAAACGTTTGGAAATAAAGCCGACACGATCTTTCGGAACGCATAACGCAAACAAAGACGAGACTGATGATCTTACGAATTTTAATATGCTCAGTCATCTTCGGGTCCTAGGGTTGATGGATGTGACTTTGACGATTCCGTCAATCCCTGATCAGACTGAGGACCGAAGAGTCCGAACATCAGGCTCTGTAGCTGGTCCAATGGCGTACGGTATGGCGGACAGTATAGGCAGACATCAGCACTTGTCGACAATTGACATGGTAGTACCCAGGTTTAGGGGCCATGAAACAGAGACACTTCTTGGTATGTTTGACGGGCAAGCACTCTCGAACGGTGGGTCACGAGTGGCCAAATATCTGCATGAGAATTTCGGCTTTCACTTTACCGAGGAATTAAGTCGCCTTAAGCAGAACGAGTCGCCAACTGACGCTTTACGACGATCATTTCTTGCACTGAACAAAGATCTTGCCACAATCGCTAGCCAAAGCTTTGACGAGAAAGAGCACCGTCTGCCCCAGATGTCCCATAGAGGTTCCACAACCGCGCAGTCGCTCAGCGCTGATGATCTGGCTTCTGGTGGGGTTGCGACTGTCGCTTTCCTTGATAACATGGATTTGTATATAGCCAATTGTGGGGATGCGCAAGCAATGCTGATGCAATCTGATGGCGGATACAAGATCCTTACGCAGAAGCATGAGCCAGCAGATAGGAGTGAGCGTGAGCGGATCCGCGAAGCAGGTGGCTATGTTTCTCGTCATGGCAAGCTCAACGATGTGCTTGAGGTCTCGAGAGCCTTCGGATATGTTCAGATGATGCCAGCAGTCATGGCTGCACCAAACATCACTCATCGTACTCTGAAGGAATCCGATGAGATGATTTTGATTGCGTCTAAAGAACTATGGGATTATATGACCGCCGATGTAGTCGCCGATGTTGCTCGGTCTGAGCGAGGAGACCTCATGCGTGCCGCGCAAAAGCTCCGCGACCTGGCAATGGCATTTGGTGCCACAGGCAAGATAATGGTGATGATGATTGGGGTCAGTGATCTCAAGAAACGCGAACGCAACCGCTTCCGTGGGCAATCTCTTTCTATGGTGCAATCACAGATCCAAGAAGAACAGATGATTCAAAGCAAGCGACCGAGAAAAGCACGAGATCGTCCTGACGATTCGACGCTGCAACGACTAGACCCTGAAGTCGATCCACCTATTGGCGACCTCGTACTTGTCTTCACCGACATCAAGAACTCTACCAACCTTTGGGAGACTGTGCCGGTCGCAATGCGATCTGCCATCAAGTCACACAACGAGATAATGCGTCGTCAACTTCGTGTGATAGGAGGTTACGAAGTGAAGACGGAAGGTGATGCCTTTATGGTGGCATTTCATACGGCCACATCAGCGCTGCTGTGGTGCTTTGTTGTACAGCAGGGACTACTCGAAGTTGACTGGCCTCCTGAAATCTTGAACACGATTCACTGCCGCGAAGTCTGCGACGCAGATGAGAGCACGATCTACCGTGGTCTGTCTGTGCGGATGGGTATGCACTGGGGTCAACCCGTCCACGAGCTCGACCCGGTGACTCGACGTATGGATTATTTTGGTCCTATGGTGAATCGAGCAGCCCGAATCGAAGGTGCTGCAGACGGCGGCGAAATTTTTGTCTCATCCGACTTCATAGCAGAAATTCACCGAGTGCTGGAAACCTACGCAGACGACGAACGCAGTGGCTCTTTTGATTCGGATGACAGTTTCAGTGATGACCCAACAGCGCAACAAATCCGGAAGGAACTACGTGCTTTATCTACCCAGGGTTTCGAGGTAAAAGACATGGGCATGATGAAACTCAAGGGTCTCGAGAATCCCGAAGTCATCTATCTCATGTATCCACACACCCTCGCAGGCCGCTTGATCGTCCAGCAGCAGCATAAGGATTCGGCTGCCGCATTAGCTAGCACGGAGCCAGCAAGCTTGGCTCAGGGCGAGTCTAAAGAGCTGGATACACAGTACGTTTGGGATGCCTGGAATATCTCTTTGAGGCTCGAAATGATCTGTAGTGCTTTGGAATCGCCTGGTGCGATGGGGGTGAAACCTCCTGAAAGAAGCGTGTTGGAGCGGATGAAAAATCGTGGTGGAGAAGTCACCGAGCGGTTTTTAGTAAGCTTATTGGAGCATCAGGTTACAAGGATTGAAGTAAGTAAAAAACCCCAATCTGCATAATATTGGTGATACTAATGACCGTGGCACTAGACATGTATATCTACGCTCGCAATTCGAAACATGGTGGCACCGTTTGTAAAGGGTCGGCTTCTTGCTAACGCGTGTCCGATGGATGATATTTTGGGCAACCTTGCTTCCCAGTTGGCGGAGTATAAGGCGTTCAAGGAAAGGTCGTCGAGTACCCGTGTCGCGGCGCGATGATACGGAATGTGTATGAATTGTATAGGTTCTCGTCCGTTTGGGTTGGTATCGCTGTCATATCTTTTGGATGGCACACTTACTTTTATGGCGAGGCGTTCTAGGAGCTACAAGCTGGGCCCATGAAGTGCACGTGTACATGACCATGCCGACTCTGGACCAAGGAGCGGAAAGAGCATGATGGGTTGAGAACATCATGGTGTCTTTCAGTATGAGTATGACTAGATATAGCTAAATCTATCCAGCTGAGATTTCAGCCGTCGTTTCTCCAGCTTTCGTCCTCATTGAATAAATACTGCACCTGTTGCCAGTCTAGAGCGGATCCTAATGTCGCTCGACGACTTTTGTCTCCGCGGCAGCTTTCCTCTAACGATTCGAAGACATATTCACTCCTCTTCGCCACTTATGACGCAACGATTCTTTAACACTCATAATTTTTGGAGTGTCATCATTACCACCTACTGGCAGCAGAAATCTGGCGCTACGGGGCTCGACTCCTGCCACCTTCACATCGCTCTCTCTACCCGTTAATTCTTACCATACTCTGAATATATAGAGATTATACATCATCCAACGTCAGCCAAGTCGCCGCATTTGGTTCGTCATGGCAGCTCCTCCCTATTTCACACCTGCAGTGGAACCCCCAGCCGGCGTGATCCCCAATCCGAATCACCCGGAGTCCCTGGCCGTGTGGAACACAGTATGTGCCGTAACGTGCCTGTCTGTGGCTACCACTGTCTTTGCTGCTAGAGCATATGTCCGACTTCATCTCAAAAAGCAATGGATCCTCGAAGATTGGATGTGCCTTCTTGCGTGGCTGGGGCTAGTAGCATATTGCACACTGACGACCATGACCTTCCATCACCATGGTGGGATTCATGTGTGGGATTTGACAGCAAAGCGATTCGTTGAAGCTTCATATTGGTTCTATGTGGCCTCGATTGTTTATGGGCCTACAATTCTCTTTGCGAAACTAGGGATTCTGCTGTTTCTTCGCCGCATTTTTGTGCCTCACAAAGGAACACTGATGTGTATGACAACCCGGGCCTTGATCTTGATTATTTGCCTTTTCTACACCGCTCTGACCATCGTCAAAATCTTCGAGTGCACACCAAGAGAGAAAATCTGGGAGAAGCATATACCTGGCAAATGTGTCAACGTTCCGACTTTATTGACTACGAGTGGAATGTTCAACACTATTAGCGACTTCGTCATACTGGTCATACCTATTGGGAAGGTTATGGGATTACGCATCTCGAAGGTCCAGAAGCTGGCCATTTTGGGGGTTATCACCGTCGGGCTATCGTACGTATCGTCTAGCAGAAGAGAATGACTGTGCTCATACCTCTCAGAGCACCCATCTTCAGCCTTGTTGGCGTCGTCGTTCGCTTTCAGGTCAGCGCAAGTCCAGATCAGACTTGGTTCCAACCAATAATGCTCTTATGGGCGTAAGTCTAGGATAAGATGCGATACGAAGAACTAGACTAACCCAATGTTGACAGGACGGCAGAAATTACTAGTGGACTTATATGCGTCTGTGTACCAGGATTGCCTACAATATGCCATAGAAACAAGCCTGATCGCTCTGGACCAAGCTACGTCCATACAACACTCGCGGCAAACTTCTCAAGCCAGAGCGTACTGTCGCCACGGAAAGCCGGAAAATATATGTCTCAAGCTCAGGGCTTAGTGTCGAAGGAGCCCAGTAAAATGTGTCACAACGCACGGGACGCAGGGTATGTACCATGTGCACTGACAAAGATTGATGAGAAAGACATTGGATTAGGAAACTCCAAAGGGCGTGAGAATCGGGAGGCTTACGCTTCCGAATGCTCTGAGGCTGAGCTGGAGAAAGGTGCTCCGATCGCGGGCCGTACCAACTTCTTCTGATCTGGATATTCACCAGGAGAACTTCACGAGTGTCGCAAATGGTATGCATTAAATTCTTCTTCGACGAGACGAACTTATTTATTCTTCATTTATGAATTGACTGCGCAAGCGGGGAATACGAGTTGAATGGATGGAAGAGGCATTTTCTTTTGAATTTGAATGAGAGAGATACGACAGTTTAGTACTGCAATTGAAGTCTTTTAGGGACATATCAAGTATAGTTGACTATGACATGGAGGAGGCAAGGAAATAATCAAAAGCAGAGCCAGAACTGAAGGGAAAATTGTTCAAACCAAAGCATTCTGATGCGATTGCTCCGTCAAAGTTGATGAGAGCCTTGCCGCGTAGCATAAATGCCTCTCATCTTGGAACTCTAAGCCGAGCATCTCAAGCCCTTCCTAGAAACTTACCCGAATCCTACTTACAACATAAAAATGCGATGGAGCTCTAAGTACTGATAAGATCAAGTGAGTTTGCCATACTTCTTGATAATGTCTTCCTCGGAGAACTTCTTGGTCTTCGTTCTAAGCATTTCTGCGATTTCTGCCTGGCTCATGCCCATTTGGTTTCCAATCGGTATCAAACAATTTGCCAGATGCATATAGTCCTTTCTAATTAGTGTGACAGTCATACCGATAAAATCAATGTTTTGAAAGATCAATGCGCGGCCTTCTGCATAGCGATCTTTAGCTTTGACGAATGCTCGAGGATGGTCCCGCCAGTGACGGCGTGGATTTAGATGATGAGAAGTGTGATAACCATCGTTGAAGCAGTGTCGATTAGACTAGGGAGCGCTGGTCAGCAAAGTGCGAAGCAGAAGTCGAGCTCGCGGTAAATTGCCTTGAAGTCGGCGTGATGCTTTCTGACGCATGCAGTGGGGAATCGTAAATGCTTACTGGTACGTCAATTAAGGTGATACTGGATCGAAAATCCGAGTCCGGCTCCTCCTCATCTACCAAAGCATGTTGTCCCCAGTTCCCGACCATCATACCAATGCGCATCTGTAATAGGGGAATCAAGAATACAAACATTGTGGCGCGGAGATTACACCGAGCCGCTAAGTAGATGAAAGCATAGGTTCCGAGCTCTGATATAGCGCATTTGATCGCGAGCGATCGTTTGCCCTTGCGGTGAAAGTACAGCGGCAGTTCAAACCAAATGAAGAACAAGAAGCGCCCAATATAGTACATGAGATGCAGCAAGTCATCACGTTGAAACCATATTGTTGAAGAAAGGTCGCCAGGACCGTTATTTTCGACATGGTGGTGTTTGACATGATGGTAATAGTAGGAATCCCAAGTGTGGCCCATAAGAGGCTCTAACAAATATGGCCACAACCTGTCCACAAAAGCTAGATTAGAGGCTAGAACGCCGTTGTTATGGATATGGTTATGTAACATTATTGTGAAAGCACCGCAGTAGTACGATGTCATTAACCAGTGGAATACACCGTGGGTCCAAGTAAAATGGAAGAACAGTCGGACAGCACTAGGCACCGACGTTGAGGTATAGAGCAAGATGTGTGTCAAGAAGACGACATCTGTGGGTGTGCGGACTACTCTTCTCGCCCAATCCACATATGGTTCAACGATATAACGCAGAACGGTAGGCAGGGTATCGCTTTGGTCCCAAGATGTAAAGACGGTAGGCTGAAAGCGTGCTGCCTTCGGATTGTTGACGTCATCTAATAGCTTGCTTGTAGACAAGTCGTCACGATCCCCGGATCGAGAGCTCAAGTTTTCCTTCTTGTCTATGTCGTACATGAGGTTCTTCCAGACAACGACATCTGAGTAAGTCAGAGACGGATCATGTGATCTTGGCATGCTGGTGAATGCTGATAAGGAATAAATGATCCTTGGGGAGGAAGAACGCTTCTATGCGGGGATGATTGATTCACTAGGAAGCTGTATAAGCAATCTACGTGTGTGATCAGAGGCGGATGCCAACTTGGGTTCGGGCTTACCGCGAATCAAATTGCACGTACGCTTTCAAGAGCGGAACAAGACCGTATATGGTAAAAGGAAATAAAGCGAATGCCAAGTAAAAATTTCTAAGACCAAACATAGCGACAACCCGTGGGTCCACAGGGATAACAGCAGATCACGCTTGCTCGTCAAAGCTTTCTAGTAATCGTTCGTTGTAGCTAGTAAGGAAGGGGGTGAAGGACCGCGTTGCCAACGCAGTGTGGGCAACGGTCTTCAAACCATTAATTTCTCAACGGTTTCCACTGTAATTTTGGCCTGTCACTTGTCAGGTTTGATTTCACAAGTCAGTAGATTTTTAGCTTGGAAACCGTTAGACTATAAATTTGGAGATCCAGCTAAGGCTAGAGCTAGGCCCAATTAAGCAGAGCGTCTTCCATTAATTGCACCTTCGACCCGCCAAGCAGGCTTGATTGCTTTATTATTTTATGCACCTTCGCTGGGCGTTATGCCTCCTTGTATGAAGCTCTTCAAACGTAAAAAATCACAGTTTGGCTAACAGTTTCACCCTTCACTTGGTTTCTACTTCACCAACCGTTGGTTTGCCTTCAGAATCGCGTCAAAGAGTCGCACTTCGCTTCAGACCCCTGTATCTGTCTTTGATACATCCACTCGGCGGTCTGCGGCCAAAAGACGTATCCTGGCATCTACAAGTCTGGAAGAATACGGAGCTAGACTGAGCTATTAGGTTCCGGGCATTAGTGGGTAGACCCGAAGATCCCGTCATAGACTCGTCTGCCAAGACAAATCCTGCACCCCTTTTTACCCTTTCCGCAGGGGAATTCCGAACCGGCTCAGCCACTGACTTCGTATCCTTTCCTAAATATATCAGTATCGGACAGGAAGCCTTTGCTGCGAATTTTGCCCTGAAGACTGTGGGTCCTGGTGACTCGCCTTTGCCTTCACGCCCCCCGATTTTTCTCACTGTCGACGCTGACCTCAAGGGTGCCGCGATCACTGCAAAAGCACGAGCCATAGCTTCCTACTGAGCCAACAGCAACCGAAATCATGGCTGTTCTTTACCCGCGCCAGAGCGGGCATTCATTCTCCACGATTCAAGAGCACTCGAAGTCTGGATGGTCATACTGCATGAGCAAAACGTATTGCAAGTATGGAACTCCTTTCCCAGCTTCAATGCATATATACTGAACTATTACAGATGGCCTGTGATTGCTGGCATAATCATAGCGGTCGTTTTCTTCTGCCTGAGTGTCTTCTGCTGCCTTCGCTGCTGCTGTGGTTGCTTCGGCGACCGACGGAGCAAGAAAAGCAAGCAAAGTTTCATGCCCGCCCCATATCAAGGATATCAGCCGGCTAATGCGCATGCTGCACCACCTCCATACGGTCAAGCACCAACACAATACGCACAATTCGACTCTCATGCTGGGGCTTACCGGGGGAACACTAAGACTACGGAAGATAGCCTCCCAGCCATGCCTTCCTGGGGCGACGCGCGGGAAACAAGAGTCGAGGATCACGAACATAAAAACGACATGGAGCTGGGAAATCTACAAAAACCCGCGACGGCGTCCATGGCCGACTTGTCCCAGTCTCAGCGCCCACAACACACGGCCGTCTCGGACCTGAGCCACGACACGCACACAGGGTACACAGGCCCCGACTTTGGCGCCGGTGCAGGCCGAGCGCAACCACCACCGCAACATCAGCAATACACAGGACCTGATTTCTCGGCGCCCTCACCAGGGGTCCCTCATACTCAGAACACGGGCTACTCGGCGTACGCACCCAGTGAGAGCACAAGGTATGAGCCTAGTCACATGAATGAGCCGCAAGAATTAGGGACAACGTATGATCACATCCCGATGAGCCCACACGGCGGAAACGGACCGCCAACTGCATTACAAGCCGGAAGAAAGGCTGGTGAGCCGTGGAGGGAGGTATGAGTCGGTTGGCCTAGAAGGGTTAGACGACGAGGTGCGTCGAAGAAACGTGTAAGATAGTAGAAAGTGGATTATGCCGTCATGTTCGGCATGCGAATAGCCTTTTGTACGTGAACCTGGGGAACCGTTGTGCGACCAAGGCACCGTCCTCTGGAGGATTTCAAATTGTTGGATAAAAAGTAATGAAACACTACGCTTTATATCACGCGGCATTTCACGGTGCTAAAAGTGAGAAAGCAAGTCAATTGCCCTCGAAAGAAATAGCGCTCAGAGCAGATGGTGGAGATTGAACACATTGAATACCTTAAACTCCAGCTCAGGGATCACACCGAATGCTATTCCGTAGACTGACTATTGGACTGTCAATTGTACTACAGAGAGTCATTATTGGACCTTTCCCTTTTCGACGATTGGCAGCGCTGGGTCACTGGGTGGGCTGATTGACCAATGAAACGCTTGGATCTCGGGCCAGGGCCGGGACCGAGCAACCCTATTTAGACGAATTCAGGTGCTGTATATACCTGCCAAGGATCACTCTGTTTTGCTGCCGCCGAGAACCTGCCAGCCAAGTATGAGTGACCCAACTCAAGGATTGCAGATCATCCTTGCGGCTGCCCAGCATGATATACAAGCACTCAGAGTCTTACTCCGCGATGGATCCGCCAATTTCCAGGATGCAGAGACGGGCTTTGCGCCCCTGCATGCGGCCATTGCAGCCTGTGAGGATAATGATTCTGTCCCGCGCGATACGAATGGAGCGAATGATATCCACATAAACGGTAACGCTCCCTCCAGCGAAGCGTTTCAGGGTGCGCGGCCGAAACAGCAGCTACTAAGACCGTCAGACTTTTATTGCAAAATGGTGCAATCTGGAATTTACTAGACAAGAATAATGAGACTCCAGGTTGCTTAGCATTGCGAGCTGGCTTTCAAGGACTGTATGAGGTCATGGTAGATGCTGGAGTCAGAGCAGAAATGCTGCTCAATCGAATGGACGAGTATGAGGCCCTTTCTGATAGCGATGACGAAGTTGGAGAAAGCGAGGCTCTTGGTGGCCAAACTCTTGGGCCAGATGAGCTAGAAAGCACACCTTCTGTCCAAGATAATTCCGTGCCTGAGGAGACTGATAGTCCAAATATTAATGATGTGACTTTGGAAACTAATGTTCGCAACGAAGATTATTTGCAAGCTTCCCTTCGTTTTCAGAATGGTCGCATTCTTGACGATTCGGGTAACGCTGTGATGATGGCGTGGGAGACTGACATTATGAAGAAAAGTGCAGATCTAATCTGTCCTGAGATAGGCCTTCGAGTGCTCAACATTGGTCACGGCCTCGGTATAACCGACGCTCTTTTCCAAGAGAAGTCACCATCTATTCACCACATCATCGAAGCCCATCCAGCAGTACTCGAACGCATGAGGAAAGACGGCTGGTATGATAAGTCTAATGTCACTGTACACGAAGGGCGCTGGCAGGACGTCATTCCGAAAATAGTTGAGCATGGTATGTTGTTTGACGCCGTCTATTTCGACACATTTGCCGAAGACTACAAGGCTTTTCGAGACTTTTTCAGCGACAACATGCTTGGACTGCTTGAAGACAAAGGGAAGTGGAGCTTCTTCCACGGACTGGGCGCTGACCGGCAAATCTGCTACGATGTTTATTCGAAAGTAGTCGAGATGGATCTGTTCGAAGCGGGATTTGACACCGACTGGGAGACATTGGGTGTTCCAGAATCGCAGGAGATTGAGTGGCAGGGAGTGAAAGGGAGGTACTGGGCATTAAAGGAGTACAAGTTACCCATTTGCTCATTTATCGCTTGAATCGAGCTGGGCTTGGCAACTGCCGATAGACTGGATCTTCCATGATTCACCAAAAGCGAGTATATCCACGCAAGTCCAGAGACAGACAATCTGAAAGATCTAGTAATGTGCGTTGGGAAGCAGCGGGCCAAAAAAGAGACGGTATGTGCACGACCGGAGCCTCTGCCTTGTCCCTTCTTCTTGACACTTACAGTTCTGTCTCCGGGGTCATTGATGCCCGTGCGGAGGTCGTCGGAATAATCGAGCGTCGGATCATCCAGTGCTCTGAAAATAGCATACCATTTTGCAACATGCGAGGGTTGGTTTGTTCAAGGTGGCCGTGCCGATTTCTACTAACTTCAGGAGCTTCAAGGGTCACCAATAGCGAGCATGACCCCGAAATCTGTCACACAAGCCAATCTCTATGGGTTGCAATGGCCTCTTATTCGATTTGACGCGATCGACTGACCGTTGGTCTTTCTGCGACTACTCCACATTCGGCAAGTGGGCACGCGACAGGAACGAGGGACTTGCACAAACACATTTGAGGTAAAAACGAGCCAGGTTTGTAGATAGGATGCACTGGAAAGTAGCTATCTAGATGTAAGGACTACCGTCGTTAAAGATTCCCCCTTGTTGTGATCAACATTTATGATGCATTTCAATCATCTCGAGTCTTTCTTCTGACGCTAACCGACAATCGGCTTTCGTGCATGGCGAAGCTTGTTCCACCAGCCAATCAAATGCCACGGGCGGTTTTTGACCTTGAAAAATCGCCTGCAGTCGTCTGCAGGTACCACGTCCACATCCCCCCTTACGTCGTCAATCAGATATGAGGTATTCCACTTCGCCTTTCCGATGATGGCCTAGTGTAATACTCCTCGACAATGGCTTCTCAAGATCGACCAGCCCGACCATCTACCTCGACACAACACCAGAGTACCTATGACGCCACAGCATCCGCACAGGGACGACCCACAGACACACTGATTGACTTACAAACAAACACCGAATCTGTCCTGTCTGTGCAAAGCAGTCAGCCCGGGGCAAAAAAGAGGAAAGGGCATCGCGCTGGCAAGAAAACAAGACGTAACCGAAGGCAATCTTTCCTACCTGCCACAGACGAGAATGAGGTAGCAAGGGCGGGCCAAGATCGTCCTGCAGAGCCACCGATGGAAGCTGCTAATAGACCGCCGCTCTACCGGCTAGCTCGTTCAGGGGGAAGAAATCTGAGTGAAACGAGCCTCGACAGCGAGGCGCTCCTCGATCACCGGTGGGTCTCACACACTGCTGTGAGTTTGATCCAGATGTTGGCAAATGCTGATACCTAGCCTTCATAGAGATCATCAACCAATGCGCCCTCGACGAGAGAGTCGGACCGGTCCCACTCCTTACTCACGAAGGTCCAATCATGATTCGATCCCACACTACAGACCTCCTCGCCGTGACTCTTATGAGCATCGTCGCCGTCGCCAGGTTACCAATCACGAAACAGAAAGCTCTGGTGACGACAGTGATGATGGCCCTGCGCCAACAGACCGAACACCATTGATGGGTGCAACGCATCCAAGCAATGGATCGCCAGCACAACCATCAAGTTATGGCGGTTTCGCACGACACAATAGAGGCCGCAGAGGCTCTGAGAACAGACATCATTCCGCAGCATCTTCTGTATCAAGCAAGCGAAAGGGGCTGAATAGTCGGCAGGCTTCATCGTCCATGTTGCATACAATCCACGACGTTAACAATCCGCCCTCAATGCCAAACAGTCCTAAGATCGGTCCAGATATTGGCTATGATGATGTAATTACAACAGATCCATACCATGCAAGACCTTCTGACGGCCGAAGAACGCTCGGTAACGATCAGGTTATCGATATTGATAACGATGCAGATGAACACAACTTTCCTCATTCTACTCCACCAACGCCGCCCCAGAATTTTGCGGATCAACGAAGGCATACTATAGCACTGCCGGCGGAAGAGGATGTATGCTTTCCGGTGGAAGGCATGTCCGCTCTTGGCGAAGAAGAATATTTGCATCAAGAAGAAGGTGCCAGAACGCCCCAACAGAGCCGAAGAAGGCGATATCGCCAGTGGCCAGACCTCTCAGTCTTTGAAGAGTGGAGTCGTGAAGAGAAAGAGCAGAGAAGCGAAGGTATAAGAACGAAGAAAATTAGTGAGCCAGTGCTCGTTGGTGGTAGATTGCGACCACAGCAGCGTGTCTGGCACAAAACCGAGGAAGATGCGCCCTATCGATTTACCTATTTTAACGAGGATTTCCCAAGTACAATCCACAGTCACACAGTATCCGAGTTGCTCCAGCCTGGTCAGGATTTCAAAGAGCTTTTCATACCCGACCCTCCTGAGTTGAGCGACGATGATTACTCTTCTGAAGAAGATTTTCGCAGCCAACAGGGAGCTTCTAGCGAGCGACCCTCAAGCCTGAACGGCCGCTCAAAAACTGGGACAAGACATTCTTCACTGATTGGGGACTTGAAACCTCAGTCTCCAGCACGTTCAGAAGAAGCACCTCCTGCCCAATCACGTGGACCTCCACCAATAGAGAAGCCAAAGCGGTACGGAGAGCGGCCTACCTTTTGGTTGGATGTACTTTCGCCTACAGATACCGAAATGCGAGTCATTTCAAAAGCCTTTGGAATCCACCCACTGACTGCAGAAGACATCATGATGCAAGAAGCCCGAGAGAAGGTCGAGCTTTTCCCAAAATATTATTTTGTGAATTACCGTACTTTTGAGCAGGACGTGAACAGTGACAATCATCTTGAGGCCGTCAATATGTATGTCGTCGTATTTCCTGAAGGCGTAATCAGCTTCCACTTCTCGATGACGCCTCATCCAGCCAACGTTCGCCGCAGAATCCGTCAATTGAAGGAATATCTTCAAGTGAGCTCGGATTGGATATCCTATGCCCTGGTTGATGATATCACCGACGTTTTCGTACCGCTCATTCAAAGCATCGAGGATGAAGTCGATGAAATTGATGACGCTATCCTGAAGCTACTTTATGACAAGAAGGATGATGTAGACAACGAGAAAGCTAAAGCACAGGAAGAGAGCGACAGAGAAGTTGGCAAAGGCGCGGGGTGACATGCTCCGCCGTGTTGGCGAAGCTCGCAAGAAGGTCATGATGCTGTACAGATTACTGGGTAATAAAGCCGATGTGATCAAAGGGTTTGCCAAGCGATGCAATGAGAGGTGGCAAATTGCTCCAAAAAGCGATATTGGCCTCTACTTGGGTGATATACAAGACCACATACTGACAATGACCGGCAATCTCAGCCATTACGAAACGTGAGCATGCTCGAGCATTGCTCCGAGTAAGAGCTGACTTTGGAATAGACTCCTTTCTCGAGCCCATTCAAATTTCTTGGCGCAGATGAACATACGTATGAATGAGCGACAAGAACAGACGGCTGATGTGCTAGGCAAGCTGACCGTGCTTGGAACGATTGTGCTGCCAATGAATATTGTCACGGGAATGTGGGGTATGAACGTTCTCGTACCTGGGCAGGATGTCGATAGTCTGACTTGGTTTTGGTCTAGTAAGTTGATACTTGCATCTCTAGGCGAAGATGTTACTGACGCACTGGACAGTCACCGCTGGCCTCTTTATTTTTGGGTTCTCATGTTTCTTCATCGCGAAGAAAGTATATGGGATAGTGTAAGCTGTAGCATAGAATTACTCAGAGTCCTGATCATCTATCCTAAAACCTATGGCGACGGTCTCGAAGAACGAGAAAAAACCAAAGATCATCACCGTCTAAAGCAGATAGACGAATTAATACAAGTCCGGATGTTTGCCTATTTGCCTGCGCACTAAGCTCAAAGTTGCAATATGTTAATATATGCCAAGCCCTTTCTTCGTCAATACTCGACATTCCCCTCCCACCTCAACCATTATATGTATCGGGTGACTAATTCCATTTCCTATCTTCTTATCGCAAGCTCCAAACAGGAGAATTCACCGAATTCTTAATATGCCCACTTCCTCCCCGCTAACCATAGCTACCAACTCGGTAACGCGCTTGCTCAAGGAGGAAGAATATTATCGCAAGGATCATGACGCGCAGCAGAGTCAGCTTGAAGAGCTTAAAAGGGGCCAGTCCAATGTAGATGTTGATGGGAATCAAGCTTTCATGTTGAAACAAAGGGTACGCTTTGCCTCTTTCATATATCATTTTAGGAATTGTCTCTGAACATCTCCGACGTTTTAAACATTCGGACTCCTTTTGTCAGACGCTAGTCTTAGTTCTGTCGGTAGTTGAAGCAACAGATCTAGGCTCACAGTACTAATAGAAGGGCAGGAAACCGCTTTCAAAGAGACGCAGAAGGTTCTGAAGAGGCAGCCAGAGAACATCAGAACTGCTAAGGAAAAGCTTGAACGAGCTCTAGTGAGTCTCGGCTCTAATTTTCTTATCTGTATCTGCTTGGAACTGTCATCGTAGCTCCTTGTCCCATCTTCATTGAGAGGTGTCTCAGAATTATTAAGTCGAGGCTTGGGCTGGGGCTAACATGAAATGACTAGGCAAACACGAACACATCGCATGCTAGTCAAGCTGAAGTGGAGAAGGCGAAGGAGGCTCTCTCCAAGGCCACTGCGGTACTTGTTAAGGGGGAGTACGACGATGAAGGCGATCAATGACTCGTCTCAAGTTCATGAACGAGGGGCTGCCCTTTGCGCAGATCGGCTATGAAGAATGAGCTATAAAGCTTCTCGATTTTTTCTTCAGGTATAATTGGTCTCTACTTGTTTGCGATCTGATGCTGGCAAATTAGAACGGTAGTTGTTCCTTGGTTGATAACTTCTCACCCTCTTCTGTAAGTTCACCTGATTTGAGAAGCAAGAATGAGTAATGTTTATTTCATTCAGCGATAGTCAAAATATTTTTTACGCTTCCCGAATTCGCTCTTTCCCCTCAATTCTGGCCTTCGTTGTCTAGTCCCCCTCAGTTTCGAAATGTTGGTTGTATTGAGACATATTCGTCCATTGCTCGATTGTCTCGGTGAATTCTCCAAGCTACTTTAGAGCTTGAATTTCGAATAGGTAGCATTTTTACAGAACAGAATCAAGTGAAGCTTTATAGCGGGGTTGCTGCTCTGATTTTCGGTGAAAAAGTGATAAGAAATATGACAGAACAGAAAGAGGACGATGGTTGGTTAGACAAGGGTATTAGTGATCTTGAACAAGCATGGAAGACGGAAAGTCAAAGTCAGACTTCCTACCCAAACAAAGCGAATTGGAGGACAGACATTCATCGAAGATCCGTCAGGGATGTGGGAGACCAAGGAGCAATTTGTAGAACAAGTTCCCAAGACCTACGGTGCATCGTGCATCTACCTTCTTCGACAACTACAACTGGAGGCGGTCATATTCCAAACCCTTGGCGATGAAATTTTCAGGTTTAAGCAGAGCTTGGTAGAAAACATTGAATGCTTGAAATCAGGCGAGATTCACCAAAGGCTGCGATCATCCAGACAAGATTATAAAAATGTCTTAAGGATCGTGAGGAACATGGTCCAATCCTATGCGCTATTTCTTGATGTAAGCTACTACTCGCCCAATGATTACTTTGACTCTCAAAATATGGATCGTATCAGCTGACTAGAGGCTGGGAATCATAGCGAGCCCTGCCCAAAGACTCAGCCCTGAGATTCGATCCCTCACTCTCGTGTCCTTACCGGAGCAGAGAATATGTGGATTCATCTGACGATAATGGATTGCAAGGCGAATCCGATGAACGATCGACCGGCCGCACACTATAGAAAGGTGTCGATTTTTGAAGGTCGTTACGGTAGACAGCCAGCTCTTGGTGGGATAGTATACTGGGCAGACAACTGTCGCTTTGGCGACGAGGTTTATTGTGGGAGATCTGAAAAGCGAAAGCCAATTGTTGGCTTAGGAGATCAGAGGTAACCGGGACGCCAGAAAGCCACTGTATTCGATGACTTGATTTTATGAAGTATCCATCCTTTCATGGTTCTCTCCGAGAGGTCCCTCTGCAGGTCCAGCCACCACTTCCTCAGGCTCGGCCGACAGCTCTCCATCTTCGCCCATTTCCTCGTCATCCTTTTCCTCCTCAGCCAATTTTACTTCCTCGTCATTCAAATTCTGTGGTTCTCTCATTGGCGAGCTGCCTCTTGCATCACCTTTCTCTACGGCAAGCCCAGCAGGATCGCCTGGATCGCCCGCCTTCTCCACCCCGAGCATAGGCGTCGCTCCGCCTGCGCTTTCAGGTGCAGGGGTACCGAAACTGCTGCCTTCCCTCTTGCGGTCTTCATCGCCTTCTTCTTGACCTTCCATGCCTTCTCTCCGTTCCACCTCTTCTTTCTCGTCTCTAATCAACCGCCGAAGCTGCTTACCCTCCTCAATGATCTTGCCGAATTGTTCTCTTCGCTCACCCCATGTTTGTGCATAGTCTTGGCTTTCTCTCTCTAGCTCAGCGATCTCCACATGCAGCTTTTCGATATTTTGTTGCTGTTCGTCTCTTGGCTTGAGCCTAGGGTTACTGATGATCTTTTCTGCAAGCTCGTCGTATTCCTGCCGTAAGGCTAGCTTTCTTTGTGCATCCTCAAGTTGGAGTCGGAGATCGGTGGTATTATCTCTGACTGATTGCGCCGTGTTCTCTATCTTCACCTTTTCAGAAGCATATCTCTCGCGCTCTTTGATGTTGCTTGTAATTAGGAATTGTATTCTCACAATGCTACTTTCGAAAGCGGCAAAGTCAAGCAGAACATCTTCACGCCACTGTCGTCGCTCTTCGAGTTGGCTTTGATTTTCTCTCTCAAGGGCAGCGGATTCATCCTCCGCTGGGAGGCTGTCAGGTGGGGGAGTTGGAGGTAAGGTCAGAGGACGGGAGATTAGAGCGTTCGGGCCTAGAAGGCGTTTCGTGATTCTTTTGAATGGCTTCTCTTCCACATTCAAGAGGCGTGACTTGTGTAAAGCGTCTATGAAGGTATGTAAGTGAGAGGAAAAGGCCAACTATGAATGCGTCTACCAACCTTCTTCCGTTTGATCAAGCAACGTATAAGAAGACATAGCTTGACGCGTAGCCCTCTTTTGAAGGACAGCTATCGGTTGGTAGCAGGTAACAATGCAGCTCTGAGCCCTCCGTCCTACATCACCACCGATCGACCGTAGAGACTAATCCGGGGGTAATCTGAAGAGCATCTATATTTAAGCTTTTGAGAATAATGCTTGACAGCTGCGGGAGGCGCATTTAGTTCCCGTCGATGACAGGAACCAAACTGAGGTACCACAAGGCGCCGGATTTTGGTAGATTCACCATATTTCTAAAGCATGAATTTAGCGAAACCCTGTTCACAACACCACCTTAGGTTTCGAATGACTCAGATGCACACACTACTTTCCATCTTCTAATCTCTAACACTCTTTGCCCTCGCAAATCTTCTACAAGTACAGATCAGGAACCACGATTGCGAGAGCTCCAGATGCCTGCACTATCCCTTCTACATTTGGCCCGAAATGCCTGTATCCGAAATATTCGTCTGATCTACGATGTCGGTGACGCTACCTATTCGACCGTGAGATCACTCCTCCGCCGTGTTGACAATCCAGAGCAACTTCATCAAATAGAATTGAACTCCCCTCAGATTTGCGGGCACGACGCCGAGATATGGAAGATGCTGATGGACCGAGACATTCCAAACTGGCAGATCAAGCAACAACAGCCTGACGATTCAGAAGGATGGTTTGAGCTGTACAGCAGACTGTACGATCAAAGCCGTAAAGATATTGAGAAAGAAGCGGAGGCGATGAAAACTACACTAGCCAACCTCAAGGCGAAACAGGCGCAGAATACTTCAAGAAAGGTTGAATTGATTGGTGTAAAACTCCCCAATGGTCTCAAACGCGAAGGGGATGTTATCAAAATGCCGCGTAGCTCGAAGGTCTTCGCGAAGGAACCGACGAAAAAGCCAAAATCGGCGCCCGCGGTAGCCAAGGGGTGGGAAGCTGGCGTATATGAGTCAGGAGAGGGTCTCCTCCCAGAGCCTCCAAAAAGGAGAAGACTACCTGCTGCCACTACTCAGTCGGCTCCCAAGAGTAAATTGACGCCATTCAAGAAAGAGGTCATGGCAAGGAAGCTGTTTCCCTCGAAAGAGAAATCTGGAAATTTCTCGACGGCTTACCCGAAGCCTAGTCACTCAAAGGTCCAAGCAGCCCCCAACTCGATGCTTCATGATTACCAACAGAAAGCTGCTGCACGGCCTGTTCCTCCATCAGCTTTGCCGACTGAGGTGGTGCAGCCAAAGAAACGCCGCAGGGACGATACGGGCCTACTCGACACGACTGACGAATTAGACATACGGGAGAAGCGACTCAAAGCCTTGCAAACGTCTTCAAATCATCTCCAGTATACCAAGGAAGATTCGCCGGCATCAAAAAGTTCCACGCCAGAAGGCAATCAATCCTCGGGGCCGTTGCCGAATATTGGACCAAGACCTCCCACACCTGTAGGACGTAAGTCACCCCCCAAATGCGGCCAAAGAAAAAGGCCGCGAATATCTTCATGCCCCCCAAAAAGAGGCCGCGGGTTTTGTGAGTGCAGAATATTATACGTTACAAGTGGGAACCCGCATAATGGGAAATGTATAGAGCGAGGTGTTTCGGATCAGCGAGCGAAGACTATTGACCCTCTAGTCTGAACTTACTGATATGGGAAGCGATGTCCATGATATGTATGCTAGAAGCCGCTGATTGTGAAGGGAGCACAGCCATAAACTTCAAAGTTAGTGAGGATCAACTGTGGAAGTACTGTTTGAATGAATGGCATCATAAACCCTTGTCTTATCACTTCGTAGATAGCTCCGTAGCTCTCTCATGTATTATTCATGCCATCGTTCTTGCTTGCGAACCTGTCCCTCCGTGAACGCCTCGAATGCAAAGCCCTCGCTAATGCTCATTTCGCCGCCCGGATATTGTCCCGTGAGTCGTGATAGGGATCTCGATGAAGTACTCAGCCCCTCACGATGAACCACCCCTCAGCGCCAGCACCAGATGGAGTGTGGCGCCCCCCTCAAGGTTGTACTCTGAAGCCGACTTGTCATCCGCCCTATACCACGGTCAACCCCCCATTCGAATATTGCGACCTAGAGTCCGCTGGACCCTTACATCTGTTTCCCTCCGAAAATCAACCGCTGCTGTACCGGTGGGATTCCCTCCTTTTCTTCCACACGTTCCTTGATCTTCTGGACCTGTAGATCAAACATAGTTTAGCTGCGGCCTTTGAGAGGGGAGGGTAGAGGCATCACAGCCACGAGGTTCGAATACGTACTTTGTAGTCTGGCTCGATGTCCAGCTCGATCTCTTTACCTGTGAGGGTACGGACTCTGCGTGGCCCTCAGCATGATTTCGGTGCAGGTCATGAATGGGTGGAAGCGTACTTGATATTCATGTTGGTAGTGATCTGGGCTGTGTTATGATTGGATTGCTAGCGATGAGCGTGCTCGAAATATGACTTGTCCCTACGGGATTTTCAAGATTTGTGTAAGAGGAAGTAGAAAATTGGGCGAAGATGTTTGACCGATGCAAGCTAAGGTAGAATAGGATTACAGGGCTGAAATGTCTTGGCGTGAACGATCTTTCGTCGCATCAGCTGACGAGTGACCTCAACCTCAGCACCAAAGAGTGTTCAAGGTGATAATGTAAGCTTCCCGTCCATTCACTGTGACTAGCATGAGTAAAGTATTTCTTTGGGGAGTGAAGTCGTCCTCGATGTTTCTAATAGAGAGTCAACCATTTTGCTGTCTACCTGATGAATAGACCGTAATTGAAGGAATAGGCCACATCAATGCAATTCATCTCATTAGTACTAGTAAGTTCGCAGAAGTGGCAACAGGTGGCCAAGTGGCGTATTTTCCTTTCCTTCATTTCAGGATGGACATGATTCACTTTGAAGAAGGTACGCAGCCAGTCAATGTCGGCTTTGGTAGGTGAACCGTGGGTCAAAGTGAAGTCTCAACACCTAGCAATCATTACTTGGGAGTCTGATGGCCTTTCTCCCGCTCTCTTTGTTGTGCTACTCCACTTCAGCCTTCACACTTCCCTCTAAGATGACATGCAGTTCAGAGATATTATGAGTGTTATGTCGCGTAGACTAGTGCAGGAAGGGAAGGAACTGCCATTGAGTGTTGTTCATCAAATGAAACTCACGGCTAGACTCCTGCCCCTCATTTCCCAAAATCAGGTGTTGCTGTTGTTGTTGTTGTCATGTGGTGATTTTTTATTGTGTTGACACTTCTCCCACCTCCTCACGCGAAGAAATTTTCTTCTTCCCTTTTTCCTTCCACCCTTTTCCATCTCAACTTTGAACACGCTTGTCACAGCACTTGAGTCTTATCCAAGTTTCTTCATCCTCAGTCTTTGAATTCCACTGGCTTCGATAGGCATCATTATAACATTTGGTTCTCCTCTTTGACCGCCATCTCTCACCATATTCCTGCTCATACTGAGACATTAACCGCTCTCTACTCAAGTCAGCTGCAGCACATCCTAGCAGACTGCTCAAAGATTCTCGAAGGCATCACTCTTAGATCTCCGAAAACATGGCGGAACTTCGCGTCCTTGGATACACAACCCTCATCGCAGGAGTCCAGCTTGTGCTCGAGTGGAAATTTGGTCCAGGAATCCCCGTACGCTTCTTTCGCAAATCCACATTTGAACGACCCGCGGTTACTTTCGAAATCCCAAATCCCATCGATGTGGCTTTGAAGGATGAAATCCACAGCTCCGTTGACGAACACGATAGCCTCATGTGCCTCATTTTCTTTGGTATCCTCGCTACCGTATTTTTGGTTGGCATCATGATCGTACGCCATTCCACATTTGACGATTGGCTTGACATAACAGTGGACCGCTACGAGGACGACAAGACGAAGCCACCAATGAGAAATGGATCTCGGAAATCCAGACAGGGTCTGGCCAGTTTGCAGCGACATATCTCTCGTCTGGAACAACAAGTGGCGGCGGACAAGGCGACCCAGCAGGCGAGCGACCACCTAATATTAAAGTTGATGAATGGACACCTGAAGGAGCTGCAGAGACTCAAAAGCGAGAAGACCCAATCGATCACTGACGCTGAAGATGCAAGGCTCGAACTCGAAACCAAGAGTCTTAACGATGCCAACTCCCTCAAAAGCGTGATCGAGGAGCTTGAGAACCAGGCTAAGCTTACAAGAGCGAATGTAGAAAGCCTTGAGAGTAAATCAAAGTCGTTTCAAGGGCTGCAGCAGCGTACTGAGAGTATCAAGAACGACAATCGCCGCCTCCAGACAGAGTTGGAAGGCCTCCAAAGTGAAGCACTAGCGTTTCAAGGGCTGCAGCAGCGCACTGACAGTATCGAGAACGACAATCGCCGCCTCCAGACAGAGTTGGAAAGCGTTCAGCAAGCCAAGGAAAACGTCGACAGAACGTCTCAAGGCCTGAAAGGCCAAGTTGATAGTCTCGAAGGCGAGAAGTCAGCCTTAGAAGAGGCCGTGCAAGGTCTGCAAGCCGCGAACGACCGGATTGTTCACCAAGGCGACGAGGATTTGAGTCAGAAGCAATTGCAGCTTGAAGAAAACGCGGCGGCAAAACTCAAAGCGGATCGAAAGACCATTCAAGAGTCCTATGACCAAATGACCAAAGAGGCACTTGACAAGGCCGATAAACAGATACGCGACACACGTACAAAGGCGGATCAAGAAGTTGAGGCGATGCAGCAGAAGGCGAATGTCGAATTAGGCCAGAAACTCAAGGAAGCAGACGAGAAGCACCAGGAGGAGGTGGAGACGCTCCAAGAGCAGGCGAGCCGTGATGTCGAAGAAACCCGAAGACAAGCTGTTGATGACAAGGAGCAGATGCTTCGTGATGTGCAAGCAGAAGAACGAGAGAGCAATCGTCTGGCTGCAGAAGCCACTGACCGCAAAGTGGCAAGTATGCGCTCACAATTTGAGCGCGAGGCTACAAATATTCGCCAAGAGGCAGCAGGACAAGCCGCCGACAACGAGCGCAAGGCTAGAGAAGCCGTAGCCAGGAAGGTCACGGACGTCAAGAAGGCGGCGAAGCAAATGGTCGAGGACGCTCAAATTGCAGCTAACGAGAGGGTTGAAGGGGTGGAGGAGGCTGCTTAGAGGAAGTTGGAGGAGGCAGAGAAGGCTATGAATGAGGGTGCTGGCGAGCTACGAGACGCTGCTGACAAGGCGATTGCGGAGGAGAGGGCCCAATGCGGTCGAGAACTCGAGGCAAAAGACCGGACCATGCAGACTCTGCAGGCTGCCAAAGCCTCTGCTGAAGCTACCGCACAGGAGACCATCAGTCAACTGCAAGACAGCCTGTCCCAGCTCGAGTCAAGTTTCAAGAACTGCGATTGGATGTTCTGCGCTGCCGAACTCTCGAAGTGCCACTATCTGATGACCTTGAATATGGACGGATCCATGCACTACGGATTCCCATCATGGGCTCAAATGCTGGAGGAAGCCAATACGGACGTCTCTGGCTACTATAGCCGCTTTAAGTCTGACCAAGCAAATCGAGAAACTGTTGAACAGGTCCGTCAGAATAACCTCGATCGTTTCCATATCGAGAGCTACTGTAACGAGTGGCTCGACAGTCGGGGCGTCAAACGACAGCCTGAGGATGATTCAGATGGGCTCAGATTCAACGAAGTGGGGCTTAAGTTGGCACCACTGGAGCCAGTGGCAGAGCACGACCCTATGAGAGGACACGGGCCCACGGGAGAAACCAGACCGATGGAGGAGCTAGACGAATTTGACAACAACCTCCTCGGACTTCTGCACAACGAGCTAGGGCTCACGGGTTAGAGCCAGCTTGAAATCGAAGAGAAGCCCGCCATCTCACCAAGTGCGGCAGCGACAAAAAGGCACGAATCATCTCCGACTTCACTTCTTCATACTATAGACGAGACGAGATTTCACTTCTTTCACGCATGCAGCATATCGAATTTTACCTTTTCAGCCAGTCGCACTGAATAATCTCGACGAAACCCTGCGTTGCAGACCCATCTTGGGGCTCCACTATAGACGAGTCAGATGGCCAGACGACGGCGAGAACCGCAGATCCTACCAGTACTACATCTCGAATGGCGAATATACCCGTGGAACAAAGCGCGCAGGCTGTCATGCTGCCGCCGCTTTGTATGAGCGGGTATATATCGACCAGAGAGGTGCTAGTGGTGGTGGGATTGGTGTGTTCGGCTCGGAGAACATAGCAGGGCGGAGGAGGTGGTCTTAGTGAAGCTGGGCGTTGTAGACCTGCAAAGGTCTCCACCTGGCATTAGCTAAGACTGCCGAATCTGCCCCGGGTGGGAAATGGACGATGCGGACGAGATACGGGGATGGCAGGAGTGTGGAGGACAGGGAAACCCGGCTTCTTTTCAAGTGTCTGTAGCTTTGCTAGGCAGAAACGTGCGAGTCTTCTGGTGAAGCTGAAAATACCAATCAAAATGCTTGTGAAGAGGAGTCAAAGAATCCAATGCGAATATGCAAATGCGTCTGTTCAAGCAATTCTTGCCAAATGAGATGCCTCGAATCAGTACTCTATGTCTTCGCCACATCTATTGTATTGACCGGAGCATGCTGCCATTGAACCCAAAAGCAAATCGAATCTTGATTTGTGGCTGGAAGAAGAATCGTGTAGCCAATGAGGTGTGTACTTACGGCTCTCCTTACCTGCTGTAAGGTCTAATCATCAATTCAAATGACTTCAAAGGGCATTGTAGAAACGACTTCACTGCTTGCTTTACAAGCCATTATGGGGGAAGGCGTAAGGAATAGTCGCTTTACTAGCTGTCAGCCCCTAGTCTCACCCCAAAATTGACAGCCACCGCTGCAAACAGCCCCACACAAAGCAGGCTTGGTCCCCACGGCTCATGATATCTTACTGCCCTCCGCTCTCTAATGCTCTTCACCCTCCAAAGATAAAGGACAACGCTGTAGAGCAGGCTGGCACAGGCAACGAGGGTAAAAGCTACGCTCGCTGCCGCAACGCTGCTACCACCTCCTGCTGCATCTCCAAAGTTCAGTAGTGTGGCGGCAATGGACCCCAAAATGATGCTAAATTCAAGCCATGACAAGAAGGTGCGCTCCGTGGCAAAGTACACTTTCGGCTCGACTCGGACAGGTACATGGATTTTTTCCCTGGCGGAGCTTTGAACCGACGAGCTTGCAGCGATGTAGCGAGAACAGATCCGAAACCCGTCGGCGCAGCTGCAGGCGGCAGTGGGGTGGGTTTCGGAGTAGGTGTAATGTAGTATAAAGCTGAGACGGTTTTCGATCCTGCAAGTGCGACGTGGCGTTTGAAGATCACCCAATAGTAATACAACGGCCGCGATTTCTTTGTGACCGAGAGATCGTCTGTGGAAGCGTCTTCATCTTCGCTGTCATAAAGAGGGTAATCGTCCGGATCTTGCAGTAGCGGCTGGGCCGCGATGCGTTCTTCAATATCAAGATCGTTTGCCGTAGGATCGGCCGATCGTGCCATGGCAAGCTCCTCCATAGCATCCCGGTCTTGGCGTAGACGTTCAAGATCCGCGTCACTATTTGCTGCGTCGTCTAGAGAGGTGGCCTTAGTACCCCGTGATTCGGGACCCTTGTTAGTGCCATCCTCGTCAGCGCCTTGATCATCAGCATCATCATCCGAATCGTCATCTATATCATCGCTCGTAGAATAGGTGGTAGATTGATTGGGTCTTTCAATGCCAAATCGGCGTGTAATGGGTTTTCTGATGTCGACGTCCATTTGTGGCATCCAGAATGGGATCAGGTGTATGCGAGTGGGGTTCAGAATCGCTGTCCCATGTATGAACTTGCTGAATTTGGGCACTGCTTCCACTAGGTGACTGCCTATTAATTCTCGGACCCATTCAGGCGGATCCTGTCCGGCCTGGGTTTGGAGCTTGACTTCCAGGACAGCATACGGAAACCGCTCGGCATCTTCGGCTGGCAATTGTGAGAAAGGAAAGTCAACGCCAATATCCATTCTCCGCCAATTCTTACCGGCCCGTTGCCGGCCGTCCAAATTGTCTTCTCGTACCATTGTCAATTCAGTATCCAACGAGATACGAACGCGCGCATCTCCCGGTAATTGAAAGGCTGTGCGATTGTAGAACGAGCGTGTGACTGGGACTAGCTGCCGGGAGATCACACGGTACTGGATTTCTCGTGCTAGCTGCTCCAGATCTGAGATCTCTTTCTCGCTTTTCTTTCCCTCCTTCCTCGCCTTTTCGAAAACAGTCTCTGCTCTCATTTTGCCACTCAAGAAAGCATTGACATTCTTGTCTTTCAAAGAGAAGCGTGCCTTCACCGATTTTTCGCCCGTCCAGTCCTCTCTGTGTGTCTTCCTCTCTACGAAGATAGTTTCCGTTTCCATCCCTCCGTACCACCGGAGTCGTATAGCTTCAGCACCTTCCGTCTTTTTCAACCTCCCGGTGTAGAGTTCCCAAGTATCGGTATTGTCATAATATATTGAAGATATGGCAGAATCCTTCGTCTCAAATTCCTTGCTTGCATTGAAAACGAGGACTGGCAAATGCTTCTAGAGGTCAACAACGTATCAACCTGACCGAGGGGGTTCCGAACCTTCAGAATGATCAATTTCAATTCAGTGATGTTATCTTGATGAACCCAATATTTCGTTGTCTGTCGAACAAAATTCTGTTGGCCCCCTCCAGCCGAACTATCACCCGTTATCGGACTGCCTCGGGTCCGCACAAGGTCATAGAGCCTTGACAACTTGACGACAAAGGCATCATAATTATCTTTGAAGAAGGGTTTGGCTTTCAGCCTGGCAGCAAATACTGGCTTGAGAATCCATTGGGTTTGCTTGTCATGCTTCTTAATGATCTTCTGGAACCCTGTGTAATTCAATTGGGTGAACTTGGCCAAATCATGTACATCGGCAATAATATCGCTCAAGTCCTCTTCTAACAGCAAGAAATCTTCCTCCTTGGGAATGTCTTCTACCTCCTCATCTCTCTCACTGGCGTCATTGAGTGGTCGTCGAGACCCTCCCTGGACCAATCTCGAAACGACTTCATTGACTTCCTTTTCACTAGCTTTGATTCTTCGCACAATCTCGCTTGCTTTAACGCGCTGGGAGGTGAAGACTTTGTCAAGCTCCCCTTCGAGCTGAGACACAAAGGCCTTCTCGTCCTCTTCGATCCATTCGCGGCGATGCGGGCGAGGATTCTCCGGGGTGGGATCTGTTTCGTATGCAGGTCTAAGGGCAGACTTGAGGTCATCGTAGGCGATGTAATAATATAGGTAGTCCTTGAGTAAAGAAGTCCGAAGTTGCTGGCCAAAGCTATTTGCACGGTCAATTCTGGTCGACTTCGTTGACAATGCGGGGACGGAGTTTACTGCATGGCTCCGCGGACCTATCATATCACGTTTGCATGGCAACGACGGAGAGAAGTCCGAAGATGGCCGCTACTTCTGCTTCACACGGTACAGACACTGCTTTTACTTTGTACGGGCCTGGATGAGAGCAGGAAGGCGCTGAGAGAGCTTGTGGGAGACGTCAATCGGCATCTGGGAAGCTTGGGGAGCTGTGGGGTCCGCATTGGCCAATCAGCCACGGCCCACGTGCCTGCCTTCCCCAGTCAGTCAGTCGGTGTTTTCAACTGCTCAAGCACCCAAAGGCATCCATTAAAAGCGCATTCTGTTCCTCTAGGCATCATACATTCATCAAGATCATCTATGTAGGTTTCGCGATACTAATATCTAGATTACTCACCGCCCATGCCGTTACGAATACAGCCAAAACGCCTCCAAATATGGTCGCTGGCTTTCGAAGTGCAGCCATCAACGTGTAGTCGTATGTGACGATCACGTCCTGATCGCGAGACTGATCAACAACATTGATCGCTGTGAGCTTGAGCGTAGTTCGTCCCAAAGTATCCATAAACGACTTGTGAGATGATGACTCAGACGATATCAATGGGATTGGGCATTCGTATTGAACGTTTCTACGAGAGCACTGTTAGCATGATGTCGCTGACGAGATAGGGGCACTATCTTACGTTGCACCTTCCGGAAGCACTACTTGGAATTCGACCTTGCCGTAAGAGACGCCTTCACTCATTTTTGGTCCTTCTAGGAATGGCACTCTGAGCACATAGGTGCTTCCTGTGTTCGTCTTTCGCACAAATCGATCGAGGTTGTTGTTCCAACCGACCCGAAAGCTGTAATTCCAACCCCCGAATAGAGGATAGCGCGGCTTGATCTCCAGGTTGGCTTCACGTGGAGTGCTCCGAAAGCGACTTGTGGAGACGTTACCGATATCATCCGTGAAATAGGCATCCGCACTACCGCCCAGGAGTGGGATTTTGAGCTCTTTCAACGCGCTATTTGGCATGGGATAATGCTGCGACACCGCCCATTGAACTCGCGAAAATTGAGCAGACAGAGGTGCACCCATATGAGTGAGCCAGTAACGTTCTTCTGCTGCGAGATTACCGCCCCAATGGCTAATTTCAATATCACGCTCAAGCAAAGTCGCATGAATTATCGGTTTGGTGAATTCATAGCGAACACTAGCTTCTTCTTCTGCCCCCGCAGGCTTGTCTTCAAATGGGCCGTAATTGAATGTTGTACCTTGTCGCTCGGGGTCTGACGTGAAGTCTGGGACGTCCGCGGAGGGAAACTTGATCTTCGTTTTCTGCTTGCTCGTGTGGTACGCCGAGGGCACAAAAAGCGAGAATTTGTGAAGAATATACTGTTTGTCCTGCTGGCCAATGGTAGCTGGTAATGGTGTGAAGTCGGAAATGACATTGTAGATGATTGAAAGGGTGAGCTGCGATGATGGAGTAAGAGGAGCAGGAAGGGTCACTCGGTAGAATTGGGTGGAGCTAATTCCCATGTCAGGAAATCATGCGCCCAATGCCTAAGATCTCTTGCAATCATTTACCTGTTAGGATCGTACTCCACAACCTCAGATTTGAAAGCCGGTTTCTCAGGATCTTTCTTGTCACGGACCTCCAAGCCTCCTATTTTCTGGATAGATTCGGCTCTGAATGGTAAGAAGTATGTGTCTTGAGGCTTGCTGTCCAAATTTTCTACTACGACATTGATGCTTTCCCTGGCATAGCCTTTCTCCAAATTGATGTTGCGCAACAGGTGCACATTCTTGAAGACTGGCGGAGGTTTGAAGGAATTGGGGAGAATTTGCCGGGACGTCAAGGTGGATTCATTGGTATCAGCTAATGAAAGTGTGCCCAATGAGCTCAGGTAGATGAAGAATACATTGAGCAGCTGCATTGTCTTCTGGTGTAAAGTTACGGGGGACAGAAGCTCATGCCAGGCTGTTCTGAAATCCGAATGCCAAGTATCATGACGTAGGGCCCAAAGAGGCTTAGATCTAGGGTCGCGCCGTTTTCGAGAAACGAGGCGCCGTAAAGGGGCTCTCAGCACTAGGCTGCGACTAGGATTTTGAAGAACATGAGTCCCTAGTCCCAACGTTGTCTCAGCTTTATTCTCACTTTGCCTTGACTATGGCTAGATTGCCGTTCGTCGCGTCATTGGCGAAGCAACGTTCAATTCTCAGCTGTGGATTACCCTCCATCAGATCTATCCACCAATTCGTTAAGGTCTCTGATGAGGTAACAAGCGCACTTAAGTCTGGACGGCCTGTAGTCGCGCTTGAAAGTGCTATCTATACTCATGGTACGCCACCTGAGCTCTTACTGATTATTTTGAGGTTGAGGTTGAGGTTTGATTGAGGTTTTCCATACCCCGACAACGCTGCCCTTGCTTGTCGCCTAGAATCCATCGTGCGAGGAAATGGTGGTGTACCCGCTACCATTGGCGTGCTGAATGGCACTGCTCGTGTTGGGCTTGGAGCTGATGAGCTTGACCGATTGACTGCGTCTGCTCGCTCTTCTGAGACTCGGAAGATATCCCGAAGAGACATCGGTTATATTTGCGGTCTGGTAAGTTAAGGTGTTTATTTTTTCTAGTTTCGATTTCATAAGACAATTTCTGATTCTATTATAACGAAGGGTTGTTATGGCAAGAGATTAAACGGCGGCACTACCATCTCGGGTACCATGATATTAGCACATCTAGTCGGTATCCAAGTTCTTGCTACTGGCGGTCTCGGCGGGGTTCATCGAGGTGCTGAGAGTAGTATGGATATCAGTGCAGACTTGACAGAGCTCGGACGTACCCCTTTGGCTGTCGTAAGCAGCGGATGTAAGAGTTTTCTAGACATCCCAAGAACTCTTGAGTATCTGGAGACTCAAGGAGCTAGTGTAATGACCTTTGCCGATGGACGTGAAGGGGCAGTAGATTTCCCAGCTTTTTGGTCTCGTGAGAGCGGCGTCAAAAGCCCTTTTACTATTAGGGATGAAGAAGAGGCTGCAGCAATCGCTTGTAGGTTCAGAAACCCTTCTTACATATGCTACGTCATCATATTGAGATTTCTACTGAACATACCCCAGTTGCTCAGAGAAATATTCCAATCGAAAGCGGCATCTTGTTTGCTAATCCAATTCCAAAGGAATCCTCTATTCCCAGAGATGAGATGGAATTAACTATCTCCCAGGCTTTAGCAGATGCTAAGGCAGCAGGATCATCAGGGAGTGAGAACACGCCTTTCGTACTCAACCGCATTCGGCAGATAACCGATGGACGTACTGTTGCTGCTAATCGCGCTTTAATCGAATCCAACGTAGCTTGTGGGACGAAGCTAGCAGTGGAAATCTCAAGGCTGGGGAGCGAGGAAAGAGGTCGTCGAACAGAGCCAAGTTCTGATCAGGACCTGCATAAGGAGGAGAGGTGAGAGAAAGACGATTTGGTCAATCAGAAATCGACTTGCTCATCGAAAATTAGCGAGTTGTCGCGCGGAAAAACTGTTAGAATTCCGAAGTCGAGTAGCCCAGCAGATCCACTACCAGTACTCTCCAGTCATTCCAAATCAGCCGAGCGCAAGGCCAGCTTGAGTGAAGTGGTAGTCGCAGGCAGTGTAGCCATCGATCTATCCTGCGACTACCTACCAAGGACCAGCCAAGATGAAATCTCTCGGCCGAATCTCCAGACTTCAAATCCTGCTTCTATCCAGCAGAGTGTGGGGGGCGTAGGGTCAAATGTGGCTAGTGCTTTGCAATATTTCGGCAAAGCCCCAAAGCTTTGTAGTATCGTTGGAAGCGATGCTGCTGGATCCATCGCCATTGATGAGCTCAGTCAACGCGGCCTACGTACGGACGGCTTGAGACTACTGAAGGAAGAGCGCACAGCACGTTATGTTGCGGTGAATGATTCCAGTAGGAGCCTCATGGTTGGGATGGCTGATATGAGAATTCTTGAGCAGCAAGAATCGCTCTATGCTGCAGGTCAACTTGAAATAGACTCACTCACACAGTGGATTGACTCTAAGCCTGATTGGCTCATTGTGGACAGCAATTGGGGTCCGACAACTATGCGTGCTTGGTTTCGGGCTGGTAGATTAAGACAAGCTCGGATTGCTGTCGAACCTGTTTCTGTCGCCAAAGCCAAAAGACTGTTTACGGAGCTTCCTCATCAAGCGCAAGCGTTAGATTTGCCTGTCTTTCCTAGCCATCTGATTGATATTGCAACGCCCAACGTTTTAGAGCTAGCTTCGCTCTTTGACGCTGCAAAGGAGACGGGACATTTCGACAGGGAAGACTGGTTCAATGTGATCAATTCGATTGATCTATCAAGTGCAGGCTCTCGGCAAAAATTTGAGAAGATGATGGGTGCGACTATAGTGGATCATGGTCTGCCACAACGAGCATTGCATCTTCTGCCCTTCATTCCTTGCATAATAACGACCCTTGGAAAAGATGGTGTACTGCTGACACAACTTCTTCCGCCTAACGATTCTCGACTGACTTCGGCTTCTGCCGCGCCATACATCTTATCCAGATCTATCGCTGGCAATTTAGTTGGTGGAGTGTACATGAGACTCTTCCCAGTACCTGAGCATATCTCTGCCAAGGCCATTGTGAGCGTCAATGGTGCCGGAGATACTTTCCTCGGCGTCCTCATAGCGGCATTGATACACTTACCTAGTCGCGGCGTAGAAGATGCCATTGATATCGCTCAGAAAGCCAGTGCCATGACCCTGAAAAGCAACAAAGCTGTCAGTCCAGAGCTCTCCGCTTTGGAACACTTGCTCTGAGACTTCCGGCTACGTCCTAAGGAAAAATTCTCAGTTGATCTATTAGCCCTACCAACCAACTACCTTTGAGCCCCTAACTTTTAACGAAACTCTTGCTGAGAATCTTCCTAGTGCCCGTGCCAGCTACCAGTTTCAGCCGCACATTTGGACTGCTGCCGGAGACGAGGCTCGCATCTTGCGGGCCGATGTGCACCAATACGCTTGCCTTTGCCACTATATGTGATCATGAAAAGCCTGACCAACCCAAGTACAGACAATAGATACTGGAGCAACTCCTTCATTCTCATCGATTGCTGCAATAGTTGGGAAAATCCAAGGCATCTTTGGCGTATGCCGGAAGGTTACATGCATTTCGTCAACCATACAATCGGTGACAAGGGTGTGAAGAATCAATATCATGTGCAAAACGAGTGGGTCACCAGGCAAGAGAAGTTTATGGTAGAAGCTTCAAAACTTTTGACAATCAACCCCCGTAAGGATAGGTATACAATTGACATATGGCTTTACAACCATAGTCAACATTGGGGCATCAATTACCTTCACTACAGACTCCACTACAGGTTAAGCGATAGTTGATCCTTAAGGGAAGAAAACTTCGGCGTTAAAGATTTATATCTCGTAGGATTCCCCATGCCATCTCGAGATCAGCTTCAATCGCAAATCCCTTTTCTCACTCTCCCTGAATCTTGCTAGATACGCAGTAACTTTGTCAAACACGTCTGGATCTGTGTCCGCGAAGCCAGGCATCGTATTCCGATACGATGAGGACTGAAAGGTGCAGTATCGGTGAGACGTATCATTACCGCCAGACATTTGAGTAGGCTACAGTAGGAGCTGGTCCCCCTGGTTGGTTAGGAAGCGACAAGAGTACACAATTTGGGCACAGGCTTTTGTGTGACATCAAAGAAGACTGCTGCCGCCTCACCGTACGCTTTTCGTTGCAAATATCAGTCAAGCTATCTGCCTACATCCTCCCTTTTCCAAGAGAGAGAGGGTTTTAGTTTATTTTTGTCTTCACTGAAGAGCGAAAGAGGAATCTTGAAAATGATAGCACAAATTTCACCTTTCAAGGATCTCAAAGGTGCTGCAAGCGCCTCCAACACACATTCAGAATATTGTGACATGAGAGATTGGCCTTCACGCAGTGGGACTTGAACCTTCGGACCACGAAAATATCACTGTTATTGATGGTATGATTCCAAAGTAAGGTCGCGAGGATTAGAGAAGAAGAATCTGATTGAGGTCTGAGTGTTGTCTTGAATGATCAAAGTACTCGTCATAATCAACCATACTTGGGGACGGCTATTGCATCCTAATAGCCATATATACAGAATTTTTGCTGCTATATGATGGGTCGTTTTATTCTAACCTAGTTAATCCGGTAACACTGCTATGTTCGTAAGACATCTAATGTCTGAGGTCTGCAAAAGGGTATCATGCACAATCGCCGCTTGAAACGCTCAAATTCAAGACAAATCAATCTTCCCTAATCCTCTAGCTTCTATTGCGTCCTGCACTTCGTTTTCCACATGCTTCAAAGCTACGCGCCAAGAAGAACTGTCTCTCCTAGTATCCTCGTCGATGACCCAACGAAGCCACCTAAGTAGATTGACGGCCTTTTCCATATCTCCTTCATCAATAATCACCCGTCTTAGATACTTGCTCAACGAAGCTACGTCCTCTTCGTACGGTGGTTCCTCCTTGAATTCTTCGTACCAAGCCATGACTGCATTTCTCAGATCCGCCAAACCCGTGAATTTCTTGGCTGTGAATGTTGGTTTGGGCGGTCGAGGTGGTAAGCTGAGTGTCCGCTGACCAGCCGGTAGGCCTTTTGGTAAGGGTGGTCTTTTCTTCCGCGCAGCAAGGTCAAGCCCAGCGTTCTTCTGCAATCGATCGCGGCGCGCTTGAGCCAGTACCTCGTGTCTCAATTCATCAGGCAGCTCAGCAAGGAAATCTGCAGAAATTTCATCAGGGACCACACCATGAGCGATACTCGCGGCGGCTGCTTTGAATTCGTTTAAAGGTTGGTTCGCTACGAAATTGGATTGGGTCAGCGTTGACGAAGACGCTGCTTGTGCTTTGAGTCCCCCACCACCCAAAGGTCGACCCCGTTTCTTGATCGGCGTGGTAAGCTTCTTGGGTAACTTGATTGCACGGTCTTTCCGAGGTGATTGGGGAAGAACGGATTGGTTACGTGTCTTCGAAGGGGACATAGCGTAATAAGCTAGCACCTCAGAGCGGACATCGGCCGGTAAAGCATCTAGTGTCTCCTTGTCAATCTGAGAGTGTGTCGGAACACTATCAGTCGCTAGAGCTGGCGTCGATGAGCACGGCCTTGGCATTCCAGAATCTTCGTGCTTTTGCCTGGTCATTTCTTGTTGAGGTTCTGGTGATGCATCTCCCTGTGTTTCTATCGTTCTCGCTTTACTGCTACTAGCTTTCTTGCTTTGCAATAGCTTTGATCGTATGTCGTCAGGGAGCTCTTTGAGAATCTCTGGGTCAATCCGAGATGGCAACACAAATTGTGTTCCTAGCGTATTCAATGGCAGACGAGGCTTTGAGCTTGAGGAAGAGACTTTAGGGAAGGCTGCAGCAGTATGTGGAGCAGCCGATCCTTTGGCTTTCTGGGGAGACTCAATTTCGTCGGCATTGAGGCTGTCGTCGGCGAAAGCAGGCTTTCGTGGGGTCAGCGTTTTGAATTGCAGCCGTTTTTGCGAGCTGTCAATGCCGCTGCCTGCGTTCGTGTGAATTGGCTCCAGCCTTTGCATTTGGATGCCGAGGCCTCGAAGCTCTCCAGGAGTGAAGCCATGACCTTTCAAGATAGAAAGCGCCTCACGGCCTATGACTGAATAGTCATTGGTCGGTACTCCTAATGCCAGGCTTTTGTTGAAAGTGTCGCACTTGCCATGCCCTAGATGCTTTGGAGGATCGAGAGGCGCATCTGCAGCACGCCGCATGATCTTCATTGTCAACTGGCGTCCCTTAACACCTTCATTCTGTAGCCTCTTCTGCAACTCTTCAGCCAAGCAATAGATAAATTCATCGACTTGTTCCTGTGTGACGAAACGTATGCCCCAGTTTACTTCGGCAGAAACAGACTTCCTGATCACCTGGTCGCCAACTTCAGCCCGATCGATGCCTCGGGAATAATCCCAAACCTTCTCTCCTGTTTTGGGGCCCAACACCGAGATCATACGTTCTTTGGACAATTGTCGGACGTCCTTAACGTATTTAACGCCAATTTCTTCTAGCCTACCTCCAATGCTGTAAGCAATGCCAGGAAGATCTTGCATTGTTAGATCCCCAAGAAAATCTAGAATATCTTCAGGCTTGATTTGGTATTGGCCTGCCGGCTTTGCTTTACGAAGTGCTACTTTAGCAAGGAGTATGTTCCCACCTATGCCAATTGAAACAGCGCATCCAGTCTTTTCTGTGATTTCGTCGCGTAGACCTTGGGCTATGCTATCTGCCGCAGCCTGCTCTCGCCAGATGCTCCCCTCGTGGATGCATCGGCCATCGTGCCCAGCAGCAGCGATGCACTGAACGCTCATATCAAGCAGGGCTTCGTCGACGCTGATGCTCTGGACCATGCCATCAGTGCTTATGATAGCTTCGTAAAATTTTCTGCTCGCGTCTTCATAAGCTTTGAAATCGTAGGGGAGCACTTTGAGCTCAGGACACATTTTTTGCGCATGCTTCATCCACATGCCATTTTTGATACCAAATTTGCGGGCAGGGTAATTACAGGATGCGATCTCAGCGCCAGAACCATTACCGTGGGCCACAACAACAGGTTCCCCTGTCAAGTGAGGGAATTTGCGAAGCGACACTGCGGCAAAAAAGCTATCAAAGTCTACATGGAGTATATAGCGGCGAGTGCCTGGTTTTCTCTGATCTTTGGCCTTTTGCGAGGCGGTCTTCTCCGATGCAAGTGCTTGTAGTTCTGATTTGAGAGTCGCTTTCCAAGTTGAGAGATGATGTAATCGAGATTCTTCATAATACTGCTTGAGGAAGCCAGGGTTGACCACTGTGGATTTCCACACTTTTGGATCAGCGAGTAGGAGAGCGTTATGCTCTTCTGCTGTCAAGTCCTCTAGCCTTTTAGATACTTTATCAACAGTGTGAACTCCAGAGGATTCTTGGTTTGCACCATCCTCGGGTTTTAAAGAGGTGGACCTCAAAACATCCGAGCTCGGTTCTGACAATAAACCAGTGGATTGTGGACTCTCGGGAAGGCTTTCGTCATTCCAAAAACTCGGACTCTTAGCTTTGACTTCATCTGCTGGATCCTTGGGTACTGTTGCCGGGCCTTGATCTTTCACATTGTCCTCAATCAAATCATGGGATACATCTAAAAATTCTGTCGAAGAGTATTTAATAGCTTGCAATGGCGCCGCATCTCTTATTTGGTCGTCAGAATCATTTTTGAGATACTTCTCATTTGCTTGTTCGCCAAAATCGGGTTCAAACCGTGAGTTTCTAGGGGACTCGGGCAGATTCGTGTTCAGTGCCTCGTTGACTTCTGCATTTATGTGTTCAGTTAGCGAAGAAGGATTGGAGTCATTTGATGTATTGCCATCTTCTGCAAGTCGCTCCGTCAGGGATGGTAGCGTTGTCTCAAGTGCGACCCCTTGATCATTTGAACTGACTTGATTCGCTATATCTTTGACCTGGCTTGTGTACCAACTGGTGTCTGTTTGATTTCTGTAACCTTCTACCTTCTTGTTCGCTTGGCTCACAACACTGCCGTGCTCGAATCCAAGGACTCGCTGCCCAACACCTTCATCAACCACCCTGTAGCCATTCCAAGATAGCAGCTTCCCAGCTTTCACGCTATCAACTACCCATGCTGGCTTGACTATGCGATACTTTGCAAACTCAACCTTCTTCTTGGGTGTGAGATTGCTTGCAATGATATGAGTGACCATAGTCTTGCCATCAAGGTATTGAATGAAACCGCCACCGTGACTGACAATGAGAGTATGCAAATCATTCAGAGAAGGCTGTGTGTAGCCATTCACATGAGCTACTACACCTTTGAAAATCGAGGGTTTATCGCGAGCTGACGATCGAAGCTCTGCATCGAGATTTTGAAGTTTGATCTTCTTTCTCCGGAAATAGTCGTTGAAGCCTCCGAATTTTGACGGCTCGTACTCTTCGCCTTGTTCGTCCTCAAATCTATGCTTTTCGATTCTTCGGCGAACCTCCGTAGACTTGGCTTCCAACCTTGAGCCCATTGTTGTGGCAAGCTATCCCATCTCTTAATCAAGTCATGCTATGTGTAAGAAAAGAGCGACGAGCCGCCTGGCCTCTAGAGATCGGCACATCACGACATAATTCTGAGCCGGACCATGCACCATGGTCCAATGATACTATACAACGCGTACAGTTGGTACTCTTGCTGCTACCAAAGAGCAGCAAAAGCCCTACGCTAAGCCTTAAAGAGATCATTCGCTCTAAGATAAGATAAGGGGATCACAATTCTGCAAAAGAAAAGTTTTCGTAGCTTCGAGCTTCTTCCGCACGCTGAATTGACACTCAGCCAATCTCTTCCACCGTCACAACTGCAAGTAAACTTCCTCGACAATGACGAACATGCTTCCTGTCGGCGTCTACGGACTCAAAGTCCCGGCAGGGGATGTATTGATTCCCGCAACAGCCAATCTTCCCGCAACAGTAAGAATCGACGCGAATGTCCTTTAGAGCCAACGCGAGACGTTATTGAACTCGAACTGACGGCTAACGATGGGAATAGTTCCGGATCACAATGGCGGCAATTGATCCAAGCGCAAAGCCGAAAACTATCAGAGGTGCCGGCAGTGACGCCTCTCATCGAACAACATTGAAGATGGCCTACGACATGTCCGCTCCACGAGACGATGAATCAGAAGCCTCCGATGACGAGGACGAATATATTCGAGCGTTACAAGACGGCGTCGAATCAGATGGTCTGAGTGATGAGGATGACGAAGACGAAGAAAGCTCGGACGATGAAGAGCAAAATGGAGGCCCGAGCGATCCTTCGAAATCAAAGAAAGCCCGCAAAGAGGCTGCAGCGCAAAGTCTCCTAAAGGCACTGAAGGAGCAGGACAGTGCCGATGAGAGCGATGGTGACATGGATGTGGATAATTTGCCCAAAGTTAACGGAGTGAATGGGAAATCTGAAGCTCATAAAGGTAAGGGCAAGGCCAAGGCCGAGATTAATGATATAATCGGAGGAGAAGATGAGGAAGACAGTGAAGACATCAACGAGTCTACAGATGGTATGCAAGAGGTTGTACTCTGCACGCTAGATACCCAGAAGGTAAGCTTATCCCATATCAATGCTTGCGGGTAGTCTTGATACTAAGTATCATTTTAGACCTATCAGCAACCAATCGACATCACGATTCCCGAAGGTCAGCCGACATACTTCTCAGTAACGGGTTCACACGCAGTCTACCTTACTGGAAACTATGTGGTTGATCCCGACGCGGGCAATTACCGTGACGGTGACAGCGATAGCGAGGGAGAATACGACCTTTCACCTGATGAGGACGAGCTGGAACTTGAAGGCGAAGATGAGAGCGACCAGTTGGACGACTTAGAAGATCCAAGAATTACTGAACTAGATTCGGAGGACGAAAATGAAGCACCTCAACTAGTCAAACAGGTTAACACCACCGACAAAACTGCTAAGAAAGGTAAAAATAAGCGACCAGTAGAGGAATCAGAAGAGGAGCCAAAGGCTGGGGCAAGCCTTGACGACATCATGGCGAAATCGCTCAAAGCCGAAGGGCCTAAGGTCAATGGTGAGCAAAAGCTCAGCAAGAAACAGCTCAAAAAGTTGAAAAACAATGCTGGCAAAGCGGTCGAAACCTTGACAGAAGGCAATGAGGCGAAGAACGACGATGAAACCGGCAAAGGGGACAAGAAAGTTCAATTTGCCGCGAATCTTGAACAAGCGCCAAATTCTTCACCTTCAACGGTCAAGCCCGATGTCAATGGCAATGCCAAGGCTCAAAAGAAGAAAGAAGGGGACAAGCAGAAAGCTAATTTGGGGGTGAAGATTGTCCAGGGGGTCAAAATTGACGACAGAAAACTTGGAGAGGGTTCTGCAGCAAAGAAAGGTGACAGACTTAGCATGCGTTATATTGGAAAATTGAGTGACGGCAAAGTATTCGATTGTGAGCAAGCTCTCAGCATATGCAAAACACTAGCTGATCGATTATCTCTAGCAAACACCAAGGGCTCTCCGTTCTCATTCAAGCTCGGCGCAAACCAGGTCATCAAAGGATGGGACATCGGTCTCATCGGGATGAGCATCAAGGGCGAACGCCGTCTTGTGATACCAGCCCAGCTTGCCTACGGAAGCAAAAGCCAAAAGGGAATTCCGGCCAATTCGGAGCTGACGTTTGACATCAAGCTCCTTTCTATTAATTGATCGGTCAGAAAATGACAGGGCATGAAGTCGGGTGCTTTTCCTTATGTGCTATATTTGTCCGGCGTATGATACCATTGCATCTTGAGCGACTTGGAGATATCCGACTTGTAGCATAGCAGGAATGACGGGTATTAAGGAAAAGTCGCGTACATTACTTGAAGGACATACCTTGCGTATTCATAGAAAAGGGTGCAGTAATTATATCCAGGTGAAGATTCCGAGTGATGATGAACTCAGATTGGTTTTCCTAAACGGAGACCTGCATAGGCATGAATAGCTGCGAGGTTGATATACCCATGCTTGGCTAGTATCAAAGAAATTGCAGACTCTGAAATTCATAGATCTGGCAATAAACACTTAATGACAAAGTCTCCAATGAAATCTCTCGCACCAGATGTCTTCTTGATAAGTGTTAAAACAACTTTGTCCGCAATCATATCTTTACAAGTGGTATCAACGGGGCTGACTAATCGAGAGCCACTTTACGCGAAAACGCGCTTCGACGCGTCCCCCAAGTTTGAATGAGACGGCCTCAAAATTCATCACTAACCACAGCCTGAACGTCGGAATTTCCGTTGCGACTCGTGAACATGTCGACCCCCAGGAATAGCAGATTGCAAAATGGCAACGGTGTTCCGTCTTCTTCACCTCTGTTCTTCCGTTCCTCGCCTGCGGGAGCTTCCGCAACAAATGGCAACGTCGGTGTCAGCTCGCCGTTGCAGCAGTCTACAGTAGGAGGAGCTACTCCAAGGCGAGCGCCCGCAGGAGGTAAGAGTCATCTCCAGCTTGTGAAATCTTCTAATGTTTTCCAACAGACTCGTCGCCGATCCACTATGCTTCCAGCTCGAGCCCTGGAAGGGCCCCCCAACAGAATGGGGACCGTCAACAAGATATCCCATCTAGCTCTAGCGGGCTCTTTGTGCGTTCGTCCCGCTCCGGAGCTCCAGGTGCATCCGCCGTAAACAATTCTCGACGTGGAGATATCCATTCGGAAGTCTTTGGCTCTACACCTAATCGACGGCGGCGCCTCTTTGTTGATGAACATGGCAATGCTGTGCAAGCCTCTGACCCTGCAACGTTCTCAAATCTTGACCCCAATACATCTGAAGCAGATGTCATTGGTGGATCATCCTCCCGCATCATCTGGGGAACCAATATTTCAATTCAAGATACTATGGGAACGTTCAAAGAATTCCTGCTTGGCTTCCAGAAGAAATACAGACTATGGGCTTCTGGCGCTACTGAGGAAGAGACTTCGGCACCAGAAATTGAGGGCGACCAAAGGGAATACGTCGAAATGCTACAGAACATGCGACAACTCGAATTGCAGAGTCTGAACTTGGACGTTCGTAATTTAAAAGCATATCCCTCAACAGTCAAGCTGTATCATCAGCTACAATCATACCCACATGAAGTGATACCTTTGATGGATCAGTGTGTGAAAGACCTTATTGTCGACCAGGCCGAGGACGAGATGAACCGGTTGAGAGCTGAACAAAGGACAAGTCGCCCTGATAGCTCGATGCCCGCAGCCCCAAGGTATAGTAGGTTCAGACTGACTGCAAGATCAAAGACTCACGTAAAGACAGCTCTGACGCCAACGCTCATACAGACCCAAGTATCCCTGATCTCGTCATGGAGGCGGAAACCAAGATCTACAAAGTCAAACCTTTTAATCTCGAGGAATCCGTAAACATGCGGAATCTCAATCCTAATGGTGAGCGGTCCGCCAAATGATACAGCATTGTACATGACTAAGCTTTCTCCAGATATGGATAAGATGGTAAGTATTAAGGGCTTGGTAATTAGAGCTACGCCTGTTATTCCTGATATGAAGACCGGTAAGTTAATATCTGAGTTTCGCCTTCTGTAGATACTGAACGTGACTTAGCTTTTTTCCGATGCCAGGTCTGTAATCATGCGGTCAACGTATCTTTAGACAGAGGTAAGATTGCAGAACCAACACGCTGCCCTCGACAAGCATGCCAGTCGCAGAACTCAATGCAAATTGTGCACAATCGTTGCGAGTTTGCAGACAAGCAGATAATCAAGCTACAAGAAACACCAGATAGCGTTCCAGACGGGCAGACACCTCACTCGGTATCTCTTTGTGCATATGAAGAGCTGGTTGATGTATGCAAAGCTGGCGACCGCATCGAAGTCACAGGAATCTTCCGTAGTAACCCGGTCCGTATCAATCCAAGGCAACGTACTATCAAGGCTCTCTTTAAGACCTATGTTGATGTTTTGCACATTCAAAAGGTGGATAAGAAAAGGCTAGGTATCGACGTTTCGACCGTTGAGCAAGAGATCTCAGAACAAGTTGCTGGAAGCGTGGAGGAAACCCGCAAGATCTCAGAGGAAGAGGAACAGAAGATCAGATCAACCGCAACACGCGGCGATGTTTATGAGCTACTCTCACGTTCGCTCGCACCCAGCGTGTATGAAATGGATGACGTGAAAAAAGGAATCCTTCTCCAGCTCTTCGGGGGAACGAACAAGTCCTTCGAAAAGGGCGGCAGTCCCAAATATCGTGGAGACATCAATGTGCTGCTCTGTGGCGATCCTTCAACGTCGAAATCTCAGCTCCTTCAGTACGTCCACAAAATTGCACCTCGTGGTGTATACACTAGTGGTAAAGGGTCTTCAGCAGTCGGTCTTACAGCGTATATCAGCCGCGATCCAGAAACTCGTCAAGTAGTACTTGAGTCTGGTGCGCTAGTGCTATCAGACGGTGGTGTATGCTGCATCGACGAGTTTGACAAGATGTCTGATTCAACAAGGTCTGTACTACACGAAGTCATGGAGCAGCAAACAGTTTCGGTAGCCAAAGCAGGCATCATTACGACCTTGAATGCTCGAACAAGCATACTGGCATCTGCAAATCCGATTGGCAGCAAATACAATCCGAACTTACCTGTTCCGCAGAACATAGACTTACCGCCAACCCTGCTTTCCCGCTTTGATCTTGTCTATCTCGTACTCGATCGCATAGATGAGCAGAACGACCGCCGCCTCGCAAGGCATCTGGTGGGTATGTACTTAGAAGATACCCCGGAGAATGCCAGTAATGAGGAGATTTTGGTAAGTTTCCATGTTGATCTGTCGGCTCACTTATGCTGAACAAATTTTTTCCAGCCTGTCGAGTTTCTCACTTCATACATATCGTACGCCCGTACGAAGTGCCAGCCGCGTCTTACCCAGGCGGCGTCCGAGGCTCTTGTGTCCGCGTACGTGCAAATGCGGAAACTAGGCGAAGATGTCCGTGCAGCCGAGCGTCGAATCACTGCCACTACACGCCAATTGGAATCAATGATTCGTCTTGCGGAAGCTCATGCCAAAATGCGACTTTCCGATGAAGTTACGGCCAATGATGTGCACGAAGCTGTGCGCTTGATCAAATCTGCGCTCAAACAAGCAGCGACAGACGCTCGCACTGGCCTGATTGACATGGGCCTACTCACTGAAGGTACAAGCGCTTCGGAGCGGAGACGAAAGACGGATCTCAAGAAAGCCATTACGGATTTGCTAGATGAGATGACAAGGTCGGGAGGCAGTGCGAGATACGCTGATGTCTATCGTCGCATCAGCGAGCAGGGCAGCGCAGCAGTCGAGGGTACTGAGTTTGCAGAGGCATTGAGGAGCCTGGAACAAGAAGGACAGGTGTTGACGGGAGGTGAAGGACCTCGCAAGAACATCCGCCGTGTCACAGGAGTTTCATAAAGCGATGTTGGCAGCGGAAAATTGCGGGCGTTTTGTGCTCGCGGGCGAGTTCGATATTATGAAGGGAAATAAGCTGTAAGATAATAGAACTAATGTGCATAGATGCCATCAACGAGAGTGCTGGCATGACAGTCAGAGCAAGTATTCGAGCACACCTCCAGCTACTCTGATATATTTCCGAGCGGTACTCGTCTACGCCATTTTCCCAAAAAGATTGCGCTCAAATCCTTGTCGTACTCCTTACTCTGAAAGCCAGCGGAGTACAGGCGCGATATTCGATTCAGCCCTGAGGCTAAGCCGAAATAGAGCAACGCGTAGCCAATCAAGATGACGCGTTGGGGGCTCTCCTTTCGCAGTGCAAGAGCTCGAGCTTGAATACTCGTGGAACTGTGGCCATCGGATCTGTGACCATGGCTACTCCTTTGAAACGCAAAGCCGCTGATGTAGCGACAAGTGCAACCAAGAAGCCAAAAGCCAATGCCTCCATTACGTCATTCTTCTCCTCGCCCTCTGCGCCTGCAAAACCGGCAGGGGCAGCAGCGATAACCTCACAGTCTTCGCCTCCTTCCTCTTCGCCTACGGCCCCTACTGATGACAAGACTCCAAGCTCGTCAGCTCCAAACACTATCACACCCTCTATCTTCAGTGCGTCGGGGGCAGCTGCTACTGAGCCAGCTGTAGCTGCACCTGCTCCAAAATTCGATAAGACGAAATGGGTGGAGAAGCTCACACAAGAGCAGAAAGATTTGCTGGCGCTGGAGATCGAATCTTTACATGAGAGCTGGCTTGCTCAATTGAAGGACGAGATCCTTAGTAAAGACTTCTTAGCGTTGAAAAGGTTCTTGAAAGCGGAGCATGAAGCCGGAAAGAAGATTTTTCCCCCTGCGCCAGATGTCTACTCCTGGTATCTTCACCACGCAATCTTGGGATGAAAGTCCGTTTAGCTGACGATGATGAAAGGTCGCGTCATACGCCTCTTAACACCGTCAAAGTCGTGATCCTTGGCCAAGATCCATATCACAACGACAATCAAGCTCACGGTCTCTGCTTCTCTGTTCGCCCGCCGACACGAGCCCCACCATCCTTGGCAAACATATATAAGCTCCTCAAGAAAGAGTACCCTGGTGATTTCAAACCCCCACCCAACAATGGCGGGCTCCTGACCCCCTGGGCTGATCGAGGCGTTTTGCTTCTGAATACGTGCCTGACCGTGCGTGCGCATGAAGCAAACAGTCATGCAAATCACGGGTGGGAGAAGTTCACACAGAAAGTGATTGACATTGTTGCGAAGCAGAGAACCAGAGGGGTTGTCTTTCTTGCTTGGGGCTCTCCAGCTCAGAAAAGGGTCACGAAAGTGGATAAGGTCAGGCACTGTATCTTGCACAGTGTACATCCAAGTCCATTGAGTGCTGCTAGAGGTTTTGTGAGTCCATACGCTTTTGCAGTGTTTTGCAATCCATTAACAAAGGTGATTAGTTTGATTGTGGGCACTTTCAGAAGACGAATGATTGGCTCAAGGGGAGGTATGGCGATGAGGGTGTCATTGACTGGGACTTAAATGTCACCCCCGAAAAAGCTGGAGTGTGATCTCCACAGCATCTCAAGTCGGACAAACCTGGCCAACTTCATTATGTGAATTCCCTTCTGATACAAATCTTTTGTCGACTGATAACAGACCTGGACATTTGCACCAAGAATGTGTCTTTGTCGTGTATTTCAAGATAGAATAGCCTTTTCCATGAGTTAATTGAGCGAGCGCGAATTCATTGTCAAGGTTAGCTTGATGTGATCCGTCGAATAGACAACCCAGCGCGATGCTTAAAATAGTCCGTACACGTTCGAAGATAAGAAAACGCAACGCAAAACGCAGAAACCTATCTGAAATATCGACCCGAATAAGATGGTTGTTGATTCCATGGTCTACAGCTGCAGCGCCCATGCCATCGCAGGCTACTCCTCTTGGTAGTCACGGTTTCTTCCTAATTTCCTTTCTTTACCAGTTCCTCAACCCCCTCCCTACCCTTTCTAACCGACTCGTCCGTCCACCTCTTCGCCCCCTCCACACTCTCTCTCCCTACTTTCATTGCCTCCTTTACCGCCCCTCTTATCCTCAAATGGTTCTCCTGTATGAATGGCACTCTTTCCTCGTACGTCCACATCCAGTCCCCTACATTTCTCATCGTGAGTGGCAGCACCACCCATGCAGCCCCTATACCCACCCCAAACGGCACCGTTGCCCTCAACAGTATGTTTCTATTTCTCGTGACAATTGATCCCGTCATAGCGGCGACCAAGACGTAAATAGCACCTGGAAGTATTCGTTCATTAGACTCTCGTGGCGGGGCCAGGGAAGCGATTGTTGAGGTGAAGGATTGTTCCTGTTTTAGGGCTGCGGACATGAAGGCATTGAAACGGTCTTCGGCCACGGCGACGTGCGCCAGGAGGAACAGGCGGGCTCGACGAATTTGGGAGGTCAGGCGGTCAGTGGGTGTTGGAGAGGTAGGTGCAGGGTTTTGGTGTTCTTGCCGGGGTGGGGGAGAAGGGTTGCGGATTTTGGAGAGGTCGTCATATATGGGTTTACGGTCACCCTAAGAAGAATTGTGAGCAACTGAGACAGTAAGCTTTAGCGATCTGGGAAATGTACTGTTTCCGATGGAGGTTCTTCGGCGTGGAGGGTGTGTCGCGGGAGGAGGAAGGCGGAGGCCGCTATGGCGGTGGTGGCAGCGGGGATTAGAGCGCGCTTTGTGACGTTAGTAGTCGCGTTCACTGATGAGGTGAGCTAGGAGACTGACTCGCCGGGCAAATATTCTGGCTGCCATGGCTCAATGGCTCCCTTGAAGCGAGGTCGAAGATCGGTCAAGTTTTTTGACGTTGTTCGCCGGTTTGCGTACCCTTGGTACCTTGCAGATGCGCTAGAATAGGGCTAGCATAGGGCTGATCAACTATTGCTATCTTTATCATTTTCTTCGTTTTCATCTCCCGAGGGTCCCGTACCTCTTCTCGAGGGCGAGATCTGCACCGTGACTGAATCAAATATAGCCACAAGAGCAGGCGTAAGCTGATCGTCTCATTGATACCCCAAGCAAGTGAAGAATTCCAGCTCTTGGATCTCTTGTTTGATATGGCCATACTTGATACATTACATCAGTACGCGCCTTCGCTGGCCAGCGTAGGTGTTTCCGAGTGCTGGTTGACCATTCCCACCGTATCCTTCATCGTCGGTGTCCTGTATTTGGAGAGCTGAACTGGCCAATCTTGAGCTACCATTGCAAGCTTATTCAGCCCTTCTGTTCTTTCGGTTGGCTGAAGCGTTGCGGAGCCTCAGTCTTCCTTTGCTTTGCATTATCGGCGTTTTGAAAGTTTTGCATTTTAGAGTTCTGCCAGCTGTAGATGAACTGCATATATCGATACCTTTTCCAATTGCCTGCCGAGACGTTCACCGAGACGGAATCACTCGTTTAAGAAGAGCGTGTTCGCGCAACGAGAAGAATCCCAAGGTTCACCCAACCGCCACAAACTTTGGTCTCCACTTCATTGTTTACTTCACGCCCTCGATTGCTACTACGGATATGCTTCATTGTTTATTTCGTGTCTCAGCGTACTCAATGATTGTCGTTGTAGACCATTGATCAGGCGTTTTCGTTGACGTTCCCAGCGTCTCCATTAATTCCGGTCCTCTTGTGAGCCGTTATGTCCCCACTCAGGCTTTCATATGTATACCTACTCTCACAAATTGTACTTGGGTTGCCTGTAATTGATGTAAGGAAGGAACTCTATGCCTTTGAACTAGGACAAGCTTAACGCCTTTTTAGCTCAATGGCCGAAGTGGTATACCACCAACAACACTAACCAGCCAGGTGATCGACAACGAGTACCCGCTTGATCGCGTGCTAGAAAGCAAAGCAGCGTCAGAAAATCCGCAGACGGCCAACACTGGAAGACATGTCGAAACCACACTTGATCTCACTAGCACCAAGGACACCTTTCAACATTTCGACCCAATTGAGGTCTTACCTAAAGTAGAGTCTGAACATCGTCAGAATCTGCACTCTGGACACCACGATAGGGTACCTCACGCGTCGAGCTCACAAGAACGACTCAGAGACCTAGCCGCCTCGGCAACACCTTCTCTAGAGTTGAGGAGACGGGGCACTCCAGAAGAGGAAGAAAGCAAAAACGGAGTGCCTGTGAAAGATATTGAGGCCGAAAAACAAAGGAAACGTCAGATAGAGAAGCAAGAGTACATTCAACGGGGGCTCGCTCACGTGCTTGAGACCTCGAAATGGCTTCAGGAGGTCAATTGAGCCAGATAGAACAAATATTATGACGGATAGAGTTGCAACGAGGTGGCCAGGGGGAGAAATAATCAAGTGATGCTAGTAGTGCTAAGCGACGCGAATGTCAAGCTTTCAATACTTCAATGACTGATGTCTCATTTCTGTATTCTTTTTTCTTTAAAATAAGAAATGTCTGTTTTACACAACAGGGACTGGCCGTATATTTCCAAACCTGGCATACATCTTATGTCCAACGCGGCAATCCACCTAGATGGCCCCGGCTGACGAACTCCATGCTCCTTTGCTTTTGCTTTGCTTGTCATTACACATATCCTCCGTCAAAATCAATAAACACCCAGTGGGTGCCTTAGTGTATGTCCTTCCTGTACGCCTCGCTTAAATGTTCCCTTGAGCACAACATTCCGAGCTTCTTCAAGCTATCATCTAGATCTCATCAGAATCTCCTCACCCACCCCCAAATTCAGCACCTTGGTCCCATCTTCCACCATAGCGCTCATAGCCTCTTGTTGCGAAAATTTTTGCGTCCTTACATTTTTCACTGAAATTCCCGTGTTGATCTTGTCTTCGTCGTGGGCGCTGACCCAGCATCTTGCCATTAAATTCCTGGCTATTTCCACCCCACCCGGCAAACCCGCCGCCACGTTGCCGCCCATCCACCAAGGATTATCAACTCGGTCAAAGGAGTGTAGGAGCAGCGTCAATGGAAGAGCGGCCTTCTGGATCAAGAACGAAGAGGCATAGGAGCGGATGAGGCTGTAGGAGACGCCATGAGGGCTGTAAATCACGGAGAGAGCCTTCTCCGTGGGAACTGAGCGGCGGGTTACCGAGTATAGAGAAGAGCTGGAAGAGAAGGAGCGTGAATGATTGGGAGCAGAGAAAGTGCTGTTCAGCTCTGAAGAGCCGACGGTGGAGCTAGTGTTGGAGGTGGAGCGATAGACTGGTGACTCTGGAGGAGTAATCGGAAGGGAGGTATATGGGTGTTGACATAGAGAAGCAGGATGCTGTGCAGGGGCAACTTTTGGAGTGAAGGGTCGTGAGGGCGTGTTTGTGGTGGAAGGAGGTCGATAGGTGATGCCAATGGCATTGTGGACTCCGGCAACATCCATTTTGGCTGGCATGAAGGATATCGTCGCTTCGCCAGAGGTGCCACCCGCCACGATGGGTGGAATGCAAAATCGGATGACTGAATCTGGATCTCTCTCCGAGTACGGGCGTAGACTATGTACCATGTCTGGATAGAAGAACCTCATGCCTCGAATCTTCTTAGCAGCAACCGGCTCTGCCAGGATAGTGGTGATTGGCGATTCCGGATCCAATTGGCGCAGAGTAGACTCGTGGCAGTGATCTGGCTTTGCTTGCGAGATGATGACCACATTGGGCTCCGGCAATTGTGAGAGGTGTTCGACGCATGAGGGGCTTGTATGTTGGGATAGCAGGAACCTTCGGTGCCACATGGAGCTGGGGCCAGAGAGCCATGGGTCGATAAGGATAGTGAAGGTCCCTGGTGTTTGGTAATATCCAGAAGCCGGAGGAGAAGGAGGCCTGGAACTGGTTGGTGAAAAAGTGAGAAGAAAGGTAGTGTCGCCGTTGAGATGCTTTACAGTTAAAGCCATGATGCGCTTGCAGAGGAGTAGCAGTCGAGATCAGCTAGCAGCGTCAAGACTCAAATGCGCTCCCGACAAAGCCATCAAGACAGGTTCTGTGGTCAAGCTGAGATAGAGAAAGAGAAAGGATGACCGGGGGAGGTAGTTGTGAGTTGTGCATGAGATGGTGCCAGGCCTGCAGTCTTTCGCAGGTCTTATTAGCCGCTCGATGAGCAAGAGACATGGGGAAGAAGGGGGACGGCCGGGGGGGGGCAGCAGCCGGAGGGCAAGAGCAGCCGGGGGCGTGACGACAACTGCAGGCTCTGCCTTCCCTGATTTGCTGCTTAGGGTCGATCTAGAGACGCGCCTAGGAGGGCCGTCTGTCAACCTTATGCAAATCAGGCACCTGAGCCACCAACCATCTCGACCCATTCCAAGCCATTTCAAGCCATTTCCAGCCGCATTTCACTCTCAGAGTCTCATATCCGCCGCTCTATATCAATAATCCACATCCATCGCCCACCGATACAGTAGCAGCCACATGGCAGCGCTAGAGCCACACAGCGAGCTCTTTCGGCCTTCCAAACGTCGCAAGTTCTATCGAAAAAGACTCGAGACCGTTGACGATAATGGAAAGGTCATCCAGTCTGCCACGGAAGAAGCATATCTCCCGTCACCTTCCCCTCCGGAAGACAGACGCCTACAAGACTTGCCTTCAGCCAACACCAGCCACGATGAGACCGTCTCCGTCGCCGAGGTTTTGCGCCTGCGTAAAGCGGCGCAGCGAAAGAAGGCCGGCGTCGAATTCACAAGCAGTACAGCTCTAAGTCGATACCCACCTCCGCCAAGTGATGCTATCATGATAAGGCCGGAAGACACAAGCCCAGCGAATCTTGATAGCATGGCTTCTCGCTTTGCTCCCCAGACAGGTCATGTCACTGAGGAGACCGACAAACATATGTACGATCTGCCGAACTCTTCGTCTTCCTTTCGTCGTATTTCGAGCTACTAACGTGATAAGGACGGCATATATAGACGCTGAATTAGCAAAACGAAGACAACAAAGCCAGCCGGCTACTGAATGTCCTCCCTTGTCCCCAAACGGCACACCCGTCTCACCCACACCAAACCCCCGCAATCCAGCCTCATCAGGCAAATTGCATGAAATTGACTTAGGACCCGACGCAAAAGCTCTGAACATCGCACGAACGCAGGCCGCTATATCAGGCTATCAACCTCCACCGCCACCGCCGAAGCCACCAAAACCTCGCATTGGCCGGAATGGGAAAACCTACATACCAAAACTTCGGCCACGTAATACACGGAATAGTGCCGACGTAGAGCGAGACCGAGTCGTAGAGGAATTGCTGCGCGAGAATAGGCTTGAAAGTGTCTACGACGAACCAGCAAGAGGCGACGGCCAGGCAGCCACTGCCACAGGGTCAGGTGACGGAGGTGAGAGCGATGGGGCTGCGGATGAACGTCTTGCTGAACAATTCCGACGGGAGTTCCTGGACGCAATGAGCCAAAGAAAAGAAAAAGCAAACAAAGTTCCAGCGCCGCCTGGCGCTGGTAAGCCAGGCGATGAGAAATCGAAAGGGCCCAAATTAGGTGGCAGCAGGAGTGAGAGAGCCAAGATGAGGGAGAGGGAGGAGGCTGCCATCAGAGCTGCGGCAGCGGCGAAAGGGAGAAGATGACGGTCGAGGTAGCTGAAGTACCTTTACTTATCAGGTTGGTGATTGGATAGTGGGGGCGAGCGACATCTGTAGGCTCGTGTCTCCTCGTGCGGTAGATTTACGACAACAGTCATTGGTCAGAGTGGACCAAAACTCTCCTTGACGTATGGATGTCCTTTAAGAAGAGCTATTTGCTGGCTGAAGCCTTGAACAGCACTATAACCCTTCACTTTGTAGGTAGATACTTAGAACTTATGGACGCTATATCGAACTTGAATAGATTTGGAGACCAGATGATGGGCGAGGCAGAGAGTCTACGGTCGAAAAGGGTGAGTTCTGCCTTAAATAAGCTTCTTAGGTTTCATATTTGGTGCGCCACTGTGGATTGGGAAAAGCATGAGCCACATTTGCGATTATTACTAGATAGCAGCTCGTCATTACTTTGTGGAAAAACATGTTGTTCATCTTGACTGAGAGATCTTTTCTACTACCGTTCCTGTCCAGCTAAATTCAGCGTCATCATCATGTCGCGCCACAAATTTGTCAAGGCTTTAAACTTGGATGACGAGCTCGACGAATATGATGGAGCGCTCGATGAAGATGTCCAGGATGAGTATTCTCCTGAAGATAAAGGTATTTGGTGAAGTCTCTGCCGCTGAGATGCCTTACTCACATGGTCCTGGTAGAACAATTACGTCGAGGTACTGTGCAAGTACGGCAAACTCTAGGATTGGAGTTTCCAGCCAGCGACCGCGAAATTGAAGATTCATTGTATTACTACTATTATGATGTATCGAAGACTGTGAACTATCTTCTGAGTGAGAACATGACTCCTTGTTTCTAGAGTCAAGTCTAACTTGAGAAGACCAGAAGACTGGCGCAGCTAACAGCAAGAAATCCAAGAGCAATAAAGAGAACAATAACCCAAATTCTACATCTGGTAAGCTCCCATTCTCGTTAGCTTCTCAAGTCTCTACTCTGCTTATGGATCGCACCTCTCGAGGTGAGCTTGTGTTCTTTTTGGAAAAAAAATCTCGGTGTTGAGTCTAATTGCTGTCACCCCACAGACCTTGGAATGGAGATTGCATCCAGCTATCCGGTTGTTCCAGTCTGTCGAGTACCATTTTCAGCCGCAGAATTCTTCCGTGATGCACCATGGCTTAACATACCTCTGGAAAGGCGAGGAGAGATTACTGTAGAGCCTTTGCTCCCTCCATGTCGCCTCCTAGGAGGATCATCGAAGGAGGGTAGCGCTCCTCCCAGATCCAAACTTGCAGCCCTTGCTGCGGCGCGCAAACGGGAAAATCGAAATCCTAAGTCGGATGGTCCAAAGCCAAGCTCTGTAATCATTCTGGAAAAGCTGAGCCGGTCGAAACGTTTGTCTGCTTCAGATGAGCTGGGGACTTCCGATCAGAGTGTAGACCCGGAAATCCAAGAGCTCGCACGGGAACCCAATATCAAACGATACCCTGTGCGATCAAGAAGAAAATCAACTACCCCACCCGCACAGGATGAATCGATCAAAGTCAAATCGGCCACAACAATCGATACTCAGGATCAATCAGTGAACGTTCCATCCAAGCTTGCGCCCAGTGCACCCCCCTCGATGTTTGGAACGGCTATGTTTGCCATTGATTCATCTTTCGAGCGATGGAACAAGGCGTCTGACGATCGTCCTAATCTTCATCTATGGCTGAGACTACCTACTAATCATGACGCATTTGCAGGCCCAAGCCCGGATGATGTTGTGCTTAAGGCTCAAAGTGCCTCCAAAGGTTCGAGATTAAGATAAGGGGGCCAATCCCAGAAGACTGACCCACGAGGATAGGGCCCAAGCAAAGCACCAAACAAATCAGTTATACCAAAGGTGCCACCAAAATTCCCGCGAAAGACGATCCTGGTGGTGTAACGACAGGCTTAAGCGACGTCAAAGTCGCAGAGGAAGTGCCTAAGATTAAACGAAAAAATATCGATGTAGTAGCCGAATACGCCAAATTGAAGCCCAAGAAAGCGGCAAACTTTGTTGTCATTGGTTTGTGCAGGCTGGTTTCTGACTTGTCTGTGTGCTAAGTTCTATAGGACACGTTGATGCTGGCAAAAGCACCCTGATGGGTCGGCTCCTTCATGATTTGAAGGCTGTTGATCAGAGGACTGTCGACAAATACAGAAGAGAAGCCGAAAAGATTGGAAAAGCATCATTCGCCCTCGCTTGGGTCATGGACCAAGGCAGTGAGGAGCGTGCGCGAGGAGTAACGATTGATATTGCCAATTTCAAATTTGAGACCGAGAAAACGAATTTCACCATCCTCGATGCGCCAGGTCACCGTGACTTTGTGCCAAATATGATTGCGGGAGCCAGCCAGGCAGACTTTGCTATCCTGGTCATCGACGCCAGCACGGGGAACTTTGAGTCAGGTCTTAGGGGGCAAACAAAGGAACACACCCTTCTTGTCCGGAGCATTGGCGTGCAGAGTGTCATTATTGCCGTCAACAAGCTAGACACTGTCGGCTGGTCAAGGGACCGCTTTAACGAGATTTCGCAACAGCTGACGGCTTTCCTGACTACCGCTGGTTTTCAATCAAGGAATCTTGCTTTTGTTCCGTGCTCAGGGTTGACAGGCGACAATATAATCAATAAAGCTAGCTGTGAAGCTGCATCCTGGTATGAAGGGAAGCCACTTATAGGGCTTCTAGAAGACTCGGAACCCAGTATTCGTGCCATTGAGAAACCATTTCGGCTTACTATTGATAATGTCTTCCGTGGAGGGGTACAAAATCCAGTCTCCGTATCCGGTCGCATCGACGCCGGTACGTTACAAATAGGCGATAGCCTACTGATCCATCCTGCATCGCAGACAGCGACCGTCAAACTCCTCGAAGTGGACAACGAGTCGGCGGAATGGGCAATAGCAGGACAGAATGCAAACATCCACCTAAGTGATATCGATGCCAACTACCTTAGACCAGGTGATCTGGTAAGCCTACCGTCAGCTCCTGTTCGGATCACCAAAGCCTTTACCGTGAAAATCCTTGCCTTTGAGCACATCATGCCAATGCCGTGCGAAATTCATAGAGGAAGGCTCTATGCGCCCGGAAGAGTCGTGAAACTTGAGGCCATATTGGACAAAGCCTCCGGTACGCCAGTCAAGGGCAAGAAGCCGAAGCTGGTTAAACCAGGCAGTGTAGCAAGAGTGAGCGTAGAGACGGACCAGGAGGTTCCTCTAGAGAGTGGTAACCGGGTCATTCTGAGAGCGGAAGGCGTAACTATTGGGGCAGGCTTAGTAGAATAGGCTGTTGACAACTGAGCGAGTGAGAGAAATACAATGATTTACGAGCTTTCACAACGGCCGGTAATTTCATTCGTGACTCTGCAACTTACTTCCATTTCGAAATCTGACACTCAGCTTGCGACTTCAACTCATTACGCTTGAGGTCAGTCTCATAAAATGTATGAGCAATGGCACCAAATTCTGCCCAACAGCCCCGAAATCGCCACTCGTATTCAAATTCAATTCACACCTGCCATTTCGCATGGTGTCACTCCTACATGAGCACAAACCGCGAAGCAAAATCCAACCATTCATACCCCATTTCCAAAATTAGCCGATCAACTTTATTTCCATTCCTCCTTCGCCCCTCCACTCCTGTTAGACCTCCTTACCCTCTCCGACCATGTATGTCACCATTGTGCCTCAACGCCTCGTTAAAGCACTTGCATGCAGGCGTTGCCGCTTCCCACGTCGCTGACAACATCCCGGCTCCCGGGATAACGTGGGAAGAAACATGAGAAGTCCGCTGCGGCGCGTGCTTTACTCTCAACTAGCGTCCCCTGCGGCGGGCTGGCGTCGGATAATCTGTAGCGTCGAGGTGTGATCATGTTCAATAATGGTCGAGGGTCTTTGAACAGTGGCTTTAGAAGCAAATGAGGATTGAAGATGAATGGCTTTAGAGATCACAAAATAATTTCCAGGTGTTTGAATGTACGAAAAGCCAGGGTGAGGTAAAAGGGAAGAACCGGCGATGCAATGAAATTGGGTTAAGGCAATGGAGGTCCCCGCCAAGGCGGGTCTGCGTAGGAATCGCATGTCAAAGAACAGGAGAGAAATTCAAAGTAATCGCTTCCGGGCAACGATAAACTCTGATGACAGTGCATTTCGACATGATAGGTTGGACTGGTTGGGGATAACTTGATTGTCAATTTACCATGCATCAAAGCTCTATCAAAGCCTCCTCCTTCGGTGCTTGCAATGGCTGATGTTGGGGAGCTGCCGGGAAATTATCCTGTGAATAATTTGTGTAACTATACCCTGGCACTGACGACGGAGGGGCACCCTGAGGCTGCTGGTAAAGGTCTTGTTGCGGGGCTGGCTGGTGCGTCTGCTGCTGGGGAATTTGAATAGGTTGGTTCGATTGTGTTTGGTAAGGTTGCTGCTGATGCTGTTGATATGACAAAGGCGGCGGCTCGTGGTAAGACTCTGGTGGAGAAACATCTGGGTTCGAAAGGGTTGCATTGTAAGAGATAGCTGGGTCTTGAGTAGGTGTTTGGGGAGGCGCTTGATTCGGGTAAGACTGATACGGCTGGACCGGTGGGTTGGGAGTGGAATAGTAGGTGGGATCCCCATTCTGGATTGGTATTGATGGATATCCTACCATGCTTGACGTTCGCTGAGGTATTTGGGAATGATAGTTCGGCTGCTGCTGTATGGAAGGGACGCCTTGGTTCGAGGTGGCACTCGACGGAGGGGGCTCCCGCTGCATGTGTGGCGATCGTGATTGGGAGGAGTATTGGGAAGGGTGGTGATGAGATGGGTTATTTTCTGCCGGAGGAGGTCCGTTCAGATTGTAATAGCTTTCGGCACCAGGCGGTCCACTTGGTGGCTCAGAAGGTATTTGGGGATAGATGTTGGACGATTGGGGAGCATGGAAATTCTGATAGCCGCCTATATTGTGCTGACCGTACGTGTGGGAGAGACGCTCTTCCAGCATGCGATCATAATAACGAACAACAGTAGCTAGCTTCCCGTGTAACTCGAGTAAGGTATCTATTGAAATTAGTTCAATCATCTTTGAATTTAATGCTACGGCTTACCGTGTTTACTCATCGTCTCTCCATACGATCTGGCAAGTTTAGGCCTCAGAGCGCCTATGCTGTCATAGAGCTCTTGAATTTGCGGCTCCCTGAGGATTGTTCCAGGTGGCTGATGTTGCAACCGATCAACAAGGGTCGAAAACAGACTGATATTTTCTGCCTCCGTAGGGGTAAGCTCATACTTGTTGTCAGGTCTGGCCACTTCGGAGGTCGTTGTCGCTGCTCTACTTGAGGCTTGCTCCTTCAGACTTTTAGCATGTCGTTTCTTTTGTTCTTCCATTTCCTTAATAGAAGCGGCTATAGCAGCTTTTAAGTCTGGATCATCTTCTTCCTCACGCTCAGGGGTTACTTTTCTTGTTTCATTAAGTGTGGACTTGGGCTTCTGTGCTCTTAGCTCGGATTGAGAAACGTAGCCAGCCCCTTGTTGGCCTTTGACTTCCTCAAGGCTCATCTGGAGAGCGCGTTTCAAGTCGTCGTCAAAACCCTCGTCGACTCTTGCATCTCGTGGTTGCATGGAACTACGTTGCCTGACTATGCTGGCATTTCCTTTGGCGAGCGATCTCTCAGGTAAAGGTCCGCTATTCGCCTTGTCGGTCAATCGAGCATAACAACCATCATCCACTCGTACCGGCTGCATTATACCCAAATGTGGTAGAGGTATCGATTTTGAGGAGCATTGAGCATCAAAGACACTGCCACAATTCCGACAGTGATGCTTTCGATTGGTAAAGCTGAACGGCGTTCGGCATCTCATGCACACGTCCGAATCGATCCATTCTGGCGGCTGCACGTCTGGTCAGATTTGCTCTGACCAAAAGATCTTGGGTTACTCACTGCACTGCTGTCAAGCATACTTCTGGAGACGTCGGTTTTCGGAGGAAACCTGAAACCTTCTCGTTGCAAAGTCCTGAAGGTTTCGCCTATGTAAGAGGCGTCAAGGCGGCCTTCTGTACCACTAGCCCAGGCCTGTATGAGTTCCAGTATCTTGTTTTTGACGTCCTCATTGGGTGCAGAAGAGCCATGCGCCTGCAGTAGAGATGTGAGATTGTCCATAAACTCTCTCGATGCAATCTCGATGAGGAAATGAGATCCACCATTTTTGACACATGTGTCTGTAAGCTATTACACATCTCAGCAAAGAACGCGCTTCATTGTATGAAAGACTCGTACCCCCAGCGTAGCTAATTGCACATTAGGATTCTTGTGGCCTATTCTCCGTTTCAAAGATCGCATTGCTTCTTTGGGTTGCACGCTTTTTGAGCGTATGATGTCTGATACTTCCAAGTTGAGAGCGATATCCTCCAAGCTCGAAGAGGTCGCTTTCTCAATTTGTTCGTCGAGCGCCGAATTGGATGCGAACCAGCCGGCCATGGTGCCAGTAAATGTTGCGTAGATGATATCTAGCCTGCTACCACCTCTTGAGGTCTGGTTGCTGCTGGTTGATGTTAGACACGCATGATAAGAAAATGACGAGACACTGAGCGCGGCATGGAATACGTGTTAACAGGCACTGTTCAGGCTACTGTCACCAGTAGACTCAATAAGGTACCTGCAGCAGAGCCTCAATCTTGTGGCACTCCGAGCGTTTGACTCACTCTTGGCGATGACGAATTACAGCGGCTTAGGATACCCTTCCTGGCTTTCGCGTTGTTTGCCCCCTTCTCGTGCGTGGGTTTGTGCAGATGCCTGAGAAACACTTAATGAGGACCTCTACACATAGTGGAAGGTCATAAGCTTAAGCACTTGCTCATGTAGGCAGAATACCTTCATTACTCTCGGATTTAGCAACCCGCACAAAGAGATTACCGAAAGCGCCAGGCATCGAGTAATGAAGTATGCGCCGACAAGCAGCTACATGTCTTTGTAGCAGCATGGAGGCTTGCAGGTCGGATTTCCATGTCTTCTGATGCCGTCAGGACTCCTTATATCTTTGAGAAGATGACGCGCAGCGAGATGCACGGCCCTCAACGTGTCTCACCAAACGATGGTGTACGTCCGTCAAATCGCCAGAATGCAAATCACCCGAATGGAAGCCCCACTCGACGTGGGAATTTCCATGGAGGACACGGTCATTTCATGCATATAAAAGATTTGCAAAGTCTTGCTCAAGAATCGCATCAGCGATATGAAGCACACCTGACAGTAAGGAGCCTTGCAATCCTCTCACACGTCTTGGTACACAATAGCTTACACTACCTATTCAAAAGGCCCGAAAGCTACTTGACGCTGCCGAGGGTGCACTCAAGAAAGTCGACACCGACGTCAGCTTCAAACGACCAGATAGAGCGTATGTCGAATGGCTGGTTGGCTCAGAAATAATACTACACATCATACCGAAGCATTTGGAAAGACATGCTGCTATTGACTCAGATAAAGATAGGGCAGGCTTCAGTCGACGATACTCGGATCTGAGAAAAGTAGGTCATATCCTTCCGCCCAGACTTACGATCATCACATCTCAGGCAATCTCCGAAAACAACGTATTGACACAAAGCTAATCTAAGTCCACTAGCGAGTCGACTCTCAATGTGATATGATCACGGAGATCTATAACAAGATTGTGGAGGACAATGTTCAGAGTGGTGTACAGCCTCAAGATACTATAAATTCAGGCAATGTGAACTCTCAAAGAAGGGGGATCAATGAAAGGCCGGATCAAAGTCCCAGACCGCTTTCGATGCCTGAGTCTCCAGTGGCAAACGGAAGTCGAAACGACGAGCTTTTCCTTCAGGAGTCAAGAAGGCTGATATCTGCTTCGACCAAGCGGTCTCCTTCACCCCGAAGTAAGCCAATAGTAAAACCGAAGCCTCAGAATCTCCGCATCCACACCAGTCAAGTAGCTGACGCCATGCGTCCGGGTTTCAGAAATGGCGACGACATTGCCGAGAGGTTTTCTCAGCTTCGTGTTCAGCGCCCAAGCGCTTTAGACACGGTGCCTCATGGCGGGTACAAAAGAGATTCGGTTGGTGCATCCTCGTCCTCTCCAGAATCGACACCGCCTACCTCTGACACGTCGGCTCGCTCTAATGCAACGATATCCTCTGATGGGGGTGTGCCTACATTCTCAATGAAGCCATTAGGACCTCGCTCAATGCCTACAGCTTCTATGACCCCGGCGATCCCACCCAAGATACCTCTGAGTCCCCTTCACAATGAACAATTCCAACCATTACCGCAGCCGCCAAAACCCGCCTACGACCCTTCCAAGACCGCTATGCTTTCTAATAATACGACAAAGCCTTCTCTGAACCGTAAAGCTAGCATTATCGGAATAGAGGAAAGAAATTCACGATCTCCTCAACGCCATTCGGGACATCAGACGTTAGCCAATGGCATCGTTTTACCTGCTAGGTCTAGTAGCATGCAACCGCCTCAAACAACAATCTCGGCAACGGAATTGTACAAGCAATTCCAGAAATCTAATGTTCTTGTAATAGACGTCAGGACTCGTGAAGTCTTTGACTCCGGTCATATTTTCGCAAAGAATATCATATGCGTCGAGCCTGTGGGTATGACACATGGCATGTCTGCCGAGGAATTGGAAGAAAGATTAGTCAACTCGCCAAGCGCAGAATTGACTTTGTTTGGCAAGAGACATGAGTTTGACCTGGTAGTTTACTATGACCAGCGGACTAGTACAGATGCATTTCTGGTAGGTCCTCCAAGTCGGACTGAGGCAACCCATCTCCGAACGCTTCACGACACTTTGTTCGAGTTCGATGATTACAAGCCCCTCAGAAAACGGCCCCTGGTGCTTTCAGGCGGCCTAGACGCTTGGGTTGACTTATTGGGATCCCATTCTTTAGAGACATCCCGGACAACTGCAATCACACAGTCGAAAAGCCTTCAAAGTTCGTCGAGGAAACCAGCCAGACCAATTGGACGGGTACCGCCAGCTAGTGCCAATTCAAGCCTTGAAGTGCGAAGACGTAGACTGAAGGAACAGAAAACTCTCAACGCAGACGAAGAGCGTCGATGGCTCGAAAAGGCGCAAAACGAGGAAGTTAATCCTGCAGACTATCAAGCGGATCAAAGCGACAGCGAGATAGATCAACAGGGCGAAGAACCTCCTTCCCCATTTGTACATTCGTACGAGGACTTTTTGAGAAGGTTCCCTGAGCCAGCTTCGGCGCACCCACACTCGTATCCACCGCCACCACCACCTATTATTCAAGCGCGTTCACAAGATTCCCTCGAGTCATTACCAAGCGTACCTTCACGCCCAGCTCCTGCTATACCACGTCCGAGCTACAGTGGTGTCTCGAACAGAGAATCAACTTTATACTCGCCCATATCTCGACAAACATCGGCTACTCAGCAGCCTTTGTATACGTCCAGATCCGTATCACACTATCGAAAACTACCTCGCACTGGTCTCGTCAATTTTGGTGTCACGTGTTACATGAACGCAACCATACAATGTCTTCTGGCCACAATCCCATTATCTCAGTTCTTTCTCTCGGATCGTTGGAGGGATCTCACAGTAAAGAACTGGAAAGGCTCAAATGGTATCCTGCCGAGTCATTTTGCAAATCTGATACGCAGTCTCTGGAAAGACGAAGATCGAGCAATTCGTCCCGGCTCTCTTCGCAATTTCTGTGGTCGGTTGAAGGACGATTGGGGTATTGATCGGCAACAAGACGCAAAGGAGTTTTTTGATTTCCTTGTAGACTGCCTGCACGAAGACTTGAACCAAAGATTTAATCGGACTCCACTGGATACTCTATCGGAACAACAAGAACGGATACGTGAAAGCTTGCCATTTCGCAAGGCGGCTAAGATGGAGTGGGAACGGTATGCCCATCGCGAGTATTCCTATATTGCAGACTTATTCGCCGGTCAACATGCCTCCAGGATACGCTGTACCACGTGTAACAGTACCTCGACGACTTTCGAGGCCTTTTACAGTATTTCCGTCGAAATACCACGAAGTAGCCTACGGCGCGGTTCATTATCACTCCACGATTGCCTGAAATCATACTGTCAAGAGGAGAAATTATCCGGCGATGAGGTTTGGAAGTGTCCTCATTGCAAGAAGGAAAGAGAGGCCACGAAGAAGATCACCATCACACGAGCTCCGCAGTTCCTCGTGGTGCATTTCAAGCGCTTTGAGATGCGGAAAGGAGACGCCAAGAAAGTCCACACGCCAATCGATTTCCCCTTGCACGGCCTGGATCTGGGGAACTACATGGCTCGTGACGACGCCTCCGTTCGAAATCAGCCAAATGAGTCTATGGACATAGCAATGACACCTCCATACATATACGACTGCTACGCCGTCATGCGACATATTGGTAATACCCTGAGCGGTGGCCACTACATTTCTATGGTACGAGATGCGGCAAGAAGCTGCTGGCGAAAGTTTGACGACGAGAAAGTCAGTGATTTTGATCCGAGTAAGCTGAAGGGAGATAGGATTTTGCAAAGTGCGGAAGCCTACCTGGTATTTTACGGACGGGCAGCAGCTCGATGATGGAGTTTCGGACCGCAACGACTTTGTTTACGCTCCTGTCTGCATGGTGGCTGATGGCGCCCCTGTGTCACTAAGTATTTCTATTCGATGTGTACAGTAGGTATAGAAAGCGAGCGAGCTATGTAAGGCGTTGCATTGCACTGGAGCTTGGGTAGTCTCGGGAAGGAGCATGGATTAGGCCACACAACGATACCATGCAGCGTTACGAGAAATAGAACCATCTTGCGAACAAAAGCATCTGAAGCATTTGGGCTTCTCAAAAGACGTTTATGCTCAAATAGCGGGTTTTGTCTTGACTTCGATTCGCTACCGCCTATTCCCACCAATCTCCCTTCCAGCCCTATAGCTTCCCACCTTCTCCCACTCCACCTTCTGCCTTGTGACTGGCAGCTGCCTCCTCAATCTCTTGAAACCCCCCTCGTTTAAGTCCGCAAACCCCCGGTTCAGATCCTCATGATACTCTCTCTCCACCTTTGCAATCTCCCTGACTACGTCGCCAGCTGCTCTGGCGGAACCACCAATTCGTAGCTCTGGCACCTTCTTCGTTGTTGTCAATCGTACATTTCCATCTTCATAGTAGTGCACGTCGACCTGTATCGTACCTGTGAGGGTTGCGTTGGATGGGGAGTAAGTGTAGACGCAGCGCAACCGACCATTCCAGAAGTTTTGTGGAGAGTATTTATTTGCAGCAAGAAGGAGGATTATAGAAGTGTCGGAGTCGACGGGAAGGACAGTGGCAGTGGAGGTGGGGTAGTATTCGGAGGCGTGGGTGGTGAAGGAATTATAGAGGGAGGATCTGAAATGTAGACCGTCAGCATGGGTACGAGAAAACATGAGTATGTAGAGGCGGAGATACATTAGGTTAAGATGTTGGGACTCAGAAGAGTAGGATTGGACGTCAGTCACTTTCTGTCAAACAAGTCAGGCCCAGCATGGTGCTCAGACGGAGGAAAAGTTAGCACCTGCGTTACGTGATCGAAGGCCCAAGAGGACCGCTTTTCAATATCGAAATATCGGCCATTGTCTAAATGATTGTGCTGACTGATGATGACCTGATATCACTCGATGTCAGTACGCATCCCACCAATGTACACCAGTCATAGAAAACGTTGTCGCACGTTCTGACTGCTTGAAGGTAGCTTGACGCTGGTCAATTGATCTTCGTTGTATTTCTGGAAGGCAGGCCGAGCCTTTTCGAGGATTGCAGGGTCGCTCGGGGTCAGAGCCTCGATATCTGTGCTGTAGAGGTCAATTGAAAGCCTTGATACATAAGCAATCCGACAGAAGGCGGACCATTGATTACATCTGCAAGCTGTCCCTCGACGTTAGCAAGAGGTGGGGGCATCTCTGGTTGGGTTGGTACCTCTCCGGGCGGGGCACCTTCGATGAAGGAGGAGATCGCAGCTATGGTGTCATCGGAGCTCATGTTCTCTGTCTAAGAAAATTCTCCACGGGTCAAGCTTGTGCGGGAGATTCGTACTTTGTGATAGGATTGGAGGAACGATGTCTGAAGCGGAGCTAGGTGAGTCCTCCGCCTCGCCCCCTTTTGCCCCAAGATCTCCAGAGAGTACGCGGGGAAGCCTTCTCTCGGGGGTCAAAGCTCGCCAAATCTGTTGTTACGGGGCTAATGAAGCAGCTCTTCAATATTATTTGGACTAACACGTCTTGTAACTCATTCCCTCAACCTGAACAGTATTTCAGTGTAGAGTATCCACAAAATGGTGCATGCTGGGTATCTACGTCGAGTCAAAATATTCCCAGTATATCAAAAATACACCACAACACCGTTCTAAAATAACCGTCCAGTACCAGTGCCTTATTCTAAAACCATGTTCATCAACCCGTCGTTGGTATCATTCATGCCCTGTATCCCAACCCTTTTCCCGGTGCTGGCATTACTCCCTGCGCTACCTGTCACGTTGAGGCGGTCATCCCTTTTTGGAGTGCCCCACCAGCCTGGAGACTGCGGGAGCACAGGGCTGTTCTGCACGCTCATGCTTGGGGACACCGCCCGGCGTTTGAAGCATATTGGATCCAGATCATCATCACGCATTCGTTTGTTGCCTTTCTTGGGAATCTCAAACGTGGTTGTATGGAAAGCTTGTGTACCCGAAGATATCGACTCATGAGAGACCGTCTTGTGAATGCCATTCTGGTGAATTTGCATCGACGAGGCGGTCTGGCTAGCCTCCATATTCACGTCATCGCTGATACCTGAGGAATTAGCTCTTGGGACGTGTGGAGGCGGAGGAGTTCGCATCCTCTCATCATAGTTGTTCCAATAAGAGGACTGTCGAGCTGCTTGAGCTGAGAAAGCACTGGAAGAGTTCCTCCGCCCTGAGTCCTCGCTACTCGTTGACAGATCTCCAGGCAGACCTTCGATATGGTCAGACGGGCCTGCAGTAACAGGTCCAAGGCTTGGAGAAGATGCACTAGTCGTGGGCTGGGAAGGGTGAATGTTGTTGGTATCGCTATCAGCGTCATTCTCACGGACTTGTCGTATGACTTCGGCTTCCCGTCGAAGGTCAACGTCGATGGGTGCTCCTTCCTCTTGTAAGGCCGCTTTTATGCGCGCGAAACCTTTGCTTTTAGGCTGCGAATCCATTAGCATGCTTTCACAACAAACACTTTCAGATACGTACTAGAAGATTGCCTCTCCGGCTTACCGCCCTCCGAACGACCTGTTTTCGCTCTTCTAGGCTAGGATTCACAATTGTAGGAATTGAACCCTCTTCGCCTCCATTGAAAAGCCCTTGACCTTCATCACCACTTTGTTCTGCGTCAGATAATCGCATTTCATTTGTACCAAGACTCAGAGATTGTCTCCTTGAATCAATTTCCTTCCTCGCAGGTTCATCCAACAAGTAGTTTCCGCCAACGCCCAGATTGGTCTCGATACTTCTCAAAAGCGGTGGAGAGGGTGGGATGGGTGACTGCATGTTGCTCTGTCCACTAGCACTGCTTGAGCTACCGCGGACCCTACTTCTGCGAGATTTAAGGCGGGCTCGCTGGTAGCTCAAAAGATGCTGTGGGGCTGGAGTGTATGCTCCGATACAGTCACCGCTAGCGCTCGGAGTTGCCACTCCAAAGGGATTCACCAAGCTCAGGCCATTGTTGGGGTTCATGTGAATGGTGTCATCGTCTTCACCAAGGTCCATCATCTCATCTGAAGAGCTACTTCCAGAGTCATTGTCCATGATCGCAGAACTTCCCAAAGAGCTAGACAGCCCTGCTCTGTCAGCGCTCTGGAAATTTGACCATAGCGAGCCAGGCATATTTCTCGGCGAGTCTGGAACACTGGCTGCCTCAGGCGGACTACAAAAGCCTTTTCGTCCTGGTATGTTCAACCCTCGTCGACCTCCGACCGATGGCGAGCATTCAGGTGACGGCTGCTCTGCGAGGGTGGAGTGATGTAAGTTCGTCGCTGCCCTCGAGAAATCCAATCCTCTTGAGCGACGGGGGAGGACAGATGTTGGGGAGGGATATGCGGAGGCGGAGTCTGGCTTTGGCGAAACAGGGACGCGCTTCGATAAGTTTGCTGTGCTGGTGCTGCTGAAGTCTCTTGGCGGCATCTGCAGACTCAGCGTACGTGAGCCGAAATCTGCTCTCTTAGGAGTGATCGGGTGCGTAGAAATATCACTGTCATCTTTGGAGCTTTTCCGATCGTCTAGCAATGCTGGGGATGGAGATAGCGTAGACTTGATACCCTGCGAAGACCATGGTCTCTGTCTGATAGGTGAAGTCGGGCGTGGTTCGTCGATGCTGGGCAGGAGCCGGTCGAAACTTTCACGATGGGCGCCTTCCTGTTGCTTTTCAAAGGTCATCTGGCTCAACAGCTGATCGGGCAGCAGCGACCCATGCCCGTCGGTCGCCATTGCGAGCGGGCACTGTTTAGTCTTTATGCTTCGGGATTATGCATGATCCTCAGAGCATGATATTAAAGTCCAGGCCGCTTCTAATAAAGAGGCGCATCTTCTGTTTCTGTCTCTGGTTCGCATAACTTGCATAAGCATGACGATGAGCATGTATCTCTGACCATTGCCGCCGCTGCGCTTAGCCACAGCTTCCGGGCGCGTTCAAGGCGCTCACAGGGGCTAGACGTGCCCCCGCCCCTCTCACGCCAAGAAGCGTGCGAGAACTACCTACTCTAGTTCTAGTGCTAGGGCACCGAGACATCTGGTCTGGCCCCACCCCTCGACTGTTGCTCTGTGCATCAACCTAAGTGATAGCGACAAGACCCTGAATGTGCCTTTGGTCCTGTGCAGTGTGCTTTGTGTTTTCTACTATTGCTTTTAACGCACATCAGAGGATTGAGTCGATGCCGAACTTTGAGCCTCATCTGTCACTCTCTCTATCCCCCGCAACTGATCACTTATCCTCTACCTGGTGACAAACATGCAAAATGACGATGGTACACAAAGCTTAACTGACGTACTGTCGCACACTAGTGAGGTTTTGGCCGGGTCGCAAAAGTGTGCTCTCATACCCAATCGTTCACACCTCAGGCATGCAGAAACTAGCTTGCACGGTGACTTACCTGGAGACGGTTTGGGTCTTACTCAGACGGTCAAACATCTCTTGAAAGATATCACCCCGGCCTTGAGCGCTGCTAGCTTGTCTCCAAATTACTATGGTTTCGTCACTGGTGGCACGACTCCGGCAGCTCATGCCGCCGACATCTTAGTATCTTTATATGATCAAAATCCACTCGTGCATCTGCCTGACCAGACCATTGCAACCACAGTTGAAAATCACGCGTTGAGCTTATTGATGCAACTGCTCCGTTTTGATCGCTCCCAATGGAGCGGTGTGTTTTCCACTGGGGCTACCGCCAGTAATGTGCTTGGTCTGGCGTTGGCCCGAGAATATACAGTCAATGAAGCAATCAAACGCCGCGGTGGCTCCGAGAATGTGGCAAGCATCGGCCTCTTGCAGGCGTGCGACGCAGCTGGAATTGAGTCGATCGATGTTTACTCGACAATGCCTCATTCGTCGTTGCTCAAAGCAGCAAGTATCGTTGGAATTGGACGATCCCACGTTCATGATGTCTCTCAAGGTGAAGAAGATCTTCACTTCGACATGGGTAAATTGGCAGACTGTTTGTCTCGCAAGGGCCAGAAGGCCGCCTCCATAATTGTCATATCTGCTGGTGAGGTAAATTCTGGTCTGTTCGCCACCAAGGATTTCGAGGACGTGCAGTCAATCCGAGATTTGTGTGACAAACACAACGCATGGCTGCATGTAGATGGAGGTAGAGTCCCGGTCCCCGAGAACTTTTCACCAAATCATACTAATCAAAGTGGCTAGCTTTTGGCATCTTCGCGAGGATACTCCCTAGGAATGCAGCCACCGAGTATGTCATACAAGGAGCCGAAGGCCTTGAGCTAGCAGACTCTATTGCGGGTGACGGACACAAAATGCTGAATGTCCCTTACGACTGTGGCTTCTTTCTCACTCGTCACGCAAGTCTTTCTCAAGAGGTGTTCCAAAACTCCAATGCTTCTTATCTGACAGCCGGCGGTCACGGCATCGTATCGCCTCTGAACATAAGTATTGAAAATTCCCGTAGATTTAGAGGCCTTCCAGTGTATACCAATCTAGTAGCGTACGGTCTCCATGGGTACAGGGACATGCTTTGGAGGCAGATGAGCCTTGCTCGAGAGATAGCAAAATACCTTTTCCATCATGATGCGTTTCAGCTCCTGCCTGACTGTCTGTACCGCTCTGACGACGACATCGAACGAAATGTATTCATGATAGTTCTTTTCAGAGCGAAGGACGAAGTATTAAACAAAGAACTTCCAACTCGGATTAATCAGACTTCGAGATTATACGTCTCGGGAACCAGATGGAACTCGGAAGATGCATGCCGGTTTGCAGTGGCTAATTGGCAAGTCAAACCAAAAGAGGATTCGGAACTGGTGCAGGATGTGCTCGATAACATTGTCAACGACTGGACTACCCTTCATTAATAAGATTACTCCGACAATCAAATCCCGTATGGAACATTTCAATGCAACATCACCGTCGTTTGCCAATACCAACTCCGTCCTTTGAACGATCTGCCAGGCTTACGACTTTCTCGATTCCTGCCTCTTCCTGCCTTTCTTCCTCTGTAGTGATTTCCTCACGGCAATCCCACCACTTCGTTTCTGCATCTTCAAATGCAATCTTTCGTAGTTCCTTGATAGACTGCTCAGATGCACGCCCTTGATCACGTTGGTGATCAATAAGTATCTGTTGCCACGTGCCGGAAGTACGGGAGAAAAATTCACGCAAGCTCTCAAATGGACGCGGATGCGGCCGTTCGTCCTGCGGTCTTTCATCCATTGCCTCATCTTCTGTCACATCCGACTCCATTTCGACAGGATACTGAGGCTTAGAAAACTCGCTTTCTGGCAGTGGAACACCTTCCGCTTCATCACCCCCCATATTTTCGTCTTCTGAACTGGACTCTTCATCACTCTCGCTCTCACTCATCTCCTCATCACCTTGCCAATTCTCGAGATCCCGCCTATAGATTTCATGTACTCCATCGAGCTTGCCAAGATCGATAGAATACATCTCATCAAAGGTGTATTCACGATCTCCTTGCTCAAAGGTCCCACCAAGGATATACAGCACATCCCCCTGAATAGCGAGATGCGCATTGAAGCGCCTGTGGGGCATGACATCAAGCACAGGTTTCGCCGGCCGCGCTTCTTCTTTGTCCTCCTCCAGAACCTCAACTTGCATGGTGTCCGCTTCTTCTATCGTGCCTTTCTGCTCTAAAGCCACCAAATTTCGGAACAATTCATTTTCATCTGCCCTGCCCCTACCTCTTCGGGGACGATCTTCGACCGTTTTTTTTTTGGCTGGCTTTGCCCGGGAGCGTCTTAGGGACAACTGAAAGAATCGATTTCGTTCTACATTCCACGTATACAGTTGATCGAAGAATTGACTTTCGATGCCTTCCTCGCTGTCTTCAATATCAAAAACACCTCCAAACATAATCCCGCGACCTTTGTGGAAAGCTTGTGTAGCGCCTGCACGGGGTGGACTTGGTGGGTTCGCTGGCTTTTTGCGCCTTTCCTTTGGGGACCTTGATATCAGCATGGGATATCGTTTGACGCCGAAAGAAATGTCTACACAAAAGATGCTTATATACACAATGAGAATAATGGAAAATACATTAATAATTGAGAGAAGCAGTACTCACCCAGCGGACTTGAGGCTGAGCGGAGATCTCGTCGTTTGCCGGCTGCTTGATTCGCAAGAACCAAGTGTCTTCATGAATCATCGGCTTCAACGAAGACTTATTTGCTTGGGATGCGCCCTTGCCTTGCCTGGTCTGAACGTTTGATTTGACCCGAGAGTAGCCTCCATAGATGACCGCGCCATTTTCGTGGGGATGGAATGAAAATGAGGACCGTGCATCAGGCTTCTGCGATGCTACGGAAAGCGTGGGAGTATACCACACAAATTTTTGACAGTCATAGATCCATAAATCTTGTAAATACTTCGTTTGTTGTGAAGTGTCTTGAAAGCCGCCAAAGAGGATGATGTAATTCTGAACGACAATGAGTTGACGAGTCATATGTGCGAAAAGAAACAACCTTGAAGTATGTCATGCGATGTCCACTCCTAGCTGGAGGACTCTTTCCTTTCGTTTCCAGTTTTATCCCTCCCTTAAGTTAGTCATTTGTAGTCGTAGAATGCCGTCACATTGTGCATACATTCTCTAGTTGATGGGTCGAGGTGCCAGAAGTCATTGTAATGATAAAATGTGCCTTGTTTTGCAGACGAAAATTCTCCTACCATTTTTGCATCAGGAAGAGAGCCAGAAACTCAGCCTTGAGAGAAGTTACCGCCAAACAAGTAGATACCACCAGCGTTGCCTCCTCGACACCATGCATAACCGCTACGTGGAAGCGGAGAGTTTGGACTTGTTACACACCTCCATTCATCCTTCTCAACATGATATACAAACAGATCATTGTTAAAAGAAGCAAGGTTACCATTATAATACTCGCCGCCGAAAAGAAAAAGTTCTTTTGAATTAGCAGGTGAACCTAAGAGAGACGCTGAAGACCGAGGAGATGGTGGATCACAGAGCGCTTCAGTGACTTTCAGATATTGCGCTTGCTAGCATTATGGAGTGTTACTATCAGACGCGCTCTTTCCATCAAGATGAATACCTTCTTCGCATAGTCCTCAAGGACCCTTTCAAGATCGACATCTTCTGCATCGCTATCATCAACGCCTTTAGCCTTGCCCTTTTTCTCTTTCTGGGCAGACTTTTTGCTTTGCTTGGCAGCAACGCGGGCTTTTTGCTCCGCAGACTTCGATTTCTTCTGATTCTTGCCCATTTCGAACGAGCACGAGATTTACCAAACTTGAAGGCCAAATCATTGGAGGGACTAAGAAGTTGTCTCCAATACAGACCCCCTGCTAGGGGCCTTTTTAGTGTTGTTGATGTGAGTCCCCGCAGGGGGTCTGCATCGGAAAGTCAAGGATCCCGGTATTTTTGATTCTGAGAGCCCCTTAGCGTTGAAGATTCTTTGAACTTCAACCTTTAAAAAAAATTATTACTTTCTTTCTACAACTGGACAGCTACAACTCGGGGTGAGATCTTTTAATTTTCTATATAAATTACTTAAGGAAAAAAGATTTCTCTAAAAATTCAGAAAATTCTAATTGCAAAGCAAAATTTTTTTTTTCAATACAAATTTTTTGAATCAACGATAACTCTTGAAGCTTTCAATCTTTTTTAAATCTTAAAAAACTCGGCGCGAGATCATAATATGTTATATCCCAAACATATATATATATATATTTATATGTGAAAGTGGTTGGGAACCAACTTCAAACGAAACCGATGGGACACGAAGCTGAAAATCTTAAAAACACGACTTTCCGGAGCAGGCGTGCTGAGAGAAAAGGCCGCGCAGCGATCTAAGCCTTTTCTGGCCCTAGCTTGCTAGGCTAGCACGCCTTAGGAGGCAACTAAGAAGGTCAGCTCTGGTGATCCCGGGCGCCTCATGTGACTGCGCTTTCAACCATATGGTTCGCCGTACCTTTCGACTACATTCAGGCGCGTCTTAGCGCGTGTGACTGCCTTCAATTGCCCCGACGAGGTAGGTCGAAAACAGAGGTAAATTCGTTATGATCGCTAGCTTCAAGGCAGACATTATGGGCTTCTATGTCGACGAATAACCTCCGCGCACATCTTGGCTGGCTGATTAAGAGTAGCCCCAAATTTCCAGATAGTCATCCTATTCCGGAGATTGCGCCTTCAAGCTCTGATCCTGTCTCATTCGTGGAGCCTTCAGATGCAATTCTTTCGACAAATCGACGTCAAAGCGAACAGCATCATCCAGGAATTTTGACGACTCGAAAGAACGATGGATCGGCAGCTACTTCGGAATTCCTACGGCCCTCTGTTCCCGCCAGTGTCTTGAGAACACAAGGGGCGACTACAATGGCTAGACTGCAAGCCAGCTCAAGCACAAAGAAAAGGACTCATTTGTTAAGCGAGAAAGTCCCACTATCACTACAGTCTACAGCTACAGCTACGGCTATTCAAAATCCACCTAATTCCTTTAGAGACCAATACGGGGCACCTTCTTATAAAAGCTCTGAAGGTATTCATGCCACTCCCCGCACCTCAGCGTGCACAGACTAAAGGCCCTAGGAAACCCGTCGAGTGAACTCTCATCGGCTCATCGCAACGAGACTGCTGCATCTCGGTCGCATGGTCGTTACCAGAGCGTTGGCGATCATACAGAGGCTGCATTCAATATCCGAACCGGGGATTGTACTTCGTCTCCCAGCACTCTCGAGGGGTTTGGAGATAAGAGAACCTTGTGGAGAGAAGATAGTGCGTACCGAAAGGAGCCTATGCAATTGAAGGGTCGAAAGAGAAAGAGCGACGAGCTTGAGCTAGACGAGTTGCAAGCAGACTTCCCATCCAGAATCTCGCAAAGTAGCTTTACAGCCATTGATAATTTTCCCGATGGTGAAACTCCGTCCAAGCAAAAGCAATCTCCCTCAAAGGTGGAGGCTCAACGTTCTGGCAAGAAAGCTAGCATGCATCGGGATCTAAGCAACTCAACTTCGCACGGGGGACTTGCCGACGATGAATTAAGCACGCCGAGTGGGACTATAAAAGGGCTAGGACCAATCCAGTCACGATCTCCTAGCTACTCTAAAATCTACTCTCCAACCAGATTCAAGCAGCGTGTATCACAAACTCAAGGCGGAAACAAACCACAAACCCCTCAAACTAACAAAGGCGCTGTTGCAGACTCCGAGGAAGATGAAGATGAGCAGATTTCTGGCGATGTTACACATCCACTTCTTATGGAGCACCGTTCTAGCGCATCTCCAAAGAAGGAGAAGGATTCACTTAGCTTCAAACTTGACGATAAGCCCATAAAGCATGAAGAAATGAGCTTCGCAACCCAGAAAACCTCGGAGCAGCTACCCACTATGCCGCAGCATTCCCAAATCGCAAGATCAAATAGCGATGCTTCTCCTTTTCAACGCGACTCTCCAACCAAACTCATAACTGGATCAAGGCGATCGCAACCACCAATGTCTTCACCAGCCTTTGCTTCAGTCGAGTCAAATACAGACAGAGCTGCTGTGACTTCATTTCTGAATTGTCCGCCGAGCCGGTATCAGCAATACCTCGATAGTCTCCATCGTAGCAGACGAGCTGCGGCCGAGCAAGTCTATGAAATGAATCTGGCCCGTAAACCACATGATCCTGCACTGCAGGATAAGCCCACTTTCTTCACTGTGAAGATAGACGCAATGGAGCGGTTATTAGCTCTTCGTGAAGAGCACCATCAAGTGTCAAAAGAAAGGGAGGAGGTCAAGTCGCGTATTGTTGGTATGATCGAGCGCGATTACCCCAGGCAGATGTACGAACACTACATAGTTGATCAAGAAAGCCGGCGGGACAGAATAATGGGCATCGAAGCGGAGATATCTCATTGCCTTATTCAGGCAGAAATTCCGTTATTGGAGAGAGAGGTCCCGGGCAGTGTTGTTTCGAGAAGCTCAATTACTCAATCGGATCGTGATCTGCCTAGGACTCTTATCCAGTCAACACCCGCTCCAAGGCATCAGATGCCGCCACCGACGTCCGGGAGCCGACAATTGCATAAAGGTGGAGGCATCGCCTCTCAATACGTACAGCAGACGCAAACCGTCCATGGCCTTCAGCCGCATTCTCCGTCCAAGCGCACCATTGATACAAACCAAGGATTCAACTCCTTGCAAACTTATGTAGCCTCTCCGCCAGCAAAGGATGTACATGCTTATTTTTCTCCATCAAAAGCTAAGACTCGGCGCCAGGATCTAGACGAAGAATCAAGAATTCACCAGCCACGGCTGGATTCGACCAACCGCTCCTTATTTCGCTCGCCCGGTCATCCCACTACAACTCACACTTTTGATGGGGAAACTGACCATAATGTATTTGCGAAGAATATGGCTAGCCCCTACGGGACTGATAATGATGAAGGATTTGGGTTAGAAGATGATGATTTTGGACACGAAGACGATGTCGACATGCTAGAGGTTGCCGAAAAAATAGAGAATCAACAGGGACAGCCTATAATTCGCAGTGCCACCACGCATCGGAACGTCTTTGCTGAAACCAGCGGAAACATTATGCGCACAGATCCAACCAAAGCCAACAGTGCATTTACCCCTATGCCACCAGAGTTGTCACTCATGCAACATCGATGGTCAAAAGATGTCAAAGCCGCCATGAAAGATAGATTTCATCTACGCGGCTTCAGACCCAATCAACTTCAAGCGATCAATGCCACTCTAGCAGGCAAGGATGCCTTTGTGCTTATGCCCACAGGAGGGGGAAATCGCTTTGCTACCAGCTACCGTCAATCATTACTTCAGGACGGACTCAGGGTGTCACTGTTGTGATATCTCCATTGCTCAGTCTAATGCAGGATCAGGTCGAGCACCTCCAAAGGCTCAAAATCCAGGCTCTTCTCTTGAACAGTGAGGTTTCTGGCGCGCATCGCAAGCTCATACTCGATAGTCTCAGAGAAAGCAACCCCCAGAAGTTTTGTCAACTACTATACGTTACTCCAGAAATGATCAACAAAAGTGACGTCCTCCTCAGGGCCTTACGCGATTTGCATTCACGTCGAAAGCTCGCGAGGATCGTCATTGATGAAGCACATTGCGTGAGCCAGTGGGGACACGATTTTCGTCCAGATTACAAAGCGCTAGGGGGCATACGCCGCCAGTTTGAGGGTATTCCGCTCATTGCATTGACTGCTACAGCCACGGAGAATGTAAAAATTGATGTCATGCACAACCTTGGCATTGATAATTGTGAGATTTTCACGCAGAGTTTTAATCGCCCAAACTTGTCTTATCAGGTGCGCACCAAAACAAAAGCCAAGGAGGTGCTCAAGGATATTGCATCGACAATCAATGAACTGTTCCAAGGACAATCAGGAATCATATATTGCTTATCGAGAAAGGCTTGTGAAGACTTGGCAGCCAAATTGAAGACCGAATTCAACATCAAAGCTCATCACTACCACGCTGGAATGGAGCCTGAAGAAAAGAAGCAAATCCAAAGGCAGTGGCAAAATGGTCAGTATCACGTCATTGTTGCCACAATTGCTTTTGGCATGGGAATCGACAAGCCTGATGTCCGCTACGTCATACATCACACTATACCGAAGAGTCTTGAGGGCTATTATCAAGAGACAGGTCGGGCCGGGCGTGATGGCAAGAAATCGAAGTGCATCCTTTATTACGGATACCAAGACACAGGTGCTCTTAAACGTTTTATCGATGCCGGAGAAGGTAGCTACGAACAAAAAGATCGACAGCACCAGATGCTTAGAAAAGTTGTTCAGTTCTGTGAGAATCGCGCTGACTGCAGGCGCGTGCAAGTTCTGAATTATTTCAATGAAGCTTTCAGAAGAGAGGATTGTGATGGTTCTTGTGATAACTGCACGTCAACTAGTACCTTTGAGACTCAGGACATGAGTCAATATGCATCAGCTGCCATCAAGCTGATTGAGGGTATACAAGAGGATAATGTGACACTTCTTCATTGCGTAGACGTTTTACGAGGAGCGAAGAACAAGAAGATCTCCGAGCTAGGCCACGATCGCTCTCCACATTACGGCTTTGGCTCCAGCCTTGATAGAGGGAACGTTGAACGCCTGTTTTATCGGCTACTTAGCGAGGACGCTATATGTGAACACAACAAACTTAATAGGTCTGGATTCGCCAATCAGTACGTTCGACTCGGCAAAAATGCCCGAGAATTCCGCACAGGGCGAAGGATGCTGAAAATTCAAGTGCGTTTGTC